GCCTACAGGTAGGTACCCTAACCCTAAGATAGACCATAACCCTAACCCTAACCCTAACCCTAACCCTAACCCTAACCCTAACCCTAAGACGCGGCAGGGGCAGGGTCGGTGCGGGTCTGCGACATGAGCTGGCGGACCTGGTCCCGGAGCTCGTCGAGGTCGCGCGAGGGGCGGGCGATCGCGTCGGACGAGACGCCGTCGACGACCGCGCGCACGAGGTCGAGCGCGCTCGCCGTGAGGCGGGCGTGGCCCTCGTCGATGACGGCCTTGCGCTCGGCGGCGTCGCGAGCGCGTTGGTCGGCGACCTTGGCGGCGAGGGCGTCGCCGTCGGGGCCGTCGAGGGGGAACCGGAACTGGGCCGCCTCGTGCGCGTCGTCGCGCAGGTCCCGGACGACGCCCATGAGGTCGGTGACGGCGAGGCGGGTCTTGGCGGCGAGCTCACCCCGGTCGAACGCGCCCGACGCCCGGCGGCGAGGTGCCGGCGCGCCTGTCGGCGCGGGTGGGCGGAACGGGTTGGCGACGGTGCTGCGGCCGCCGTTGGACGAGGGAGGGTGCGACGTCGGGCCGTAGCCGGCGTCGGCAGTTGGCCGACCGTTGTACGACGAGGTGGACGAGGTGGAGCCGTTGTAGGCGGCGGCGGGCGGACGGTGAGGAGCGCGGCCTGGAGGCGGTGCTGGAGGTGGTGGGGGGTTGCGGCCCGACGAGGCGCGTTTGGACGGGACGAACAGGTTTGTCGGGCGCGGGTCGGGAGGCGGTGGCATGGCGAGCTGTGCACGGGCAGGAAAGCGTCAGTTGGTGGTTGCGCTGGCGAGCTGTACGGTGCGCGGCGCCGGCACGAGGACGAGGAGGGGGAGCTGGTGGTCGACCTCGTCGCACGAGCGCCGCCGCCCAGGCCACCAGGCGTCGCTGAGATCCCAGTGAGCCGTCGCGCAATGCAGCCCGCAGCCGTCCGGGGCGAGTAGTGGGCCAGGCTGGCTTGATCGGGTCGAAAGACCTGAGCGGACCGGGCCGGTCGACTCACACCTCGCGCGGACGCGATAGCGCGTTCATCTGACAACCCGAGCTGTCGCGCACCCTCGAGAGGCGGACCTGGAGCGCTAGAGAGAGGGGACGCACGAGCGAGGTTCGAGGACGAGGCGCGACCGGGTGCTGGTCGGCGTCGGGGGGATCGAGAGGGTGCGGCGACGAGGTGCAGGCGTGTCGAGGTGGCGGTAGGAGTGCGTGGCGCACCGCTCGAGGGTGCCTGTCGTGAGGCGAGCGCGGTGAAGGGCGAGAGACTCTGGAGCGAGCCTGATGCAATGCTGGGCCAACTCTCGCTCGCACAAGACCGCCGTCGCTCTGCTGCAGACGCCAGACTGCTACAACGACAGCTCCAGCCGCACCCTGCTCAGCCCCCGCCCGTTCAGTCCCCCGTCGCGCCGTCGCCCTCATCCCCCGATCATCTTCGCCGTCCACACTCAGCGTCGCACCATGGCGTCGACGGGCACTCCTTCTGCCCGACTCGACGTGTTTCAAGCGTCTATCGTGCGTCTCCTGCGCTCCCTCATCCTCCCCTCCCTCCCAAACCCCTCTCCTCGCGCGCGCCTTGAGCTGACCCCCACTCGGATGCAGGCCGTCGAGCGCTCCTGGGTCCGCGACGTCGTGCGAGGTGCGCCCGAATCGCCCCTGGTCCTCACGAGCGTCCACTGACTCGCGCGAGAGCAGCCGTCCTCGGCACCATCCTGTTCTACCGCGTCGCGGGCAACCTTCAGCCGGCCTCCATCTCGGTCGCCGGCGTCACCTTTGTGCGCCCTCGGTTCCTCAGTCTGGCACTCGGACGACGAGCTGATCCTGGTCCCACATAGCCGACGCCTGCCGAGCCAGAGCTCGACGAGCTGCTCTCGACCAAGGTCGACCTCCTCGTGCGCCTCCTCCTCGACGGCCCAGCCGCGTCCGAGCCTGCTTCTCGACGAGCCAAGGTGCACACCCTCTCCCGACTTGCTTCTGTCCTCTCTGTGACTGACCGTCCGCTCAAGCAGCTCTTCGTGTCTCTGTACCCGACGCCCCTCCCGCCTCCTCCGCCGCTTCCCTCCTCGCGACCACGCTGTCACCCGACCCCGAGCGGCGCCTCTCGGTCCGCATCGCCCGCGAGTACCGACACTCGGCCAGGACCTTCGCCGAGTCGCCGAGCCGGACCCGTCACGCTCGCTCAGGCGGCCCCCGCCGCCGTCAGCAGCGCGCTCGGCTGGTTCTCGGCCTCGGCTCGTGCGGCGCTCAGCGGTGGGACCGACGCCCAGGAGAACAGCTCGGGCGACGGACCGGCAGCGGACGACGGTCAGGAGGACGAGGTGAGGACGCTCGAGCTGCTCGAGGGCCGCGGCGTCAAGCCGTGGGAGGGCTGGTGCGTCGAGTTCGAGGTGATTGGCGAGGCCCAGGGCAGCAGATCGCGGGCTGCGACCGCGACAGAAGAGCGTGCGTCCACCTCTTCCTCTCGTCTCTCTGTCTCTCCCTGTGCCTCGAGGCCGGTCCGCCGCCGCCAAGTCGACCTGACCCTCCCCTATACGTCCCGCCCGCAGGCTTGCGCGCGCAACTACACGACTTCCTCCTGCGCTCGCTCGAGTTCACGATGCACAAGACGGCGCACGTCCCGCCCATCACGACGACTGAGCGCATGCCGTACGGGATCCTCGTACGTCCCCACCCTCTTTTCAGCTCTCCGCCTCGACCCCGTCGCTCACGCTCTCTATGTCTCGCCCCGCAGATGCTCGTCAACCCGTCCAGTCTGCCTTTCTTGCCGCCCAAAGCCGTCGTCACGGACGTAGCGGCGTTTCCTGCGCTGCATCGGGCGCTCGTCTCGGCTGGGCGCGAGCGAGGAGGGGGCGGAGCGATCGTGGGCGAGAGGAGGGCGACGAGCGTGGGAGGCAGATGGTAGACCTCTTTCTCAATGTACAACTCTCGACGATGCGGACGCTTCGAGGCGGAGAGAATGCGCTCGTCGATGCAGGGAGCGGATCTGCTCGAGTTGAGTCGAAAGCCTTCTCGAGAGGTTGCTCGACAGGCTCTGATAGAAGACCATCTGGTACGTCCCGCCTCGCGCACATCGCTCTACTCCTCGGCCTCGCCCTGAAACCGCCAGTCGACCGCCCTCCTGCCTGCCGCCTCGACCATGGCCCTGCCGCCCTCCACCTCGTTCAGGAACTCGTACCGCGAGCACGCAAAGTACAGCCGCTGCAGTTTCGAGTTGGGGCGCTCGAAGACGTCTCGAAGGGCGTCGGCCGGGATCGAGCGCGCGTCCTCGGTCGTGGCGAGGACGGTGAGCGAGAGGGGGAGGTGCGCGAGGAGGATGGCCGGGAGAGAGGTGCACTCGAGCGAGTTGAGCGACGACGCCGCGTCGAGGACGGCTGTATAGGGCGTCGAGTCGTCCCGGGTCGCGATCGAGAGGCCGAGGTGCTCGAGTCGAGGCGCGAAAGGTGCGAGCGCGGCGGCGACGGCGGGATGTGCGGCGGCCGAGCACGCGGGCAGGGAGATGGAGCGTATGGACGGGAGGGACGAGTGGGCGATGACGTCGAGCCATGCGGCAAAGTTGGGCGAGCCCGGGTACAGGTCGGCGAGGACGAGGGTGTGTAGACGGAAGGGGAGGACGAGGGCGGGCTGAGGCTTGTGCAGCCAACCTTGGACGATGAGGGTGCGCAGGTCTGCGCTCGACAGACGTGTGAGTTGTCGAACCAACTCGCGGTGCCGGGCAAGGAGAAAGAGAGAGGCAGGCGGACGCACCGTGGAGGGAAGGATGCGCGAGGACGGCCGGGTCCATGTCGCGGTTCGGCGTCGCAAACATGAGCCACCGCAGGCCGTCGCACCCGTCGAGGAGCCGCGCGAGGCCTTTGCGCGTCTTGAACGCGTGCAGGGCGAGCTCCTTTGGCGCTGCGCGCCTCCTCGACCGGGTCGCCGTCCACTGCCGCACGTCGTCCTCCGTCTCGAGCTCGACCGCCTCCCACAGGAGCTTCTGTGCCGGCTCGCGAAAGGTCGAGTGTGCGAGCGAGCAGCTCTTGAGCGTGTCGAGGTCGATGCTGCCGTCGCTCGGTGCGAGGTGGCTGAAGATGCAGGCGAGGAGTTCCTCGGGCAGGTCGTGGACGCCGACGGGAGGGTGCAGAGACGTCGAGCACATGGCGTGGTGCGGATCGGCGGTGCGCGCAAGGTGGCAGGATGCGCAGAGCGAGAGAGAGAGCGAGAGAGAGAGCGAGAGAGCTGTCATCTCTCCGCTTCATCAGCCAAGTCCGAGAACCCGCGGTTTCCGCGGCTCCCACCTCGTCGACGACGCCGACGACGCTGAGTAGAGTGGTCTCGCCTGCTGCCGGACCTCTCGGCGACGGTCGTGAGCGCTGGGCCCGCTGTAGTACTGTCTCTCGCATTCTCGCGCTATCGAACCTCGCTCGCTCGAGAAATGCTGCAACGACGAGTACCTGCCTCGCAAGCTGCTACGGTGGAACTCAAGTCTGCGCGAGACGGCGAAGAAAGGGAGAGGGGCGGAAGGAGGAGGCCGGCTGGTCGAAGAAGAGGGAAGAGACGAGGGGCGACGAGGGTCACCACCCGAACGACTCGGTGTGACAGACGATGCCGCCGCTGCAGGACGTCGAAGCGAGGTCAGAGACTGCGTACAGGGCGAGGGAAGAGAGACAGAGGACGCACACAGCGACAGCCTTGCCCTCCTGCACGGCACCGACCACCTCGCGCACGTCCCGCACGAGCGGCTTCGGCCCACAGGCGCCGACGACGATCCCGGCACCGCGCACCAGGCCCCTGCGCTGCACCGACGCCATGACCTCGGCCGCCACGACGTCGAGGATGGCCGGGAGCGAGGGCCGGCCGATCGAGAGGACCGACTGCGGAACGGGGGAGGCAAGGGTACCGAAGGAAGGGGTGCCGAGAGGCGGACGAGTGACTGCGGCAAGAGGGCGAGGGTGAGTCACTGTGTGTACGATCGAGAGGGAGGGACAGGTCGGCGCACCGTGTAGGAGGACACGCAGGTTCAGGCAGGTCTTGTCCCTCGCGACGTCGACCAGGCCCGTGAGGAAGCTCTGGTAGCTCTCGAGCTGCGCCAGGTCCTTGACGGTCCAGACGAGCGTTGCACTGCGAGTCGAGGTACGACCCTGCGTCGCGAGATAGACGAGCTCCTCGAGGACCGAGGCGCAGAAGGTAATGCCGGACCCGCCGGCGACGAGGATGACGGCGGACGAGTCGATAAAGTCGGTGAACATGAGGCCGCCGTATGGACCTGCGGAGCCGGTACGACGGGCGAGGGTGTCAGTGAGTGCGCGTGCGCAGGGCGAAAGAGGACGAGGAACGGCAGCGGCGCACCTTCGACCGCACACTTGATCACGCGCGCCTCGTTCGGGCCGGCCGTCGACCTTGCGTGCGCCTCAAGGCTGCGCGTCCACGAGCCAGTCGACTTGGCAAGGAGGGTGAGGGCGTGTGAGCCGCTGCGCGAGACGAGGCATCAATGTCAAGAGGAGGCTCGTGCGCAGGCAAGACGGGGAGAGAGAGGGGGGACGCACTCGAGGGGTGAACACTCGGCAGGCGCGTTGGCGATAGTGAACGGGTGCGTCTCCCACCCTCGAAGAAGGCCCGCGGCGCTCGGGACCCGCACCCAGACGTGCTGCCCGGCTCGCCAGCCCGTCTTGAGCGAGTGCGACTGGACCATGACGGTTCCGCCGGGCAGCGACGCGACCGACGCCGAGCCGAACCGCGTCTTGACGAGGCGACATGCGAGGTCGGTGCCGTAGCAGACGAGGACAAAGGCGGTGTAGGGCCGAGCGAGTTGCGGAACGTGAAAGTTGAGGGCGACGAGGAGGCTCACCCAGCCGGCGACGTGCGAGACGAGGAAGACCTGGTACCACCGGTTGCGAAAGTACGACAGGCTCGTGATGAAGATGAGGACCCTGTCGGGCGACGAAACAGGGTGAGCGTCCCGACCTCGAGGGAAAGAGAGGACGAGCGACGCACGAGGCGACGGTGCACACGAGTCCGCTCGCGTGAACAGGCTTCTTGACGTCGAGCGGCGCCATGAGGAGGAAGAAGAGTGTGTGAAGAAGGCCGCCGAGGATCGTGAGTCGACCGGCGACTCGGTGAAGGTAGTTGAGCTGCGGAAGGACGACAAGGTCAGGCTGTGCGCTCGCGAGACAACCTTCGCCGCCGATTCACCAACGAGAAGAGAGAGCAGTGGACGCACTTTCTCGTAGCCCTTGCCGAGGAGCGACAGGGCGTTGTTCTTGGTCGCGAGGATGAAGACGGCGGGCAGCTGAGCGAGGGCGACGCCGGCCGACCGGCGCCAGTTGGTGCGGTGGTCGAGGCAGTGGTAGAACAGGACGAAGGTGAAGAGGAGCTCGTAGAGGAGGCAGACGACGACCTGGCCCCACGTCAGGCCGAACAAGGGCGACGTTAGGAGGAGGGTGCGGTTGTAGATCGTCCGGGTCCTGCGGTGCGAGGGCGAGGTCAGCCCTCGGGCCACGTAAAGGAGGAGCCGGACGAGAGGAGGGGACGTACGAAGCAAATAAGGCGGACGTGGGCGTGATCTTGACCGGCAAAGGGCGCTCGACGACCTCGACCGTGCTGAACTTCTCGCCGCCCTTGTCGCCGCTCTCCTTCTCCCTGCTGCCGACGTGCACCTCACTCGCCGTACTCGACCCGCGACGCAGCATCCAGCCCGAGGCGTAGCGCCCGTTGGCGAACCATGAGGCGGCCGCAGGAGCGCAGGCGAGGAGCGCGAGGGCGGCCGCGAACCCGAGGACGATGTTGAAGTCTTGCCGCACGGCGTCGTTCCCTGGACATGCGAAGAGCGTCAAGATATGCCGCTCGGGCGCAGAGGGACAAAGAGAGAGGACGAGGCGACGCACAGGTCGTCTGGTCGAGCATGGCGGCCTTCTTGGCGGCGGCGGCCGCGGCTGCTCCTGCCCCGCCGTCTGCGCTCGTCGCGTTGGCGGCGGCACTGGCGGCGCGTTTGGCGAGCTCGGTGACCTGCTCGACGGCGACGACGTGGCGAGCGAAACGATTGAGGTCGGCGTGGGCCGACATGGAGGATCGAGGTCGGTGGAGCGAGCGGACGAGGAGGGGAGGCCGTCACAGACGGCTCGACGGTGGCGCTGCGCTGCTCCGGGCAGGTGCGCTGATGATGGCGAAGGTGGTCGGCGAGCGCAGGGGCGCAGGGGGCGAGGCGGCGCCTCGATGGTCGGCGAGCGAGGAGGAGGGCGGACCGAGCCCGCTCCGTCTGCTTTGCGAGCGGCGATCCAGGCCGAGGCGAGACAGCTGCACTCGAGCGGTTGTGCGGGGCGAACGGCGGCTGGTGGCTGCGGCGGACGACGACGAGGACCGGGCTGGACGGACGGCGAGCCGTTGGGCGAGAGGCGGAGGGTGAGGGCGAGGGCGAGGGGTGCGGCCGGCGCAGGGTGGGCGGGAGGTAGAGGAGCCGAGCGTCAAGACAGCGTCGCGAGCATGGCTGAGCTGTGGGCGAGGAGGAGGAGGAGCGAGAGACGGAGGAGCGAGCGAGCACATCGACGAGTCTGGGGCCCCGCAAAACGACCGACGCGCCTCGACGAGCCATCCTCATCTCAAAGTCGCGCTCCTTTGCTCTCACCGACGGCTGCTGGGCAGTAGGGCAGCGCGAAGTACTCTCAGCGTTGATATCGAGCGTCTGCGGGCCATGGCGCGAGCGCCCGGTCGAGACGCCGCGACGCGGACCGACGCTCGAGCCGGCGCAGCGTGACGACAACCGTTCTCGACGCAGGCTCGCTCGTTCGGGACTTCAGAGGCTCTCCCTTGTTGCGTGCACGCTCTCGAGGCGACTGCCGAAGAGAGAAAGAGAGAACCAGGACGAGTTGCACATGCACAGAGGGGACGACACGCCCGACGACCCAGCGACGCTCGACGAGACTGACAAAGACGAAGGGACGACGGCAACCCTACCGCATCGGCGAGAAAGGGAGGGCCTTGAGGATGTTGCTCGTCATGCTCTGCGTGAGCGGGACCGTCCTCGACACGGTGCTCGACCACTTGTCGTTCTTCCAGCTCGCGGCCCGGATCTCGCGCCGCGCCTCGAGCGACTCGTAGTGCCAGATCATGTGCACCGTGTGCAGCTTGCCGATGCCGGCGTACCAGCACGCGACGGGCGTGTGACCGGCGGCAATGCGCGCCTCGAGACCGCCGCGCCTGCGAGCGGAAGAAGAAAAAAGGGGACGGTCGACGACCAGAGTCAGTGCCCTGTACACCTCCTGAAGGTGACTCGTCTCTGCGCCACGTGCGGCTGACCGGCAAAGGGGGGGAGGAGAGAAAGGGGCAGACGCACCACTCGTGCTCCCACTCGAGGAGCGCGCCCGGCTTGAGGTCGTACGTCCTCAGCTCGTACAGGCCGCCGCGTTCGTGAGGGTCCGTGACGGGGAAGAACTTGAACTCGGTGCAGAGCTGCGAGAAGAGAAGGCGGGCGCGAGGTCAGGCTCTCTGTCGTGCGGGAACGAGGGGTGCGACAGTACGGTCGAGAAAGGGTGAGGGCGACGCACCTGCGAGTTGCGCTCGTTGATCAAGGGAAGGATCTCGTGGTTGAAAAACTGGAGGTGACCCTGCAGGAAGGAAAGCGCGGAACCGTCAAAACGGTCCGAGTACGAGGGGAAGGACGGCGAGGAGAGGGACGACGGGAAGAAGGGGACACACCCTGCTCTCCCGGATCGCGTGCTTCGTGCGCTCGAAACCGCCGAGTCCCTGGTACTCCCACACGTGGACGAACGTGTCGACATCGCCGACGACAATCTCCCAGCTGCCCGTCAAGTGCGCGTCGAACTCACTCGACTCGTGGATGCCGCGGTAGTAGCCCTCGATGAGCTTCTTGTACTGCTCGACGTGCTGCGGGAGGACCTTGTGCCCTGTACGAGAGTAGTTCGGATCGTCGAAGGCGGCCGGAAGGTTGAGCGAGGTCGAGGGCGGAAGAGGGGACGCAGTGCCGAGGAGAATGGACGGGGAGGAGCAAGGTCAGCTCTGCTCGGCAGGGCGTGGGACAAAGGTGGACGCACTCTGTAGCTCGTGCACGTACTTCTGCGCACGCGGAACCAAGGCATAGGGTCAGCAACGAGTCGCACAGCTCCGCCTCCGCATCGTCTTGCTCCGTGCGGCCCCGCCGAGTGCATGATGGCACCGCCGCCCTCGCCTCCCGGGTGGCGCTCCAGCCCGTGTACAGCCGCTCCAGTGCTCAGAGGCGACCTTCAGTCCACTGGCACGTCCGCCCGCGCCGAGGAAAGGCCGTCGTGGCCTAGCTCGAGAGGGAGGAGGGAGGTCGGGACGCACATGCCGACCGACAAGCTTCGAGTGCTGCTCCTTGATCTGCTCCTTGGCCTCCTCGCTGCCGTGCAGGAACGCTGCCGCATAGTCCTTGACGCTCGAGCGGTGCGCCGTGGTCGACAGGGTGCGAGAAATGGACGAGGTGGGGAGCGGCCGGCGGGAGGTCACGAGGGCCGACACAGGGCGAGGGCGGGCGCGCAGGGCGGCAAGAGGGGCGCGAGGTGGCATGGCGGGGGTGCTGGTGCTGGTCTGAGTGTTGCTTTCGGGTGGGCGCAGCGAGGAGGAGGGGCCGGGGGAGCGAGCGGGGCGACCTCGTCCCCCCACGTCAATCGCGCTGCGCTCGCTCACACGCTCTCTCTCTCTCTCTCTGAAGCTTTGAAGCAGCGAAAGTCGAAGTGCAATGCAGTGACAATGGACCGCACCCTGAATCCAGCGCGAAGAGAAAATGCCGAGGCTGCGACGACGAGGTCCGTTCGCGAGCGCGAGCGGCCAAGTGCGAGGCGTGCAGGGACGAGAGAGGCCGAGGGAGAGGCAAGGGCGAGGACGAGGTTTACTTGGGCATTCTGACGCCGCTGAACGCCATCGAGACACCGTTCGCGGCGTCGTCAAAGTTGAAGACGGCGAGGACGCTTTTGAGGAACGGCACTGCGTACGGGCGAGGGAGCAGGTCAGGTCTCGGTCGACACGGCCCGCGTCGATGACGACGACGGCATACAGACGAGAAAGAGAGGACGCACTGCCGAGGAGAGCGCCCTGCATGCCCGAGCCGGGAACCAGTTCAACGTTGGCGCCGTAGAGACCGCCAAAGCAGGACTCGCTCGCAACGTCGTCGACGTATTCGAGTACGTTGCTGACGGCCGACATCGAAACGGGCGTCGAGCTCGAGGCGCCGATGAAGGTGAAGCCGATGCGGCCGCTCGTCGACGACGGCTCGCACGGGACCGTGTAGATGTCGACGTCGGCCTCGATACCAGCGACCGCCATGCGCTGCGTCTTCCAGAGCGTCCCGTTCGTCGCAGCGTAGACTGTGGGTGAGAGCCGGGCGTCAGGGCGAACGTCTCGCGAGAGCGGAGAGGAGAGGTCAAAGCGTGGACGCACCGGCTGCAGCCGCCGAGCGCGGGATAGAGTTGAAGGACGAGCCCGAGTCGATCAGGGCGTACGAGACCGTGCCGTCGACGACCTTGTTGTCGACGCTCGTGGCGCCCATACCTGCGAGCCACTGGGCGACAAAAAGGGGGTTGGGAAGGTCAGTCGACGGCGACTAGCCGAACGTGAGGCGGGCCGGCTCACGATGCCACTGGCGGCGCCGAGGTTGGGGACCGTGATGAGGCTCGCTTGAAGGAAACCGCGGTCGACGCCGCCGAGGACCAGCTCAGGCCGCGAGCTCTTGAGCGACATCGAGAACTCGTTGCGAGCGAGCGAGCCTTGCTGGACGAGGCGCTGGATGAAGGACGGGCCGCCGGTCTGCGTCGATGGGCGAGAGGTCGAGGATTAGTCTGTGTCCGCGACGAGGGAGAGAACGAGCTGACGCACGTAAGCGCCGCCGCCGGGCGCCAGGCCAAAGATGGCCGCCCAGTTCTCGCCGCCGGCCGTGCTGAGCTGCGTCGCGGCGGCAAAGACCTGCTTCTCCACCGCGAGTGCCGCAACGCGCACCGTGTCGTCGGCGACGTAGCCCGTCGCGACGCCGGTCCCGTACGCGACCGACACGTCGCCGCCGTCCTTGACGAACGTGGGGGACGCCGTCGTGTTGAAGAACCCGTTGGCGCACCCGAACTTGCAGTCGACGGGCACGACGAGGTCGGGCGAGCCCGTGTCGAACAGGACGGGCAGGTTTTGGCCGCCGATGCTGACCTCGGCCGCGTGCGCGTCGAGCCCGTTGTACTCGTTGTAGTGGAGCTTGAGCGGGACGTGCACGACGCTGCCGCGCTTCTCGACAGCGGAAGGCGCCTGGATGCCTCGCTTGACAGCGTTGGCGAGGCGGGCAAAGCTGTCGGCGTGGCGCTCGCGCAGCTGGTCGAGCGTCACGTCGTTGGTCGCCGGCGCCTGGCCGACGAGGCGGACAACTTGAGGGGGCGACGAGCGGTGCGGAGCTGCGAGGGCGGTAGCCGAGAGGAGAGAGAGGGGCAGGAGGGCGGCGACGGCGAAGGAAGGCATCGAGGAGTGGGGAGGTCGAGGGGAAGATGGGGAGAGAGAGAGAGCAAGAGGAGAGAGAGAGAGAGCACAGGGCGCAGCTGAGGTCGGTCGAGCCAGCCAGACGCATCGCTCGAGGGCGGTATGCGGGGGCGCATGGGCCTGATGCGACCGAGGGTGCCGAGGGACAGAGTTGGTGGGAGAGAAACGGACGAGGGGAAGCGTGAAACGACCGAGGGGAAGCCGGGGCTGGCAGCTGCGGCCAAAGCATAACAGAGTACGCTCCTGCGAGTGCTCGCCGAGGCGCATCGGCGGTCGAGGGCGGCATCGTCCCCTGGACCGTTTCAGGCTGCGAGAGGACAACACTCGGGCTCGCCCCAGCTCGCCCTCGGGAAGCTGTGCCTGAACCTGCGCCGCCTCGCCGTTGTCGGCTGCACCGAGACGCTGATGCTGCCCCGAGCGAGCGAGCGGCGGACCGAGAGATGCGCAGTGCGGCGAGTCGAGCTTGAGGCGGAGGAGGAGGGCGATGGCGACTGACGAGGAGTCGCGCGAACGAGCTGCCGACTGGACGAGGACCGAGTGCAGCTGCTAGCGCACATCCCTGGTGGCACAGCAGCACTGCTCGTGGCGAGGAGAAGGTGGGAGAGCTGCGCCAACGCCGAACCTCATCTTCCTGCTCGGCCCGACCCACTCGCTCGCGTCGCCGCCCGCTCGAGCTGGAGCGTGCACTGGCTCGCACGCTGGACATCGGTCGCATCGCTATCGCGCGCGCCATTACTCGCCCGCGCCTCGCACACCTCGCCCGCCCGCCCCGACCGTTCACCGCCTCCTTTCCCTCGCCAGCCTTCCGCACGCCCGCCTTCGCCCGCACGACGACCGCCTCGATGAGTGCGCAGGCCAACATGCCCACCCCGGCGACTGTCGCAGGAGCACAAGACGCTGCGCCGCCGACGACCGCGACCCTCGAGCCTCAGCCGCCAACTGGGCACGACAAGCTCGCCGGCTACGACCTGTGGGACAGCATGGGCCGCCCCAAGTACATCGTCGCACCCATGGTCGACCAGTCAGAGCTTGTGCGTCCCTCTCCTCCCGAGCAGAAGCGGCAAGGCGTCCTCGACCTCGCGCGTTGACCTCCTTCTCTCCCCCCTCAACAGGCCTGGCGGATCCTGTCGAGGATGTACGGCGCCAACCTGTGCTACACGCCCATGTTCCACGCCGCCCTGTTCGCGACGCAGCCCAAGTACCAGCCCGAGATGTTCGACCTGTCGCCCGACTCGCTCGAGGGCGTCGCGCCGTACGACCGCCCGCTCGTCGTCCAGTTCTGCGCCAACGACAAGGACCAGTGGCTCGCCGCCGCCAAGAAGGTCGAGGGCCGGTGCGACGCTGTCGACCTCAACCTCGGCTGCCCGCAGGGCATCGCCAAGCGCGGTCGGTACGGCGCCTTCCTCATGGAAGAGTGGGACCTGATCCGCTCGATGAGTGCGTCCGCGACTCTCTCCTTTCTAAGCTTGGCGTCAACCCTGACCTTCCGCGCCCTCGCACAGTCTCGCACCTGCACCAACACCTCGCGACGCCCGTCATCGCCAAGCTGCGCGTCTTTCCTTCGCTCGATAAGACGCTCCAGTACGCCTCGCACATCTACTCGTCCGGGGCTCAGCTCCTGTGCGTTCACGGTCGCACTCGCGAGGCCAAGGGCCAGCTCGCCGGCTTTGCGTCGTGGCCCAAGATCAAGGCCGTCGTCGACCTCATCTCGCCCAAGGTGCCCGTCCTCGCCAACGGCGGCTGCCCCGGGTCCGAGGAGATCCAGCCGTGCCTCGACGAGACGGGCGCGTACGGCGTCATGAGCGCCGAGGGCAACCTGTACAACCCGATGATGTTCGCCCCGCACAACGCCGCCGCCGGCCGCGAGTACACGGCGCAGCTTCCGGCGACGATGCGCGACGCCCTCGTCGCCGCCGAGGCCGAGATCGACCTGTCGGGCGCAGGATGGGACCGCGACCAGGCCGTGTACGCGCCGGCGACGTTCGTCGCGCAGCAGTACCTCGCCATCGTGCGCACGCTGCCGAGCACGCAGACGGCGACGAGCGCCATCAAGGCGCACCTGTACAAGCTCTTCCGGCCCGTGTGGGCGGCAGGGCGGCACCTCGAGACGCGCGAGAGCCTCGGGCGGTGCGGCGGGAGGAACGGCGACGAGTACGGCGAGAGGGTCGAGTCGTTCCAGGTCTGGGTCGACAAGTTCCGCGAGCTCCTCAGGGTGCGTCCAAACTCTCTCTCTTCCTGTTCCTCTCGACGAAACTGACACCCGAGCCCTTATGCAGGCCGACTTTGCCGACGGGCTCGTCCCTCGCGACTCGAACCGCCCGCTCACGCACGCCGAGGTCCAGTCGCTCTTTGACGGCGTCATCCCCTACACGCATTGTCAGCCGTACCTGCGCGTCAGCAAACCCGCTGAGCCTGTCGAGGAGGCCAAGCTGCGGGCGGCCGACGGCGAGGCCAAGCGCAAGCGCGAGGTCGAGGAGGCCACGGTGACGGGTCCGTCCCTCTCGCTCGTTCCTCCTGCTCTCCAGCATTCGTGAAGTCTCGACTGACGGTGGATGTTGCGCACGCAGATCCTGATGCACCACCTGCTCAACGCGCTCGTCCCTCCCCTCCCTCGCCCAACGCCATTTCCTCCCTCTCGTCCTCCACACCCGTCGTCGCGCCCGACCCCGTCGCCGACCCTACCGCCCCTCTTCCTTCTGCCGCACCCTCGACCGTCGCCTGCGCCCACGCCGAGCCGCACCCGAGCGCGTGCACCAACGCCGCCGCCGCCAAGTGCTCGAACGGCGCGTGCAAGGCGTGCTGCGCCTCTCTGCGCGCCTCGACCTCGACCTCGTCGCCCGCCACTGGTCCCGCACCTGTCACCAACCGCGCTCACGCGTGCGAGTTCCACCAGGCCAAGGAGGACAAGGCGCGCGAGGCCGACGAGCGGCGCAACCAGGCCAAGCGGGCGCGGCGCGAGGCCGGGGCGCAGAAGGCCAAGGCGAACGAGGAGGCGATCAAGAAGGAGCGCAACGAGCGCAAGAAGGAGCGCGACGAGCAGAGGGCGCGAGAGCGCGAGGAGAGGGCCAAGGCGGCGGCAGCGGCCAGCGAGGGGCAGGCGTCGGCGCCGGCGCACGAGCTCGAGCAGCAGGTGTAGAGGGACATAGACACGCATCTCTCATGTTGTATCTCTCTCTCTCAGACACTTGCTCGCGACGTTCCGTGACGGCGAGAGCGCAAAGTTGCAACAGAGGAGGGACGGAAAGACTGCGAAAGACGGACCGAGAGCTACAACAAGAGAAGGGGTGAACGACGGGAGCAGCTACCGCAACTTGTGCCACAAGATGAGGGTACTGTGCACGAGGGAGGACAGGGCAGGGTGAGCTTGCGGCCCCAGGGCCAGAGACGGGCGAGGGAGAGGAGACGCACATGAGGCCTGCGAGGGCGACGACGAACAGGGCGATGACGATTCGCTGTCGGTTGGCGCTGCATAAAGAGACGGGGTGAGCTTGGGGAAAAGACGGAGCCGCAGAGAGAAAGAGCAAGACGCACAGGCGAATCATCTTGCCGATCGTGCCCCTCGCGCGGTCGATGCTGCCGTCGGCCTCGTCGAGCTGCTCGTTGGCGTGCACGAGCTGCATTCTCTGGCCGACCAAGCTGCTGAGGACGCCCTGGCCGATCTCCTCGTTTTCGGCCGCGAGGCGGTGGGCGTTGTCGAGCCGGCCGGACGAGGTCGACAGGGTCTGGGTCGACTGGAGGAGGCGAGCGCGCTGTGCGGCCGAGTGCGACAGGGACGGGTCGTCGCCGTCGTCGTCGTCGTCGTCCGAGGCGCCGATCTGGTACGCCGAGTGGGCCGGGCCGGACGAGAGGAGGAGGTCGCGGTCCGAAACGGCCGACAGGGACGAGTGCTTGGCCTTGAGGCCCTTGACCTCGTGCTTGTAGGCGCGGACCTGGGTCATGAGCTTGGCCTTGCCCTTGCCCTCGAGCTCGAGTTGGTCGACCTGGGCAGAGACGGCGGGCGAGGGTGAGTTGCTGCGTGGAGCTGGCGAGGGGCAGAGGAGGGAGGGGGAGGGACGCACAATCTCGTCGACCTCGTCGAGTTCCATGTTGACGCGGCGCAAGGCCGCTTTGCGCTCTTCTGTGGGGACACAGGAGGGTCAGCTCGCGGGCGCGAGAGGAGGGGTGAGACGACGAGACGCACCGCCTCGGAGCTGGGGGATGTCGGCGTCGAGTTTGCGTTGTAGGGCGGTGCGGAGCTGGAGGTACTCTGCCTGGTACGAGCTGAAGGGGTCGGCCATGGCTGGCGGTGGCTCTGAGGGCGAGTGGTCGAGGGGAGAGCGGCCATCGACTCGGCGTCATCTTGCCCCCGGAAGCGATCCCTCGTTCTCTCCCACCTCTCGCCCAGCGCACCTGCTGCTACCTGGACACTGCTCAGACAGCTCTAAGCCACCGCCTACTCAACCGCACGCGCCGACCCGACCCGTCCTCGCCCCCTCGACCCTCTCGAACCTTCACCGAACGCGACTCCCGCCATGCCTCGCTCGTCCCCTCAGAAGTTTGGCTTCGTCGGCCTCGTGCGTCCCACTTTCTCGATCCACCTCTGCCGTCAGGACGAGGCGTGCGGCCCCAGAGCGCCGAGTGGACGAGGTGGGGCAGCACCGGCGGCGAGGGAGCGGCTTCCATGGCGGTCGACGACTGGCGGCGGCGCTTACGGTGGTTGAGACGAGCGCATTGGACGGTCTGGTAGAAGACGAGAGGAAGCAGGACTCCTCGCTGACCCAGCCTCGCCGTCGCAGGGCAACATGGGCCTCCCGATGGCGCACAACCTCGAGAAGTTCCTCGCCTCCGAGGGCCTGCCGCCCCTCACCCTGTGGAACCGCTCTCCGTCCAAGCTCCCGCCGGCGTCCAAGACGATCGCGCACGCCGACTCGCTCAAGGCGCTCGCCAAGGACTGCGACGTCGTCCTCACCAGCCTCGCCCACGACGAGGCGGCACGCGAGGTGTACAAGGACCTGTTCGAGGGCGCGAGGGAGAGCGACGGCACCATCTTTGTCGACACGTCGACCCTGTACCCGACGACCTGCGGTGAGTCCTCCTCTCTTACTGCCCCCTCTTGCCTCTTCCCTCCCCGCCCAGGACTGACCCTTGACATCCTGCAGGTGAGCTCGAGCGCGAGGCTTCCAAGATCGCCCGCACGGCGTACCTCTGCTCGCCCGTCTTTGGCCCGTGCGTCTCCTCTCCTCCTCCTTCCCCTCGCACCCGATCCTGACTTACGCCCGTCCTCCCTCCTTGCCGCACAGACCTCCTCTTGCCAAGGGTCCGTCGCCACCCTCTCTTCTGCGCATGTGACCGCACTGACCACCTTCTGGACCCGGTCGCAGACGCCAAGCTCATCTTCGTCCTCTCGGGCGACACGTTCGCCAAGCGCCACGTCGAAAAGTTCCTCGTCCCGTCGATGGGTCGCCGCCTGATCGACGTCGGCAACAATGTCGAGCGTGCGGCCGCCTTCAAGCTGTGCGGCAACGGCATGATCGCGTCCATCATCGAGCTCCTCGCCGAGCAGTACACGCTCGCCGACCAGACCGGCGTCGGCGCCGACCTCCTGTTCGAGTTTGTCCGCGAATTCCTCCCGGCCCCGTCGTTCCTCGGGTACTCGAAGAAGATCCTCGAAAACGACTTTGAGGGGCGCACGGGTTTCCTCGTCTCGGGCGGGCTTAAGGACGTCACCCACGTGCGTCCACCTCTTCCTCCTCACCTTCTGCAGCATACGCCCAGAGCTCACTCTCCCTGTTCGACAGGTCCGCAACCTCGCTCAGTCGGTCGGCGCGACCCTGCCCGCTCTCGATGCCGTGCGTCCCCTTCCCTCGCGTTCCTCTCTCCCCACCCTCCTCATCTTTTCCTCGACCTCTTCCCTTCCACTCTCTTCCCCCCAGCCTCTTCCTTCTCCTACCTGCGACCTCTGAGCAGCCACTGACCTCCTTGCTCGACTCGCAGGCTCATCGCCGTACGCCCACCCTCCCTCGAGCCCTCGTTCAGCCGCGCCTTGCACTGACCTCTTCGCCTCTGCCTTCCTCGCTCCTCGTCCTCCTCCCGCCTTTGCCCCTCGCCATCCTCCACTGCGCCTCACAGACCTCGTCACGGCGCTCGCACACGGCGGCTCGGGCCTTGACTGGTCGGCGATGGTGGCCGGTCCTCGCCTTGCGGCGGGCCTGCAGCCGTTCACGGGTCGCAAGGACCACCCGCGCGACACGGGCTTTGGCGCTCGCACTGACGAGGAGTCCGGCAAGGGCGGCCTCGAGCCAGAGAGCGTCGGCGGCATCAAGGAGGTGCGCACGAGCCTTTTTCCTCTCGCCTTGAGGGACCCGACCCGGATCGGCGGCGACTGACCCTCTCTCTCCCTCTCGTTTCTCGCGCTCGCAGGTGCAGAACTTTTGAGTAGCTCGACGCGTGTCACTGTGCAAAGGAATTGTTCAAGGTTCGAGCGCAGAGAGAGTCGCGGGTTGCCGTCGCCCCCACAGTCGGACCTTGGCTCGCCGGTGCCGCGTTCGTCGCTCCCTCACCTCCTCCTCCTCCTCGCTACACTCGAAGAGCGACTACAGCCACGCCATGCTGCGCTCGACTCTCGCCCGCTGCCCACGCGGCATCACCACACCTCGGCCACACCGCGCGCCCCTCGCGGCCGCACACTCCTCCCTCTCGTCCCTCGCCCGTCGCCCTGCAACCCAGCCCGCACACCCGCACGCCTTCCCCGTCCTCACCTCGCTCGTCGACCCCAACTCGGCCACGTTCGAGGAGCGCGCCGGCCAGATGAAGGAGCGCGAGGACGAGCTGCGGGCCATGTGGGGCAAGGTCGCCCTCGGCGGAGGAGAGCGCGCGAGGGACAAGGCCAAGAAGGCCGGCAAGCTCCTCGTACGCGAGCGGTGCGTCTCTTGTCCCCAATCCTATCCTCGGAACAGCACTGACGGCCGCCCTTGCACGTCCGCAGCATCGACAAGCTCCTCGACCCGTTCTCGCCGTTCCTCGAGCTGTCGGCGCTCGCGGCCGAGGGCATGTACGGCGGCAAGGTCCCAGGAGCGGCAATGGTCACCGGCATCGGCAGGGTCAACGGGTGCGTCCCTTCTCTCCCTCTCTACCGAGCCGCACGAGCTGACGACCCGATCCCGCAGCGTCGAGTGCATGATTGTCGCCAACGACGTGCGTCTGCGTCCTCTACGGTCCCGCAGAAGGATCCCTAACTGACACTCTCGCGAGCAGGCAACCGTCAAGGGCGGCTCGTACCACCCGATCACGGTCAAGAAGCACCTTCGCGCGCAGGAAATCGCCGCGCAGAACCGCCTGCCCTGCATCTACCTCGGTGCGTCCTCCTCTCCCACTCGAGTCTCATAGTCCATGCTTGACATCGACCCTCACGCAGTCGAGTCGGGCGGTGCCGCTTTGCCGCATCAACGCGACGTGTTCCCGGACCGCGAGCACTTCGGCCGCATCTTCTACAACATGGCGCGCATGAGCGCAGACGGCATTCCGTGCGTCCTCCTCTCTCCCTTTCGTCTCGCCGGCTGCACCTCGAGGTGCCCTGGCTGACTCGGTCCTCCCTCGCGCAGGCAACTCGCCGTCGTTCACGGCATCTCGGTCGCTGGTGGAGCGTGTGTCCCTCTCTCCCTTTGCCTCGTCCCTTGAGGCAGTACTGACGTCCACCTGTACCACGTGTGCGCAGCTACGTGCCGGCCATGGCAGACGGTGCGTCGGCCCGAGTCTCCTTCCCCGACCTTCTCGTCATCCCTCTGTCCATGTCGAGGCGCCGGGTGGACGCCTTCGACTGACGCATCTATTCACGTCCACAGAGAACATCATCGTCGCCAACCAGGGCTCGATCTTTCTCGCCGGGCCGCCGCTCGTCAAGGCCGCCCTCGGCGAGGAGGTCGACTCCGAGACGCTCGGCGGCGGCGCCATGCACGCTCGTGAGAGCGGCGTCGTCGACCACCTCGCGATCAGCGACGAGCACGCGCTCGCTCTTGCACGTCAAGCCGTCGGCGGCTTCGCGTCGGCCGGGACGGGCGGCGGCCATTCTGCGCCCGCGAGCGAGATGGGCTCGAGCGCGCCGGCCGACGAGCCGCTGTACGACCCGCACGAGCTCGGCGGCGTAACGGGCACCAACCTCAAGAAGAGCTGGGACATGCGCGAGGTGATTGCGCGCACGGTCGACGGCAGCAGGTTTGCCGAGTGGAAGCGCGAGTGGGGCGAGACGGTCGTCACGGGCTTCGGTGCGTCCCTTCTCACCGCCTGCCCCTCGCCTGACCTCGCGGATGTTCTCTGACATTCTCCTTGCCCCGCAGCCCACGTCCATGGTCACCAAGTCGGCATCGTGCGTCCCGGCGTCCCTCCCTCTCGAGCCCTTTCCTCCTCCTCCGAACTGACCCTCTCCCCTCTCCCCTTCTCTTGACACAGATCGCCAACAACGGCGTCCTCGTGTCCAACTCGGCGCTCAAGGCGACCCAGTTCATCCAGCTGTGCGAGCAGCGCGGCGTCCCGCTCGTGTTCCTCGTCAACATCACGGGCTTCATGGTCGGCACGGCGGCCGAAAAGGGCGTGCGTCCCGCGCTCGCTCCCTCTCTTTCGTCCTCCCTCACGCAGGACATCCCTGACTCGTCTCGACCGCGCTCGTGCAGGGCATCGCCAAGAACGGCGCCAAGCTCGTGCGGGCCGTCGCGGCGACGTCGTGCCCCAAGATCACGATCAACGTTGGCGGGTCGTACGGCGCCGGCAACTACGGCATGGCTGGGCGAGCGTACCTCCTCGTTTTCTCTGCTCGTCCTACCTTCCCTCGGTCGCGCCGTCACTGACTCGCGCTCGAGCCCGTGCAGGTACTCGCCGCACTTCCTCTTCTCATGGCCCTCGGCGCGCGTCGCCGTCATGGGTCCCGACCAGCTCTCGAGCGTCATGGCGACCGTCTCGACCGACCACGACCAGACGGCGCGGCTGCGCGACCAGATTGAGCACGAGAGCGAGGCCGTGTTCGGCAGTGCGAGGCTGTGCGTCCTCTTTCTCCTCCTCTCTCCCCCTTCCCCTTGTCTCTCGATCCTGACATCCTCGACGCACCGCTCGCAGGTGGGACGACGGCATCATCCTGCCCTCGGACACGCGCACCGTCCTCGGGCTCGCGCTCGGCGTCGTCAACAAGGCGTGGCGGCCTGAGGAGCGCAAGAAGGTGGGCAACTTTGGCGTCTTCCGCATGTAGTGCGAGCGAGAACGACGTTGCAGTGAATTGAGCAGTTCGTCGTCGTCGTCGTCGAGCGTGAGAGCGACAGTCCGAGAAGAAAGCAGGCTCGTGCGCCTTTGAGCGTCACACGTCGGCGCTCAGCTGCTGCCTCGGTCGCGCTCGCTGCTGCTCTCGAGTAATCTCTGCTGCTTGCTGCCTGCTCGCTCGAAGCTTGCGAGCGACGCACTCGACGGCCGACGGCTTGCCTTTCGCCCCCACATTTCCGCTGCCGAGAGCCGGACTCTCGCTCTTTGCTCCCTCACTACACCTCGCACGAGCTTGCGACAGCCACCATGCACCGCGCAATCACTCCTCGCAGCCTGCGAGCGCAACTCGCCCGCGCCCACGCACCTCAGCACCTCGCCCAGCTCCGTCCGCTCAGCTCGTCGTCGCTCGACTCGCGCCGCGTCAAGGTCGTCGAGGTCGGCCCGCGCGACGGCCTGCAGAACGAGAAGGCCGTCATCTCGACCGATGTCAAGGTCGAGCTCATCGAGCGGCTCGTCAAGGGCGGGCTGAGGTGTGTCGAGTCGGGGAGCTTCGTGAGCCCAAAGTGGGTGAGTCCGCGCACGTTTCCCTGGACTCTTGCTGGGCGAGCGTAGCTCTCCTGCAGCATAACGCGCAGGGAAACACGATTGACTTGGCTCCCCTCTGCTCGCAGGTCCCGCAAATGGCGTCGACCGCCGACGTCCTCCAATCGTCCCGCCTTTCCGCCCTGCGCTCGACGCACAAGGACCTTTCCCTCCCGGTGCTCGTGCCCAACATCAAGGGCCTCGACTCGCTCCTCGCCCTGCCGCCCAACCTCACCGACGAGATCGCCGTCTTCGTCTCGGCGTCCGAGGGCTTCTCGCGCGCCAACCTCAACTGCTCGGTCGCCGAGTCGCTCTCGCGCCTCGAGCCCGTCTTCCGCACCGCACGCGACCGAGGGCTCAAGGTGCGCGGGTACGTGAGCGTCGTGCTCGGGTGCCCGTTCGACGGCCGGGTCGAGCCGCAGCAGGTCGCACACGTGGCCAAGGCGCTGCGCGACCTCGGCGCGTACGAGGTCAGCCTCGGCGACACGATCGGCGTCGGCGTGCCGAGAGGGTGGGACGAGGTCGTCGGAGCGTGTGAGCAGCAGGGTGTGCCCGCTCGACAACTCGCCGTGCGTCCCCTCCTCCTCCTTTCTCTCTCTCGAGATTTCGTACGAGACCTGGCGTGATTCTCGTTAACAGGCACACTGCCACGACACGTACGGCACGGCGCTCGCCTCGATCTTGCACTGCGTCTCGCAGCTCGGCATCCGCACGGTCGACAGCTCGATTGCGGCGCTCGGCGGCTGCCCGTACTCGCCCGGCGCGACGGGCAACGTCGCGACCGAGGACGTCCTGTACGCCCTCAGCGCGAGCGAGATCCCGACGACGGTCTTGTCGGATCCAGACGTCGCGGCGGGCGAGAAGTGGGGCGTGCTCGGCGGCGCAGGGTGGGGGGACGGAGCGCGCTCGAGGGCGTTCGACGAGCTGTGTCAGGTCGGCGAGTGGATTAGCGCCGAGCTCGGGAGGGAGAACGGGAGCAGGGTCGGCAAGGCGATGAAGGGCAGGAGGGAGCGCGACGCGGCCAAGCGGGAGAAGCAGAAGGCCAAGCTGTAGAGGGTCCGAGAGCGAGTCGAGCTGCAACTCGCGTGACTCTCACATTCTCTCTCATTCTCGTCGGCGCGTCCAAAGTCGAGAGAGTACCAGTCCTCGTTACTCGACGTCGTCGCGCTGCTCGTCAAAGTCGGGCCGGACCCAGTCGCCGCTCTTGCCGCCGCTCTTGCTCACGACCCTGAGCCCGCGAATCTCCATCTCCTTGCCGCCGGCCGCCTTGCACATGTCCCACACGGTGAGCGCCGCGACGCTGACACCCGTGAGCGCCTCCATCTCGACGCCCGTCGCGCCCTCGCACGTCGCCGTGCAGCGCACCTCGACCTCGCTCGTCGCGCGCAGGGGCCGCAGCTCGACGGCGACGTGCGAGAGCGGGACCGGGTGGCACAGCGGGATGAGGAGCGACGTGTGCTTGGCGCCCATGAGGCCGGCGAGCTGCGCGACGCTCACGACGTCGCCCTTCTTGTTCATGCCGCCGCGCCGAGATCGTCGTCGGGAGCCGTCGCGCTCGACCTGCTCGAGCTCGTGCTCGTGCTCGTCGCCAAAGTCGATGAGGGCGAACGCGGCCGGCGGCACGTACACGCGCCCGACGGCCGTCGCCGAGCGCAGCGTCGACGCCTTGCCGGCGACCGACACCATGGCGGCCTTGCCCGTGCTCGGGTCGATGTGCGTCAGGCGAGGCGACGAGTCGTTGTCGTCAGATGACGAGGAGGAAGAAGTGCGGGGAGATGAGGTCGAGGAGAAGAGGCGGGTCGTGGGAAAGGAAAGGGGGGACGAGGTCGAGGGGCCGAGGAGGTGCAGCGGCGTGCGCGTCCGAGGACGGCGGGTGGGACGCAGGGGCGAGATCGGCAGAGACGCTGCTGTGACGAGAATCCGAGTCAGTACCGTGAAGAAGCGCGAGTAGGGCCGAGCGAGACGCTGTGAAGCAGCGCCGCGCAGCCCAGGTCGACGAGAGAACGAGCGCCGACGCACCTGTTGCCCCGCAAGAGAACGCGCGTGAGCGCCCATGCTCCCGCTCGCTCGAGAGAGGGAAGAGCCCTCGCCGTTCACCCACCAATGCCGACCATCGGGCCCATCTTGCCCTCGCGCTTGATGCCCTCGGGCCCGCCGAGCCCGTCGTGCGCAAACTTCTTGCCGTACACGGCGCCGCCGACGGCGTGCATGAGGGCGGCGTCGGACGTGGGCGAGGCCGGCGACGAGCGCAAGAGCGGGCGAAGCGAGAGGACGGGAGGGCCGAAGAGGCAGACCTGCGAGGGGGCTCGAGCGGCATCAGGCCGGGGTCCAGGGCGACCGAGAGAGGGAGGAGAGGAACACAGAGAGGACGCGAGAGCGCACCTTGACGCGCCCGTCAGCGCCGATCCTCAACCTCGAGCAGCCGCCGCAAAAGTGGTCCGTCATGCTGCTGATGAACCCAAAGCTGCCGGCGTACCCAGGGACGCGATACGCCCTCGTCGTGTCGCTCGCGGCGTCCTGGAGCTTGTCGAGCCCGGATGCCGGGTGGCGCGCCGAGATGAGCGACAGGAGCTCCGACGACGGGACGAGCTTGGCGGTCGACCAGCGGTTGTCTGCGGACGCGGCGAGACCGAGTCAGTCACGAGGACCGTCACGAGAGAGGGCCAAAGAGTGGGACGCACCCTCGAAGGGCATGTACTCGATGAAGCGGACCGTAATGTCGCGCTCGCGAGTCAACTCGACAAAGTCGGGCACCTCGTGGTCGTTGAGGCCGCGAATGACGACGACGTTGACCTTGGTCTTGAGGCCCTTGGGCTTTAGCCCCTGGGCGATGTCGAGCGAGTCCATGACTGCGTCGAACCCGCGGCGGCGCGTCACGAGCTCGTACTTGAACGGGTCGAGCGTGTCGAGCGAGAGGTTGAGGGACGACAGGCCGGCCGAGACGAGGGCGGGGAGCTTGCGCTTGAGGGCGATACCGTTGGACGTCATGCCGAGGGACGACAGCGACAGGCGGCCGAGGCGTTCTGCGAGGACGAGGCGAGGGAGGGAGGTTGAAAAGGTCAGTCGGGAAGCACGGGCGAACGAGGGCGAGGTGACAATGCGAGGAGGGTCGACGCACCGACAATGTCGACAATGTCGCGCCGGATGGTGGGCTCGCCGCCGGTGAGGCGGATCTTACGCACGCCGTGGTCGACAAAGACGCGGGCGACGCGCTCGATCTCGTCGGCGGTCAAGAGGTCGTCCTTTGGGAGGAGCGGGACGCCCTGCTCGGGCATGCAGTAGGTGCAGCGCAGGTTGCACTTTTCGGTGAGGGACAGGCGGAGGTAGTCGTGCTTGCGGCCGAACGAGTCGACGAGGGGAGGGGCGACCTGGACGTGGTCGCGGTTGGCGATGCGGGTGCGGGCCTGTGCGATAGGGATTGTCAGGGGTGACGAGTCGGGCGAGACGAGCGAGAGGTGCTCACTCGAGAGAGGGCAGAGTCCGACGTCGGACGTTGTTGAGGCTCGCGAGCGAGGGCGAGAGGCGAGGGAGCGGCGGCCGAGGTCGACAGGAAGCGCGTCGCTGATCGGGGTGCGGTGCGCAGCCTGGAGAGCATAGCCTTGGTGCAGAAGCAGAGTCCAGCAAGGGGAGAGTGGACGAGAGAAGCGAGGTCGTCGCCTCGTCGTCGTCGTCGTTGCTCGCGTCTGAGTCCGGCTCACCCCGCTCCGACTCGACCGATCACCTCGACCCGCTGCACAAGTGAGCTCTCTCTGGTGCTGCACAGTACCCAGTCCACTACGCACGCCCGCCCCCCTTTGCCGCCGGGCACAGCGACCGTCGCCTCGTCCTCCACCTCCTCCCGCCGATGCCATCATTCACCTCCTCGCTCCACTCGCACCAGACAGACTCGTACAGCACACAGACTGACTCCTGCCTCGCCCACAGCGCCGCTCAACTCGCCACCGCGACCCGCCACCTCTTCTCCACCTCGACCTCCCCCTCGCACCTCGCCCAAGATGATGAAGGTCCGCCCACTCTCTCCCTCTCGCCTTGATCCGCCCGAGCTGATCTCCTATCCACATCGAATACAGATCTGGAGCATGCGCAAGTCGGAGGACGCTGCAGCAAAGTCCAAGCCAAAGACCTCGGCCGCCCTCATCCGCGTTCAGAAGGGTCCGTCCTCTCCCTCCTCTTCTCCCTCCTGCGCCTTGAGCGCTCTTCAGCGCGATTGAGCGTATGGCTGGGGCCGCATGGCGAGCAGCGAGCGAGCGCTCGTCCCTCGGCGACCGCGACTCGTGTGCACCGCCTCTTCGACCTGGCCGTGCAGCTCTCGAGAGCCGTGGGTCGCAAGGGGCCAACATCTAGCCCCCGCCAGAACTCGGGAGCTCACGATAACAAGTGCTTACCCATTGCCCCTCGCCCCTCGTCTGCCCCACCTCGCCACCGCCCACCCTCCTTCCTCGACATGCCGCGACTCGATCTCCTCGTCACGGCAGACTTGACCGAGCTCGACCTCCCGCCGACGATGAAGACCAACTTTCCCAACGCCGAGGACCTCCTCAACTTTGAGCTCACGATCGCGCCGGACGAGGGTCAGTCGGTGCCCGTCCTCGTCCTCTTGCGCCTCGGTCCCTCGACGACTCGTTCTCGTGGCTGTCGCGCTTGCACTGCAGGAGTCGGTACTGACCAGACTATTCTCCCATCAACAGGTATGTACAAGGGCGGCACGTTCAAGTTTACCGTCAACATCAACAACAACTACCCGCACGAGCCGCCCAAAGTCAAGTGTGTCCCCAAGGTGCGCCTCGCTCTCGCTCTTCTCGATTGCCCCATCCGACGACTCGAGCCTGACGCTCTCTTCCCTCGCCTCCTTGCTCCTCGCCCTGCCGACCTCGTCTCGCTCGCCTACCCACCCTCACCCTCGACCACCCGCAGATCTACCACCCGAACCTCGACCTCGAGGGCAACGTGTGCCTCAACATCCTGCGCGAGGACTGGAAGCCCGTCTTGAACCTCAACGCCGTCATGGTCGGCCTCCAGTACCTCTTCCTCGAGCCGAACGCCGACGACCCGCTCAACAAGGGTGCGTCCTCCTCTCTCTCTCTTCTCACTTCCCGTTCGCCCTCCCTGACACTCTTCCTTTCCTCTCCTTCTCCCTCTTTCCCTCGTCCTCTTCGCCCTCGTGCCCCGGCAGACGCCGCCAACGACCTGCGCCAGAACCGCGACCGGTTTGTGCAGAACGTGGCCAAGAGCATGCGCGGCGGCGTCGTCGGCGGCGAGCAGTTTGACGACGTCAGGAAGTGAGCGTCTGAGGACGTCTCGCTCGGTGTGTGGGCGTGCGGGAGGAGCAGGAGGGGGTGAGGGTCGAGGTGCGTCCCTGCTTCTACTTGAACGAGGGCCTGCGTGCGTGGCGCGACACAGCTCGCGCCTCGTGTGCTGCTTGTCTATTTGGTCGGCAGGGACTGACGCTCGTGACGCCCATAGCCCGCCCGCCTCTGCCTCGCCTTCCTCCCCTCGCCCCTTCCATCGTCGCTTTCCTTCCCCTCTCTCCGTCCCCTGTTTGTCACCATTAGCCTTTCGCACCCGCCCCTCTTCTCGCTTTCGTCGGTCGTCGTCTCCTCGCAGCCTAGACGTGCAGTGCTTTGCCCGGCGTCGTCCTGCTCCTCGACCGCGAGAGCGAGAGGATGAGTGCAGAGCCTTTCGAGAGCAAGGCTTCGTGCGTCTCTGAGAGCGAGCACCGGTCATCTTCAGTGCAGCACAAGGACCCACAGAGAGCTCGCAAGCCAGCTGTCGACATTGTGCTCGAGACTTGGGCGGGGAAGCGAACCAGCTCGGGCCTGGCTCGTTGCTCGCCTCGCCTCATCTCCCACCTCGCTCGCACCACCCAGCGGCACAGCGACCAGCCAGCATGCCCGCCGACACCGCCAAGCGGCCCCTGAGCGCGACCGACGCGCACCCGCCGGCCAAGAAGGCCAAGAAGCAGCCGCGCACCTCGGCCGCAGGAGGAGCACCGAGCAGCACCACCCCGCCGCTCGGCAAGTTCCTCGCCAGCAGTGCGTCCCTTGCTCTCACTCTCTCTCTCGGAGGGCGCAGCGCACGAGAGCTGACCTTGCGAGCGTGTGCGCGCAGGCGAGAAGCACGTCCGCGACAAGGCCGTCGCCTCGCTGTCGCGCTTCCTCTCGGCGGGCCGCATCCAGCCGCGTGCGGTCGACGGCGAGCAGGACGGCGAGAGCAAGGAGGACGAGGAGCTACCGGTCGGCGAGCTCAAGTGGGAGGACGAGTCGGCCGTCGACGCGCGGTTGAGGCCCGACGAGATGGACAAGCTGTGGAAGGGTATCTTCTACTGTGCGTCTCTCGCTCTGCCTCTCTGTGTCCCCAACAGACCCAGCTGACCCTTGAACGCCCCCCCCCCCTTGCAGGCTTCTGGATGTCGGACAAGCCCCTCGTGCAGCAGCAGCTCGCCCAGACGCTCGCCGACTTGACGCTCGACGTGCGGCCCAAGAGCCGCTCGCGCAACGGCCGTGTCGAGCGCACGAGGGCCGCCCTGTGCTACCTGCGCGGGTTCTGGCACGCCATCGTCACCGAGTGGTACGGCATGGACCGGCACCGGTGCGTCCCCCTCCCTCTCCTTCCTTCTCCTCGTGGGCGAGCACCCCGACTGACAGCTGTTCGCGTCACAGGCTCGACAAGTTCCTCCTCCTCATCAGGCGCTTCGTCCACGCCGGCTTCCGCCTTCTCGAGCGTGAGGCGTGGGACGAGCACGCGGTCGCCGAGTACAACGAGATCTTGACCGGCCCGGGCGGTCCTCTCCAGTGCGTCTTCTTGTCCCTCTCATGTTCACGCGCCTCCTTTCTGACACCTTGCGCCCCGCCACAGTGTCCAGGACCCCAAGGTGCTCCACACGCTCGCGTACCACCTCGCCGACATCTACAACGACGAGATCGAGCGCACCTGCTCGGCCCACCTCGCGTCCTCCTCCACCTCCGCCTTCGAGTCCGACTCGGACTCTCCTGCCCCTGCGCCCGAGCGCGTCGTCCCGCTCGTCGCCCTCCTCGCCCCGATCTGCCACACGCTCGCCATCTGCCCGACCAAGGTCATGTTTGCGCGCTTCACCGACAACGTCTTCTCGCCGCTCCTCGAGGCGTTCCTACCGCCCAAGCCCGACCCGCGCAAGAACCAGAAGCGCAAGAAGAACGACCCGCCGCCGCCGGCGAGGCAAGAGTACCCGGCCCTGCTCGCGTGCGCCCAGGTCGACGGCGCGACGAGCGACGCCGAGGCCGGCCCGGCGCTCGCGAGGGCCGTCATGAAGGCGTTGTTCGAGGCTGGTGGCGCAGAGGAGACGGACGAGACGAACCGCAGGCGGATCTACGAGTTTGTGAGCCGGTCGGGCGTCGACTTGGAATAGATGCGCGCTCGCACCCTCACTCTTTGCCTGTACCCTCGCTCGCTCTACCTTGTCGAGTCGAGAGCGTTCCCTTGTGCGTGCACGCGACGTCGAGAGCGATGAGAGAGGCGCACGGTCCTCGTTGCCGTCGGCGACGCCGCGGGGCCGGCGGTGCGGCGAGCTCGCTCGAGCTCTCCTCCTCTCGCACCTCGCGCTCACAAGCTTTCGGCGCAGTCGCCCCCCGATGCGGTTCGGTCGCCTCGCATGGCTTGCTAGCTCGCCTCGTGCCTCGGTCGACCTCCCTCGCGCGGCTCCCGTCGAGCGAGGCGCACGCGGCATCGTCATGCTCCGGAGCGGGGACGACAAAGGGAGGACGAGCTGTGCGGGGACAGGGCTGGCGGTCGCGCCGGATCGGTGGCCAGCTCTAGGTTGGACAAGGACAATGGCATCAGCGGCGCACGGATCAGGGACGAGCAGGGGAACCTTGCTCGCCGCTCCCTTTCTCGCGCGGCCGCTCGAGGACGTTCGCTCGGCTCCCGCCCTCGCTCCCTCCCATTGTCGTCTCGGCTGCAGCTGGTGGGGCAGCAACCTTCTTGTCGGCCCTTTCTCCTCGGCTGCGAGCTCGCACCCCGCAGCTTCTGCTACAAGAGAGGGGGTGCTCGCCGCACCTCTCTCTCCTGCTTCGTCTCATCCTCATCGCCTCGCCTTTTCCCCTGTCTCGCTTCACATCCTTCTCGACGTCCTCGATCATGGTCCTCTTCCGCTCTGCCGTCGCCCCTCTCGCCATCCTCGCCGCCTCGTCGGCGTCGCTGGTCGACGCCCTCCCGTCGCCCGTCCGCCTCTCTGGCGCCGTCCCGTCGGTCGTGAACCCGGACGGCACCGTCAACGAGGCCGCGCTCCAGAGCAACATCGCCAGCACGTTCGCCAAGCTCGAGGCGAGGCAGTACGACGCGCAGGCCGCCGCCGACGTCAAGACGCAGGTCGTCTCGTCGTCGCCCGAGAAGCGCAGGCTCGCCAAGAAGTGCAACACCGGCCCGGCCAAGGTCTCGCTCGACAACACCGTCGGTGGCGGGCAGAACGTGCGTCTCTCGCTCTCTCTCTCTCTCTCGAGCTCTGCCCTCGTCGCCTGACGCTCGAGCCCCTCCTCGCAGGTCGCCATCGCGGGCAGCGTCGGTACGCCGGCTCAGCCCGCCACTTTCACGTTCGACACGGGCTCGTACGACATGATCGTCCAGTCGTCGTCGGCCAACGGCGGGCTCGCTTTCGACCCGTCCAAGTCGACCACTTACTCGTCGGACGGCCAGGTCACGCAGTTCAACTGTGCGTGCCGTCTTTCCCTCCCTCGTCTGGACCTTCCTGACCGTCTCGACCCTCTCGCAGTCGTCTCGGGCTCGTACCGCGGCAAGGTCAGCGCCGACGCCTTCTCGGTCGGCGGTCTCTCGGTCCCGAAGCAGGTCTTTGGTGCGTCCATTTTCCTCGCGACGCCCACGTGAAGCCGACTGTCTCCTGACCCGACCTCTCTACAGGCCTCGTCGAGTCTAAGGGCGACTCGCCTGGCGTCTCGGGCACCCTCGGCCTCGGCTTTGCGCCCCAGAGCAACGTACGTCGCCTGTTCTCCTCTCGCGTCGGCTCCTGCCAGCCTGCCCTTCACTGAACCACGATCTCTCCTGCAGCTTCGTCAGCCCAACTTTATCGACAACCTCATCGCCGCCGGCCAGCTCGCCGAGAACAAGTTCGGCCTGTACATCGCGCCCAAGGGCCAGTCGGGCTCCGAGGTCGTCCTCGGCGGCGAGGACACGAGCCGGTACACGGGCAAGCTGCAGACTCTCGAGAACAAGGCTACGCAGATCGGCTACGTGAGTCCCTCTCGACTGTCCTTCGAGCGTGCGCTCTGCCGAGACTCGAGGGCGCTCACCCGCTCGGACCTTCTCTTTCTTCTCGCAGTGGGGGCTCACGCTCAGCAACATTTGGTTCAACGGCAAGTTCGTCCGCAACAACCTGTCCACTCCCATGACGCTCATCGACTCGGGCGCGGCTACCGTACGTTCAGCTCGTTCGTCGACCCCCCTCGGCGACGCCCGACTGACAGCCTTGCTCCCTTGCAGTCGTACCTCCCTAAGGTCTTGGCCAAGGCTCGTGCGTCTCCCTTTCTATTCTCTCCTCCTGACCGCAGTGTCGAGTACTGACGAGCCGCACGGGCGCACACGCACACAGTGCACGAGAACATCCCGGGCGCGGTCCTCGACCCGAAGTACGCGACGTCGCTCGGGTTCGCCGGCAAGACTTACTCGGTCGACCGTTGGTCGGTGCCCTGCGACGCTGTCGGCACGTTCGGCTTCCAGTTCAACAGCTTCCGCCCGGTCAACACGATGCCCAAGTACGGAATCCCGGCCGAGGACCTCAAGCTCGGCGCGTGGGAGGAGGGCGGCAACATGTGCGCGACGTCGGTCTTTGGCGTCGACATCGAGTTCCTCGGCCAGTCGGCTGGGATTCTCGGCGGTGCGTCGGCCTCCCTCTCTTCCCTCCTCGTCGGCGCAGCCCGAAAGCTCACGACGTCTTCCTCTTCTCGCTTCTCGCAGTTCCTCTCCTGCGCAACACGTACACCGTGTTCAACTACGGCTCGACCGACGCCGCGCCGACTATCTCGTTCGGCAAGCTCGCCTAAGCGCGAGCGCCTTGACCTTCCTCCTCCTACGTCTCTCCCTCCTCCCTCCCTCCCTCCCTCCCGGCGCACCCGTTGCCTCGCAAATCCTTCACTCAGCATCGCAAGTTGTCACTGCCCCCTCGCACTCGCATCGATACCCCCGTCTCGCTCTCTCTTTCTCCCTCGCCTGGCGCCCGCTCGGACCTTTTTCCGCCTCGTGGCTCCTTTGGCAGACCATCTCTTTCGCGCGGTCCGGCATCGTTTGCAATGACTGTATCTCCTCGTCTTGTGCGGGTCTGCGAGCTTGCCCAGGCGTGAGGCGAGAGCGTGAGAGCGGTTTCCCCCACCTCGCTTGCCGCTCGTCGCGAGCTGCGGGCGGTCGGCCTCTCGCTCTCCTCCCTCGCCCTCGTTCCGCCAGCTGTGACCGGCGAGAGCTACACAGCGACTATCAACATGCCCGTCGAGCTACTTGGCTTCCCGCCTGCCTACGTCCTCGGTCCGTCCTCCCCTCCTCTCGTCACGAGGTTGCACCGCCTCTGTCGCCTCACACAGCTGACCTGGGGCTCTCGGGCGCACACAGTTGGAGCATACCGACTCGTCACCGACTCTAGCCTGTACCGCCCCATCTGGCGCCGCTCGGGCAAGGCGCTCCAGCGCGCCCTCCTCCTCGCTCTCCCGCTCGCCGTCGTCTCGCTCCCCGCCACTCGCATCTACGTCCAGTTCATCCTCGCGAGGAGCCCCTTTTCGCCGAGCGACATCCACAACGCCAACTTCCTCGGCGTGTCGCCCGTCCAGTACACGACCTGGATGCTCGTCCTCGGCCAGGCGTCCATGTTCCTCGAGTGGATGCTCAAGCGCGAGTTGCGCAAGAGCCGCGACGAGGTGTACGAGGCGACCGTGCGCAGCAGGGGCAAAGGTGCGCCCGTCTCGCTCTTCCTCCCCTGCCTCTCCTCGACGAAAGCTGACCCCTTGACGGTACGCAGCCCCCGACTTCTGGCAGCCCTACACCGAGGAATGGCTCGTGCCGCCCGTCGAGCGCGCCAAGCGTGCAGGCGAGAAGCAGTCGTTCTACATGCGCCTGTCGAGCCCGCTCATGCGCATCGTCCTCCTCCGAGGTGCGTCCCGCCTTCCCCTTTGCCCTTCCCTTTCCCAGAGGGCAGCTCATCTCAAGCTCCTTCGCCCTCGCAGTTCTTCTCACACCCCTCAGCTTCATTCCCGGCCTCAGCCTCGCCGTCATGAGCGCCATCCGCTCCCTCACGCTCGGCAGGTCCCTGCACCGCACTGTGGGTCTCCCCTTCCCCTCCTCGCCTGACTCGACCGCCGACCTAACCCAGCCCTACTCCTCCTCGCAGTACTTTGCGGCCAAGAAGATGACGTGCGTCTCATCAAGCTCTCGCCACCGTGCCGCAAGGCCTGACCCGTCTCGACGCCCACAGGCCGCTCCAGGTCGAGCTCTTCGTCACCGAGCGCGAGATCGGCTACCGCAGTGCGTCCGGCCTCTTCTCAATCCTCCGAGGCAGAGCACGAGACTGAGATCTCGGCCCCGCAGTGTTTGGCTTCGTCGCGTCCCTCATGGAGCGGATCCCTCTCGTCGGCCTCGTGTTCAGCATCTCGAACCGCATCGGCGCGGCCATGTGGGCTCACGACGTGCGTCCCCTTTCCTCTCGCATCAGTCTCTCTCTCTCTCTGGACGACGACGCTCACGTCTCTCGCCGTCCGCAGCTCGAAAAGCGCCAGCACGCCTTCTCGTCGGGCGCTCTCAAGCCGACCAAGGTCTACGCGTCCAAGACGGCCGCCCTCGCCGCTCAGCAGCGTGCGGCCGACATTCCGGAGGAGGTCATGCGCGGGCCGGGCGGCTTTCCTCTCGCCAAAGGGCCGATCCGGATCGAGAAGGACGGGGCAGAGGTGGGCCTGCCGGCAGTAGGACCGCCGGCGCTGCCGCCGAGGAAATGAGGAGCGCGAACGAGGAACTGCAACGATGGTTCTACAGACATGACACAGAGAAAGAGAGCTAGTCCGAGGGAGAGTATACAGATTAAGGGCGACCCAACCGAGAGAGAAGTTCTGCCTCGCGCACCGCTGACCCGGCTCAGATGGGCGGCGTCGCGAGCCCGCTCGTGCGCGCCGCCGTCGACACGTCGCCGAGGTCCTCCTGGACGCCTGCGTCGCCCTGCTTGGCGGCGGCGGGCGTCGGCTCGTCGTTGAGCCAGGTCGACGTGATGTAGTTGCGCAGCCTGCGGGCGACGAGGGCGAGGGGTCAGTGCTCGTCGCTCGAGAGCGGAAGAAGAGAAAGCGAGAGACGCACGAGTCTGGCAGCACGACGACGACGTTCATGCCCTTGACGCCGCCTACCTTGTTCCACCCCTCGTCGCTCTTGAGCCACTCGAGCGCGGCGCCGACGCTCGCGCCGCTCGAGCCGCCGACGAGGAGGCCCTCGGTGCGGATCAGGCGCTTGCACGTCGCGAACGAGAGCGGGTCGGCCGACTTGATCCAGTGCGTCACGGCGTCGTGAGAGAGGACGGCGGGGACCTGTGTGGGGCGGGGCGACGAGCGCGTCAGGGCTCTGTGCGACGGCGAGAGCAGTCTCGAGAGCTGAGAAGGCGACGCACAAAGTCGTAGCCGGTGCCCTCGACCTGCAGGAAAAAGAGAAAGCGTCAGGGTGGCACTCGAGGACGAGGGGGAAAAGAGCGCTCGGACGCACCTTATAGATGGCGCTCTCACCGTCCTTGAGCACGTTGAGGCTCTCAGGCCTCGCGAGAATGCTTCCAACCGGGTCGACGCCGAGGCTGATCAGGTTCGGGTTGGCCTCGCGCAAGCGCTTCGAGAGGCCCGACAGGGTGCCACCGGTGCCAGCGCCGGCGACGATGACGTCGACCGTGCCGCTCGAGGGGCGATTCGGGGTCGCCGGGACGGACGACACGGCTTGAAGGAGCTCGACGGCCGTGTGGTGGTAGTGGGCGTCGGGGTCTGTGCGGAGAGGGAGTCAGTTCGCTACAACTCGAGTCAGCCTGGCGCCGGAGCGCCAGGCAAGGAGGAGCGCTCGAGAGACACACTTGCAGGGTTGTTGTACTGGTCGAGCATGACGGCGCCCGGGGTCGACTCGACGATGCGCTTGGCGAGGCTGATGTGCGACTCGGGCGAGTCCCAGGCCGCCTCGGTCGGGGTGCGGTAGATCTCGGCGCCTGTGGGTACGAGCGTCAGTTCCAGATCGACGTCGCGACGAGAAGGAGAAAAGGGACGCACCGAGGGCCTTGAGCGTGTTGGACTTCTCCTTGCTCATCTTCTCGGGCTGCAGGTCCGGGAGGAGCGTCAGGTCTCGTCGCGACAAGGGCTCGACGAGAGGGCCGGTCGCGTGCGCACCATGGTGATGATGCAACGGTAGCCCTTGACCGCAGCGACGAGAGCCAGGCCGATACCGGTGTTGCCGCTTGCTGCACGAGAAAGGGAGTGAGAGGTCAGGGCGAGCTCTTCGAGGGACGGCGAGAAGAGGAGGAAGCGGGACGCACTGGGCTCGACGAGAACCGAATAGCCTGGGATGAGCCTGCCGTCTTTCTCTGCCTCCTCGACCATGCGAAGCGCGATGCGGTCCTGTGTTCGGAAGGAGGCACGTGAGCACGGCGTCCCTCGAGGTGCGCGACTCGAGTGCAGCTCTGGGCGGCCGGGAACGAGAAAGAGGGGCGCACCTTGACGCTGCCACCGGCCGAGAAGCCCTCGACTTTGGCGAGGAGGTTGCACTCGAGGCCCTCCTCGCGGGCGATGCGGTCGAGGCGGACGAGCGGGGTGTGGCCGATGAGGCTCAAGGCCGAGTCGTGGATCGGGGGCTGGATGGGCGTGTAGCTGCTCATGGTGTGCGTGTGTGGTGCAGGCTAGGCGGTGCGAGGACGAGGTCGAGGGACCGAGTTGGAGGATGGCGCAACGTGAGCTGGGGCTGATGCAACCTGTCCGAGGCGCGAGGTGGGGGCGGCGAGGCGAAGAGCGGCTGTGGCGGGGCTGGCGGGTGTGCAACCTAGTCAGTGCTGTGCTGCGAGTTGACCCAGCAAGCGGACGAGCTCACCTGGGGCGCGTCGAGTGGGTGAGAGCAAGCAGCGAGGACGAGATCGACCCCGCACGCGCTCACGCCCACACGGCACGCCGAACGTCTCTTGCTCGCGCCTCGTGGTCTCCTCCCGATGAAAAGCGAACCAACGCGCACTCCTGAGTCCTCAGCAGGGCCCCCGCTCCGACTGCGCTTCTTCTTCCCTCGCTTCACCTCCTCGCCTTCACGCGCATCTCCCTCTTCCCACTCCGCCGCTCTCTCCCACAGCTTCTTCGCTTCTCCCTCGCGACAAGTCTGCCGCGCCGGCCCGGTCACGCCGCCGACGCTCCCTTGTCCGTCCGTACCTCGGGCACGGCGGACAGTCCGCGGACCCGCAGCTCTTGGCCGCTCCTCGCTCTTCGCATCTCGGGCTCCGCTCTCCCTCAAGCTCTGCTGTATCTCGCTCGTCGACATGCGCCCCAACACGGCTCGACATGAGCGCGAGACGAGCCGCACGGACCGCGCCTCGTGGCCGCTCACGCCCGACGCTCTGCCGTGGCCAACGCCGGGCAACGAGGACGCGATCAACAGCAACCCGCGCCTGTACGGCGCCACTCGTCCGACTCGCACCGCCGGCGACGGCTCCTACGCGAGGGCCGTACCGCACGTCCCGCACGAGCAGGACCCGCTCGCGCACCTGTTCCCCTCGCCCGTCTCGACCGTCCACCTTCCCGACTCGCACTTTGCCTTCACCGACCGCTCGGGCGAGGTCGACAAGCTGTACGATCACCACGCCGACAGCCGCCGCCAGACGCCCAACTGGTCGTACCGCAAAGCTCGCGCGCCCGTCTACTACGACGTCCCGCACGACCTCGAGCTGCACGACGACGGCTCGAGGATGAAGCGCGAGCGCAGCCGCAGCCGCAGCGCGCACGTGCGGCAGGACAGCGGCAACGGCGAGCGGGCGCGCAGCACGTCTCGAGGTCGGCGGTCGAGCACGGCCAAGGACGGCGAGCGCGGCAGGCGCAGCGCGCGCAGCTCGAGCAGCGGCGTCCTACCTCGGGCGCGCTCTCGGTCGGCGTCGACGATGCTTGAGGAGGAGCGGCGCTCGAGGGCGGGACGACGGCCGAGCGCCAACGAGGGGAGGAACGTGCACGGCCTCGAGGAGGACCCGCTTCTCGACGTCGACCGAGCCTTTCGCGAAGAGGCGGGTCCTCGAGGACGACACGATGCGCCGCGCTCTAGTCAGACTCGGTCGTCGTCGGCCTCGGTCTCGCCGTCGACCGCGCATCGGCGAGCGCTGGCGAGCCTGAATGGCGAGGACGACCTCGAGTCCGGGCGCGACCATCCTGCCTCGTCCTCTCGCTCTCGACACCTCGCCAGTTTTGACGGTATCACGTCGCCTCGGCTCGTGCCGAACGACGTGCACGAGCGGCGGCCATTTCGGAGCCGCATCACCGGGCGCGAGTGGAAAGTCGGCGGCGGCGTCCTTCTCGTGCGTCTCTCTTTCCCTTTCTCTTCTCTCGCTCGCCGGCAGCGTCACTGACACTCCTCCCACGGCATGCGCAGGTGATCGTGCTCTGCTCGGTCGGCGGCTGGGCGGCGTGGTTCTTCGGGACCGGGCAGCAGAACAAGGCGTAGCTTTATCGAGCGTCGACGTGCAGCAGTTCGAGACATCCCTTGCACGATGCTGCGAGGCTACTGCCCTGCGCCGAGCTTCACGAGAATGGGAGAGCGAGAGCGAGAGCGGTCGTTGCTCGTGGTCGACCTTCCCAAGTCGCACCTCTCGCTCGCCGCTCGCGAAACGCTCGTGGCTCACCCGCTCGCGACAGATCCACCTCGCGCTTTGAACTAGTTCACGCGCGCTCAAAAGTCCTCTTCGACCGTCGCACGCTGCAAGTGCGAGCGCCTTGTGCCTCGCTTCTCCCGTGATGCACGCCGCCGTATCTTTGCTGGTCGGCCGCTCGCCGTCTCCAGGCTGCTGCGGAGGCTGGCTCGGCACGTGGGCATCTGATCGACGAAGAGGCTGATGCCGGGCTCGGGCTCCTGGACGAACGCCTGAGCGCGCCCCACGGACGGACTTGCCTGCACGGACCTCGGCCTGTGGTCGGGCTCCGCTTCCCTCCCTCGCTCTCTCACTCTCGCCTCTCGCTTGCTCGCTACACACTGCTCGATGTCTCGTCGCGACTCGACGTCGTCGGACGGGCCGACGTGGCAACCTGGCTCGCGCGACTCGCAGCCGCCGTTCGTGTACGACGATCCGCAGCCCATGAGCGACAGCGACCGCGTCGACGGCTTCCACCACGAGCGTCAACCTCGTGCTCTGCATCGCCACACGACGAGCGGCGACCTGCGCACGCGCAGCAGCAGCAGCCGCACGATCCGGCCGGCGGCGAGACGGTCGAGCAAGACGGCGACCCACCTCTCGAACGACGACGGCGACGACGCGGCCCTGTTCGACGGCGACGACGAGCACGACGGCCTCTTCCGCTCCCGGTCCTCGTCCGCCGAGCGCAGCCGATCCCGCAGCCCCGTCGACAGCCACCACTCGTCGGTCGCGTACCGAGACTTTCCCTCGCCGCCGGGCTACAAGCGCGACATGTACACGCCGAGCCCGACGCGCAGCACGCGCAACGTCCGCCGCATCAGCTCGATCGAGGACGAGGAGCGCCAGCGCGAGCAGCACGACGACGGCTCGTGGTTCGCGTCGGACTCGGGCTCGGGCTCGGACGACGAGCGCGCCGGCGCGCCGGGTCGCCCAAGGTCGCTCAGCCCGTTCAAGCGCGAGTCGAGCGAGGACGAGCGGCGCCGCATCGCGGAGCGCCTCGAGGAGCAGAAGAAGCTGCGCGAGGGCCGAGCGCCGACGTCGCCGCACGAGCGCGAGGCCGCCTTCCTCGCCGCCGTCCAGACGCACCAAGCCGAGCGCGACGGCCGGCACACGTCGCCCAGCAACGAGCAGGCGTGGCGTCAAGCGGGCTCGCGGGCCGGGCGGCAGCAGCAGCAGCAGCCTCACGCCGAGCGTCGAGCCGAGCGACGCCCGTCGGACGCCGTCAACCCCTACTTCGGCGTCAAGCACCCGGACTCGCTCGACAGCGTCGGCGAGGACGACGCCGGTGCGCAGAGCGACGGCGCGCCCGAGCGCGAGCGCCGAGCCAAGCGGCTCAACGCGGCGCACCGCGAGCGTCTGCAGCGCGGCTCGAGGATGCACGGCCGGCTGCGCGACAGCGAGTCGCTGTACGACCTCGAGGGCGGGCCGCTCGCCGCGTACTTTAACGGCGATGGCGACAGCGGCGAGGAGGAGCGGCGCGGCGGACGAGACGGAGCAGGGTCGAGCAGGCGCAGCGGCTCGCGCAGGGGCTCGTCGCGCCCGAGGGCCTCGAGCGACACCGAGGAGCACTTTGACGGCATGTCGAAGTCGCTGTCGGGCCGCGCCGAGACGATCCGCGCCAACGTGCGCGCGTACCAGATCCGCAACGCGCGCCTCGGGCCCAAGGACCTCCCGCGCGAGCCCAAGGCGCTCGCGTGGGTCAAGCAGCACGAGTACCTCACCGGCGGGCTCGTTGTCCTCGTGCGTCCCCTCTCGCTAGACTCCCTCCCTGTCCCTCCCTCTCTCTCGCGCTCCTTCCTGCCCGCGCCTTCTCGCCGCGCCGTCACTGACCATCTCGTCCTCGTGCAGGTCCTCGCCGTCCGCGCCGTTGCCGGGTGGGCGATCTGGTGGGCCGCGGTTGGGAGCAAGCAGGGTGCGTACGTCGGCGCGTGAGGGCGAGGGAGGGGGAGGGGGAGGAGGAGGGAGGTCGAGCGGGAGCAGGTTGTTGGCAGGAGCGCGTGCTGTTCACGCTCCCCTGAGCCGAGTAGAGCAAGTGCAACGCTGGCTGCTGCACGTCTGAGCCGGGGAGAGCGAGAGCTCGACAGCGGAGCGATGAGTGAGGTGGGCCGATTCGGCAAGGTTCACGCGGCTGCTTGTGCACTCTGCCTTGTGCACTCGCCCTTGCACCTTGTGCACTACGACCTCGCAGACCTCGAGCTCGGGGCCGCACAACCGCAGCTTCGACCGCCTCAGCTCCTCCTTCCCCTCCCTCCCGCCTCATCACCTCGACCGCCAGCTCGACCTCGACACGGCTACCGCCGCTGCCAGCGACACCTCGCCCTTTCACTCACTCCCGAAACACCGTCACGCCCGTCCCGCCGCGCCTCGACACCCGCCCACCGTCAAACTCTGCTCCCCGCCTCCTCGTCCTCGCACGCCGCCGCCCCAGCTCGCCCTCGCCTCGCCTCAGTACTTTTCGCAGCGTCGTGCAGCCGGTGCAATTCAGATTCAGCGCGGCGCACTCTCGGCTCTCATCGGCGAGGGAGGAGGCGAGGACGCTGCTGCAGAGCCGGGACGGCGAGCGAGGCGCAACTGAGCGAGCTGGCGCATCTTGTGCGCATGCGTCGCTCACGATCTCGAGAGATGGAGAGCGACAGCTTGACGAGAGCTTTCAGCGAGGCTTTGCGCGAGCGGGCCCAGTGAGCGAGCGGCGAGGACCACCACCAGCTTCCCTCGCTCTCTCGAGTCGGCGCAACTCGCTGGGCAGACGCGTGATCACTTGCATTGCATCGACTGTAACCATGCGCACTCCTCGACAGACCGACGAGACTCTCTTGTGAAGACAAAGGTCAGCTCTCCGCCGGCGAGCGATGGACGAGGGGGGAGGAGGGGGAGGAAGGGGGAGGCAGGCGCATGCCGAGCGGAGGCAGGGCCGTGTCGCTGCGAGAGTTGAGGTCGACTGGTCGCTGTGGAGCTGGTGGAAGCCAGATATGAGCTCGTCGAGGCGAGGTGACGAGGAGGCGAGGTGCGCAGGAGGGGCTGGAGGAGCGGCGGCGAGCTGAGACGGTGCTCTGGCGGCCGCGCAGTGCGCAGTGGTCGGTGCTGTACAGCGCAGCGCACAAGGCAGAGCGCACAAAGGCTAAGGCGCAAGGCTCGTTTGAAGCTTGCCGGTTTGGCGCGCCGCAGATGAGCGAGAGAGCAAGAGCGACGCGTCCGAGGTTCGCCCTCCCTCGTCGACAGCCCCTTTGCAGGATGCAGCAGAACGCCTACGTCGTCAACGGTGCGCCTCCCACCCTCTCTCTCGACCCTCCCACCCTGTCCTGAGCGAGAGCCGGCGGCGGCGCGAGCTCCTCGTCCTCCGCCGACTCGCTCATCTCGAGCCGGCTCTCCCACCGCATGGACTGGACCTGACTCTCTGCTGTACCCACAGTCGGACCCGAGCGCACCTCGGGCCGCAAGGCCATCACCCAGAACATCGTCGCCGCAAAGGTCAGCTCGACCCCGACCTCTCATCTCCCTCGTCTCCCTTCGAGGCGACGAGGCTGTGTGCGGTGCGAGTCCGCGCGACTGACTCTCTGTACATCGCAGACTGTCGCCGATGTCGTCCGCACTTGCCTCGGTGCGCCCCCTCTCCCCCCTCCTCTCTTCGTTCGGCTCGACGAGCACCGTTCCTCTCTCTGAGCGCGCGACTGACTTTTGCTATCCTCACAGGTCCCCGAGCCATGCTCAAGATGATCCTCGACCGTGCGTCATGCCCGCCTCTCCAGTCGGACTCGTCGCGACGTCGTCGCCTCGCGTGCCGCCTGTTGAACGCCCGCATGTTGCTCACCCTTTCGTCACATCCCCTCTCTTGCAGCCATGGGCGGCATCCTGTGCGTCCACTTCTCCTCTCGTGGCCCAGACCGACCGTGACCTGACCTCGCCCATCGTTGCAGCCTCACCAACGACGGCAACGCCATCCTGCGCGAGATCGAGGTCGCGCACCCGGCGGCCAAGAGCATGATCGAGCTGTCGAGGACGCAGGACGAGGAGGTCGGCGATGGCACGACGAGCGTCATCATCCTTGGTGAGCTCCTCCTCCCTCCTCCCTCGTCCTCCTCGCCCCACCCCTTCCTGACGCCCTTGCACCGACAGCCGGCGAGATTCTCGCGCAGGCGCTCCCGTACCTCGAGCGCAACATCCACCCGGTCGTCATCATCTCGGCGTTCAAGCGCGCGCTCGAGGAGGCGCTGCGCATCATCGACTCGATCTCGGTCCCGGTCGACCCGAGCAACGAGGACGAGATGCTGCGCCTGATCAAGACGGCCATTGGGACCAAGTTTGTCTCGCGGTGGTCCGACATGATGTGCAAGCTCGCGCTCAAGGCGATCCGCACCGTCGCGCGCGACGAGAACGGCGCCAAGACGGTCGACATCAAGCGGTACGCAAAGGTCGAGAAGGTGCCCGGCGGCGAGCTCGAGGACTCGCGCGTGCTCGACGGCGTCATGGTCAACAAGGACGTGACGCACCCCAAGATGCGCCGCCGCATCGAGAACCCGCGAGTCGTCCTCCTCGACTGCCCGCTCGAGTACAAGAAGGGCGAGAGCCAGACGAGTGCGTCGCCCGCCTTCTCCCTCTCTCTTCCTCTCTCTCTCGCGCCTCACTGACTCGCCGCCTTGCTCTGCAGACATCGAGGTCGCCAAGGAGGCCGACTGGAACCGCCTGCTCGAGATCGAGGAGGAGCAGGTCAAGGCCATGTGCGAGCGCATCATCGAGTTCAAGCCCGACCTCGTCTTTACCGAAAAGGGCGTGTCCGGTGCGTCCCACCTTCTCTCTCTCGCCTTCTCCTGCCCGCCAGCCTCTCGTCCTGACGCCCCTCTCGTCGCAGACCTCGCGCAGCACTACCTCGTCAAGGCCAACATCACGGCGATCCGGCGCGTGCGCAAGAGCGACAACAACCGCATCGCGCGTGCGACGGGCGCGACGATCGTCAACCGGGTCGACGACCTGCGCGAGTCGGACGTCGGGACCCAGTGCGGCCTGTTCCACGTCGACAAGCTCGGCGACGACTACTTCTCGTTCCTCGAGGAGTGCCGCAACCCCAAGGCGTGCACGATTCTGCTCCGTGGACCGTCCAAGGACATCCTGCACGAGGTGGACCGCAACCTGGCCGACGCCATGAGCGTCGCGCGCAACGTCGTGTTTGACCCGCGCCTCGCGCCCGGCGGCGGCGCGACCGAGCTCGCAGTCTCGGTCGGGCTCGCAAAGGCGGCGCGCGCGATCGAGGGCGTCGAGGGGTGGCCGTACCGCGCCGTGAGCGAGGCCATGGAGGTCATCCCGCGCACCTTGATCCAGAACTGCGGCGGCAACGCGATCCGGGTCTTGACAGAGCTCAGGGTGCGCTTCCTCTTTCCCTTTCCCTCGCTCTCTCTCTTGTACGCTCTCGGATCTCCCCTGACCCTCGTCGACGTCGCGCAGGCCAAGCACGCCGCGGGCGAGCACACGTGGGGCGTCGATGGCGAGACGGGCAAGGTCAAGGACCACCGCGAGGGCCTCATGGAGTCGGCGGCTGTCAAGACGCAGACGCTCAAGACGGCCATCGAGAGCGCGTGCCTGCTCCTCCGCGTCGACGAGTGCGTCCCTCGTTCCTCTTCTCTTCCTCCCTTTCCTCCCTCTTCCTCCCCTCGCTCTCTCTCTCTCTCCCACGCTCTCGAGCACGAGCACCTACTGACGAGCTCCCGTCTTTCTCGTGCAGCATCGTGTCGGCCAAGCGTCCGCAGGGCGAGGGCGGTCCGGGCGTGCAGCAGGGCGAGGTCGGCGGCGAGGGGCCCGAGCAGTGAGCGAGTCGATCGGCCGTCTCGACGGCGCAGGAGGAGAACGTAGACGAACACGCCGAGGGCTTCGTCCCTTTGCCGCAGCAGCAACGCAACCACACTTGTACCACGAGCGCTCTCTGTCGCCCAGACCTCGCGAGACTCGAGAGCACGTCCTCGTTCTGCTGCAGCCTCGCTCGCTCTCGCTCTCGTTGTGCAGCAGAGAGAGAGAGTACAACATGGTACGGCGTTGCAGGGCGTGCGGGTTCGGGCTTGCGAGGGGATGCGGACGAGAGGGGGACGAGGGAAAGAGGGGTCGAGAGAGGGTCGGCGAGGCTCAGGCGGCGATGGGCGCTGCGCCCGAGGCTTGCTGCTGCTGCTGGAACTGGCCTTGTAGGTGAACGATCTGCGAGCGAGGACGGCGTGAGCGAGTGAGGACGTCGAGGTCGGCCACGTTCCCTGCCGCTCGACGAGCAGGAGCGGAAAGGAACGAGGAGCGGATCGACCAACTCACCTCCATGCGCTTGCTCTCGACCTTTGTCTCGAGGTCCTTGAGGCTCGCCTCGACCCGGGTGCTGCAGGGACACGCGCGAGGTCAGCGAGTCGAACTCTTGAGCGAGGAAGGAGAAGGGACGCACATCTCGCCGGCGATCCACTCGAGGCGCTTGTCGACGTTGTGGCGGGCCTCGGACTGGTCCTGCTTCATGAGGATGGGGCCGACAAGCTTGAAGACCGAGTTGCTGTCGGTGAGGTTGGCGAGCTCCTGCGGAGGACAGAGGGTGAGCTCTGTGCGGCTGGGAGAGCAAGGATGAAGAGGGCGGTGGGGCGCACCTTTTTGACGCCCTCGTTCTCGGTCTTTTGGGCGTCGAGGCGCTGGCGAGACTCGACAGCGCGAGCGTAGTCTGCGAGGGAGGGGAGGGGGGGAGGGTGAGTGAGCGGTGTCGACAGAGAGGGGTGGGGGGTGGGACGCACCGTTCTCGAGCTTGGTGTAGGTCGAGGTTGCTGCCTGGAGCTTTGCTTCGAGCGAGGCCATGGTGGTCGAAGGTGGACGAGGAGCTGATGAGGACGAGAGGGGGGAGAGGGTCGGCTCGGCGAGAGGGCTGGTTGGTCGCGCAGGCGGGGTTACTAGGGGTTAGTGGTGCTTGTTACGCTGCTAGAGCGAGTGCAGCTGTGCTGGACGACAGGCTGCCCGCCGGCTTGTTGTGCTCTCCACGAGCCGGCCAGCTCTCCCTCTCTCGTTCAACACGCGCCGCTCGTCTTGCCGCCAGCTGAGCCTCGTGCGACCATGTTGCGCAAGCTCACCCGCATCATCTACCCCTCGCCGCCGCCACCCGACGCCGGCCCAGGTCCCGCCGACCCTGTCCCGCCCTCGACCTCGCCCTCTCCCCCGCCGCCTTCAGCCAACGCCCGCCGACTCGCCACCGACATGGACACCGGCTCGGCCAACAGCGATACCGACGCTCCCGACCCCGGTCCACCCGCCTCGTCCAGCCGTCGCCGACCCGCTTCCCCCACCTCAACGTCCTCGACCCGCCCCACCCGCACCTCCAACAAGCGCAAGGCCGACGACGCCCGCAACTCGACCACGTACGGCACCGCCAACAAGCGCGCCAGGGCACGCGCCGACAAGGACGACCGCGACCAGTCGCCCGACGAGCACGACTCGCTCGGCCACCCAGACGGCCCAATGACCAAGGCCGTCGCTCGCCGCTTCGACGACCAAGGGTCTGGCGCCGGCAACTACAAGCGCATGACCGGTGCGCCCGCTTTTCTCCCGGCCCTCCCCCTCCCGTCGTCGACGAACCTCGCACTGACCTCCCTCCAGGTCCCGCCTTTGACGCGCCCATCTACCTCGGCGACGTCGTCGAGATGCGCTCGGACGGCTCGTCCAACGGCGGCTGGTACGGCTGCGTCGAGCTCATCCGCGCCCTCAAGGAGAGTGTCACCAAGATCCGCGACCGCGACCCGTCAAAGGCCGGCGACCTCCCGCAGTACCTCAGCACCGAGGTCGGCCTCCAGCTGTCCTGGTTCTTCTCCAAGACGGACCTCGAGGCGCTCGACGGCGAGGCCGGCAAGGCGTGCAAGGGCGCGACCGTCAACCTCGGGCCCAACGAGCGCGTCAAGGGCGACTGCCTCGACTGGAACTGGCAGTCGATGATCGTGTCCAAGAGTGCGTCCCCTGCCCTCCTCTTCCGCCCCCATCTCGCCGTCCAAGACGCACGTGACTGACCTACGCGTTCGCCCTGCCGCCCTGCAGAGCCTGAGATGTGCGCCCCCCTCATCCTGCTTCGGCGTCGAGCAGTGCCTGACCTCGAGTCTTGTTCCCTCTTCCTGCAGCATGTACGTCTTCAACGACGCGTACCCTCGACGCGCCCCGCTCAAGTACACCATCTCGTGGCACCCGCTCGCGCATTACTCGACGCGCGACCTGCGCAAAGTCGCGCCCTCGATCACCCATTTTTCCGCCCTCGAGACGCCGTCGCGCTTCCCCGACGACCTGCCGCCGCTCCCGGACTACTACTTCGGGACCGGGTACCCGGGCTACGTGCCGCCCGAGGCCGCCTGGTCGTCGACGGCCGTGCACGCGGGCAAGGGTGAGCCGCTCGGGCGCGAGGGCGACGGCGTGCGGCAGATCCCGTACGTGCGCGTCGGGTTCTCGTTCCTGCGGCACAAGGTCCAGGAGGACGAGGCGATGGCCTCGACGGCGGCGGGCAAGAAGGCCAAGGCGCTCGGCCGGCCAAGGCAGGTCAACCAGCTCGTGCGTCCCTCTCTCTCTGCCTCTCGACTCGACTCGCGTTCTCGCGCAATGCTCTCGAGCGCCTCGACTCACCTGACGCCGTTTCTGCTCCTCCCTCGCAGAATTTCGTCAGCCACAGCTTCGACAACGTGCCGTACAACCCGCGCAAGGTTCAGCGCTACTCGCGCACCGCGCTCGCGTGGTACAACGTCGACGACCTGTACGCGCACGGGTGCTTGCGGTGGAAGTACGCCTCGAGCCCGACCGAGCCGGCTCCAGCTCCAGCTCCAGCTCCACCACCCGCCCCGTCGACGCCGAAAGCCGCCCCGTACCCGCCCGTCACGCCTCAGCGCCGTCGCCCCGTCCCGGCCGCCTTCACGATCGAGATCCCGCCGCCTCGCACGCCGTCGTCGCGCATGCCGCGCAGCCGAGCCGCCGCCGCCGTCGCCTCGAGCTCGTGGTCCTCGTCGCCTGCTCCTTCTCGCGACAACGCCCGATACCCTCCTCCCGACCCTCCTTTGCCTGCGCCCGACCACTACGCCGACGCCGCCCTCTTTGACGGCCCCGACACGCCGTACGTCGCGCTGCACAAGCTCGCGCAGACCAACATCATGCGCGGTGGGACGTACGGCCTGACCGGCAACGCCTACCTCGTCGACTGCGCCACGGTGCTCGCGAACGAGCTGCGCCGCACGGGCGACATGGAGCAGACGGCCGAGGAGCGCGACGAGCTGTGGGCCAAGGCGCTCGAGCTGCTCGAGAGCGCCGACGAGTGGGACGCCGAGGTGCAGCGGCGGGTCAGGGGTGACGGCGGCGCGGCGACGCTCGCGCCCGAGTGGAGGAGCGACGGCAACGAGCGGCTGAGGCGGGTGCCCGGGCCGGACGACGGCGAGGAGGGCGAGTGGGTGTGGTCGTGCCCGATCTCGGGCAGGGAGATCTGAGCCGACGGGGTCAGGGAGCAGGTTCTGTCGCAGTGCATGGGGCTGTACGAGATTGGGCGGTCTTGAGAACGCGCAGCTGTTTCGTGCGAGAGCGTGCGAGTCGTCGCGAGAGTCGCCGGCGAGAGGTCGTAGCGCAGTTTCGCCTCGTCTCTTGCTCACCGAGTGGGTCGCAACGCGGTGAACGTGTGCGCACAGCTCTTGTGACCTCGGCGAGCGCGCACTCGAGCCAGCCGAAAGCTTGACGAGAGCTCTGTCGTCCTCGTCGACCTCGCCGCCTGATGGGATTCGCTCTCGCTCTCTCACCGCTGTGAGCCGGCACCTGCTGCTGCCCCGAGGCGTCGATCAACCTTGGCATCGTCTGTGCCGCCCCTGCTGCGCACACCGCCTCGCCAGCGCGACCTCGCAACCTCGCCCGACTCTGGCGTGATCTCGCCTCGTCCGCCTCGTCCTTCTCGGCCGCCTGTCCTCCGCCGCGATGGTGCGATCCGCCGTCTGACCTTCGCAAGGCTCGGCGCAACTGCCCGACCACTCGCTGCGCAGTCCTCGGCGAGGTGAGCCCCAGCTTCCCCTCCTCCCCTCCTTGGACCCTCCCTCGCACCGCGCCCACGAGCCTGACATGACGATCGCTCGGCCACAGTACCCGCCGTTCAAGCACGTCCAGCCGACCAAGGAGAACCGTGCGTCCTCGCCTTCCACTCCCCTCCCCGACTGGCCTCTCGACCGGACCTCCTCAAGCTCTGCCACCAGTAGAGCTGACCGCCTCTCTTGCGCCGACAGTCCCCTTTGTCGAGCTCGGCGTCGTTGACCTGTCCAAGTACCGCGACGGCCCTGAGGGTCTCGCCGCTCGTCAAGCTCTCGCCGCCGACCTCGAGGAGGCCATCACGACCCAAGGCTTCTTCTTCCTCGAGGGTCACGGGTTCCCGCACGACAAGCTCGAGTACCTCCAGGCCGTGTCGCAGGCCATCCTCGACCTCCCGCTCGACGAGAAGGCCAAGTTCCCCGCCGGCGCGGCCCAGTCGGACGGCGACTCGTTCGACGACAAGACCAAGCTCGGCGCCGAGCGCGGCAGCGGGTTCAAGCCGCGAGGGTACTGGAGCATGCAGGCCGGCGTGCGCGACCAGATCGAGCACTTCAACTACGCGAGCCTCGCCTTCCTCTGCCCTCTTCCTCCCCCGTTCGTTCCGCCCTCGAGCCTGTGCCTCACTGGCTCGTCGCGATCTTCCCTGACCACCTCTCGCCGACAGCGCAACCTCCTTCACCCGACCTTGCGCAACGAGCAGGCCTACCCCGACCTCGTGCGGCGGCACCTCCCCGAGACGACCGAGTACTTCTCGTACCTGCATCTCGTCGTCGTCCGCAAGCTGTCGTCCCTGTTCGACATCATCCTCGAGCTGCCCGAGGGCACGATCTGGTCCCTGTTCGATGTCACCGAGGACAAGCCCGAGGTGTCGGGCGGCGGTTTCGGGCGCGCCATGCTTTACCACGGCATGAGCGCCGACGACGAGGCGAAGACCAAGGGCGACTGGCTGCGCGGTCACAGCGACGCGTCGTCGCTCACCTTCATCACGCCGCAGCCCATGGCGAGCCTCCAGTTCCGCGACTATCACGACGGCCAGTGGAAGTTTGTCGGGTACCGCCCAAACGCCCTCGTCGTCAACCTCGGCGACCGCTTCGAGGTGCGCCCACCTCTCTCTCTCTCTCTCTTGATTCTCTACCCTGTCGAAGTAGCCCTGACCCCTCGCCCTCGTCGTCTCGCAGTTCCTCACCGGCTCGTTCGCCAAGTCGACGATCCACCGAGTCGTCGGTCCTCCCGCCGACCAGCGAGGCCACCGCCGCCTCGGCCTGAGTGCGTCTCTCTTTCTCTCGTCGTCCCCCCCCCCCCCCCCCCCCCCCCTCTCTCTCTCTGTGCGCGCAGCAGCTAGAGATACTGACACCCTCGTCTTTCCCCGACACAGTCTACTTTTGCGACTTCAAGCCGTCGGTCCTGATCGACCCCTTGACGCTCTCGTCGCCCAAGCTGGACCGCCTCGGGTTCACCAAGCCCGCCGAATGGGAGCGCATCACGGGCGAGCAGTGGGACGACGTCAAGGGCAAGTCGTTCGGCAAGAGCAAGATCAACGACCGCGACGGCGACGAGCCCAACGAGCTGCTCATCTATGGTCGCCTCGCCGAGCGGTGGCACCAGCTCGGTAAGTGAGCGCGCGGCCCAACGAGCTGCTCGTCTATGGCCGCCTCGCCGAGAGGTGGAAACAGCTCGGAGCGGGAGCGCGCGGCCCTCTTCCTCTCTCGCCCTTTCCCCTTCAGTAGCTGGCCCGGTCTTTTGTGCTGTATCTAGAGACGTTTCATGAGCACCTTGCGAGCGAGCTGGACCGTCGCGCAGAGCGAAAGCTGGAACTCGCCGCTGCGCCAGCCGAGGTCGCCCTTAGCCTCACCCTGCCCGCCACACCGCGCTCAGCATGGCTGCTGAGTTGCTCAGCACCCGCGCACATCGACTACGACTTGGCAGGGCCCGTCCCCCCTTGTGGCCGGCCTGGACTCGAGCCGTACTCGCTCTCATCGCTCGACCCACCCACCTCGACGTCCCTCTCCACCTCGCCCACCGCCGCCAGCTCGGCGCAGACGCCATGGACGGGCTCGAGCACGCTCAGGTTCCCTGTGCGGCTGCTGCGCCTGGCCAGCTCATGGCTGCGCAGCCGCACGGCGGACTTTCCTTCTTCCCCCGCTTCGCCGAGTCTCGCTTGCGCCATCTCATGTCGCCATCGGCTCAGCTTCTCTCGGGCGACATTGACCCGGCAGCGCTACACAAGCGTCGGCTTTGCGCGATCGCTGCATGTCGCCAGAGCTTCCGAGCAGCACGCTCGCGGTGCCGCTCGCCTTCGTCCTCGTGCCGGCCAGCTCGTTCTCCCAGCTCTTGCTCTTCCTCTCTCTCGCTGCTCGATACCTCGTCTCAGCCTCCTCCCTACCCTCTCGATCATGTCCGACATCAAGTCGCCATCACTCGTCGAGGCCGACCCGACGCCGGTCACGCCCGTCAAGCGCAGCTTCTATCGCACGACCTGGTGGGCCGCGCTCGCGCTCGGCGTCTGCAACTTCTGCGCGCCAGGAATCTGGGGCGCGATGAACTCGCTCGGCGCCGGTGGAGCGGCGACGCCCTTCCTCGTCAACGCCAGCAACGCGCTCACTTTCGGCCTCATGGTCGTCACGGCCTTCCTCACGTCGACCATTACGCGCTACATCGGCGTCCGGTGGACGCTCTTCTTTGGCGCAGCCGGCTATGCGCCGTACGCTGCGGGCCTGGTGCGTCCCGACCTCGTCCCTCTCCCGGACCGCGACTGACCTCGTTCCTCGCGACCGCAGTACTGCAACAACCGGTTCGGCAACGAGTGGTTCCTCCTCCTCGGCGCTGCACTGTGCGGCATTTCGGCCGGCACGTTCTGGGTGCGTCGTTCGTCCTTCCCTCGCAGCAGGACCCTCGCTCACCCTTTCTCTCCCTCCTCGTTACAGGGCATTGAGGCGGCCGTCGCTATGTCCTACCCTGAGCCCGAGAACCAGGGCAAGTTCCTCGGATGGTGGCTGTCCTTCCGCGTCGGCGGGCAGATCCTCGGCGGTTCGTCCATGTCCGCAACTCTGAACGAGCCGGCCCTGACTTTCTTCTTCCCTCAGGCGCCATCAACCTCGGGCTCAACTCGAACCGCAGCGAGGCCGGCGCCGTCAATCCAAAAGTCTTCCTTATCTTCATCGCTCTACAGGCGGCGGGACCGTTCACGGCCTTCTTCCTGCCGCCGCCGCACAAGGTCCAGCGCACCGACGGCCTCGCCGTCAAGCTCTTCGTCGACAACCCGATCCTCGTCGAGCTCAAGGAGACCGCCAAGCTCTTCTTCAGCAAGCGTGTGCGTCCCTGTCCGCCTCTCAGCCGGCCCGAGGACGATGGCACTGACTCGAGGTCCGAGCGCGCGCAGTTCCTCCTCATCGTGCCCCTCATCTCCCAGGCCGTCTTCAGCGAGTCGTTCAACTCGACGTTCCTCACGCTTCACTACACGGTGCGCGCACGTGCGCTCGGCAGCTTCCTCTCGGCCGTCGTCAGCATCATCGCCGGCAACCTGTTCGGCCTCGCCCTCGACAGCAAGCGGTTCAACCTCCAGCAGCGCGCTCGCGGCGCCTTCTTCCTCGTCATGGGCCTCCAGGGTGCATGGTGGACGTGGAGTATTGTTGTCAACAACGAGTTCCGCAAGACGGGCGCCGTGTACGACTGGAATGACGCCGGGTTCGGCAAAGGGTTCGGCTCGTACTTGGCCATCGCCGCCGGTTTCCAGCTCAACTACATGTTCCTCTACTTCGGTCCGTCCTCTCTCTCTCCCTCTCCCTCTCGCCTCGACTATCTCGGGCGAGAGTCGCTTCCAGTGCCGCCCACAATCGGCCTTCCCAAGTCGCCTCTCACTGACTCTCTCTCTCTCTGACAGTCTGCGGCACTCTCGTCACCGAGCCGGCCGACATCCTGCGCATCGGAGGCCTCCTGCGTGCCACCGAGTCCGCAGCGCAGGCCGTAAGCTACGGCCTCAACTCGCTGCCGGCCTTTCAGGACATCGGCGCCTCGTCGCTCAATTTCGCCTTGTGGGGCGTCAGCCTCGTCCCAGCGTGGCTCGTCATCCGCAAGATCGGCGTCGAGTACTTCGGGCGTGCCGAGAAGGAGCGGCGCGAGCGGGCAGGGCTCGAATCGAGCGCGGCGAGCGTGGGCTCGAGCGAGAAGCTGTCGCTCTAGATGTCGTTTCGGCGGCGATGAGGGCGTGCATAGGGCGTTGTAGACTCTGATCTTTGATATGGTACAAGCTGTGGTTCTCTCTTTGCGTCGTCGTGCCTCCTGAGAGGCAGGCTTGAGCGGGAGGATCTCGGCGCTCTTCTCCCTTGCGATTGCTCATGGTCGAAGGCGCGCTCGACATGCTCTCGACGTGCGAGGGACAGATTGCGAGAGCGATGAACGCTTTGGGATGCAAACGCGCTCTACTCGCTCGAACCCTGGCCGCTCGCTCGCCCTTCCTCCCCTCGCCGCTGCCGCTCGCTCTCGACCTCGCTCGCCTCGCTCGCCACCGCCCCTGCCCAGCCCTCGACCGCTCCGGCGAGCATCTCGCGCCACTCGGCTGCCGACTCGGGCCTGCGCGCAGCGATGAGGCGGATGTCGAACGGCGGCGGGCCGAGCGAGAGGGCGTAGCGGTGCTTGAGGGCACTGCGGGCGGTCGAGAAGGGGCGTCAGGGCTGCTGCTGCGTGACGGGCGTCGACGACCAAAAGTCTCGAGGAGAAAGAAGGCGAGAAAGAGAGAGGGAAAGAGGGACGCACGCGCTCCATTGCCCAAGGTTCTCGGCCCTCCTGAACGTGGCGCCGACCCTCTCGCCGCCGTCGCTCGCCGCGCTCGCCGTCCGGCTCATGCTCGACGAAGCTGGCCCACCGCTGCTGCCGATGATGCCGACCGCGGCGAGAGGAGGAAAGACGTGTATCGAGGACGAGGGGACGAAGCCGAACGGGCGCGACCAGGGCGAGTGGCGAAGGACGTTGTTGAACGACTCGAGGAGGAGGGTGCCGTCGCTGCGAGAGAGGTCACAGGTCAGTTCGGCTCGACTGAGAGGGGGGGGGAGAGGAAGAGGAGCGTACCTGAGCGCGTCGAGAAAGCCGCACCAGTCGTCGGCGGGGTCGGGCAGGGCGTGTTCAGCCGTCGACGCCGACGCGTCAGCGACCATGATGGCGTAAGCTCGGACTGTACGCCAAGGTGGTCCCCCACGAGTCAGGTCACGCGTGCCGAGCTGCGAGACGAGGAATCGAGGCCATCGAAGCCGACGCACCGAGCCCGTCCGGCCAGCCCGTGTCGCGCGCCCAGTCCGGCAACGCCTCTGCCCGTCCCTCCCCGCCCTCGACCGTTCTTCCTCCCACCTGCCCTTCCTCGTCCGCCCTCACGCTGCTCCGCCGGCGCCCCGCGCCCGCCGCCGCACGGACCCTCGTCTCGGACCGTTCGAGCTCGTCCTCCACGGCGCGCACCCACCGCTCGACGAGCGCCGCCTCGCGCTCGAGAGCCGACAGCTCGACATCGACGCGGTACTGCGGCTCTGGCGACGCCGTCTGCGACGCCGGGTCGCCGTGCGGCGCGGTGACCTCGGCATGTCCCGTCGCTCGCGCGCCCTGATCGTCGCCGGCCTCGCTCGTGAGCGTCGATGGACGAGCCACCGCCGCGTCGTCGGTACCGACGGTACCCGGCAGGCGGTACCGCGCCTCGATCTCGCGCAGCATGCCGAGCACGTCGAGGCTTGTGCGGCGCAGGACGATGAGCGGGTTTTCGGCGCTCTCGGTGCCGGCCCTTGACGGGGCGGGCGGCGAGGGCAGGGAGACGGCGAAGGCCTGGATGGCGCGGACGGCGAGGGTGGTGGTGGCGAGGAGGGTGGGGACGAGGGGGAGATTGGCGTCGTCGGCGGACGAGGGGAAGGACGTGTCGTCGGCTGGACTCATTGGCGTGATGGCGGACGCGGTCGAAGGATTGCGCGACATGGTCGATGAAGATGAAGGTCGGCAAGGCGGGCGTGTCGAACCGGGAGCGATAGACCAGCTGCGCGAGGAGGAACGGCGGGTCAAAATCCTGTGCGGGCTACTGCGAGAGAGAAAGAGAGGAGGGCGCACCAGTCACACACGGCATCGAGGGCCTCGTACGCCTCGGAGCGCAGCTGCGCCTCGTCCTTGAGCACCGCGCTGCGAGTGAGCGCCTCGTCGCGCTCCCACGGCATGCGCAGGTCGACGACGGGCTTGTCGGGCTGCGGGCCCAGCTCGTCGATCGCGCCGCCGTCGCCGTCGACTGCGCTCTCGTGCTCGAGAGGCTGGAGGACGCCATTCGAGGACGACGAGGTGCGCCTCGGCGGCGGTGCGGCGCGAGGGTGGGCTTGAGCGAGGAGGCCGAGTTTGGCGAACCCGTGCTGGAGGTGGTGGATCGAGGGAAGGGTGTGAACGCTCTGGCGCTGGAGGGCGCTGCGCGAGAACGGGCGGGACGAGGCGGTCGCGAAGAAGCGAGACCGGGTCGACGACGAGGCGGTGGGGGAGAGTTGAGGAGGGGGAGCAGTCGAGGGCGCCTGGGCATGGATCGGCGAGGCCACAGGGCTTGCTGCTTCTTGTGCACCTTGTGGCGCAGTATCGGCGGTCTCAGACGTGGTGGACATGGGGACGCGGTGTCGTTGGCTGACGAGGCGGACGAGGTGGGGGAACGGGGCGCACGGCGAGTCGCTCGACGCCGTGCAGGGAGCGCTCGAGCTGCAAGTGGTGCCGAGGAGCGTCCTGGTCCAGCTTGTGGTACCCGCGAGCCAGCTGGTGGCGTGGCTGACGAGAGAGGAACCACCTCTCCGCGCGAGCCAGATGAGACGAGGGACAACAGCGACCACGCCGCCCAGCGAGCTACCGACACCTGTATCGCTCTTGCAGCACCGTAGAGCTCTCACCAGACCCGCCCAGCGATTTCCTGCGAGGTGGGCGCACCGCCTCGTCCTCGTCTCGAGCTCGAGCTCGACCGCATCGTCCTCGCGCTTCACCCTCTGCTCCTTCCGCCGAGCAGGACCACCACCAGCCCCCGCACTGCTACCATGGGCAAGGTCAGGCACCGCAAGCAGACGCGCGCCGCCCGCGTCGCCGCCTCGTCCGCTCCCCTCACCGACACCTCGGACCCCACCAACAACCCGCACCCGAACCAGCACCGCGAGGGCAAGAAGGGCCAACGCCGCGACGCCGAGATGCAGGACCTCCTCGACAAGCTCAGGGCTCCCGAGGGCCGCGACCGCGTCTTTGCTGCGGTACGCTCACCTCTCTCCCTCTCTCTCTCCTTGCGACTCGCTCTCCCAAGGCCAGGCTGACCTCCTTTCTTGCGCGCGAAACAGTCCACCCTGTCGTCTTTGATCCTGTCGCTCCCGCCCATGCAACTGCGCCTCCTCCTGTCGCGCAACCTCATCGGCCTCCTCATCGAGCGCCTCTCGACCCTCTCGGCGCCCTCGTCCTCGTCCTCGTCGACGCCGCCGCCTTCAGACGACCTGTCGACCGCCATCGAGTCGCTCGGCGCCCTGCGCAACCTCGCCGTCTCGTCCCCTCCCCACATCCTCTCCGAGATGCACAACAAGCGCCTCCTCCTCCCGCTCGCGACCGTCCACCTTCCGCTCCTCGCCCACTTCCTCCCGCACCAGCTCGCGCCGCCACCCGCACCCGTCAAGCCCGCGCTCCCGGCCACCGCCGAGCAGCGCCGCGCCGCCGACGCCGCCAACGAGGCGCACGACACGCTCCGCCGGTCCTTCTGGGACTGGACCGAGAACGTCCTCACCCTCGTGTGGTGCCTCGCCGAGAGCAACACCAAGATCCTCGCCGGTCTCAACGCCCACGCCGAGCACATTGTCGCCCTGTGCGTCGCCCTCCTCGACGAGGACCGCCTGGGGATCGACAAGCTCGACGGCGACGAGCAGCGCGGCGAGGGCGCGGCGGGTCCGGGCGGCATGGACGTCGAGGCCGGGGCAGCGGGCGGCAAGGCGCTCAAGAAGAAGGACGTCAAGCGGGAAAAGGCCAAGCGCCTGCGCGTGCCCCTCTTTGTCGCCGTCGCAGCAGGTGCGTCCCTTTCCTCCTCCATCCAGTGCTTCCTGCGGCACCTCGACTGACCTTGCCCGGTCCGCAGCACAAACCCTGCACGCCTTCATCTCGTCCAACCCGGCGGCACACACGCACCTCCTGTCGTCGGCCGGCTCGTTCACCTTCTCGCCCGCCCTCTCGACCCTCCTCTCGATCCTTCTCACCCCAACGCCTCCCTCGTCCTCTTCTCGCTCTTCCACCGCATCAACCGACGCCGCACCCGCCGGGCCCTCGAGCTCAGACGTCGACGCCTGGGCGCAGCTGCGCGTCCTCGCGTTCGGGTCCCTCCTCGAGATCGCCAAGGGCCGCTCGAAGCGCCGCGACGTCGAGACGGTGCGCGACGCGCTCAGGAGCGACGTTGCGCAGGGTGTTCTCCTCGGGCTCGTCGGGAGCGCGCGGCTTGAGGACTCGGTCGGCGAGGCGAAGAAGGTGGCCGGCGAGATTGTGCGTCCCGGCTTCTACTTCCTCCTGCCTCTGGCTCCCAATCCCTCGCCTCGCAAAGCCCTCACTAACGCGCGCAACGCCCTGCAGGACCCGACGGCGCTCCCGAATCAGCACACGACCACGTCCGACTCGCCGGCGGGCAAGCTCGCCGCGCTCGAGCGCCAGAGCCAGACGCTCCAGCTCGCGCTCGAGGTCCTCAGCGAGTGGCTCGCGTCGGGCCTGCCCGCCGCGGGCTCGTTCGACGGCGCGCCGGGCGCCGGCGCAGAGGGCGAGGAGGAGGACGACGAGGAGCAGGAGGCGTGGGGCGGCATCTCGATGGAGGTCGAGGGCGGCGACGACATCGACATGGGTGCGTCGGACGGCGAGGGCGAGGACGAGGCGATGGGCGGCGACCAGGTCAACGAGGCCGACGGCGTCATTCGGCGCCGGCGCGGCGACACGCCGACGGCCGACGACAGCATGCTCGACGACCTCGCGGCGACGGCCGGCGACGGCGACGACTCGGACGGCGACTCGGGCGACGACGACGACGGCGCCGCAGCCGAGACGAGCGCGACCAAGTCGGGCGCGCTCGCCCTCCTCAGCTCCCTCCCTCTCCAGCTCCTCGCCCTGTCGCGCCCGACCTCGCTCTCGTTCCTTTCCCCCTCCTCTTTCGCCCCCTCGCCGCTCGACGCGCCCGCCTCGGCCTCGGCCTCGTCGTCGGGCCTGATCAGCACCTCGGCCTCGAGCGCCGACCTCGTGCCGCACAACCTCGCGCCGCTCGCCGAGGCGCTCACGACGGTGCACGTGCGCGCTACCGAGGCGCTCAACAACCTTTACGTCGTCCTGTCGCGCGCCGGTGCCGCCAAGGGCGCGACGGCCGCCGCGAGGCGCGACGCCAAGGAGCTCCAGAGCGTGTTTGAGAGCGCGCTGCAGCTCATGCTCGGCGCGCTCGAGGGCGCAAGGACGCACGGCCCGACCGCAGCCGCTGCGGCGCCGGCGGCGTCGGGCAAGAAGGGCAAGGGCGGCGACAAGGCGCCGCAGCAGCAGGGTGGCGACGAGGTCGACGAGGTGCAGGAGCGCCGGCTCGAGGTCGTCATGGCGGCGGCGGGCGTCGTGTGGGGCTGTGTGCGCCTCGGGCTCGACCCGGAGCCTGGTGCAGGACTTGTGCGTCCTCCCCTTTCTCTGCCTCGCCTTCTCAAAGGCGCCCGTCTCTGACCCTCGTCGTCACGTCCCACAGGTCGTCGGCCCCGACACGACGCCGTTCTTGATCCAGCAGGTGTACGCTTCGCCGTTCGCGGCAGAGCCCACGCCGTCGGGCGAGGCGATCCGGGTGCGCACGCTCGGCGCGCTCGGATACCTCGGACGGCGCCAGGGCGTCCCTGCCGAGGAGAATGCTGTGCGTCTCACCTCTCTCTTTCACCTCTCTCAGTCTCTCGCGAGCCGCACTCACCCGCTCGACCTCGCTCGCAGCAAATCGGCCGCTTCCTCCTCTCGCTCCTCCCCGCTCGGACCCCTGCGGCGTCGACCTCGCCCTCGACCGTCGCGTCGACGCCCGACATCCTCCTCCAGGCGATCGACTCGCTCATCGACCTGTACGCCGACGAGGAGCGCGAGTACGACGTGCCCGTGTTCCGCGAGGGCGGCATGCTCCAGGCGCTTGAGGGCTCGGTCCCGGGCGTGCGCGCAGCTGTGCGTCCCCTCTCTCCCTCTCTCCTCCCTCTCCTTCTCTCTCCATGGCTGTTCCCGGCACATTCTCGTTCGTGCATGTCATTGACGCCGACCTCTCGCACCGTCCCGGAACCCGCACTCGCAGATCAAGAAGGTGGACCGCAACAAGTTCCCCGAGCTGCGCTCGCGCGCCGACGGGGCGCTCGAGAACCTCGTCGCGTTCGTCGGATACCGCAAGGAGGTCGTCAAGCAGCGGCGTTGAGCTGGGCGAGGCAGGAGGGCGAGGGGACGAGGAGCTCTCGTTCGGACGGAGGCGGGCGAGCAGATCTAGTGCAACTCGAGCTCTATTGCACGCCCGCTCTACGAGTCACGTCCGCACCGAGAAGCTGAAAAGGTCGTCGCGAGAGTAGTGGGCCGAGCCGGCGCTGTCCATGTCGAGCTTGCATCCGAGAATGTCGTCCAGGTCGATCTGCGAGCGTGCTCTTCGCCGGTGAGTCGTCGCTCGGGAGATGGTCGGTATCCATGAACAGGTAGAAGGAAACGTCGACGAAGAGAAAAGGGGAAGGGGGGGAGAAAGGGCGCTGAGAGAGAAGAGCGAAAGGGAGAGGCGGGCGCACGTCGGCGTAGACGACTCCCTCCCGGTCCCACAGCGGCCCTGCAAGAATCTCGCCGAGCGGGCTCACGATGCACGACCCTCCCCTGCTCCACACCTCGTCCGCTCCTCGCCCCTCGCTCTCGCCGGCAGCCACTCGCGCAGGGTAGTCCTCGGGAAAGTCGCTCGCGCGCTGGAACTGATTGGCGCTCACGACGAAGCACCGGCCCTCCTGCGCGATGAACTGCATCGCCGGCGCCCAGGTCGGGCGCGCGTCGGCCGTCGGCGCGACCCACAGCTCGACGCCCTTGCGGTACAGGGCGTAACGCGCGAGGGGCATGAAATGCTCCCAGCAGATGACGCCGCCGACGCGGCCGACCGACGTCGCGACGACGGGCAGGTTGTCGGTCGCAGGCGCGGTCGAGTCGAGGGCGGCGGGAGGATTGGTCGCGCTGCTCGACGCCCAAACGACGCGCTCGGCGGCAGTCGGGATGAGCTTGCGGTGCTTGCCTGCGCGAGGCGAACGACGCAGAGTCAGTGAGGAGGCGCGTACAGACAGAGTAGGTGCTTGTGTGCGCGACAGGTGGGGTAGGCGAGCGTGAAAGAAAGGCAAGGGAAGGGACGGACGAGAGGAGGAGAAGGAGAAGGAGGGGAAGGGGGACCGTGCGCGAAAGGGAGGAACGGGCGAGACTTACCGAGGAGGATGCCCTGCTCAGAGATGATGACGTTGGTGCACCACAGCGTTGCGCCGAGGAGTGAACGCTCGATGATGCCGACCGAGAGGATCTGCCGAGGCCGGTTCGAGGGTGAGCGGGCGCTCACAGGCGCGGATCTGGGAGCAGGGACGCACAAGCTTGTTGCTCTTGGCGGCGACCAGGAGACGCTTGAACGCGTCAAAGTCGGTGCCGGCTCGAGTTGCAGCCGCCTCATCGCTCGCGAGCCAGTCGACGCCTTCTGCGCCGTCCGGAATTTTGACGGACGACGAGACGTAGCGGCTGTACCACGAGCGGTTCTCGTCGGTCCGTGCGCCAATCTTGAAGTCGAGGTGGCGCGGGTAGGCACTGCGGGCGGTCCACGAGCTGGTTCAGCTCGCGGTCGAGGTGGAGGTGGGGAAGGAGGGAGAGAAGCGAGGAGCGCACCTCAGGTAAGCCTCGGGGAAGACTGCGAGCTTGGCGCCTTGCTCAGCCACTTGGCTGCAGTAGTCCTCGAGCTGTTGCGGGCGTACAGGGGTGGGTCAGCTGGCTGTCGGACGCGGGCGTGGGGGGACGAGGCGAGGGAGGTCGAGCGCGCCTTGGAGAGAGAGCTGTCGAGGTTGTATGCGACTGAGGCGATCTGGACAGCGGCTACCTTGACTGGCGACATAACGGCGAGCGGGCAGCGAGTGGTGGGGAGGAGGGAGAGGTGAGCCTCTCCACGTTCGCTGATGAGAACGTCGGCACCGAACCCGCTCAACCGCGGCTACGAGCTATCTGGACTCTCGCGACTGAGGCGACAGTGGTACAGCAGCGATCTATTACAGGCTGCGCTCTTGCTCTACCGGCCCTTCTTGAGAAGCGCCTCGGTCCATGCCAAGTGCACGAGGTGCCCGCGCTCCTTGCGTGCGTAGACGAGATAGGACAGCGCGCCGAGTCCGACCGACACGAACGAGATGACGACGGCCCCTGCATGACGACGGGCCAGGGTGAGCGGCGGCGCGAGTGAGGCTCGAGGAGGGAGGCAGGGACGCACACTTGAACTGTGACGGCCGGTTGAGCACGATCGTGACGCCGTACCTGCATGACACGCACGGTCAGTCAGTCTGAGGCGTACGCAGGAGGAAGAAGAGAGAGAGAAGGTGAGGACGCACTTGACGAGGTCGAACATGTTCTGCAGCGAAAACTGAAGCGCCATGCTGCAGAAGAGAGTCACGCTCGTCAAGACCTGGATCGCGCTCGACGCGCTCGACGAGCGAAAGGGAGACGCGCATGCTGTTGCGCTGCGGGTGGTCGTTGAGCGCCTCCTGGAGCTCCTTGAGCTGGCACAGGTCGAAGCTCCACAGGCCGATTCGGCTCAAGGCCATGCCCGAGAAGAGGAGCGCGTCGTTCCAGCCGGGCCCTCGTTCGCCGTCAGGCGGTGCACCGACGAAAAACGCGAGGACGGCGGGAATGAGGGTGACGACCTCGGACCTGGCGGGGCGGGTGCGTCAGTGCGTAGGCGAGGCGAGCTCGAACAGGGAGAGAAGGGGACGCACAAGATGCTCCAGGTCCCGGCGCGTACAAGTCCGATGCGCTTCTCGAGAACAGGCATGACGAGCGTTCCAGCGAGGCCCGTCACGACGCCGATGCCGCGCATGCCGGCGACGAACGCGTCGGGGTACCGATGGCTCTTGAGATACGCGAGCATCGAGCCCTCGAAGCTGCGAGAGGGAGTGAGAGTGAGCTCGTCACAAGTATGTGGAAAGGCGGGAGAGAGAGAAGGAGGGGCAGGGACTCACGAGAGGACGGTAAGGTAGAGGAGCGAGATCGCCAGCGACGAGAAGAATACGGGCGCGCGGATGAAGGCGAGCCAGTTTCGGCCCTCGGCGACGACGTGCAGCCGTATTCGACCTGGTAGACGAGCGATCATGACCTGCAGCCGCGCTCGAGAAGGCCGATCGGCTGGTGGATCTGCGGCGAGCTCGTCGACGGCTGGGGCGGCCTCGGGCGTCGGCTTGGTCTCTGCCAGCATCGGGAAGCGTCGATAGACGATGTTGATCCCTGCAGAGGACAAGGAGTCAGTCTCGAGGTGAGAGGGAGGACGTGGAGGGAGAAAGAAGGCGGCGACGGACAGGTCCACTCGAAAATGGTCGCGCCGACGGCGAGACCTAGCAAGAACGCTGCCGCAAAGGTGTACGACGCCGCAGTAGTCAAGAGAGAGACGAACAAGGGCGCCAGAAGCTTTGACAGGAGGTCGATACGGCGCAGGTAGCTGTGCGAGGCAAGGGAGGTTTAGGTCGGTGCAACGAATGGCCGACACAGGTCGCGCCTTCTCCTGTCGCACAGATGATGGAGATAGTGTGGGACGCACGTGTTGAGCTGCGTGAGCTTGGCGCCGTCGCCTTGAGCGATGCAGGTGACCCAGTCCCGCTCGACGGCGACCGAGATGCCGATCTGCAGGCGGCGCATGCGAGCGCGTCAGGTCCCGGTCTCGTGGACGAGACGGAAGGTGAGCAGGACGCACTGTAGCCAGGTTCTGCGCCATCGAGAAGAGGGTGACGACGACGAAAAGTCCGACCAAGGTCGGCTGTTCTCGCCGTTCTTGCGCCGCGGCGTACAGGCGGAGGAAGCATGCAAGAAAGATGGCGTAGCTGCACGCGAGGGTGCCCTTTTGTGCGATGATGGTGCCTCGCACGAACCGGACTCGCTCAAAGAGGTCGACAAGGTGCCCGACCGTGCCGGCGAAAACGATGGCAGCGCTCGTCGTGCAAAAGCCGAAGATGGACGGCTGAAGGGTGGTCGACGGGAAGAGCTGGATGAGGAACAGGTACGAGGCGAACTCGTAGGAGCGCTGCTGCCATGTGCTGCGTGAGAGGTCGCGAGAGGGAGGAAGTGGGGGAGGGGCGAGGTCAGCTCCGCGGCATGCGAACGTGGGGGCAAGGGGAAGGGTGGAAGGCGCGAACGCACCTCGATAGATGCTGTGCGAGCAAGCAGAACAGGGCGCGCTTGTCGAGAGGCGAGGGAGCAGCTCGTGATGATGAAGATCGTGGCGGTTCGCCGCCGCCCTCGGGAGGCTCTGCCGCCCGCACTGAGCGGGTGTACGCGAGCTCGAGCTCGACCACAGCAGTTGTGCTTGTCATGGCGGCATCGGGAGCCGGTGCGAGGGAGCAAGCGCCTCGAGGAGACCCTCGCGGTCGTCGCCGTCGCCGGTCCATTTGCAAATCGTCTTCAACAGCCTCTTGCTCTCGCTCTCGCCGTCCTAGAGCGTCCGCAGAGCGAGCTCTCGCGAGTCCGGCCCCACAGCGAGCGCACAATGATCGCAAAGATACCGGGCAAGACGAGGCGGCGCAGATCTCGTTGCTCGTCCTCGCTCTCGAGCCGCTACTCAATCAGACCCAGCTGCTTCTGCCGGAAGCTGCGCGCACGCGAACAGTGTCAGGAAGGCACAACGAAAGGGAAGAAAGAGGACGGTGGACGCACCGCGAAAGCTTCTTGGGCTTCTCTTCCTCCTGTTGAACCTCGGCGGCCGGCTGCGCCTCGTCCCGCACCTCGATCTCGACGGGCGCCTTGCGCTCCGGGACGATCGTCTGCACGACCTCGGGCGGCCGCTTGCCCGCCGTGCGGTCCCGCCTCGCGTGCGCGCTCGCCTTGTCGCGCGCGAGCTCCTCACGCAACGCGATCTCGCGCTCGCGCTCGGCCGCCTGCTCGTCCTCGGGGAGCGGACGGCCCTCGGCGAGCGCCTCGAGCGTGCGGCGCAGGCGCTCGTCCTCGTCGTCGGCGTCGGCACCTGCGGCGGGCTCGCCGTCGTGCTCGAGCGGCGGGCCGAGCGGCGTGTGGCTCATGGCGAGGGACGGGTCGGCGGCGAGGAGCGAGGGGATGATGAGCTGGGCCGACTCGAGGTTGCGGTTCGACTGGCGGAAGCGCGAGGGTCGGCCTTCTTGCGCAGCGCCGGCCGACGGGTAGGTGCCAAAGGTCGACGCGGCGAGGGACGGATCGAGCGACTGCAGGGTCGCGTCGGCGGGGACGAGCTGTCGTGCGGGGCAAGAAGCAGGTCAGTCGTGTGGCGAAGAGCAACCCGAGACGAGAGAGCGAGAGAGAGAGAGGGAGAGGAAGGGAGGGACGCACCGCCTGATCCGCCTCCTCGTCTGCCGCCGCGCCGAACGGGTTCTCGCCCTCGGCGTGCCACCCACCGAGCGGTCCCGTCCCGCGCCCCGCACCGAGCATGAGGCGCTGCCGGTGGTACGCGAGGGCCACCTCGCGCTGGTGGAGCGCGAGGTCGACGTCGAGCTCGTCGTCGTCAAAGTCGTCGTCGTCCGAGTAGTCCCAGTCGTCGTCGTCCTCGTCCTCCTCGCCGTCGACGTCGCCCGCGACATGCGGCACACCCTCGTCCTCCTCGTCGGACCCGAACGGGATGTCGCCGAACGAGACGGTGCCCGGCGGGCGGTCGGCGCCGGACGAGGGCCGCGCCGAGAGCGAGATGGTGTGCACCGGCGCGGGCATGACGTCGCTCGAGATCGGCGCCGACGGCGGCTCGGCTGATCGAGCGGCGGGAGCGTGCGACGGCGAGGACGACGCCGCCGAGGGAGCGGACTCGCGCTCGTCGACGGCGCGCCCTTTGCCCTTGCCCTCGACGACGTCCTCCACACTCGCCGCCGGCTCGCCGAACGCCTCCCGCTTGAACCTCGACAGCCGCTTCTCCCTGACGGGCAGCCCGCCCGCTCCCGCTCCTGCACTCGCGCCGGCACCACCGCCGGGCGCCACCGCCTTGCGCAACGGCCGCTCGACGACGACGTCGCGGATCGGGCGCTGCGCCGGCGCCTCGACGCGCCTGGGCTCGGCCGGGGCCGAGGCCGGGGTCGCGGCCGACGAAGACGGCGGCGGCCCGAGGAGGATGGGCGCCTTCTTGGCCGAGGGCTGCTCCTCGGCGGCCGAGGGCGGCGGGAGGTCGAACGCGACGCGCTTCTTGTCGCCTGCAGGCGTCGCGGCGCGCGAGCGGGCCGAGGGCGACACGGGGCGCGAGAGGGCGGGCTTGAGCGCGGGTACGGGTGCGGGTGCGGGTGCGGGTGCGGGTGCTGATGCTGCGGCGGCGGGCGTCGAAGCACTCGTAGTCGTGGCTGGAGTGGACGAGGTGGCTGGCGAGGTGCCGCTCGAGGGCGAAGAGGTAGAAGAGGTGGGACCCGCCGCCGCGAGCGAGTTTGACGGGCGCTTCTGCTTCGACTTGGCGAGGAATCCGGCCGAGAAGCCGGCAAAGCCGCCTGCGCTCGATGTGGACGGCGCTGCAGGCTTGCTGGCGCTGCTCGAGGGCGCGACCGGCGCGACCGGCGCGGCGGGCGGCGGCGAGTCGGGCAGCTCGACGATCTTGCGCTCGGCGCTCGGCGCAGGCTCGTCATGCTCGGCCTCGGTCACCGCGGGAGGTGAAGCGGCGGCTGCGACGGCGGCGGCGGCGGCCTCCTCGGCCTCGAGCTCGTCGAGGATGGCCTTGATGTCGAGCGGCTGCCGGGCCGGGAACGGGTTGGGGTCCGTCTCGGCGGGTGCGGGCACAGGTGCGGGTGCGTATGATGGATGAGCGGTAGACGAGGGCTGAGTGGGCGCAGATGAGGAGGAGGAGGATGGAGCGGGAGGTGCCGAGTGGATGGGCGGAGGAAGCGGGCCTGCGGAACGAGCAGCGTCAGGCTCGAGGACGGGAAATGTGGCTCAGGAAAGGGAGAAGAGGGACGCACGGACGATCTGCTTGCCACCCTTCTTGATCAGGTACCCGCGAGCGCGCGCACTCGAGTTGGCTGGCGCCGCTTGAGCCGCCTTTGAGCTCGAGGCGACAGGCGCGGGCTCGAGCGGCAGGTCCTCGCGGATGTCGAACATGGGCAGGCCCTCCTCGTTGATGACCTGGAGGAGGTGGTTTTGTCAGAACCGGTATCGGACAAGGAATGTAAGAAGGAGGCGCGAGGACGCACCTCGCCCTGGGCGTTGATGGTCCAGTCCTCGTCGCCGAGGTCGGCCGTGCCGGCGCTTGCGGCGCCCTTGCCGAGCTTGCGCTCGTCGTCGCGCTTCTTGCGGAGGTCGGCCTCGGCCGCCTCGATTTCGCGGGTGAGCGTGACGACTTGGGCTTCGAGGTCTGCGGGCAGAGAAGGCGGGTCAGGGACGAGCGAGCAACGGGGCGGCCTGCGACCCCCTCTGCGCACTCAAGGGCCATGGTGAAAGGCGTGCACACCTTTGACAGCTTGTGCGACGTCGCCGCGAGCCTGCTTTGCGCTGCGGAGCACTCGGCGAGGTTGAGGGTCTTGGTCGGCGGCATCGGCTTGAGGCGGGTTGTCGACGCGGGTGATGTCGTTGGTGTGGATGAGCTGGCCGGGGAAGTAGGCGAGCGGACCGACAGGGATCTGCGAGGCAGGGAAAGGGGGGTCAGCTCGGGTGAGGGGGAGGGGAGGAAGAGGGAGGCGGGCTCACGTAGGCGTTCCAGGTGGGCTCGTCGGTGAAGGTGGCGAGCTTGTGGTCGAGGTGGCGGTAGTTGTGGATCTTGTCGTTGGCCTGGGCGAGCTGGACGCGCAGTTGCTGGAGGTTGCTCAGGTCGGGCGAGAGCGAGGGGACGGTCAAGGGACGTAGCGCTGCCGGGTTCGGGTCGGCCATGGTCGGAGGGTGCTCTCGGGAGCAGTCTGGCGGTGTCTCTGGGCGGCACAGAGGTGTTAGGCGAGCGAGAGCATGCTCCTTCTGCATCGACTTGACCTCGACGTCGGCTCACCCGCCCTCGCTCTCGTCACACAGCCTAGACGATTCGAGCACAGCAGCACGGGGCACGCGACACCCTGCTGCATGCTCACACGCGCCCGCACGGCGACCCATGCCGTCCGTACCCCGTCGCGCTCATCGCCTCGACCTCACCTCGACTGCTCGTCCTGCTCCTCCACCCGCTCGGTCAGCGCCTCGAGTGGCCCATCAGCACCCAGAGTACGTCCATCGACCGAGCACACTCATCCTCCCGCCTTCTCGCGCCACCACTGACCCCGCTCGCCTCGTCGCACAGGTCGCCCGACCTCGCCCACCCTCCTCGTCGCCCATAGACTGGTCCCAGGTACTGCCACGCCCGCCCACAGCTCTCACATGAACCGCTGCTGACTCGTAGAGCCCCACAGCCCTCGACTTCAAAGGTCCCGTACTCGCCCTCGCGACCCTTTTCCTCGACCGCGCCCCATCCGCAACCGAGCGCCCGCCCCACCACCTCTGCACCCGCGCAACTCGGCCCAGAACCACCCTTCGCACGCCTCGAAGCCGCCCTCGACGCCCCTTCCCCTCAGCACCGCCGCGACACGCTTCGAGCCGTCTCCAAGTCGCTCGAAGCGCTCGCCGCCTCGCCCTCGACGCACGCCCTCTCCCGCCCAACCTTTGACGCCCTCTTCTCGCGCGTCACCGACCTCCTCCCGACCGAGCCCACCTTTGCCGCCGCCACCCTCAAGCGCCTGCGCGACGTCGCCCTCGCGCGCGAGCCGCGACCCGAGTGGCAGCTCTCGCTCGCCCAGGCGCACGCCGTCCTCACCGCGCGCGTCGAGCAGGAGGAGAACGAGACGGCCCTGTGGTGGAAGCGCGGGGTGCGGCCGACGGGCGCGCCGGAGCGGGGTAGCGAGGGGGGAAAGATGCGCAGGCGGTGGCGGTACGTCGACGAGTGCGCCGACGAGTACTGGGCGGCGGTCGAGGCGCGAGGGGTCTTGCTCGCCGACGCAGAGCGGGACGATGCGGCGGCGCTCGTCGAGCGGTACGCGCGCGCCGTCGCCGAGCGCATGTCGTCGTCCCTGTCCGCCCCGGCCGACCTCCCCCTCGCAGCCCTCTCGGCGCGCTCCTTCGTCCGCGCCTTTTCCCTCGTTCCGCCTCCGTCACATGACGTCGAGCCCCAACCCGATCACGCCGCCTCGAAACCCCTCGTCCCTCTCTTTGCGCATGACCGACCCGCCTTCCTGTCGCACTTGCGCACCCTCCTCGCCCACGGCCGCCTCCCCTCGGCGAGTGCCCTGCGCCAGATCGTCACGGCCCACTACGCCGAGCGCGACGCGCACCTCGTCGCGCAGACGTCGGCCCTCGCGCGCCTCGACGACGCCGCCGCCGACGAGGCGGCGTACGCGCACGCGCGCCGTGTCCTCGACGAGGCCTGCACGGGCAGCTCGGCGCGCCGGGGCGCCAATGCGGGGCTCGACGCCCTCCTCGAGCAGCGCCTCGAGCGTGTCGAGCGCGCCGAGGCGCTCGACCGCGAGCCCGTCCTCTTCTTCTTGCGGTGGCTCGGCGTCGGGCTGTCCGCCGAGGAGGAGCGGCACGGTCGGCGAGTCGCCGTCGACGAGCGACGGGACATGTTGAGCGCGGCGATGCGGCTGTGGGAGGCGAGCCAGGTGCAGGGGCGCAGCGAGTGGGACGCGCCGGCGAGGCGGTACGTGCGCAGCCGGCGCGCCCGGCTCCTCGAGGCGCTCGTGCTCGAGGCGGCCCGGCTTGAGGGCCAAGGTGCTGCGTCGTCGTCGACGACGGGCAAGGCGCGTGCGTCCGAGTGCCTCGTCGAGGCGGTGCGCATGGCGTCGACGTATCTCCACCACCACATCCTTGTCCACCACGCGACGCCGCTCCTCCTCGCCCTCACCGCCTCGTCCCACTCGCCGCCTGTCGCGCTCGACCTGTTCGAGACGCTGTCGACGCCCACCGAGCCCGGCTCGACCGCGCCGCCCTTCACCTGGTCGGCCACCCTCCTCCCGGCTTTCACGGCCCTCTTCCTCTCGGCGACGGCGTCGACGTCGCCGTCCTCGGGCCGCGACTCGGCCCTCCCGCTGCGCCTGTACCTGTCGTGGACGTCGTCGGGCCTGTCGTTCCCGATCGGCCTGTGGCCCGCCCTGTGGCGCTCCGTCGGCCGGCGCGGCTCGCTCGCCGAGCTGCGCCGCCTCGTCAACGACTGGGAGGACACGGGGCGCGGCGCCGTCAGCGCGCGCATCATGTGCTTCGTCCTCGAGGGCGCGAGCGAGCGGCGCGTCGTGGCACCGCTGCGCATGCTCGCCTGGTTCCGCTCGCGGTACGTCGCGCGCCCGGGCGCGTCGCCGTCGCCGCTCCTCGTCGAGGCGCAGCCGTACCTCGTCGTGCCCCTCGAGGGCGGCTACGAGTCGGTCCTCGAGGCCCTCGCGGCGTCGCACACGGACCGCCGCCGCGCCATGAGCGCCGTGTGGCGCTGGATGCGCCTCGACGGCCACGCGCACCCGTCGACCCGCGCGTGGAACGCCCTCATCCGCGCCCACATCTTGCGCCCGGCGAGCCAGTTCTCGATCGCCGACCTCGACAAGGCCGGCGTCGCGTACAACGCCCTCGTCGCCGGCGCGAGGCGAGCCGCTCCCTCGTCGTCGTCGTCGGCCTCGCGCTCGAAGGCGGCCGCCACCGCCGCCCGCCCCGACGGCGACACGTTCGCGCTCCTCGTGCGCGGCTTTGCGCGCGTCGCAGCCGGCGCAGCGGTCGACGCGCGGCGGAGCACGGTCAAGCGGCGCATCGCGCTCGAGGCGGGCCGGCGCACGCTCGACGCGGCCGTCGAGCGCGGCCTGCACGTGTCGGGCGTCGAGACGGCGCTCCTTGTGCGGCTGCTCGCGCGCGCGCGCAGGTTCGAGGAGGCCAAGACGGCGCAGGAGCGGTGGTGGAGCTCGGTCGTCGCGCTCGAGAACCAGAGGGGGACCAAGGAGGTGTGGGCGGACAAGGGCATCGCGAGGGGCATGAGGGAGATGAGGTGGGCGAGGACCGAGTCCGAGCTCCTCGAGGCTCGATGGGGCGCACGGCAGGCGGCGCAAGGCCGGCGGAAGGAGGGGCAGCCTCGGGAGGAGGTGGAGGAGGACGAGTCGGCGGAGCCAGTGCCCGATGCGGAGCTCGAGCCGGTCCTGCGCCCTTCTGATCCTCGCACGTAGACCTTTGTATCTATTACGCACGCCTTGAGCAACCGCAACTCGCAGCCTATTGTACCGCTCTCGCCTCCTCTCTCGCTTTCGCTCTCCTCGGCTCGAGCTAGCTCGCCTGCTCGTCCACCGCCGAGACTCGCAGCGAGAGACAGAGGAGCACAGAGTTACAGGTACAAATAGACGGGCATGTACGACGAGGGAGGAAGAGAGACCGAAAGGGAAGGGAGGGAAGAGAGGGAAGAGAGGCTCAGGCGAACTCGAGGACATCCTCCTCTGACGGGCCAACGACGGGGACGCTTGCCGCCTGGTTGCACTGCCAGACTGTTGCGAGGGATCGAGGGTGTAAAGAACGAGTCAGGCCGCGAACACGGGAGCAGAGAGAGGGAGAAACGCTCGTCGACGCACACGCTCGGACCTCGTCCTCGGCGAACGCGCCCGTGATCGAGTGCAGCGTGCCGCGGTTGTGGAACAGGGCGAGCTGCCTCGGCTTCCAGTCGACCGTGTAGACGAGCTCGGGCGCGATGCCGGGCCGCTGCATCGAGTAGATGAGCTCGCGGACCTCTTTGAGGTTCGTGAGGTGGGCGCCGTCCGGGTACAGGGTGTCGGGCTGTCGACGAGCGCCGACGGGAAGAGGGTCGATGAACTGCGAGGCGAGAGAAGGTGGGGCCAGGAGGCGAACGACGAGGAGGACGCAGGAAAGGAGGCAGGAAGAGGGAAAGGGGCAACTTGAGAAGGTCAGTTTCGTCCGGGCGAGCTCAAGAAAGAGAGAGAGAGAGCCGACGTACCAGCTCATGGACGGCGCTCGGGTGCACCTGGAGGTGCAAGTGGCCGGTCACCGGGTTCTTCCAGCAGACCGGGAGCGTCTTGACGTGCTTCTCCTCCCACGGCGGCAAATCGTCGAGCGACATCTCGGTGCCGTCCGACACCATGCCGAGCCCGGTCGACTTGGCCTTTGCCGAACCCATCCACACGTATGGGTGAGGCGCGTACTGAACCCTCGTGCGCACGGCGAGCGACTTGAGCGGCGCCGGGAGGATGTCGAACATGACCTTGCCCGAGACGAAGGCCGTGCCGCCGAGCGGGACCTCGAGCTCGTCGCCAGTACCGTCGTCGTAGCGGACGATGTTCTTCTTGGCGGTCGGCATCTGGAGCCCGTAGAGCGTCGTGACCTTGGGCGCCTCGCGCTCGTACAAAGCCGCGTCGATGTGCCACCTGCGACTCGAAATCTTGTCAGTCTCGTCCTTTCTCGTGGCCCTCGAAAGGGAGAGAGTCGAGGCGCACCGGTAGAAGCGAGTGAAGCCCTTTGCCGAGTCCTCGGCGCTGATCTGGGTCTTGTGGAAGCTCTGGTGGCTCGGGTGCTTGAGCTTGCACGGGTTGACGAGCCCTTGCAGGACGTGGTCGTCGGTGACGAGGCCGTTGCCGATGAGCTGTACGGCAGGCTGCGCAGGGATGTTGCGCAGGTCCGGGTGCAGGATGCTGGCGGCTTCAGGACGACCGACCTGTCGACGCGAGGGCCCGAGCGTCAGTGAACCTGCTCGACGTGCGACGCTCGGCGACACTGCCACAGTGCGACAGGATCACAGAGAAGGAAGAATTCGTGGCGCACCTTGCCGTGGCCGTACTCCTGCGCCGCCGGGTCGAACGCGTTTGTGAGAGCGTGCTGCCCAGCCGGCGTCACGTCGACGTCCTCGAAGACGACGACACCGTGCCGGTACAGGAGGTTCTCAATGCTGTCGTAGAGCGAGAGGAAAGGTCGAGCGAGGGGCGAGGGCGAGACGAGGGGAAGGGCAGGAGGAAGGAGGAGGAGGAGCGGGTCAGTTCACTCCCTCGCTCGCCGCGAGGTTAAGATGGAGAGAGGGACGCACATGGCAAACTCGTCGTCGGTGAGCTTGTTGATGTCCTTGATGCCGTCGACGACGACGCCGAACGCCTCCTGGCGCGGGCGCTTGCCGACCGACGGAGCGTAGGGGACCGGGCGCACGGAGAGGCCGGCGGGCGCAGGGGCGAGGGCGACAGTCATGGGCGAAGCAGAAACTAGCAGGTAGAGCGTGCAGAAGAGCGAGAGAAGCAAAGGAGCGAGAGCGAAAGAGAGAGGACGAGCCGGCCGAGATAAGCGAACGCGGGGTCGAGAGCCAGCGGACCCCGACGCCGCGACCCCGATTCACTTCCACGCAGCGTTCCTTGCGTCCACAGCGGCTCCGGCGGGTCCCGTCGAACTGCAGCTGGGTTGGCGCGAGGCGGCCACCCTCGCCGATAGAGTCCGCCGCGGCGAACCCGCTCTCGGACCGCGCTCTCGCACCTCGTCCTCGCAAACGAGCCCTGCACAGACCGAGCACTGCTGTTCTTTACTCGCACGCCGGGCTACAGCACAGAGCGTCTCCCTCCAGCCGACACAGACCCGCGAGCCAGTCACTTCTCCGAGAGGGCCGAGACGCCGGGGAGGTCCTGCGGGTGCGGGCCGGACGGCGTGAGCATCTCTTGCCCGACAGCATCGCGCAGCCGACCGCCGACAGGACCATGCTGTCGACGGAGCGACGAGCGCGAGATAAGGGACGAGAGAGGGGGACGCACCTTGCCCTCGAGGAGCTCGAGCGACGCACCGCCGCCGGTCGAGATGTGCGACAGCTTGTCGTCGGCGCCAAACTTGGCGCAGACGGTCGCCGTGTCGCCTGCAGGAGAGCGAAGTGTGTCAGGGACTGCATCCACCAACAAGTTCGCGCGACCGACGCGCACGAGGACCGTGCGGCCTCCTGCGCGCCGGACGAGGGACGAGGAGGAAGAGAGAGCGAGGGGGGACGCACCACCACCGACGATGACGGTCGCGCCCGCCTCCTTGGCCTCGATGCACGCGTCGAGCGTCGCCTTGGACCCGCCAGCAAACTTCTCGAACTCGAACACGCCGGCGGGGCCGTTCCACAGGATCGTCTTGGCCTTCTTGATGGCGTCGGCGAAGAGCTTGCGGCTCTCGACGCCGGCGTCGAGGCCCATCCAGCCGTCGGGGATGCCCTGCTCGTCAGTCGCGGTCGACGTCTCGGCGTCCTTGTCAAACTTGTCGGCCGTCACATAGTCGACCGGGAACACGAGCTCGACGCCCTTGGCCTTGGCCTTCTCGACGAGCGACGCCACCTTCTGCGAGCCGGCCTCGTCAAAGAGCGAGGTGCCGATCGAGACGTTGTCGAGCGTCTTCTTGAACGTGAAGGCCATGCCGCCGCAGACGATGAGCGAGTCGACCTGCGAGGGCGAGAGAGCGAGGGCGGGCGCAGGGAGGGGAGGACGAGGCAAGGCGCGTGAGCTGCTGCGCTTGTCCTCGCACGCAACGGAGGACTCCTGTCGGGCCCACGAGAGAGAGAGAGAGAGAGAGAGAGGACGCACCTTGTCGAGGAGGTTCTCGATGAGCTGGATCTTGTCCGACACCTTTGCGCCGCCGAGGATGGCGAGGAACGGGCGCTCGGGCTTCTCGAGGACCTTGGCAAAGTACTCGAGCTCCTTGGTCATGAGGAGGCCGGCCGCCTTTTGCGGGAGGTCGACGCCGACCATGGACGAGTGGGCGCGGTGGGCCGTGCCGAACGCGTCGTTGACAAACACGTCGCCGAGCTTGGTGAGCGACGCGCGGAACTGCTTGACCGACTCGGGGTCGGCCTTGGTCTTGTTGCCGTCCTTGTCCTTGGACGAACCCTCCTCCTCGATGTGGAAGCGCAAGTTCTCGAGGAGGAAGATGTCGCCGTCCTTGGCCGCGGCGACCGCCTTCTCGGTGTCGGCGCCGACGCACTCGGGAAGGAATGTGATCGACTTGCCCGGGAGGAGGCGCTCGAGCTCGGCGGCGACGGGCTTGAGCGAGTACTTCTGGACGGCGGCACCGTTGGGGCGGCCGAGGTGCGACATGAGGACGATCGACTTGGCGCCCTGGTCGATGGCGTACTGGATGGTCGGGAGGGCAGCAGTGATGCGCTGTGGGCGTGCGGAGCGACATGCGGGAAGGAGGCGAGAGCGGCAAGGGGTCGCGCGAAGGAGGAGAGGAGGAGGAGGACGAAAAGGAGAGGGTCAGTCGTCTATGCGGACACTGCGGGTCTCGCTGCGGGTGCGTCGTCCTGCGCAACCGCCTCCAGGCTCGTCGCGGCCGGACACCTGGCTCGAGGAGCGAGCTGCACCGCCTCGTCGACATCCATCGATCATCTCGCCTCGAGTTCGTCGTCGTCGTCGAGTTGCGCCAGCTCAGGGCCTCGCACGACCGACGAGGGAAGACCGCGCAAAGGTGCAAGGGCAGGTGCACGGCGCAAGAAGGGGCAGGGAGTGACGACGGACCTGGTTGTTGGTGATGTTGCCCTCGCCGTCGAACGGCACGTTGAAGTCGACGCGCATGACGACCTTCTTGTCCTTGAGCTGGACGTCGCGGATCGAGAGCTTGGACGAGAGCGAGGCGGGCATGCTGTGCGGGCGGGTGCAGGGGACGGCGAGCGAGGGAGCGAGTCGGAACGAGGCGGGGGAGGACGGACGAGAGGGAACGAGGGCGAGCCGGCGGGGGCAACGAGTCAGCAAGGGCCCGGGTGGCTACCGAGAGCGAAGGAGACTCACGTGGGCTGGTAGGCGAGAAGGCAAGGTGCGTTGGCGACGAGAGAGATAGCCGGCGAGGGTTGAAGAGGGTGAGGTCGGGTCGGACGGAACGGCGACGACGGCAGGCAACAGGGGGGGGCGAGGGAGGGGCAGGCGGCTGCGTCAGTGGTGCTGTACAAGTGCTCGAGGGAACGTGGACCGGCGCACCTGGTTCTCGGTCGAGTGGGTGAGGAGGAGAGGGAGGGGGAGCGCTGCAGCTCGTTGCCGTCGCCAAGTCGTAGTAAGCCCGGCCGACTCCTCCCTCCCCTGAGTCTGAGCCGATTCCCTATTCGCCAATACGAACCTGACCGCCTCGCCTGATTCAGCTCTGGCTCGTCGCACCTCGACCGCCTTCTGTCGCCTCGTCGCTCCGTCCTCCACCTCGCCGAGCTCGCCCTCACCTCTCGCACGCTCGAGAGCCCACGACTCGCCCCTCTCGCGCCCGTCGCGCCGTCTCGCACCCCCTCCCCGCCCGCGTCGCTTTTCCCTCATCTCCACCCATCGACCCGCCGCCCGCACTCGACCATGGCGGCCGCTCAGCCTACCGATCCCGATCCGTCACCCGCACCCGCACACCACCACGACCTCGACCGCCACGCCTTCGTCCCCTCGCCGTCGACCCGCGAGTGGCTGTACTCGCTCCCCCTCCCGCCCGGCTGCACAACCCAGCCCGAGCCCCAGACCCCCGAGGACTGGGCCCTCGTCGAGCAGTACCGCCTCCTCGTCAATGGCCTCGTCGTCCTCGGCGAGTACGAGCGCGAGCGCCGCAGGAGGGAGAGCCGCGGCGAGGACCCGTTCGCGACCGCGTGGGACCCGCGCAGTGCGTCCTCGCTTCTGTCCCTCCTTCCGTCACCGAAACCCTGTAACTGACGCACGAGCACGCCCGCAGCCTGCAGCAACCCCGTCGTCCTCGCCGCCGTCGATTCGCTCGTCAAGGACGCCTGGCCCGGCCTCGACACGGCCTCGCCCGCGCACGCGGCCTCAAGCGCACCGCAGGCCGGCACCGCAGCCACGCTCGAGACGGATGCGGCGTACCTTGGTGCGCTGAGCGCCGTCCAGGCCGCCCTCGGCGGCAGCGCCGCCGGCGTCCTTCGAGGCCGGGGCTCGTCGCCCTCGACCGCGACCACGGCGTCGTCGCACTCGTCGCGCGCACCGCACCACCACCCGCACCAGCGTCCTCAGGCTCGCTCGTCGTCGTCGTCGAGCTCGGCCGCCGCCACCACGTTCCACGACGACTACTCGACCCCGGCCTCGTCGGCCGCGCCCTCGTTCCGCCTCGACCCGGCGACGGGCGACATGATTGCGTCGCTCCCGCTGTCGCTGTCGGACCTCGCGTCGCTCCCGTCGCACTCGGCGCTCGCGCTCGACCCGTCCCAGATCCCGGCCGACGGCATCCTCGCCGACCACCTCCCGCTCGACCTGAGCGGGCCCGCGAGCCTCCCGAGCCTCATGGGCGCCATCGCCGAGCTCGAGCAGTGCGTCGCGCGCCTCAGCCTCGAGGCCAACGAGGCGCGCACGCTCCAGAAGACGCTCCGCATGGAAATGGCGGCGAGGACCTCGGGCGGCGGCGGTGCCGGCGCCGGTGCAGCGCCGGGTGCGGCTCGTGCGGCGGCCAAGAAGCAGAAGCGCAAGGCCAAGAAGCGCGCCGCAGCCGAGGCGGCGGCCGCCGCTACCGCCGCCGCCGCGTCGCCGGGCCAGCCGCACGAGCACGAGCACGACGAGCACGACGACGAGCACAACGACCAGCCGCAGGCGCCCATGACGCGCGACGAGGCGCTCGTGAGCGGCCTGAGCGGGCGCGTCGACGACTGCTGCTCCGAGTGCGGCGAGTCGCACGCCGCCGTGCCGCCTCACCACGCCGGCGCCGGCGCCGGTGCCGCGACGGGCCCCAGTGCGCTCGTCCCGGGCTCCGGTGCGGGCAGCGGCGCGAGCATCATTGGCGAGGCGGCGCACAGGGCGGTCGGCGTCGGGGCTTGGGAGGACGGCGAGCTCATGAAGGCGCTCCAGAGCGTGAGCCAGCTCGACCGGCGCGCCGACGAGTACAGGGAGCGCCTGCGGGTCCTCAAGGTGCGTCCTCACTCTCTCTATCTCTCTCGCACGCACGCCCACCTCGCACGACAGCGTCCTGACCCCTCGCTTCTCCTGCCGCAGGAGCAAATCCACCACCACGCCGCCCTCGCCGACTCGCTCGCCGCCGCACCGCCGTCGACCAACGGTCACGGGCGAGGCGCGCTCGTGCAGAGCCAGCTCGCGGGCGAGGGCGTCGCCGAGGGCTTGTGGCCTGTCGACGCCGAGGGCGACATGTACGAGCTCGACGAGGAGGAGGAAGAGGAGGAGGAGATCTCGGACGAGGCGGACGAGTAGAGCGCGGTGGAGCGGTGTCGGCTTAGAGTGGGCGCGCTTGAGGGTCTGTACAATCTGCGCGAGGGCGGCGCGTGTGCAACTCGAGCGTCGCATCCGCAGCCTCTTCGTCCTCGCTCTGCTCGCGCCCCTCTCCTCTCAGCTTGCCACTCGCTGCCGAGCCCGTGCTCCAGGGTAGCTTGCAGCTCTCCGTCCGACGCCCTGTCCGCCCGACCGAGTGCGGCTCTCCACCTCGGCCACGATGGTCGGCACGCTCGCGGAGGAAAGCCGAGGAAGCAAGCGCGGCCTCGACGGTCGACGCACAGGTGAGCGCGTTTCGCCGCGGTAACGTTCTCGATAGGAGCTGCATGACTGGGTGCGAGCTCGCAACAGAACGAAAGCCTGCAGAGGAGTGGCGCTCGCGCTCGGCTCGGACGCACTGACCTCTCGTCCCCCTTCGGCCAGAGGTCAAAATGACCTCGGCGAGCGAAAGGTCAAAAAGTGCGGGGCTCGAGTTCGGCGCCAGCTCGTTGCTGTGAAGGGCAAGCGCCCGCACTCGTTGCTGAGGGTCACCTGCTCGGCCCCAGGCAAACGCTACATAGCAAAGAGCGGCGTTTCCCTCGGGCTCGAGAGGAAAGCTCTCGAGCGAGTCGGTTCGGTCACCGAGGTCGGAAGTTCGGCCAACCTTTGCTCGTCGCTCTCTCTCTGCTTCCCTCCATCCTCTCGCTCTTTGCTGCCTCACACACCTCGACCACCAACACCTCGACAGCCATGGCCGACGACAAGGACGCTTTCGCCGAGCAGCAGGCCCAGATGAACGCGCCGCCGCCGCCCAAGTGGCGCCCGTCGCTGCGCTCGTTCGCCTACGCTCTCGGGCTCTTCCTCCTCTTCGGTATCGGTGCGTCCTTTGTCCGCGTCCTCCGCGTGTGGCACGCCGTCGTGCAGGACGTGCGCGACCAGGGTGCTGACTCGTCCCTCCCCTTTTCCCTCGACCCTCTCGCCGTTCCCTCCCCTCCTTCCCCTCGCAGCTTGCGGTCAGCTCGGCATCTGGTCGTGGGCGCTCCAGAAGTACGGCAACATCCGCCGTGTCGAGGACTACCCGAACGCCGAGACGATGCAGGTGCGTCTCGCCTCCCTCGTCTGCTTGCCCTCGTCGACCGGCGGACGCTGACTCGTCCTTCCTTCGCAGACCGGCAACATGCTCTTTGCGACGAGCCTCATGTGCGTCCCGCCTGTGCCCTGTCCCACCTCGATTCGTCGACACTGACCTTCTCAAATCCGCACGCAGCACGATCCTCGTCACGCTCGGCGCGCCTTTCCTCCCGCTCCTCTTCCTCGCCTTCCTCCTGTTCGCGGTCTTCGTCATGAACATCGTCGGTGCCGGTGCGTCCCGTCTCCAACACCCTGGATCATTCGCAGCGCACTGACAAGTCGACGAAACAGGCATCCTCACGCACCAGATCCCCTTCGAGGCCGGCTCGTGCTCGACGAGCAACGCCAACTGGGCGCGCTTCCTCCCCGACTGCAAGAAGTGGGTCGCCTACGAGGCGCTTGCGTGGACCGCGTTCGCGCTTGCCTTCGTCCTGTTCTGCGCCGTCCTCGCCGACGTGTTTGCGTTCGCCAAGAAGCGGCAGCACAAGCGCCACTACCTCCTCGGCGCGTGAGCGCGTTCCCAGAGCCACGACGCACGACCGGCGCACCGGTGCAGCGACCGCATCGTCGGCGCTCGACCGGGACGTCGACGTGTTCTTGCGCCCGGACCTCGCCGAGGTCGTCCATCCCTTTCCCTCCTTCCTCGCACACCACCCCTTCCTCCTTCGTCGTTCTCCCCACCCTTCCAGGCCTTTCGCCTTCACTGCCCAGTCGTCAAGCGTCGACCTCTCGCCCGCTTCGTCCTCCTCTCGAGCTTCCCTCCCTCGCCTGTTTATAGTCCCTCCCCCTCTGCTTTTTAGACTAGTCGACGCCTCCGCGTGCCTAATGATCCTTTCGCTTTCTTCCTGTCGTCGAGCGGCCGAGCACGAGCGAGAAGAGCAGCAGCAAGCGGTTGCAGAGAGCGAGTCCGCGGATATAGCGCGTGCTCTACTTCCACCCGGAGGAGTGGCGGCGTCCGTGTAGCGAGCTATCTCATCTAGAGCAGATAGCAGGAAAGAAATGATACTCGGCGGCCGTCGAGGCGGTAGCTTGGCGCCGTCGTCAACGTTGTCGGCGACCCGCGGAGCGGTGAGGAGGTTGGCTCACGCACAGCATTGCAGCTCAGTCGGACACTGCCACCAGTTCAGACCGCCAGCTAGTACTTCTGCTCGACAGGCCCCACCAGCCCGCACCAGCCTGCACGCTCCAGCAGCGTGACCTCCACCTCAACCCTCCTCATCTCGCCAGCGTCGTCTCGCCGTCTACTGCCTCGTGCAACGCCGTCGAGCACTCTGCAGCTCTCTAGGTGCGCCCACGCACCTCTACTGCCCCTTCCCGGACCACCCGAGCCAGCGCTCAGCGAGGACTGACTATCTCGACCCAAACAGCCTCGGTCCTCAACGCGCCGTCAAAGGAGCTCAAGCGCACGCAGCACCGACAGTCTGGATAACCAGCAGTGGACGAGAGGTGCGCCCTACTTTCTCTCACCTCTGTGCGAGCCGGCGACGGCGACCGCGCTATCTTCACCTTCCCGCCCCCGGTCATCCTCGTCTTCGCGCATGACGAGCGCGAGCGCTGACTCTCTGTTGCACACCCTACCTACAGCTCGTGTTGGGCGTGGGCTGGCTTACGTCCCCGTCGTCGAAGTCGCCGCGCCCGTCACCACGGACGGCAACGACGCCTCGAGCAGGTGCGTCCTGCCGCCCATCCATCTCCCCGACTCTCGCAAGGCACTCACTGACTCGTGCACCCGCCAACAGCAGGAGATCGAGCGTCAGCCATCATCCTCGGATGAGCCCGACCGCCCCGTCCATCCACAGCAACCGCAGCGGCTCCCTCTTTGCCCCTTCGGAGCACTCTACCTCGACCGGTCACCCGAGCGAGGACCATGCGCCGCCGACCTTCTTCAAGAGCATCCGTCGCGCCATCGTGAAGGCCGCCACGGCTGGGTCCGAGCCGACGCACGAGTCGTCGTCGTCGTCAAAGGGCCGCGAGCGCAGCAACCGCGTCGGCACCTCGAGCCGCGGCGCAGGCGTCAAGCCCAAGCGCAGCGCGACCTCGACCGACCTGCCGCTCACGAGCGACGCCATGCTGCGGCGCGAGCAGAGCGCGCACTCGCAGGCGTCGGTCGGCATGACGAGCGGCGGCGGGTTCGTCGCCGGACCTTCTCGCGGCGGCTTTATCGTGCAGTCGCACGCCAAGGCGACGCCGACGGTGGCGACCACGACGGGCGACTCGACGTCGCTCGCCGACCTGCCGCCCTTGGCCTTGCCGCCGACCGGCTCGTCGTCCTCGAGGCCGGGCGACAGCGGCCGGCCCTCGTTCGACCGCGCCGTCACGCTCGACGCCCTGCCGGGCTCGCCGACGCAGGTCTCGGTCGGCGACACGGTCCTCCCGCCCTCGACGGTCCTCGCCCGCCTCCTCGACCTGCACGCGCACAGCCCGAGCCCCGAAGCGTTCGTCCCCCTCATCCGCCTTCTCGCCCGGAGCGTCGGCCTGTTCCCCTTCCCTCCCCCTGCACTCGCCGCCTCGACCCTGTCCGACGTCCTCGCCGCGACGCCCCTCTCGCCCTCTCGCGCGTCGACCGCGCACGGCACCGCCACCCCGGTCCCGACGCCGTCGCCCGCCCAGATCTACCTCTCGCAGTCGCACCACCTCAACGAGCATGCGCCGGCCGCACTGCGCAGCGCCATGCTCGAGCTCATGACGGCGTGCGTCAACGCATCGCTCGAGTCGACCGGCGGCATGCGCGAGACGGAGAAGGCCATGTTCTGGGACGAGGCGCGGCGGTGGGCCGACGAGGCGCGCATCGAGGTCGACTCGGGCCAAGGCGGCAAGCGGTGGGTCCTCCCCGACGCCGACCGCGAGGCGCTCGTCGGCGTCCTCACGGCCATGACGCGCGGCGGGCGCGACCTGTCGGACGTGCCGGGCCTCGTCGGCCTCCTGTGCCTGTTCGTCACCGACTCGCTCCCCGTCCCTCGTCCTCCCTCGCCCTTGTTCGACCCCAACCTCGCCACGCCCTTCATCCGCTCGGTCCCGCCCAAGCCCTCGCCGCACGCGAGCTCGCTCGCCCTCCTCACGTCGCTCCACAAGTTCTGCGCGCCGCACATCTACACGGCGTCGACCCTGTTGGCGCTGCGAGCGGCCCTCGAGGTGGCGCGCCTGCGCGAGGAGCAGGACATCGGCGGGCGCGACGGCGTGCTCGACTTTCTCGGCGCCGTCGTCCGGTTCGGCGAGGTGCGCGGCGGCAAGGCGGCGCAGCGGCGGCAGGGCAAGGCGGCACGAGGCGGCACCGCCGTCGAGGCCGAGCGCGCCGAGCTGCAGCAGGATCGTGACGAGATCCTGCGCGAGGTCGTGTCGACGGTCGCGCGCATCATCGGGTGCGAGGGCCTCGTCAGCGTCATCGAGCTGCCCGAGGGTCGCTCCCTGCGCGACGTCGGCAACCCGCCCAACGCGAGCGCCGTCAAGACGAGCACGCTCCCGTCGCAGGCGCTCGACCTCATGCGCGACCTCATCCGCTCGCCGGCCAACCAGGCGACCAAGTCGCTGCGCAGCGTCCTCGTCGCACCTCCTCCGCCCGGCCCCGACGGCGCCCGTCCTCGCGCGCCCGTCCTGCTCCTCGTCGGCGCGCTGCGCTCGTTGCGCAAGGCCATGGCCGAGCACGCGTCGGAGCTCGAGGCGAGCCTCGTCTCGGAGGCGACGGGCATGGGCGGCGGCTCGAGCGGCGCGACGGGCGAGTCGCGGTGGCCGTCGATGCTCAGCCTCGGCCTGCCGTTCCTGTGGAACGGCATCCGGCGCAGCATGTTGTGGGAGAGCGGGCCCGTCGACGCCGAGGTGCTGCGCCTCGTCGAGGAGCGCCTCGACGCCGCCGAGCGCATGGCGCTGCGGGCCAAGGACCTCGCCGTCACGCACCCGTCGGCGTCGGCGCCGGGCTCGAGCGGCCAAGGAGGCGGCGGCAGCGGCGGCGGAGGAGGGGCGGGAGGAGGACCTGCGCCGGGCAAGGAGGCCGAGGACGTGCCCAAGGGCATCTCGTTCGAGGAGTGGACGATGGCGATCGAGGTGCTCGACAAGGCCAAGAAGCACATCGCGTCGTGGGAGCAGCAGAACTTGCGGCAGTGGATCCTGTCGGACGATGGTGCGTCCTCCTCTCTCTCTCTCTCTCTCCACTCTCGTCCTCGACACCGCGCAGGGCCCGACGACTGACTCTCTCTTTCTCTCCCTCGTCTCGCAGTCGAGATCAACCCCGTCACGCCGCGTGTCGAGCGCAACGACCCCGGCGAGGACCTCGGTGCGTCCCCCTCTTTCCCTTCCTCGCCCCTCCTTCTCGCCCCTCCTCCTCGTACTGACGGCGACACGCGACGACACAGACTCGGACGAGGAGGAGGAACTCGGCCACGGCGACAACGGCCAGTTCACGGCTCGGCCCGGCGTCCTCATCGCCTTCACGTCCCTCCTGCGCAAGGTCGTGCGAGCGTGGTGCGGCACCGACTTTTCCGGCCCGGGCGACGCCGTCTTTACGCTCCTCGTCTCGCTCGCGCCGCACCTGTCGGACGCCTACGCCCGCCTCACGCTCGACCAGTGTCGCTCGGGCACCCTGTGCCTCCCGACGCACCCCGAGTGGCTCGAGCGCACGCAAGAGCTCGTCAAGGCGTTTTACCTCCCGCCGCCGACGCGTGCAGCAGGCGCCGGCTCGCGCTCGCTGCGGCGAGGCGCGTCGCCCGTCGTCCGAGCCCGCATCCTCCAGTCGGTCGCCTCGATCCACGCGCACGTGCGCTTCCTGCCCAAGCAGCGCGACGAGCTTGTCGACACGCTCATCATGCCGCTCCTCGAGACGAGCCTCGAGCTCGAGACGGACCCGCAAGTCGCCGAGGCCATGGTGTCGCTCATGACGTCGCTCGGGCGCGACGTGCTCGACGACGTTGACGACGAGGACGCCGGCCCACTCGGCTTCTTCGACCGCCTGCGCCTGCTCCTCGTCAAGATGGCCAAGTCGGCCGACCGCACGCTCCACCGTCGCTCGCCGTCGGCCCCGTCGACGCCGGCGAGCAAGCGCACGGGCTTTGCGCCCTTGTCGCGGTACGCCGGCAAGGACGCGTCGCCCTCGTCGAGCCGCATCGGCGGCGCGCCACCGCCCATCCTCGACGCCACCGACCCGCCCGAGGTGTCGTCGGTCGCCGTCATGGGCCTCATGTCGATCTTCCACCTCTGCCTCGAGCACTCGACGCCGGCCGCCGCCGAGAAGGCCGTCGTCATCTACCGCGATCTGCTCCTCCTCTTTGCGCCCAACCACCTGTCGGCGCCCGACGCGGCACCCGAGCCGTCCATCTCGATCCGCACCCGCCTCCTCATCCTGCAGTGGCTCGTCCGCCTGAGGGCCGACGCCTCGCACCGCGTTCACTGGATCCACGACGTCGACATCACCGGGCCGGCCAAGGTCCTCGGCCGCCTCGCTGCCGCCGCCACCGGCGCCGGCGCCGGCGCCGACGCAGGGTCGGGCGAGCCCGGCGGCGGCGCGTCGAGCGCCCGGGCGTCAGACGACGGTCACGGCGAGCCGCAGCGAGGCCGCACGAGCCGCCAGCCGTCGGCGGCGCAGGACGCGACGGCGAGGTCGAGGAGCGCGAGCCGCCTGCGCCGGCTCGCCGAGCAGGACCGCACGAGCCCGAGCCGGTCAGGGTCGATCCGGCGCAACGCCGCCGCCCCGTCGCTCACGGCGTCGCCCATCCTGTGGACGATCCCGGAGAAGCTCCCGTTCGCGTTCGGCTCGTCGGTCGCGTCGATCGGCACTCGCGGGCTCGCGTCGTTCGACCACAACCGCCTGCGCAACTGGACCGAGGAGGAGGACCCGGGCACGGGCCTCATGAAGGTCGTCGAGGCCGAGGAGACGCTCCCGCCGAGCGAGTGGTCGGTCGTCCTGCCCGTGTCCGAGTACCTCGGCGCCGTCAACCACGTCCTCCAGGTCGACCAGGAGTGGGAGCTCGTGTCGTACATCCTGTGCCACCTGCCCGAGCAGCTCAGCAACAAGCACTACGCGTGCGGGCCTCGGTGCGCCCAGCAGATCCACGTCCTGCGCAAGTTCCTGTGCGACAGCCTGCGCGCCGGCGACCGCGGCGAGCGCACGTTCCCCCACTCGCTCCCGCACGGCATCAAGCGGGCCGAGATCCACGCCGTCGCGTACCAGTGCCTCACGGCGCTCATCGCGTACCGCTCGCTGTTCATCAAGCAGCACCAGGACGACATGGTCAACGCGTTCCTGTTCGGGCTCGGCAACCCTCGCGACACGGCCAAGCCGTGCATCCACGCCCTCACGATCGCCTCGTTCGAGCTGCGCCCGTCGATGACCAAGCACCTCGCCGAGTCGGTGCGGCACCTCCAGAAGATCATCTCGACCCCGGAGCTCGGCGTCCACATCCTCGAGTTCATCGCCGGCGTCGGTCAAGAACCGGCCCTGTACGCCAACTTTACCGACGTCGACTTCCAGACCGTGTTCGGCATCGCGCTCAAGTACATCCAGGCCCACAACGAGCGCCTCGTCGACGACCCGGGCGCCGACGACGCCCAGGAGGGCATCGAGTACGCCTTCTCGCAATACGTCCTCCTCCTCGCCTACTACAACCTCGCCGTGTGGTACCTCGCCGTGCGCCTCGCCGAGCGGCCCAAGTTCGTCCCGTTCCTCACGCGGCGGCTCGTCCAGGCCAACGAGGGCAAGGGCGAGGTCGACGAGGCGACCGAGGTCATCCTGGACATGATCGCGCGCTACGCCTACTCGAACGCCGACCCTCGCCCTCGGGCGACCGACTTCGACAACCTGATCACGGGCGCGCCCGGCGCCGCACCGCTCGCGCCGCCCAAGACGTGGATCGTCGGCCTCGCGACCATCACGATCCGCAAGGTGCACGCGCCGGCGTGGGTCGAGGTGACGGTGCGCCGCTCGTCGGGCGTCGTGCGCATGCTCTGGGAGATGCAGAACATCAGCATGACGTCGTCGGCGCCCGAGAGCGACCTCATCGCGGGCCTGCTCCGCCACCGCGAGACGGCCGGCCTCATGCACCAGGTCCCGACGGCCGTCAGCGAGGCGCTCGCCATCCTGCCCCAGCACGCCAAGCCGCTCCACGTCGGCTCTCGAGCGCGAGCGGCGTCGTTCTCGGGCACGCCGGCGGCCGACGACCGCCCGTTCAAGGCCCGCATCGAGGACAACGCCATCGTCGACGTCGCCAACTCGGCCGCGCACGACGTCGCCCAGGTCACGATCGAGTCGGGCGCGCTTACGGTCGACCCGAGCTTCTTCGTCGTCCAGCTCTCGTCGTTCCCGCACGTCGACACCCGAGTGCGCCCGCTTCTCGTCCCGAGCGACCCAGCGTCGCAGCGCGGCGTCACCCTCCTCGACTCGATCCCGATCGTCGACTTTCACAAGGTCGGCGTCCTGTACGCCGGGCCCGGGCAGACGAGCGAGCGCGATATCCTCGCCAACACGCACGGCTCGAAGGCGTACGTCGAGTTCATCAGCGGCCTCGGCGGCCTCGTGCGCCTCAAGGGCTCGCGCGAGCTCGGCATCTACACGGGCGGGCTCGACCAGGAGAACGACATCGACGGGCGGTGGACCTACTGCTGGGACGACGACATCTCGCAGCTCGTCTTCCACGTCGCGACCCTCATGCCGACCGACCTCGCGACCGACCCGCAGTTCACGCTCAAGAAGCGGCACATCGGCAACGACTTTGTCAAGGTCATCTTCAACGACTCGGGCGGCGACTTTGCGTTCGACACGCTCCCCGGCGACTTCAACTTCGTCAACATCGTCATCCAGCCGCACACGCCGGCGGGCAACCCGTGGCTCGGGCCCGGCATGTCGAACAACACCGAGTTCTTCAAGGTGTCGATGCAGTGCCGCCCGGGCATGCCCGAGATCGGCCCGCTCGGCACGTTCAAGATGGTGACGGGCTCGTCGCTCGCGAGCGTCGTGCGCCAGCTCGCGCTCCACTCGAACATCTTTGCCCAGATCTTTCTCGCCTCGGTCGGATTCGAGACGCAGCGCCAGGCGGGCACCCATGGCAAGACGCACCGCCTCGAGTACTCGAGCAACTGGCGCAAGCGCCTGCAGCAGATCAAGCTCCTCAAGCGCCGCATCCTCGAGGCGCAGCAAGGAGGCGCCGGCGCCGCCTCGGCAGCAGCTCCCGGCGGGCAGCAGCAGCAGCAGCCGTCGTCATCGTCGTCGACCGCGCCCGGGCAGCCCGCCGCCGTCTCGCCGCCGCCGTTCGACCTCGACCAGGCCGAGGCCGCGCGCCTCTTTACCTCGTGGGCGTCGTGAGGGCCTCGCCTCTTCTCTCTCTCGCGCATGGTGCGTCCCTCATCTCCCTTGGCCTCTCCTCTCGTGCGACGTATTCGTCGAGCCCGCACTGACCCTCTCTTTCCCCCTCGCCTCGCAGGTCCTTCCTCCTCTCCTGCAGCTGTTGTACCTCCCTTCCCGTCCCTCCTCTACTCCCCCGCCGTCATCGTCGTCGTCGTCTTTCGTAGCAAAGCGCTTCTCCTTTCTGTCCAGCCAGCACGCCGCAATGCACCTTATCTGTTGTCGTCGCTCCCTCTTTGCCTCTCTTTCTCTCTCTGCGCGAGTCCGCTCTCCTTGTCTCCCGCATGCGAGGCGTCGCGAGGAAAGTGCAAGTGCGAGAGCGAGTGACACGAACGACGAGAAAAAGGCACTGCTGGCAAAAGCCCGACGAGGGTCCAAGCGCTCCTCCCCTCCCTCGCTCCCCTCACTTCCTCCCCCTCTTCGTCCCTCCCGCCGCCGCCGCCGCCGCCGCCGCGACGACCTTGTGTCCCTTGGCCGGCGGCTTGTACCCATACACGTCGCCGAGCCACTGGTGCCACCGCGCGAGCTGGTCGGGCGAGCCCGAGAACTTGAAGTGGACGTGCTTGAGGTCGTCGAAGCCTGCGTGGGCGAGGGACCAGGCGCCGAGGAGGAGAGGAGAGAGAAAGAGGAACGTGGAGAGAGAGGGAAGAAGGAAGGAAGGGGAGGGAAAGGCAAGATCGTCAGGCGCGAGAACGAGAGATTCGGGAGAGAGAGAAAGAGAGAAAGAGGGAGACGCCGACGCACCCTCGTCGAGCCTGGGCACCTCGAGCCGGCTCTTGTACCCGAGGAACGCAGCGAGCGGCAGCACCTCGCGCCGTCTGCCGCTGCCGCTCGCGTCTTCCGGCTCGTGCAGCGCGCGGTACACGCTGTTGTGCATCGCGAGCTCGAGCGGCGCCGTAAAGTAGACGCAGCGCACGCGCACGGGCACCGGTACCGGTACCGCGCCGCCGGCGCCGGGCACGTTGAGCGAGCGCACGAGGTCGACGTACTCGGCGCGGACCGACGCCGAGGGCGACGTGTTGTCGACGACGACCGACTTGGGGGGCGAGGCCGTCAGGGCGCGCCGGACGGCGGCGAGGCACGCCTGGCGCGTCTTGAGCGTGTCCTGGTTCTGCGGACGAGGCGAGACGAGGAGGACCGTGAGCGAGATGCCACGGCGGGAGAGAGGGACAAGGAGGGAAAGGGCGGACGCACGACGTGGACGTAGCCCTTGGGCGCAAAGTGGGTCTTGAAGAAGGTCGTCTTGCCGACGCCCGGCGGCCCGACAAAGATGACGACCTCGGGCGGCGGCTCGTCGTCAAACTCGCTGCGGCGGCGCGGGAGGAGCGGCGGCGAGCAGGGCGAGTAGAGCGGCGCTGCGGGGAGGCCCGCCACGTGCGTCAGGAACGGCTCGACGTGCTCATCGAGAGAGAGGCGAGAGGTTGGCGCACAGGAGTGGTCGTGCGTGCGAGGGTCCCAGCCGCCGAACTCGACCGGAGCGTGCGCCGGCTTGTCGAGGAAGAACTGCTCGGGCGTCATGAACGGCAGGCCGCAGTTGAGCGCAAACTCTGCGGGGCGAGACATGCGTGAGTGAGTGTACGTTGAGCGCGAGGAGAGAGGCAAGGACGCACTGTGGTCCGTGTCCGAGTGGTCCTTGAGCCTCGTGGTCGTCGCAGGTCGGCCCGCCGCGTCGCCGACGTAGAACGACGCCGCGTAGTCTGTCGCCCGACGGGTACAGCGTCAGGACACGCCACACGAGTGAGAGGGAGAGGGAGGCGGACGCGCCGATCGACAGGCCGCCGTTGAACTTTGTCTCGAACGCGAGCCACATGGCGGGCGCCGGCTTGCGGAACTCGTTGTGGTCGAACGCGGCGAACACGCGCAGCGGGACATCGAGAGCGCGAGCGACGGCAGGGATCTTGCGCTTGAACCAGTTGAGGCGGGTGTCGGTGAGCGCCTGGTTCGTGAAGAGGACGATGGCGAACCTGCGGCAGGAGGGCGGGGCGGGGTGAGTGGAGGTCTCTTTCGACGGCCGAGCTGGGACAGTTGGACGCACCCGTCGGCGTGGAGCTTGCGCAGCTTGGGGACGACGTGCGGGCTGATCCACTCCCAGTCCGAGTCGCTCTTGGGGTACTTTGAGTTGCCGTGCGGGCGAATCAGGGTGCCGTCGATGTCTGCGCGGTGCTAGGGCGGGTCAGGGCTAGACGTACAGAGTGCAGGGAGAGGTTGGACGTACCGAACGCGGCGATTTTGGTCGAGGGAGCAGGCGAGCGCGAGACGAAGTGGCCGCAGCCTTTGCCCGAGCCGAGGTTGGCGAACCAGGCGCCCTGCGAGGGTGCGGGCGGGCGGAAGAGGGGTGCGAGCTTGGTCTGGCCGGTGTCGGGCTGGTCGACGGGCGGCTTTGGGCGTGTCGCGGGCTGAGGGCCGTCATCAGTGAGGTCGATGTCGGCGGGGGAGAGGCGACGTCTCTTTGGGGATGCTGCGCGGGAGGAACGTGGTGAGCGTGTGTGCGGGGTGGTAGAAGGTGGTAGAGCAGACTCACGCTGTCCCATGCTGTGGGAAGAGACAGGCGAGGTGCGAGGCCAAGGTCGGACGAAGCTGCGCCGAGTTGGCTCGTCCCTCTCACCTCGCTCGCGTCTAGCTAGCCAGTGGACCAGCTCAGCTCCACCACCAGTCCCTCTACTCGACCATGCCGCGCGTCACCCGCGTCGTCGCCCCCCTTGAGCCCGACTCGTCCCCCACCTCGTCCTCGCCCTCGTCTCGCCCCTCGCAAGCCGGTCCCTCGCGCACCCGCACCGTAAAGCCCGTCACCCTCGCCTCCTGGGTCGGACTCAAGCCCTACGACCGCCCCCGACCCGCCGCGACAGCGCCCGGCCCCGAGCCGTTCGTCCTCGGGCGCGAACCGCCACCGTTCCCGACCACGCTCGCCGCCCGCTCGGCCTTCAGGCGCGACGCAGGCACAAACTGCACCCCGTTCCAGTGGCGTGTGCGTCCCTTCTCTCTCTCTCTCCCTCGCACGGCCCCCCCTCGCGCCAGAGAGCTCACGCCCGTCCCTCGCCTCGTCGCAGCTGTACGACCTCCTCCTCACCGTCCCGCCCGGGTCCGTCACCACCTACGCCCAGCTAGCCACCCTCCTCGACTCTTCCGCACGCGCAGGTGCGCCCCCGTGCCCTCTCTCCCTCGTTCCTCCCACCCCCGCCGCTGACCCTCCCCCTCGCCCGCGCGCCCAGTCGGCTCGGCCCTGCGCAACAACCCGTTCGCGCCGTTCGTCCCTTGCCACCGCGTCATCGCCTCGACCCTCTACATCGGCGGCTTTGGCGGCGAGTGGATCAAGCCCGGCCCGGGTGCGCGAGGACGGGCGGCGGCAAAGGCGAACGGCGACGGCGGCGGCGACGGCGACGAGGGCCGGCGCACGGGCGAGAAGCGCGAGCTGTTGCGGCGCGAGGGAGTCGAGTTTGACGCAAAGGGCTTCCTCAGGACCAAGCGCTCGCTGTGGGACGGCGGCGTCGTCGCGCGCGAGAGCGGGGCTGGAGCGGGGCCGGGCAGCAGAGGGGCCCGAACGGTCACCGCTCTCGACGACTCGCTCGTAGGCACTGCTCTCGGATAAGCCTGTGTGCAACAGCGTTCCATTCCATTCCGAGTTCACGCTGCAGCCGCCTTGAGAGCGAGCTTGCGCTTGCGAGCCCAGTAGACGCCCGGCCCGCCGAGGCCCGACAGGCACGACATGACGCCCACGAACACGATGATGTTGCGGAACCCGAACCGGCCCCAGGCGGCGCTGCGACGTCGCCCGAGAGAGAGAGCGAGCGTCAGGGCGAGGAGACCGCCATCGAGAGAAAGAGAGAGGGCGACGCACCGCTCGTCGTCGGCCAGAGCCTCCTCGTACAGGCCCGTCGAGATGAACGGCCCGACGATGGACGCGACGCCGCGCACGACGCCAAACAGGCAGAAGATCATGGTCGACAAGTGCGGGTTGGCGCCGGCGGCGTCGCGAGCGGCGGCGCCCCAGGTTCTGCGAGACGCGGACGGCGAGGACGGCAACGAGGCAAGGTCAGTTTGTTTGACCCTTTGAGAAAGATAGAGGGGGCAGATCCACGAGAGAGAGAGAGAGACGCACGAGCAGACCTGGGAGAAGGCGGCAAAGAGGACCGCAAACGCAAACACGGCGCCGAGCGAGCTCGCGAGCCCCCACGCCGTCAGCGACAGGACGGCACCCGCCGTGCCCATGACGACGAGCGTGATGGGCAGCGAGTAGTCGCTCGTGTAGCCCGTCAGGGTCGACCCGACGCTGCTCGACAGGTTGAAGATGGCGACGAGCAGGTTGGCCTTGCCCGGCGTCGACAGCGACGACGTGTAGATCGGGAGGTACAGGCTGACGGGCATGTAGCCCATCGACGAGAGGAACGTCGTCGCCGTCTGCGCACGCGAGGGCTGTGTGAGCTCGTGCGGGCGACGACGACGATCAAGAGAGAGCGAAAGCGACGAGACGCACCAGGGCGAGCACGACCGGGTCCTTGACGAACCGAAAATCGTGTATAGAGAGCCACGGCGCCCTCTCGCCGCGAGGCTTGACGAGCGGCACGCGCGGCTTGAGGTACAGGAGCGCGAGGGCGTACACGCCCGCCGTGATGCAGGCCCACGCTCGGCACATGGTCGGGAACCCGTACCGGTCGAGGAGGCCCGACAGCGCGAACGGGAAGATGGTGCCGCCGACCCCCGTGCCGGCAAAGATGATGCCCGACGCGAGTCCTCGACGGTCGTGCCACCAGCTGCGAGAGATAGGCGGGCGTCAGGCCTTGCTCCGTTGCGGACAGTCGAGGGAAGAGAGAAGGTTGGACGCACCCATTGAGCCAAAGGAGGACAGGCGCGTACAGGACGGCGCCAGACAGGCCGCACAGGACGCCGATGAGGAGGACGAGCTGCCACACCTCGGTCGCCCAGCTCGCGACGAGCATGCTCAGGCAGTTGACGAGCCCACTCGTCCACAGCATGGCTCGGATGCGCTCAGGGTACCGCCGGAAGACCGTGATGACGAACACGCTGCGGGGCGAGGGGACGAGTCAGTTCGCCCCGCCTCGAGTCGGCGTGAGGGAGAGAGAGTGGACGTACGGGCAGATGAACATGACGGCGAGTAAGATGGTGCCGATAGAGGTGAGGGCGGCGAGCGACGACGACGACCAAGGCGCGTGCGACTCGAAGAAGACGAGGATCGAGGCGTACGAGTACGAGAAGCCCCAGACTGCGGGGGGCACAGAGTCAGCGTGCGCTCGCCGGTCGCTCTTCGGGCGCTCTACATCTCCTCCGATGCCTCAGACACGAGGCACTCGTAGAGATGGGAGGGGGAGAACGGGCGACGCACTGAAGGTTCTGCGGGACGAAGGGGAGGTGTCAGCTCGCCCGGCTCGGCTCTGAGAAAAGGGAGCAGAGCGACGCACTCGAGGATGAAGCCTGCAACGACAAAGCCCCACGCGCCGCTGCCACCATCGACTGGCGGCAGTCCTCGCCCCTCCTCCTCGCGGTCATTCGTGCTGAGGCGCCTCAGCCTCTGCCCGACCTCCTCGGCGGCGGGGCTGTTGCGCCCACTGGCGCTCGTGCTGAGCAGTGCGAGCTCGGGCGGCGGCGTCGAGGTGAGGTCGGGGAGGTTGGCGAAGGTTGAAACGCGCGAGAGCTTGTCGGTCGAGGACGCGCGCGAGAGGGTGTCTGGCCGGACGGTAGCGCGCGGCAGAGCTGCGAGCTCGATCTCTGTCGGCGCTGGCATGGTCGCCGAGCGTGCGGAGCGGGTGTGTCAAGAGCGAGAGGCCCTCAAGCTCTCGCAGGGTGATGAGGTCGGCAACGCGCGGCTCCGCCTCCTCCGCCCTTGCGACGGCGAGAGCCAAGCTGGACGACGCGAGAGCGACTCTCTGGCCTCGAGACTGACCGCAGCTGAGCGACTCGAGCGATACCGGACGACCACTTGCGCACAGAGTCGCACAGCTCGAGGGAAAGGAACGGGTGCGTGCGGCGATGCAGGATGAACTCGTGCGCTCTACTGGCTACAACAGGCGAGGCTCTAGACAATGCGGAATAGACATGCGGGATGCGGGAGAGAGAGGGAGAGGGAGAGAGCGAGGTCACCAGTCGGACTTGCCGACAGCCGCCGCGACGGCCGACGTGAGGTCGAGGTGGAAGCGCGGGAACAGGTTCGACACGACGGGCGCCTCGAGGTGCAGGCCATGCTCGCCCGGGATCTGGTGCGCCCACAGGTTGCCCTGCATGTGCGGCGCCTTTTGCGCCACGTCGCCGAGAGCGGCCTCGAGGTCGGCCTCGTTGACGCCGTCGCGCCGCACCTCGTCGCCGGCGCCGCTGCTGCTGCCGCCCGACGACGACGACGTCGGCTCGTCTTCGAGGCGCTCCTTGTGCTCCTCGTCGCCGTCGCCGCCGAACTTTTGCGGCGTCCCCGGCGGCGGCGAGAGCGGATACCGCCGCTGGAAGTGGGTGCGCTGGTGCCGCTTGGCCGCCTCGGTCATGACGGGCTCCATGCCCGACTGGACGACAGGTGCGACCTCGAGGGCGCGCTCGTCGCACGACCAACCCTTGCCCGTACCGAAGCCGCCGGCGAGGAGAGCTCTGCGCGCGAGGGGAGAGGTCAGCGACTGACGCTCGAGGGGCACAGGGATGGAGGAACGGTGGGACGCACCGCTTGATGTAGGGCGACAGGATGCTCGCGAAGTGGAACTGGACCTGGGTGTCGCTGTACCGCTCGAGCGAGTTCTTGAGGTCGACAATGTTCTGCACGCTGCGGGCGAGGGGAGAGAGAGAGTCAGGGCCGGGCTCGTCGGTCGCAGAGGTGACAGAGAGGGACGCACCTCGTCGTGTCGATGTTGGAGCAGCTCGACATGTCAAAGACGACGGCCCGAAGAAGCGGCTTCTGCGCCTCCTCGTCCTCGTCGGCCGCCGCCTTCTTCTTCTGCCACGGCAGCCGGCCCGGGTTGTTCCAGGGCCTGTCGCCGGTCGGCACGTTGTCGTAGTTGTGGCCCGAGCGAGTGTGCTGCTTGGCGTAGTCGAGGATGACGTCGGCATCTGCGAGGGCGAGTTTGAGAAGGTCAGGTCGAGGTTTCGGCTCAGGGCCGCTCTCGTCAAGAGCGGCGGGGCGACGACATGTACGAGGAGGCGGAAGGGTGGGCGAGGGGTAGAGAGGGAAAGAGGGACGCACAGAAGGACGCGTTGGGGAAAAGGAACGACTCCTCGAACTTGTACACGAGCACGCCCGGCGGTGGCGCCTCGACCTGGACGAGCGGGTTGCGCACGCCGTCGGGCAGGAGCGGCAAGTACACGTCGCGGTGGAGGACCGGCGGCGCGACGGGGCTGACCGAGCCAGAGGCGGCTTGGTCCTTGTCGGTGGGCGACGGCGGCCGACCGACGACGTCGGGGCGCAGGCGGACCCGGCCGAGGAACGAGCCTCGCGGCCTCGCGATGCGGAACAGGAGGAGGGCGACCGAGCAGCCGACCGAGGTGTAGATCGAGATCTCGACGGTCGAAAAGACGGCGACGACGACGGCGATAACGAAGATGAGCGCCTCGAGCGGCGACACCTTCCAGAAGGCGTACACCTGCCGAGGCGAGGCGATGAGGTCGAGGACGGCGTGAACTGTGGCGGGAGGAAGGGAAAGGGACGGGCAAAAGGGGCGGGTCAGTCTCGAGGGCTGCGAGGGAAGAGGGGAATCGAGGCGGCGAGGACGCACTGATGACGGCGGCGAGCGCAGAGTTCGGGATCCAGTAAAACGCTCCGGTGAGCGCGTACAGGGCGACAACGACGCACACGCCCGTGAAGAGGCCGGCGAGCGGGGTGCGCACGCCCGCCTTGGCCTTGATCGCCGAGCGAGAAAAACTGCCCGTGGCCGGGTAGGCGTTGAACAGGGTACCGACGAGGTTCGACACGCCGATGGCGATGAGCTCCTGATTCGGGTCGATCTTGTAGTTGTTGATGCGCGCGAACGACTTGCCGATGGCGATGTGCTCGAGGAGGAGGATGATGGTCGAGACGGGCAGCTGCGGCGCGATCTTGCTCATGAGGTCGGTCGGCAGCTTGGGCTGGCCCATGTGCTGGAACCCGCTCGGGACGTCGCCGAGGATGCTGATCGGGAACGGCTTGCTCTTGCCGCGGACGTAGACCCACGAAAACACGGTGAGGAAGATGATGACGAACGCCGTGCGCAGCGTGAGGGCGAAGAAGGCGATCTTCTTGACGATCGGGTTGCGCGAGCGGCGCTCGAGGCGCGTGAGGGACCACCGGGCGAAATCTGGAGGGGGGCAAGGTCAGTCACCTCGGCGACGACGAGCTAGGGCACGGTCCTGGACAGGCGCGACGCACAGAGGAACACGAGACCCGAGAGGCCGAACGCGGCGTCGCGCCTGGTATCGGGCAGGTGCTTGAGCGTGTTGATGATGACCTTGTACGTCGCCGCGCGCGTGTTGAGCTTGCTCGAGTAGCCCATGAGGGCCGGGACCTGGCCCGCCGCGATGTTGAGCGCCGAGCCCGTCATGAAGCCCGCGATGGACGGCGAGGGGATGAACTGTGGGCGAGGGCAGGACGTGAGTCGACGAGTCGAGATTTGGGAAGGCCGAGAGGAGGAGACGGGTGCGCACCTCGATGAGCCAGCCGAGGCGCAGTAGACCGATGCCGAGCACGATGAGGCCGCACAGGAAGGCGAGGCAGGTCGCGATCTCGGGCGCGCTGTAGATGTCGCCGCCCTCCGAGTCCTGGACGTGCTGGATGACGCGAGCCACCTCGAGCGACATGACGGCGACGGGCCCGATCGTCACGTCCTTGGACGTCGCGAACAGGGCGTAGACGCACACGCCGACGAAGGACGAGTACAGGCCGTACTCGAGCGGGAGCGTCGCGATCTTGGCGTAGGACTGTGGGAGGGTGCGAGGGTCAGGTTTCCGGGCGCGCTCGACGAGGACGAGAGGGCGGGACGCACCATGGCTTGAGGAACGAGGACCATGCCGACGGTGATGCCCGCGATGAGGTCGCCGATGAGCCACTTGACGTTGTACAGGGGAAGCCACTGTGGGCGCGCAAGGGGGAGAGAAGGTCAGTGCCGTCCCTCGTCGCCCGCTCGCGCCACGTCCTGGACTCGGCGCTCGAGGAAAAGAGAGATAGAGCTTGACGCACCCGCACGAAAGGGAACAGCCTCGCGAAGTAGGCGAGCGCGCCTCGCCTCGGGTCGCCAGCCACCGCGCGCTTGAGCGTCTCGCTGACGCTCGCGGCCTCGACGACGAGCGGGTCGTAGTCGATGTACCGCAGGGCCTTGGCCTTTGCGCGCGCGAGGAGCGTGTTGCGCGCTGGCTGCTCGTGCGGCCGCTGCGAGGCGTCGGCGCCGGCGGCGGGGAGCATGTCGTCGGCGCTGTGCGGCGGCGTCGAGGTCGAGGCCTGCGCGGTCGAGTGCGTCGAGGCTGCTGTCATGGTTGCTCCTGCGAGTGCGCTGTGCGCTCCTGGCGGGCTAGTCGAGCTGGAGGCGGCGCGAGTCGTCGAGGCGAGGGTTGCGCGGGGAGTGTCGAGGCGGTGCTGGCGGGGAAGAGAGGGGGCGTGTGCGCCGTCGAGCTGCTGGGTGGTCGTACAGGGGGCGCGCAGAGAGTCGAGGTGCAAGGTAGAGAGGCTGGACGAGCGAGAGCTTCACCAGCTCAGCTCATCTCGGATCCTCGATGAAGTGTCGCCGAGGTCAATTTCGACGAGCACGCCATCCGCACGTTGACGCGCTGAGCTCACGCCGAAAGTGCCGCGGACCGACCGGCGTGCTCGTCTCCGAGAGGCACCGGCGCGATTGCTCGCTGACACCTTCTCGACCAGGGCGCTTGTCGCAGCTTTCTCTCGACGCGCGACGACGACGGGCATGGTGTAGAGAGGCGGAGGTACTTCATTTGGATCGTATCTACACGTCGATTCGAGAGAAAGCGGGCGCGAGACGAGCCGAGAGAGGGAGAGGGGGGCCGCTCCTTCACAGGCTCGACTCGCCGCTGCCGAGCGCCTGCTTGACCGCCTCGTCGACAGGCATGTCACGGTCCGAGCCCTGGACGAGGTCGAGTGCGCGACCGCGGACCTGCTCGCGCTGCTCGGGCGAGAGGCGGAAGAGGGCGAGGAGCGTCGAGGCGACATCGTCGCGCTGCAGGAAAGGAGGCACGAGTGAGTGGATGTGTCGCGCATGCGGGAAGACGAGGCTGCAGTGCAGGGAAAGGCTGGACGCACCGTGACGCCGCCCATGTGCGTGACGCCGAGCTCGACACGGCCCTTGGCCGAGTCGTCGAGGAGGTGGCCCGGGCGCAGGACGGTCCACGGGAACGACGTGCGCTTCGACAGGTTCTGGTCGGCGACGAGCTTGGCGCTGCACGAGGTTGAGGAGCAGTCAGCGAGCGCTCGAGCAGGCCGAGTCGGGACGCTCGCCCTAGACGGCGGTACGAGGAAGAGAGAGGGCGACGCACTCGTAGTAGGCACCGATCGCGTCGTGCGCCTTCTTGGACGCCTCCTTGTCCTCCTCGGTCTGCGTCGACAAGGGAACGAGTCAGTCTCTGGGCAAGGAGGAAGGGAAAGGCGAGGAGGGAGGGAACGGCCGACGCACGTAGTGAGCGGGAGCCGGCTTGGACAGGTCGCGGGTGTCGAGAGCGCCGACAAGGACGAGGTAGGGCTTGGGCCCAGAGAGGCTCTCGAGAGCGTCAAAGACCTGCGCGAGGGAGGGAAGGAGCGTGAGCGGTTCATGCCATGGGTCGGGGCCGAATCTGGCGGCTCGCTCGGCCTGGTGGACGCACCTTGATGGCTCCGTCCTGGTCGACCTTGACCGTGCGCTCCTTTCCACCCTTGCCGCCCGCGCCAGCCGCAAAGAGGACAGCGTCGGCGCCATTGAAGTCGCGAGCGAGCTCTTCGACCGAGGCGTCCTCGAGGCTGAGGAGCTTCGGGGTGGCGCCCGCCTTGGAGATGGCGTCGAAGTGGTCCTTGTTGCGGACGAGCGAGTCGATGGCGAAGTGGGACGAGGCGGTGTGGGTGAACTTGACGGCGACACGGCCGGAACCGCCGACGATGACGAGGCGAGGGAGGGACATCGTGTGTCGAGGGGAGTCGAGTGGGGAGCGAGGCAGAGAGGGGGAGCAGGTGCAAGGCTCGGTTGAGTCGGCAGGAGACGAGCGAGAGGCCGAACTCGGTGAGGTGATGAGGACGACGAGGCGGTGCTCTCCCCTCGTCAACACACGGCACGCCAGCATGGCCACGACAAGGGCAGCACTCGTCGCACGCACACTCTTGGCCGGCGCAGCTACCCGCTCGCAGCCCGCGCCCGCCAGCCGCGCTGCCCGCGCCTTTTCCTCCCACCCGCCGTCCCTCTTCGCGTGGACAGCAGCCACCCGCTCGGACGCACCCCTGCCCTGGTTCGTCGACCAAGAGACTGCTCCAACCGCCTCACCGCAACCGGCGTCGCCGCAACTCGCCACCGCCCCAGTCCCGACCCCTCCGCCTCCTCACCTTCCCCCGGCGCTCCACCCGCTTCACGCCTACCTCTCGACGAGCCCGTTCCTCGACCGCGACGAGCTCGCCTACATCCACGCCCGCGAGGCCGACCCCGAGGGCAGCTGGTGCGACTGGGTCGTCGTCGCGACCCTCAAGGAGGGCAGGGAGCGCGGCATTCGAGGTGCGGTAGAGGGCGTCCGGCGGCATGTGCGTCTGCCTTTCGCCTCGTACCGTGCACATCACGTCACATGGTCACTCACACGCGCTCTTTCATGCAGCTGGCGACCAACCCCGTCGACCTGTCCTCGGCCATCGACCTCCCCTTTGCCCCTCCCTCGACCTCGCCGCTCATCCACGGCCTCCCCGCCCAGCCGTCCAAGCACGCCCGGTCGCGCGCCTCGCGCTCGGCGCGCAGCTCGACATCGCCCTCGCGCAGCGACAACGCGAGCGGGTGGGCCATGCTCGACGCCGGCACGCTCGTCGTGCACGTCTTTACGCGCGAGGGCCGCGAGCTGTACGGGCGCGGGATCGAGGACCTGTGGGAGGGCATCGGCGAGGAGGAGCGCGGCGAGGGCTGGAGGAGCGCGAGGGCGAGGGCCGAGGACGAGCTGAGGGAGAGGGAACTCGGCGCCAACATGGACAAGGTCCGGCGTGAGCTTGCGGCTGAGGCGGCGCAGGGCGGTCCGGCGCCTCGATAGGGTCGCGCAGAGTGCAACGACGGTCTCGTCGGAGCATCCAGGCCGTCACGAGGGGAGCGAGAGCTGAGATGTGTTCCAGCGCACGAGGACGACGAGCGCACGAGTTCTCGGTCCTCTGTTTCTGTTCGCTCGGGTGCGAACGCCTGATTGTATCTCAGTGAGCTTAGCAAGGCCGGCACAGCGCACAGACGAGAAGTGCGGGCGGCCGCCACCGGCCGCTCGACGAGGAGCGGGGAGGCTGTCGACCACTCTCGCCTCGCACACGCTCGAGCAGCTTCGAGTGTAGCCTGCACCAGCTGATTGCACCCCTTTCAGCAGGATAGGCCGCCCCGACCCCCGTCGCGAGCCGTCCAACGTCATCCCAAACCTCACCCTCGTGTTCGCTCATCGCAAGAGCTCTGCCTCGACCGCAACACCTCGCGCCAGCCACCGAGGACCAGCAGCAGCCAACAGTCGACCATGGCCATCCGCAGGCCCGCTATGCGCGGCACGGGCAGGGTCAAAGCCCCTCGCAAGGTGCGCTCCGCTCTCTCCGGACTCTCTGCCGCGTTGGCCCACACTCTGTGCAGGCAGCGCAGCTGGAGGAACCCGTCAGCGAGGGCGACGACTGACTAGCTTGCTTCCTGCAGCAAACCGAGCCGCTGGACTCGACCCTCGACCGGCTCAAGGAGGCGATCCAGCAGGTGCAGAACCACAACGTCTCGCAGCTCTCGTTCGAGGAGACGTACCGCTACGCCTACCACCTCGTCCTCCACAAGAAGGCGCGCCTCCCTCTCTCCCGCCTCATCCCGCAGCATCGGCTCACCTCCCCTTCTCGCACGCTCGCAGGGCCACCAGCTGTACAACGCCGTCGCCGAGCTCATCTCGGCGCACCTCGAGGCCGAGACGCGCGCCAAGGTCGTCCCCGTGTTCCCGCACGCCACATCGGTCGTCGGCGCGAGCGGCAGCGGCGCGACGGGCAGCGGCGAGAGCGTCGCGACGGCGGCGGCGGGGCAGCTCTTCCTCGATCGCCTGCGCGAGGTGTGGGACGACCACATCGCGTGCATGAGCAAGATCCGGGACGTCCTCAAATACCTCGTGCGTCGTCCGTCCTCGCCTGTCTAGCCCGAGAGATTGTACTGACCCCCCACCCACCGGCCGGCAGGACAAGCACTGGCAGAGCTCAAGCTCGGCAGCCGTCCCGAGCGTGTTCGACCTCGGCCTGTCCCTCTTCTTCCACCACGTCATCCTCTTCTCGACCAAGCCGAAACCGGCCGTCGCCGCCACCTCGTCGCGCTCGTCCGCCGCGGCCGCCGCCGTCATCCCGCCCTCTCAGCGCCCGACCGCCGACCCGAGCACGGTCGCGCACCACCTCATCAACACGCTCCTGACCGTCATCCGCATCGAGCGCGAGGGCGAGGTCGTGTCGCGCTCGGCGATCCACAGCGCCGTCGACATCCTGTCGCGCCTGACGGACGAGGGCCCGGTGCCGCTCCCGATCCAGGCCTCGGCGGGCACGGGCAGTGGGTCGCCCGTCGTGAGCAGCAGCAGTGCGGCGGCGCGCGCGAGGACCGTCATGGGCGAGGGCCCGCCGGGCGCGCAGGAGAGCCCGTACAAGACGGCGTTCGAGCAGGCGCTGCTCAAGCAGACCGAGGAGTTCTACTCGAGGGAGAGCGCGAGGCTCCTCGTCGAGTGTGACTGTCCGAGCTTCCTGCAGCGCGTGCGTCCCTGTTTCCCTCTCTCTCTCTCTCTCTCTCTCTCTCTCTCTCGCGGCCGCTCGGGGCGAGATGAACGGCGACTCACGCGCGCTCCTGTCGCCCGCAGATCAACCGCCGCCTCGAGGAGGAGCAGACGCGCGCCCAGTCGTACCTCGGGCCCTCGACCGAGCCCCTCCTCCTGTCGCTCCTCGACCACGTCCTCATCGAGCAGCACCTCGTCTCGATCCTCGAGCACCCGGCGTCGGGCCTGTCGACGCTCGTCGCCGAGTCGCGCATCGACGACCTGCGTCTCCTGTACACCCTGTTTGGCCGCGTCGGCAAGGGCCACGCCGAGTTGCAGAAGGGCCTGAGCGCCTGGATCGTCGCCGTCGGCAAGCAGGTCAACGAGGGCGTCATGCTCGCGCCGGCGCCGGCGAACGACGGCGACGCCACGGCGGCGGCGAGCAAGGGCAAGGGCAAGGCGCTCGAGGACGAGACGGGCGACGGCGACGAGACAGGCGCGGCGGCGGGCAAGAAGAAGCGGCCCGAAGCAGGAGGTGCGGCGGGTGCGGGAGCGGGCGCGGTCGGCGCGCGGACCAAGGCGGCGCTCGCGTGGGTCCAGAACGTGCTCGACCTCAAGGACAAGTTCGACACGCTCCTCGCGAGGGCGTTCGGGAGCGACAAGGCGTTCGAGAAGATCATCAACGACGTGCGCCCCGCTTCTCTCCCTCTCGTTCCTCAGTCGCCACTCGTGGCCCTGACTCGTGAACCCGCGCGCGCAGGCCTTTTCCGTGTTCGTCAACGAGAACCGCAAGTCGCCCGAGTACATCTCCCTCTTCATCGACGACAACCTGCGCAAGGGCCTCAAGGGCGTGCGTCCCTCCTTCCTCCCTCTCCCTCTCGCCCTCGTGCCTTTACTGACTCGCCGCACACACACGCAGAAAACTGAGGCCGAGGTCGACGAGGTGCTCAACAAGGCCGTCGCCCTGTTCCGGTACCTGAACGAGAAGGACGCGTTCGAGAAGTACTACAACCAGCACCTGTCGAAGCGCCTCATCAGCCAGCGGTCCGTGTCGGACGACGCCGAGCGCAACATGCTCGCCAAGTTCAAGATCGAGGCCGGCGCCGAGTTTGCCAAGAGCGCCGAGGGCATGATGCGCGACGTCAAGACGAGCGAGGACACGGTCGACGAGTACCGCCGGCATCAGCAGACGGCCACAATCGTGCGTCCCTCGCCTTTCTCCCACCTCGCCCTGTCCAAGAGCGCCGGCGACTGAACTAACCCTCCCCTCTGTCGGTCCACGCCCGCAGAAGGCGCCGTTCGAGATGGTCCCGATCGTGTGCGGCAGCAACTTTTGGCCGTTCAACGCCAAGGACAAGTCGTGCACGTTGCCCAAGGTGCTCCAGGACGGCGTCAAGGCGTTCGACGCCTTCTACCAGCACAAGCACTCTGGCCGCAAGCTCACCTTCATGCCGGACCAAGGTCAAGTCGACGTCAAGACGCGGTTCAAGGCGCGCTCGCACGAGCTCAACGTGTCGACGTACGCCATGGTCGTCCTGGCGCTGTTCGAGGGCCTCGGCGACGACGAGAAGCTTCGCTACGCCGTGTGTCCACAACTCTCTCCTCTTCTCCTCGCGCCTCGTCTTTGGCCCAGCCGAGCCTGACTCGCCGCATCCTCATGCAGGACATCGCCGAGTCGACCAACATGCCGTCGTCGGAGCTCAAGCGCACGCTTCAGACGCTCGCGTGCGCCAAGTTCAAGGTGCTCACCAAGCACCCTCGCGGGCGCGACGTCGCCGAGTCGGACGAGTTCTCGTTCAACACGAGCTTCACGGCGCCGCTCGCCAAGATCCGCATCCAGACGGTTGCGGCCAAGGTTGAGACGGACGCCGAGCGGCGCGAGACCGAGGGCAAGGTCGACGAGGCGAGGAACACGCAGTGCGACGTGCGTCCCCTCTTTCCCTCTCCCCCTCTCCTCCTGCGCCCGTGACCCCTGGGCTCACTCACGTCGCGCGCACGCAGGCCTGCATCGTGCGCATCATGAAGGACCGCAAGGTGCTGCAGCACCTCGACCTCGTCAACGAGGTGATCCGCCAGCTGTCGCACCGGTTCCAGCCGAGCCCGCAGATGGTCAAGAAGGCCGTCGAGCGCCTCATCGAGAAGGAGTACCTCGAGCGCGACGAGGTGGACCGCAAGAAGCTCAAGTACATGGTGAGCTCCCTCTCTCTCTCTCCCTCGTCGTCGCTCGGCTTCGGCGAGCGTGCACTGACCCCCTCTCTTCTCCCCGTGCAGGCTTGATGGGCGGGTCGAGGGCGGTGTGCACGGCGTGTTGTCTGTTTCTCCTCGCTGTCGTCGTCGTCGTCGTTCGTCGTCGTGCATTTTGTCGCATTTCCGCCCCCTCGTCCTCGTCGTCAATCGAGAGCGACTCTGCCTCTCTCGGCCCGGATAGCAGTCGCCGGCGTCTCCTGAGCAGATGAGCGGAGTGTCCGGCGGCCGAGGGGGGACGAGCGTGCGGACAGTCCGGCCATCGTTGTCCCGCTCGGTCCCTCTCTCGGCGTTCGTCTCCTTCTTCTCCTCTTCCCCCACTCTCGCCAGCTGCTCTCGGCCGCTCTCTCGCCTCTCTTGGGTCACTTGCTCGCAAGGATGCATCGCGCAGCCGAGCAGTGCGCCGCCGGCCCGCCAAGGCGCACCGCGGCGAGCGCACGTCGTCCGCCTCCACCGACACCGCCACTCGGCCCAGTCACGACCTCGCAGCGACCACGACTACGACTGCGACGACACGACCAGCCACGATGCCCTCGCCCGCGCCCTCGCCTGTACTCGCCGCACCCTCAGCCGCACCCCGCCGCCCGACCCTCGCTCCCCTTCTCTTCGACCCAGCCGCGCCCGTCTCGCCCACCTCTTTCTCCCTCGGCTCGGCGTTCGAGCACCCGCACAGCTTCTCGCTGTTGGGAGCGCGCCCCTACACGATACGCTCGCTGTCGGACCCGGCGTGCGGCGGGCCCTCGGTCGCATGGGCGCGACCACGAGGCGGCGAGGTGCAGGTGCGCGAGGGGGCGGCGAGGGAGGGCGGCGAGCAGCTCGGCGGCGACCCGCTCGACGACGAGGGCGACTCGTTCGTCGCGCTCGCGGCGTTTCACGACCCGACCCTGTTCGCCTCGGGCGGTCCGTCGAGCGCGCCACCTTCACCGGTTGCCGTCGACCTCGCCTTCGCCCGGCGCGGGCGTCTAGATGTCGGCGAGCTCGAGGCGCGAGGCGGGCGAGCGGGCAGCAGGTCGAGGGAGAGGGAGACGGGCGCGGCGAGGAGTCCGTGCGGGTCGAGTTGGACGAGGAGGATGGGCGCCAAAGCAGGAGCACGGTGCGCCCGACGTTATCATTCTACTCAAAAGGATCGTCACTTACTCTCTACGAGCTCGCAGAGTCGGCACGCAGACCGAGTCGGCGTCAAGCTCGCCCGTCGCCTCGTCGGCCCTCGCGGCGTCGACTTTCTCTTCAACGTCGGGACCGCATGCCGGGCGCAGGCGCTCCGCGACCATCTCGACGACGTCGGCAGAGCTACTTTCTCGCTGACCGGCGTCCGACTCGCTCGCCCGCCTCGTGTCGACGCCCCCGACCTCACCAAGTGCAACCTCGACCTCACCTTCCTCCCCTCGTCGCGCCCGCGTTCCCTCGAAACGGCGCTACTCCCTCCTCACCTCGCCTACCCTCGTCGACACCTTTCCCCGGCCGGCCGTTTCGCGACCTGCCGCCAAGCCGCTCCCGCACCAGCCACCGCGCTCGCACCCCTCGCCGCCGAGCAGCGCGTTCTCGCCTTCGAGGAGCTACGGCTCGCTCGCGTCGCTGTCGCACGTCCTCGACCGCGACCGCGAGCGACACAGCGCGTCGTCGGCGACCGGCGGCAGCCCGGGCGACGAGCGCAGGAGCGCCGCGTCGTCGCCCTCACCGTCGTCTTCGAGCACGAGCGCGAGCCCGACGCCGCGTAACGGCTCGGCGATCGACCTGCGCGCACTCGCGACGGGCTCGTACCGCGCCCTGACGTCGGCGCTGCACCTCTCGCCCTCGACACCGTTCGCGCCGCCCGTCGAAGCGCCCGTCCTCGCGCCGTGGGCCTCGGTCCGAGCGCTCAGCGTGCGGTTCCGCCCCGGTGCGCCCGAGGACGGGCAGCTCAACGCGTGGGTGCTCGGCCTCGCCGACCTCGAGGTCGGCGGCGCCCGATCGTGGGACCCTCGAGCGCTCGTCGCGGCGGTCGGCGAGCGCGACGAGGTTTCGGCGCGCGAGAGCGAGCGAGGTTCGGCGCGCGAGAGCGAGCGAGGTTCGGCGGCGGTGAGGGCGAGGGCGCCATGGCCGAGCGTGAGCACGAGTTGTGGGAGCCCGGCGAGCGTCGAGGTGCGGTACTGGGACGGGCGGACGAGAGCGTTGGACCCGAGCGGGATGGACCAGGACCAGGTGCGCTCGTCAGCTCTCGCCTCTCGTACTCGCCGCGACGTCGCCTCGTCCGACGCCGACGTGTTGTCGATGCCGAAATTGACTGGTAGCCGCTGCATCCCCTCGCAGATTATGCGCGCCGTCCTGGTCAACCCTTTGGGGGCCTGAGCGCCTCGACCGACCTTCTCAAGTCCCCTCCTCGGCCGCCTCGACGCCCGATAACGCGCATCACGCACTCGCACGACACGACAACGACCTTTACGACCTTCCTCACGATGAGCTGTGCCTCAAGCCTGTCGACCTCGCCTTGTTCCCAACCTCCCTGTCTCTCTCTCTCGTTCTCGCACTCGCCCGCCGAGTACTTGTTCCCTTCCCGCGTCACTCTCTATCCCTCTCTTGTATACCGCCTTCGTCGCATCAGACTGTCAGATCTAGCTTGGCCGACCGAGCCCTCGCACTGCCGTCGCTGTGCAACGCGCTCGGTTTCCTCGATCCTCCTCGTCCCTGTCAACGGCCTGCGCAACGCTTTGACCACGCTCGGCACGAGCTTCACGGAGAGTCAAAGAGACAGAGAGAGTGACAGCTGAGAGCGCGAGAGCTGCGGCGCGACAGCTGCAGGCCCGCCCCTCCCTCCTCGACGCGGTCGGGCCCTTCCTCGTGGCCGTCCTTCTCTCTCGCTCGCTCTCTTTTCCTTGCGCGCACGGTCTTGAACCTCGCACAGCTCTACAGCATCTGCGCAAGCGCCACTCGGTCAGAGAACATGCAGCTCGTGCGCCCTCGTCCGAGCGCTCGAGCCCCGCGCGTCGTCTTTGCTCGGCCCTTGCGCGCTCGCCGAGCTGTACCCTCGACGGCGAGCGCATGCCGAGCACCTCTGTCTCACAGCCTGCGACGCTCTGGCAAGAGAGCCTCGAAGTGGGAGAGCTGAACGGTGTCGAGAGGGCGAACTTGTGCTGGTTCTCTCGCTCTCAGAAGACGACGCCGCCGCCCGCACACAAAGGCCGAGGCGCACCTCTCGCTGCAGCCAGGTCCTCGTTTCGCTACAGCTCGAGGTCCCCATCCGGGTCCTCCTCGTCCCAATCATCGCCCCTATCGGGCGTGTACTCGATCCCTCCTCCGCCTCCCGCCGTTCCTCCTCCTCCTCCTCCTCCCTCGCGCAGCGCGCCGGGCAGCACGGGCACGACGTAGCCCTCCTGGCCATAGATGGGCAGATTGGCGTGCGCGAACGGGTTGGGGACGGCGGCGCGCGCGGCGAGCTGGGCGGGCGTGAGCGTGTCCGAGAGGGAGAAGGTGAGGGGCGAGGCGGACGCGGCGGGTGCGGCGGACGGGTGGACGGGAGGCGGTCCTGGGACGGGGTGGGGGGAGGATGTCGAAGGAGCGGTTGGGGCGGAAGGCGAGGGAGAGGCGAGGGGAGAGAGCTGCGAGCAGAGGCGGAAGAGGTCAGAGCGGGCTCGAGCTGGACGAAAGACGGGGGAGAAGTGACGCACCTGTGCCCGCCCCGCCGCCGCATCAACGACCTCCCACACGCCGACCTCTCGCACGGTCGCGCCCGCTTCACCGCCGCCGGCACCGAGCGCCGCGCCGCACATGCCCCACCTGACGACGCGCGGCACCTCGCCCTTTGCGACCCTGTCCCTCTCCCTCGCGCGCTCCCTCGCCTGGGCCGCCACCGCCGCACTCGCCTTGCCCTTGCCCTCTGTCGCGCCTGCCCGAGCCTCGGGCCCTGCGCCCGCCTCGCCGCCTTGGAGCCCCCTCGCGCTCCACTCGACGACGCACCGCGCCCTGCCGAGCTCGACGCGCTCGTCCTCCTCCTCTGCGCCGCGTGGGCGCACAAACGGGTCGCCGACTGCGCGTGCGGCGAGGGCGCGCAGCATGCCGTGGGCGCGCGGGTCCGGGCTCGAGCCCGAGGTGGGCGACGACGAGGAGGAGAGTGGGGCGACGGGGAGCGGGAGCGCGTAGTGCGTCGCGAGGGTTTCGAGGTGGGATGAGGGGCGGAGCGAGAGGTGCAGGGTCGAGGGGGAGAGGGTTGGCGCGAGGAGCGAGGCGAGGAGGGAGGGGACGAGGGCGGACGGCGAGGCGGACGAGGACGAGGTGGGGCAGGGCGGAAAGTCGTCGTGGTGGACGACGACCAGGCGTGCACCTGTGTGGGAGCGTTTCAGTGTCTCGCTGGCTGCTGGAGGCCATGGAGCTGGCGAGCCCGTGCGCTACGAGCGACGGGCCGCCCGCATGGTCCTCGATCGAGAGAGAGAGCGCGAGACGCACCCTTCCTGCCCTTGAGCGCGCCCAAGCAGGCCTTGACGACCCTCAGCGCGTCGCTGACGCCGCCCTCGAGCTCGTCGGCGAGCGCGTTGGCCGAGTCGAGCACGACGAGGAGCGGAGCATGGTCGTCGGCGGCGGCGATGGCGCCCGTTGCTGCGGCGACAAGGTCGGCGGTGCCGGACGTGGCCGACAGGTCGACCGAGTCGTAGCTCGCGCACGGTGCGAGTGTCGAGGGCGAGGTCGCGGTCGAGATCGAGGCGAACGGGGCGGCGAGCAAGCCGTCGACGACGCGCACCCGCTGCGGGTCGTAGGTGGGCCTGGGCGGCAGCAAGCGGTGCGACTGCTGCTCTGCGCACACGAGGACGACGCTGCCCTGCGGCGGGGCGACGAGTGCCGAGTGGACAAAGGTACGCAGGGCGGCGAGCGAGGGCTGGAGGAGCGAGTCGCTCAGGACGACGAGGGGCGCATGCCCTGATGAAGTGGCGACAGGCTGCAGGCGGTTGTGCAGCGCCGCGTCGAGCATGGCGGCGTGTCGAGGAGGCTGAGAGCCGGACGAGGCGGTGCTCGTCCTCGACGACGACGACGACGACCAGCTTTCGCTCTCGAGCGCCTGCTGGACAAGCCGAGTAAAGCGCTCGACAATCTCCTCGACATGCACGGGTCGCAAAGAATCACATGGCGCGGTTTTCAACACCGTCAACCTCCTCCGTCTACCCCTCTCGACCTCGCCTCGCCCCTCTCCCCCCTCCTCCTCCTGCACCTGCTCAGAACCTCGAGCACACACTCTACTTGAGCGCGGCAAAGATCTTGGGCGCGGCCTGTAGTGGGCAAAGCGAGGTTAGCTCTGAAACACGAAGGAGAGAGGAGAGAGGGAGAGTGGACGCACGCAGTCCTCGACGCAGTGCATGTAGTGGACTGCAGGCAGGGTCGAGACCAAGGTCAGTACGCTGTGTGCTCGCTCGACCGTCCGTTCGGACGGGCGGAGAACGAGGCGCGCCACCACGACCGGCTCTCTCGCACGCGCCATCGCCTCATCCCGCCGCTCGGTGCCCGCCCGGCGCGCCTCGCGACCACCACGCACGACGAATGAGAGAGCGAGGGACGCACAGAGCTCCTCGACGCAGGTCTCGCCGTCGATGATGGTGTTGCCTGCCGCGACGCGCTCGCCGCACTCCTCAAAGTGGTGCTTGAACTCCTTGCACACCTTGGTGTTGCCGCACGCTGTCGCGGTGGGGTGTCGTGTCAGCTGGGCTACTCTGGAGCGGCGAGGCGATGAGAGGGAAAGAGGGAGAGAGAGAGAGGACGAGGCGACGCACCCTCCCGGATCTCGTCACCCTGCTGTGGACGGGGGGTGGGGGGCGTGGGTCAGTGCGAGGGTTCTCGAGAGTGGGAGGGCGCTTCTGCAGGCCCCAGTGACGGCGAGAGAGGCGAGGGAGCTCACGTCGGGCACCTCCTCCTCGTCCTCGTCCTCGGCGCCGTCGGCGTCGTCCTGCTTGTCCTGGAGCTCCTGAGCGTTGGCCTGGGCGTCTTCCGGGTTGTCGATCGTGTCGGTCGAGGTGGCCGAGCGGTCCTCGTCGTGTGCGCGGCTCTGGGGCATCGTCTCCTCGGCGGCGAGGGTGCCAAAGACCGACTCGACGACGGACGAGAGCGAGAACATGGCTGTGCGGCGGGTGGGGTGGGTCAGTCGTGCTGGACTCGGTCGACAGGGGCACACAGTGGCTCACCTGGAGGTGGAGGGCGGTGAAGGTGGCAGACGAAGCCAATCGGTGGCCGCCCCTCTCCTCGTCGTCCTCCTCGTCGACCACCGGCCGCAGCTCTCTCCAGCACTGCTTGGCGCTACAGGGCACTTCCCACCCGCTCTCGCACCCGCTCTCCGCAGCGCGCCACCCCGCTTGCGCTCCCTCGTCGTCGCTCCCTGCCACCCTCGTCCCGCTCTCCTCCGAGCATCGCGCCCCCTCCCTCGCACCCGCCGAACACGGCTCAGCCCCCGTGCTCTCTCCCCTGCTTCGTCGCCCCCACCTCCTCAGGCTTGCCTTGCCCAACCGGCGGTACCCGGCGGGATGCGCCGCTAGTGCACCCTCGCTTCACCGCTGCCAGCTCCGCCTTGCAGCGCCGCACGCGCTCTCACCGCTCGCTGGCGTGCTGCTCTGCCCTGCTCGACGTCGAGTCGCAGTGCACAGTGCCCCTCGTGCGCTGTCGCTGCTTCTCACGACAAGCTGCGCGCGCGCGACGCTCGCGACGACGGAATGCAGAGAGCGTTCGCGAGGCCAGTGCGCCGCTGCGCCCACCCGGCGCGACCTCGCCGGCCTCTTCGACGGCCACGAGAGCCACGGAGCGACCGCGCGAAACACGCAATGCAGCCTGTGCCCGAGCGGACGGCGAGAGAGCGCAGAAAGGCCGTGCGAGGCGAAAGCGCTCGAGACGCTCGAGAACAACTTCGGGCGAGCCGCATGAGCCGGGAGCAGCTCGAATACACCGTCGTAGAGCCTCGCAAGTGGTCGCACAAGGAACTTGACCGCGTTGAGAGAGTTTCGACTCTGCGGCAGAGACGGCGGGGAGCTCGGAGGAGGAGGAAGCTCGCCTCGCTCTCGCTACACACGAGCAGTCGCCATGCCTGCTACGCCGACCTTCTCGGGCCTGTTTCCGCCCGCCCGCCGCGTCGTCATCCTCGGTGCGTCCTCCTCCTCCTCCTCCTCCGCCCCGCCCTCATCTCCCTCTCGCTCACCCCTCGCCCTCGCGCGCGCAGATGGCGGCATGGGCACGACGCTCCAAGCTCCGCCGTTCGAGCTCGCGCTCGACTCGGCCCTGTGGAGCTCCGAGCTGCTCGCCGACGAGGCGGGCCGCAGCCAGCTCGACCGCCTGCACCGCACCTGGATCGACGCCGGCGCCGACATTGTCGAGACGTGCACGTGCGTCCCGCCTCTCTCTCTCTCTCTTTCTCTCGAGGTGGGCGCAAGTAGGAGGCTGACACACGGAGAGTTGCACCGCTCGCAGATACCAATCGTCCCTCCCGCTCTTTCTCCCCTCGTCTCGCGCCCCGACCGCCGCCGAGTCCTCGACCGCCCTTGCCACCATGACGGCCGCGCTCCCCGTCGCGTGCGCCTCGTGCGCCAACCACCCGCCCGCCAGCTCGACCGCCTCGTCGAGCCGCCGCGCCCAGGTCGCCCTCTCGCTCGGCCCGTACGGCTCGGCGCTCCAGCCGGGTCAGGAGTACACGGGCGCGTACCCGCCGCCGTTCGGGCCCGCCGCGTCGGCCGCACCCGACGCCCAACCGGCGAGCAGCGCCGAGGCGCTCGCGGCCGTGCCGCTCCCGCTCGACGCCGTGCGCGGCGCCGGCGTGAGCGACGACGAGGCGCACCTCGCCGCGTGGCACCTGCAGCGGCTCGTCCACTTCTCCGAGTCGAGCGCGGCGGCGGGACCCGACGACGACGCCCGCGTCGGCCTCGTCGCGTTCGAGACGGTGCCCTCGCTCGCCGAGGTGCGCGCCATCCGCCACGCGGCCCACGTCTTCTCGGTCCTGCACCCCGACCGCCCCCAGCCGCCCTTCTACATCTCGCTCGTGTTTCCGCGTGCGACGCCTCAAGGCGCTGCAGCCGACGTGCGGTTCCCGGACGCGGCGCTCGCCCACCTCGAGTCGCTCGACGCCCAGCTCGCCGTCCTCGTCGACGCCGTCCTCGCGCCCGCCGACGGCCTCGCCCAGCCCGCCGGCCTCGGCTTCAACTGCACGTCGCCGCTCGCCGCGCGCGGCGTCGTGCGCGCCCTCGGCGCCGCCGTCGCTGCTGCCGCGCGCCCGACGAGCCTGACGAGCCCGGCCGGGCCCAAGCCGTGGCTCGTGCTGTACCCGGACGGCGGCGCCGTGTACGACGTGCGCTCGCGCACGTGGTCGCACCCGGCGGGCCTGACGGACGCGTCGTGGGCTGCGCTCGTCGCCGACGCGGTCGGCGACGCGCTCGCGTGCGGCGAGTGGGAGGGCGTCGTCGCCGGCGGGTGCTGCAAGGCTGGGCCGGGTGCGATCAGGGTGCTCAGGGACGAGGTCGAGAGGCGAGGGTGGCGGGAGTGAGGGAGCGCGCGAGGGCGGTGGGCGAGGTCGGTGGGCGAGGGGAGGGAGGAGGCCGCTCGGGCACAGTCGATGTAGAGCCCGCGCAGGCTTGGTGCCATAGACGCAATGCAGTCGACTCTGCGACCGCACGAGCCCTGCTCCTGGCCCTGCTCAGTCTCGACGAGGCGCTTCATGGAGCGCCCCGTTCTGCGCGCCTCACCGCTCGCCGTACGCCCGCGCCGCCTCAACCGCCGCTCTCCACTGCTCCATGTCGAGCTCCTCGCAGTGCTGCATGCGCTCTGCGAGCAGGACGACGCGCGGGTCGACCTCGGGCGCGCTCGTCGAGGTTAGAGGGAGGGAAGGGTCGATCGAGGGGAGCGGGATGGGGTTCTGCAAGGGCGAGGGCTCGTCAGTACGCCGCGAGAGAGAGAGAGGGAAGGATCTCGAGAGAAACGGCGGGACGTACGTCGTGCAGGACGAGCTCGCCAGTGACCATGAGGCGGTCTCTTGCTCGCGGCGCCGCTGGGCCGTTGTGGTGCATGACGAGCGACAGGTCGACGAGGAGGCCGTGCGGGCCGTCGGCGAGCAGTGCTAGTGCGCGAGTCGGGTCGTAGGCGATGACGCTATGGGCCAGGGCGGGTGGGTCAGCTCTGGCTCGTCGGGTGCGGAGAGGAAGGGAGCGAGGACGCACCGGCCGACCAGACGAGCACGAGGGGGTGCGGTCGGGTGAGTGGCGGGTAGTGACGAAATCAAGCAGAGCTGTGCAGGCGCAGTAGGGACGCCTTGCGGGAGCGGCATGGTGGAAAGAGCCGAAGAAGCGAGAGTCGGCGATGAAGACGTTCGGTTCACGAGGGCGGCGACACCAGCTTCGGGCGGGCTTCTTACGGCAGCCAGAGTCCCTGTGAGGCTTTCGTGTGAAGCTGCAAGCGCGCCTGTGTCCTCCAAAGGCAGCACCGCTCGGTGGCCCTCGTCCTCGCTGCTCCTTTCGCGCTGAAGCTCGCGCTCTCGCGCGGGTTCGACGCAGATGACTCTCGAGCAGAGAGTATGGGCATCATAGATAGTTGCAGTAGGGTCCGCGCGACCCAGATGACAGCGGCCGGCTCGCTATCTCGTTCCACCTCGTCCCGCTCGAGCCCGCACTGACCGCCTCGCCTCGACCGCACCTGCCTGAGCTCCGTCGTCGGTCCCAGCCCAGCTCCATCGTCGGCCTTCAGTAGAACATGGCCTCGCCGTCGCCGCCGTCGACCTCCTTGGCGTCGCGCCCCTCGCCGAGCAGCATCGCAAGGCTGCCCGTCCTCGCCGGCGTCGGGCGCGCAGGCGAGCCCGCCGGGCGGTCGCTGTCGCACGCGGGCGATGCGGCGCTCGCGACGGGCGCGTCGGTGGAGCGCAGGGACGACTCGGCCGCCTGGGTCTGCGGGCGCGAGCTGCTGCTCGAGAGCGACGGCGGCGACAGGCGCAGTTGTGGCTGATCGTGCGCGTGGTGCGAGTGCGGGCCCGTCGCCATGTAGCTGCTCGACGCCGAGGTCGACGCTGCCGACGGCGGGCGGGACGATCCGGCGGTGGAAGCCGACGAGGGCGAGTGAGGCGGGCCGAGATGGTGCCGGAGCGGGGCGAGGATCGGCGGCGGCGAGTGCGGGTGCAGCGGGTAGTGCGCGCGAGATCGAGGAGGAGGATACGAGTGCGACGAGGGAGGGACGGCTTGGTGCGCAAAGGTGTGCGCTCGAGGAGGTGGGAGAGGGCGGGCGTGAGGGAAAGTGGGCGCGGCTTGAAGGAGGCCGTACGGGTGCGCCTGGAGGCGGTGGCTCCCGGACGCGGTGCGCTGCGGCCCAGAGTAGGACTGCTGCGGCGCGTGAGGCGGCGCCGAGGGGGCAGGAGCGATGGTGGGCGGGCGAGGGACGACGCCGCCAAGCGGGGCCTCTCGCGCCGGCGCGGCCAACAGCCCTCGCGACGCGAGCTGCGGGCTCGTGCGCGCCCGAGCCGCACCGGTCGCCGCGTCCCACGAGGCGAATAGGCGCGGCGGCGGCGGCGGGTGGACGCCGAGCCCGTGCTGCGAGGTCGACGCGACGGGAGCTGACGGCCGTCGGGGCGTGGGCTCGGCGAACGACTCGTTGCTCGTGCGACGAGCAGTCGGCTTCTTGGGCGCGGACACGGGGGTGGGAGGTGTCGGGGGCTCGTTGCTGTCCTCGTGGTTGCTGGAGAAAGGAAGGCGGTCAGGACCTCTCCCTCGGGAGCGCGACATGAAGAGAGCGACGTACACGGACTCGGGTCGGCGGATGCGGAGTTTAAGTCCTTGTTGCGCGAACGACCGAGAGAGCTCGGTAGATTCTGGGGAGGGGCGCGAGGAGAGTCAGTCGAGGAACGCGAGCGAGAAAGGAGAGGGACGAGACGACGCACTGCTCATGCCCGGGAAGCGCTTGCTCGAGTAGACCTGGAACACGTCGGTGAGGATCGATGTGCGGAACTCGGCGCCATCCCTGCAGGAAAGACAAGCGAGGTCAGTACGCGAGGCAGGGTCCGGGCAGCGAAGAAGAGGCGAGGCGAGGACGCACTCGCTGACCTCGTACAGGCTCATCTTGAACCGCCATCGTCCCTCCATGCGGACGCTCATGTCGGGAAAGACGAAGCAGCTCTGGTCGCGCAAGTGGAACAGGCTCGACACGACGCTGCCGCTGACGACGGCGGTCTTGGACCCGCAGACCTCGAACATCTCCTGCTCGCTGTCCTCTTCGACGAGCGACGCAAACATGAAGAGCGTGTGCGTGAGGGTCGGCGTCGCGAGGTCGTCGTCGGTGAGGAGGTGGGCGGGCTTCTTGCGAGCTGAAGGTCGGCGAATGCGCAGGCGGATGATGGGCGGCGGGTCGATCGGGCGACGGTCGGCCTTCTCGCCCGAGCCAGCCATGCGAGCTTGACGAGGCTGCCTGTGGACGGGCGGGCAAGCAAGGTCAGCGCGTGCGCAGGCGAGAGAGGGGTCCAGGGAGCGGAACTCACTGCCGCACGTCGAGGTGGTACAGGTTCGGGCTGTTCAGGGCAGGGGGACGGCGAGCGTAAGTGACGTGCACAAGGACTGTCTGCCGTAGCTGTGCGTCGCACGAGGCTGCCGTCGACGAGGGAGAGGGCGCGACGGCGGTCGCGGGGAAACTCACCTGGCGCGGCCGCTCTTGGTCGGCGATGGGGGGAGGGCCATGGTTGCTGGAGAGTGCTGCACGGCCGCTGCACCCATGGCTGTGCGTGTGAGAGAGAGGAGAGCTGCGACCGGAGCTGCGTAAAGCGACGCGGCGTTGGCGGTGCTCCCTTCGGCAGAGTCCGATCTCGGTCCCTGACCAAGTGGCCACGCGAGCGTCGACAAGCGAGACAGGAGCCTATTCTAAACCGACACGCGCGTACGCTGCGCGCGCACGGACGCACAGACACACTCTCTCCTCTTTCAGCCCCTCGCGAGCGGACGTTCCTCCGACAGGGCGGCGTCGCCGTCGCACCTCCTCCTCCTCCTTCTTCGGCGTCACCGTCACCATTACCCCGCGAGCCTGACCGCGCGGGTCCTTGCCCCGCGCTTTTCATCTCGTGGCCACTCAACCTTGTCGTTCGAGAGGGGCGCGAGCGCGCGCCGCGAGCGCGAACTCTCGTCACTCGTGTCGCGATTCGGCTTCGCTTCGAGCGTCTGCCCTTGCACCATTCCGCTCCCCCTCGTGCGACACAGAGAGAGTCTGATTCACCGCTGAGCGGCGATGCTTTCGTCGAGCTCCTCGAGCCCGCGAGTCTCGCAACCCAGGCTCTGCAGATCTGCTCGCAGTGCGCGGATCTCCAGGATGATGGACAGCCGCCGAACGAGTTCGAGCTAAAGAACACGAAGCGCCCGCAAGAGAACAAGCTTGGAAGCGGAAAGCGCGATCGAGCGAGGAACAGAAAATCGAGGGACCGAGCGGCCGACAGTCGGCCGCTGTCGCATTCCCGCCGCTTTGGCCTGGCGCGCTCGTCCCACGGTGTGCAGCTCGCTCTCATGTGTGGGGCTTGCAGGGCGAGCGTCCGGCAGGAGTGTGTAGAGAGGCGCTTGCTGCTCCTCCAGCAAAGCGCTTGCCCTCGCGCGAGATCGACACGCCGCTGAGAGTCGCCCGCGTTCATGGGCACGGCCTGCGCGCAGAGGCAGAGCCGCTTTCGTTCGCAGCGAGTGCGACTGGCGAGGCCAGTCTCTGGAGCGGCGCGTGCGCACTCGAACAAAGTCGGCCTTCCCAAGTCGAGCTCTCGCTCTCGGACTTTTGCCTCGCTCTCGCCCGACCGCGCTCATGTGCTGGTGGGCTTGCTGCTCGTCGGGACGTCCGACGTCGTCCACTGGGAGCGAGTAGATACAGACAACAGGCCCGGAACAGAGCCACTCTCGCTCTCGAAGCCGCGCCGCCGAGAGAGACAAAAAGGCCGTCGAGGTTACCGCACGAGGCGCGAGACTACAACGACGCCGAGCGCCGTGAGGGCCGTAAAGAGGAAGAAGACGCTCCCTCTCTTGTCGCTCGAGCCGGCGAGCCAGTCGCGCAGGGGGAGGAACCCGATCCCGACGGCGAGGTTGCTGAGCCAGTTGACGGCGACAGCGATCGAGGCGGTTGCCGAGCTTGCCTGCGAGGGATAAGAGGGTGGACGACAAAGTCATTGTCTGCTCGGCGAGGTGGCGGGTCGAGAGGAACGAGGAAAAGGGTGAGAGGGAGACGGACCTCTTTGGGCGGCAGCTCGCCGACGAGCACAAACGGCACGGGCCCGAGCCCGACCGCAAAGCTGACGACAAAGGCAATGATGCCCGTCGACGCGACGACAAAGTGCTCGGTGTTGATGGCCCACCCGAGGACGGCCGTCGAGAGCGACATGGCCGACAGCGAGACGAGGAGGAGGGAGCGACGGCCGAGGCGCTGCAGGGCTCGCAGGTGAGTCAATCACCCGTACTCCTGTCACAAAAGAAGAGGAACTGGGACGCACGTCGATGAGGAAGATGGCCGGGAAGGTCATGACGAGGTTGACTGTGGGAATGCGAGAGTGAGCGACCGAGGACGAAAGGGGAGAGGCTAGGCCGACGCACCGAGCGTGACGTAGAGCGACACCATCTTGGCGCTACCAGGGTTGACGGCGGTGAGGATCCTGCGCGACGAGCGACAAGGTCAGAGGCGCGTCGACGAGTGAGGGGAGGTCGACGGGGGCTCACTTGGTGCTGTAGTACATGACCTGCGCGATCGAGGTGGATACACGGTCAGTGCTACGCCGTAAAGAAGGAAAGGGTACGAGGACGGACCGCGTTGATGCCGCTGCGACGAGGCAAGAGGAGAGTGAGCGGCCGACCTCACACGAGAACCGAGTCAGAGAGAGTGGGACGCACGAGAACTGCTGGAAGAGCATGACGGCGACGAGCGTCCACAGGGCTTTGCGTACAGCCGGGTCGGACGAGCGCAGGACGTCAAGGACCGAGAGGGAGCGCTCGGGGTCGTCGTCCTTGCGCCGAGGAGAAGGGGCTGCACGATGGGGGCCACGCCGAGGTCAGGATCCGCCGACGTACAGAGAGGACGAGAGGGACGCACCGTCGACGTCTGAGGCGAGCGGTGTGCGCTCCTCGTCGCTGATGGCCTCGTACCCTCGAGTATCGACCGAGTCCGTTGCCCGGCTCTCGGGCACGAGCGGGCTCGTCAAAATCTGCAGTGCGGCAGCGTCAGGACGGAGCACTGGGGAGGGATAGAGAGACTGTGGCGCACCTGAACAGCCGCGACCGCGATCGAGATGAGCGAGACGAAGCGCCATCGACCCGTGTCGGGCGTCGACAGCGGAACTGCGACGGCGGGCAAGTCAGCTCACGTGGTGCGTCCCTCAGGGAATGCTCGACGAGACGTACTGGAGAAGCCCTGGGCCGCAAAGATGCCGACATTGATCGAGATCTGGGTGAGGATGCCTGCGCGCGAACCCGTCTTCCTCGTCACATTCTGCTCCTCGCGCCGACGACAGAGACCGAGCGTGCTCACCGATGTTGCCGGCGATGGAAGGTGGGGCGACACTGCTCAGGTAGAGCGGGACGAGGACGGTGGCGATGCCGCACGCTGCGAGAGAGGGCCGGTCAGTGACCTGGACGGGAGAGGAGGAAAGAGGGAGACGCGCACAGATGCCGACGAGGACCCGCCCGAGGACCAAGACGAGCAGAGACGAGCCGAACGATACCGCGCTTGCTCCCTGTCGCGCAGAGGAAGACAGTGAGCTCGCTGGTCCGCCATTGAGAGAGAGAGAAGGAAAGAGGTCGGGCGACGCACGAGCATGATGACGAGCGCGCTCCTGACCGCCGTGCCCTTCCTGCCCCACCGCTCGATCATGCTGCCCGCTCCCAAGCTCCCGACGAGCCCACCGATCGTGTACGCGCTCGTGACGGTCCCGAACGCGGCGTCCGACATGCGAACGCAGGAGGGGAGGCCGAGGGCTGCGTGCGGCGAGCGCGAGTCGGGGCGCGACGCATCGCAGGTGATGGACTCGGCGGAAGAGTTAAGAGCCGCAATGTGGTACCCGTACTGGAGCTGTGTGCGACGAGAAGCAAGGTCAGCTCGCGACGAGGTGGGGGAGCGGGCGGGGGGGGGGGAGACGAGGACGCACAGCGCTCGTGGCGATCCAGCACACGGTGAGGCCGAATCTGAGCGGACTGCTGGCCATCGTAGGGCTGCGTCTGAGCTCCGGCGACGAGAGCGGCGTGTGGACGAGAGCGAGGCGCCTGGAAGTTCCCCGCCGACGCACAGATCCGAGCCGGCAAAACCGCGAGTTCGCTCACAGCGACCGTATCGCCCTAGCTTGGAGCTTCACGTGCATCTCTCAAACGTGGACGCAAAGGGGGAGCTCGAACCGACGCGTCTCCTATTCGTCTGCGAATTCCTCCTCGCTCTCGCCTCCTTCCTCTTCGTCCTCCATCTCATCGTCGTCCTCGAACGCGAGCGAGACGCCTGCCTCCTCCGCCTTGGCGACCGTCGCCTCGAACAGCTGCTCGCGGTACCGTATCGCCGCCTCGAGGATGTCGATCTGGCCTGCTCGGCGTAAGGGGTCAGTGCCGGCACGAGAGAGTGAGAGTGGGAGAGGGGGACGCACCCTGACGGTAGACCTCGACCATGTGCGCGACCTCGGGCCTGACCCCCTCGGCCGACGCGCCCGCCGCGCCCTGCCGCAACGCGTGCAGCTTGCTCTCGAGCATGCCCTCGAGCGAGGCGAGCACGTCGAGCTCGTTCTCCCAGCTCAGGAACCCGGCGACCTCGTTCCACGCGTGCGTCCCTCCGCCTGCGGCAGCGGCGGCGCGCGCCTTGACCTCGTCGAGTTCGTCCGGCTGCGCGACGAGGAGGCGCATCTGTGCGAGCAGCTCGGGCGGGAGCTCGCCGCTGCGGGGCACAAAGTGGCGCAGGTTGTCGAGCTTGAGCGAGTCGACGAGGTCGAACAGCGAGGGCGAGCACGAGGGCGGGATGGCGAGCTTGAGCGCGTGAAAGTCGGCCGGGTTCGAGGGCAAGACGAAGCCGTAGCCGAGGAGGAGCTCCTCGTTCGACTTGGCGCCGTACGTGTTGAACACCTGCTCGCCTGTTTGGTTGCGGGGGGAGTTGGCTCGATGTTTTGGCAGAGAGAGAGAGAGAGAGGGAGCACGAGGGACGCACCTGCGGGAACGTCCTCGTCGAGGACGATCGTCAAGCTGCCCTTGTCGCCCTCGCCGTCACTCGACGCCACCTCGGCGTGCACGTCCGACGACCAGGTGACCTTGGCGGTTGGGCGGTGGTTGAGCATGTCGATGCCGGGGAAGAGGACGGGCGTCGAGTTGGCCTTGTCGCCGTCGATGAGCGACGACGGAAAGGCCCGGGATCTGCCGCTCGCGAGCACGTCAGTCGACTGTTCGAGATTGAGAAGGGAACGAGGAGTCGGACGCACGACAGGATGGTGCACGCCCACAGCCACTTGTCCCAGCTGAGCCCCTCTCGCACCGCATCGTCTGCGATCCACCCGCGCACCTCGTCCCACTCTTGCCGCCACCCCTGCTCCCTCTCGTCGGTCGCGCCGTACAGGTTGCTCCCTCGCAGGAGCTCGCGCTCGGCCGGCGAGAAGTACAGGGTCGTGCGCATCGACTCGCTCGTCGGGAGGTGGTCGACGTAGACCTGGTGGGCGAGGTCGAGGTCGGGGATGGCGCGGACGACCGACGGGTCGAGGACGTGCAGGCACAGGTACAGGGCCATGAGCTCGTGGTTGGGCTGTCGAGACTTGCGGGTCGAAGTTAGCGAGGAAGGGAAGAGTGAGGTCGGGATGGAGCGGCGCGCGCGGGTCGGCGTCACGGCGAGGGCGAACGGGCACTTGACGATCTCGGCGCCGGCTTTGAGCGCGTCGGGCCCGTTGAAGATGGACGTGCCGTACGCATCTGTGACGCGAAAGACGGAGAGGGGAGGAGGGGCAGGCGACGAGGGTCAGCTCGGCTCGTTTGGCTCAGGGAGAAGGGGGCGCACCTTGTTTAGACACGAGGGCAGGGTGGAACAACCCTCCTGATCGGGCCAGGTAGTCGCCCAGAGGTGTTGTGGACGTGGCGGTGGCCGACATCTCGCTGCAGCTGATGAAGACGAGGGGCGCAATGTCGAGAGCTCGGGGGGTTGCGGGCGGCTCTGGGATGACGTCAAGAGCTCCTTCGGTGCTGTCGACGAGCACTTGCGCTGGCCAGGCGAGGGTGCGGCGGGTGAGCAGAGCCGACTCGAGGAGGCCGCTCTCCTCCTGCGTTCCCCCGCTCGACCTCGACTGCACGCTGTGCTTGCGGGAGTTCTAGACCCTGCGCGCACTAGTGCTCTCTCTCTACCTCGTCAAGGCGGCGCGCATCTCTTGTCCAACCCTCGCTCGCTCGCGCTCGAGCCTGCACCAGGGAGAGCGACAGAGAGAAACCCTTCAGTTGCACTTGCGAAATACTCAAACGCCCGCCATAGTCCACCGCGAACCCGCCCTGACGCACTACCTCGCCGTGTCCGTGACCTTGCGCGCTTCGGGCGCAGGCGCGGGTGCGGGTACCGGGTGCGCCGTCGAGGAGGGGCGCTCGGCCCAGCCCTGGGCGCCCTGGATCGCGAGGACGCCGGTGAGCGAGACCTGTGTCGAGGGCGAGAGAGCGGGAGGGCGTCGAGTCAATGACCGCTGCGCCGAGAGACAAAGAGATGGAGCGAGAAGAGGACGCACGGCAATGATCATGTGCGACGCTGCGACGCTCTGGAGGGCCTCGACGAGGCGCACCGGTCCGAGGCTGCCGCCTGCGACGCCCTTGACGCGCGCGAGGGTGGTCGCCGGGTCGACCGAGGGGAAGAAGGACGAGGGCGGGAGGGCGTCGAGCGGGAGGAAGCGCAGCGCGGCGAGCACGTTCGAGGTGTAGACGGTGAGGGCCGACAGGAGGAGCGCTGCGGGGGCAGAGGGTGTCAGTCAGGGAGAGAGTCGAAAAGGAGAGGACGAGCGAGCGCACTGAGGGTTGCGCCGTCAAAGAGGAGGCCCTCGACGGGCGACAGGACGAGCTTGACGATGGTGGCGAGGATGGTGGTGACGGCGACGGCCGTCAGGGTGCCGGCATAGTACGGCGGCGAGTGGTAGAACTGCGAGTAGTAGCCTGCAGGAAGCCCGAGGGTCATCAGTCGGCGAGGACAAGGGGGGTGCGAGGGCGAGGTGGAGTGGGGAGGGGAAAGGTGGGACGGACGGAGGGCGTTGGCGACGGCGTGGTCTGGTGGTGCGGGGCCTTGCCAGATGAGCGGGTGGTCTGCGAGCCAGTGGACGTAGAAGGCTCCGAGGAGGAGGCCGGTGCCGACGACGACGACCTTGGAGAGGAGGAGCGGGACAGGGACCGTCATGCAGGCGTGACGTCGAGTGCCGCTGTGCAAGCGAGGTGCGCGAGGTAGGCTGAGGGAGAGAGAGAGCGGCGAGGACGACGACGAGGAGGAGCGGAGGAGGAAGAGGAGGAGACGGACCCTCGCTCCTCTGTACCGGCACTCGCTGCTCGCTCGTACAGGCCAGGGCTGCCACACACACCTCCCACACCCACTCGAACACGCGCTTCACCCGTCGCCGCCTTTGTCCAGCCCGATCCGCCCTCCCCCTCGTCATCACCTCCCCCACCTCGTCGTCCACAGCGGCACCCTCCCGCTGACCAGCAGCTGTACAGCACCGCACTAGACTGTGAGCGCCACATCGTACCGCCCGAGTCGCTGCGTCAGCCGGCCCTGACCCGTCCCACCTCGTCGCAGCAGCACCACCCTCGGCCCTCCTCCCGACCACCCACTCGCTCCCCTCGACACCATGTCGCGCCTCGCTCCCGTCGTCCTCGACAATGGCACGGGCTACACAAAGATGGGGTGCGTTCCCCCCTCTCCCACTCTCTCGGGCACCCTCGGCTCACTCGTCCACAACCTCGCCTCCCACAGCTTTGCCGGCAACTCGGACCCGTCCTTCGTCATCCCGACCTGCATCGCCACCCGTGGCTCGCCCTCGTCCGGCTCGCGCGGCCCCGCCGTCCCCTCCAAGCCGTCCGGCCTCGGCTCGTCGTCGGGCCACCTCTCGAGCAAGCGCGGCATCGAGGACCTCGACTTCTTCATCGGCGACGAGGCCCTCGCCAATTCCAAGACGTACGCCGTAAACTACCCGATCAAGCACGGCCAGATCGACGACTGGGACCAGATGGAGCGCTACTGGGAGCAGTGCATCTTCAAGTACCTCCGCGCCGAGCCCGAGGACCACCACTTCCTCCTCGTGCGTCCCTCCTCTCGCCCTCCCTCTCTCTTGTGACTCTAACTCTGACTCGCGTTGTCCGTTCGCCCGCAGACCGAGCCGCCCCTGAACCCGCCCGAGAACCGTGAGGCGACGGCCGAGATCATGTTCGAGTCGTTCAACGTCCAGGGCCTGTACATCGCCGTCCAGGCCGTCCTCGCCCTCGCCGCGTCGTGGACGAGCAAGAGCGTCCAGCACCGCACCCTGACCGGCACCGTCATCGACTCGGGTGACGGCGTGACCCACGTCATCCCGGTCGTGCGTCCTCCTCTCTCTTCTCTCTCTCGTGTCGGACCAGGTCGCCTTACTGACACCCCGAACCCGCGCCAACAGGCCGAGGGCTACGTGATCGGCTCGGCGATCCGCCACATCCCCATCGCCGGGCGCGACATCTCGTCGTTCGTGCAGCAGCTCCTGCGCGACCGCAACGAGCAAGGGATCCCACCCGAGGACTCGCTCCGCGTCGCCGAAAAGATCAAGGAGGACTACTCGTACGTGTGCGGCGACATGGTCAAGGAGTTTGGCAAGTACGACCGCGAGCCGGAAAAGTTCTTCGCCAAGTTCGAGGGAGAGAACTCGGTCACGAGGCGGGTGCGTCCCACGTCCCCCCCTCTCTCTCTCCCTTTCGACCGGGTCCATGTCCCTGACTCGCCTTGCGTGCGCCCCCCTCTCGCAGAAATACTCGGTCGACGTCGGCTACGAGCGGTTCCTCGCGCCCGAGATCTTCTTCAACCCCGAGATCTACTCGTCCGACTTCCTCACGCCGCTCCCGGACGTCGTCGATCAAGTGATCCAGACGTCGCCGATCGACGTCCGCCGTGGCCTGTACAGCAACATTGTCCTGTCGGGCGGCTCGACCATGTTTGACCATTTCGGGCGCCGGCTCCAGCGCGACCTCAAGGGCATCGTCGACCAGCGCATCGCGTCGAGCGAGCTCGCGAGCGGGAGCCACATGCGGTCGTCGGGCGTCGACGTCAACGTCATCTCGCACAAGAAGCAGCGGTACGCCGTCTGGTTCGGCGGCTCGCTCCTCGCGTCCACCCCCGAGTTCTACTCGTACTGCCACGACCGCCAGGCGTACCAGGAATACGGTGCGTCCTCTTCTCTCCTTCTCTCGGTTGGGTCGGTGCTCAGCGTCGTCGTCGTCGCTCGCAGGCCCGTCGTTGGTGCGCCGGTTCGCCATCTTTGGCAGCGCGACCGACTGAGTGTGTGTGTAGATCCGCGTTCCCTTTCGTGCAAAGAACAGACTGTCTCCTCTCCTCTCGTGCTCGTCGTGAGCGTGCGCGAGAGCTGCGTCGTGCGCAAGAAGTTGGCCGTGCCGAAGGTCGGAGTCGGCGCCGCGCGCGCCGGAAGGCCAATTCCGAGCGGCTCCTCCCCCCTCGGCCTCCTCGCTCTACGCGCCCGTCCTGCTGGCGCACATGAGCGGCTTTGCTCCAGCACGCCCTGCACCAGGCCCTGGCCGCCCCGTCGAGCTCCCGCCGTTCGGCGAGGCGCCCTCTCGTCCGGCTTCGGTCAACCGCGCCGAGCCTCTGCCGCCTCACCAGCCTCACCAGCACCAGCCTGCGCCGCCGGTGTACGCCAGCACGAGCACTGCGCCCGGTCCAACCCCGAAGCGCACCACGCCCGCCTGCCAGAGGTGCGCCCCATCCTCCTCCTCGTTTCCCGGCGCCGGCCCGGATCTCCTCGGCTCACTTCCCCCATCTCTCCCTCCCTTTTCTCGTGCGCCGTGCACACACACACAGGTGCAGGAGGGGCAAGGTCAAGTGCGTCACGGTCGACGGCGCGCTGCCGTGCCAGGTGTGCGTCTCGCGCGGTCACGCCGACTCGTGCGTCCGGGGCGAGAAGGGCAAGGCCGCCGATGACAGGACGGTGCGTCTCGCTCTCTCTGCCTTTCTCTCGTCTCGCTCGAAAGGATCGGGCTAACTCGAATCCCGCGCAGCCCTACGTTCGCAAGCGCCCTGCCGCCGCCGCCGACCTCGACGACCTCGCCGACTCGTCGTTCTCCGGCCCGCAGCACTCGAGCCGCCGCACGTCGTACCAGGGCCAAGGCGCTGTCGAGAGTGTCGGTGCGCGCGGCTCGAGCCTCGGCGGCGCGTCGGGCAGCGGTGCGGCAGGAGGAGGGGCAGGAGGAGCAGGAGGAGGAGCGTTCGCCGGCTCGCCGACGCCGCCGAGCCCGACATGGTCGCCCCAGGCGGTACCTCTGCCGCTACGAGCTCCGGTGAGCGTCGGCGCGGCGGTCGCGGCGGTCAAGGGCGAGGAGGGCGCGAGCGAGGGAGGGCTGCCGCCGTTGCCGGTGCTCGTTGCAGGGTGCGAGAGTGCGTCCTCTTTCCCTCACTCGAGCCCAGCCACCCTGCGACGGTGTCGGACTCTTGAAGCCTGGCGGAAAGAGACGCGCACTCACGCTTCTCGTGCGCGCAGGCTTCTTCGAGGGCTTCTTCCAGCTCGGGTTCCTCCACCGGCCGTCGTTCATCCACCAGCTCTCGACCCGGCCCGACACCGTCTCGCCCTTCCTCCTCCTCGCCATCCTCTCCATCTCGGCGCGCTTCGTCCCCGTCCTCGTCGCCCAGCACGGCTCGCCGACGCGAGCGAGCGAGCACTACGCCGCTCGGGCCCACGACCTCGTCCTCGGCGAGCTCGTCTCGCCGTCCCTCGCCGCCGTCCACGCCCTGTACCTCCTCGCCGTCCACGACTTTTGCCACGGCACGGCCTTCCGGGCCAAGGTCCTCCAGTCGGTCGCGCGCGACATGGCCGACGCGCTCGACCTCCACAAGGACCTGCCCGGCGCGAGCGTCATCGACAACGAGATCCGCCGCCGCACGTGGCACTTCCTGTCGCTCGACGCCAACCTCGTCAGCGCCTCGCCGCCGCCGCCGGGCTCGTCGTTCGACCCGCGCACGGTCCCCGTCCCGCTCCCCTCGCACGAGCAGGACTTTTCGTTCGGCGTCCCGTCGCGCTTCGTCCAGTACTTGCCCGGCACGACGTCGGCCATCGCGCAGGTGAACCAGACGGGGCCGGGCGAGGCGTCGCTCCTCGGCGCGCTCCTCGCCGTCGGCGGCATCTTTGGCCGCACGGCCCGAGCGCTGTGCGACGAGGGCCCGTGGAGCGCGCCGTGGCACGAGGGCAGCCCGTTCCGCACGACGCAGAGAGCGCTCGATGCGTGGCTCGCGTCGCTGGACGGCACGCGTCAAAAATGGTCGACGCCCAACCTGCTCGCGTACCGCAACCTGCACCTCGACCTCGGCTTCTGGCACTGCTACGCCGACTTTCACGCCGTCCACATCCTCGGCCGACGGGCGCACCTCGCGCAGATGGTGCGGGCGCTCGCGCCGTCGAACGAGGACGACCCGGCGGCGAGCGCGGTCGACGGCGAGGCGCCGCCCGAGGGGCGGGCGTACTGGGCCGGCATGGCCGCCGAGCTCGTCGCGCACGCGTTCGACGTCGTCGAGCTGCAGGAGGAGGTGTCGAGGGGCAGGCCGGCGACGACGGGCATGACGCCGCACCTGTGCGTCCTCGTCTTTTCCTCTTTCTCGCTCTCTCGAGCAGCCCGACCTGACTCTTCTCGTCGCGCCCTTGCAGGTCGTTCTGCGTCTACCTCGCCGCGACGATCCTCAACTACCTGCGCATCTACCCTTGGCGTGCGTCCCCGCCCTCGCCTTCTTTCGCGCACGGACCTCCCTGACCTCCTCTCCCTTTCACAGTCTGCCCCTCTCGCGTCTCTTGCGCCCCGTCCCGCATCGTGACCGCCCTCGACCTCCTCCAGCATGCCTCGATCACCTGGCCCGTCGTCAAGCGCTGGCACCGCTCGCTCCTCGCCCACGCCACCTCGCTCGCCCTCGTCTCGAGCCCCAAACCGCGGCACGAGTCGACGAGCGGCCCTGCCCGCTCACCGGCGCACCTCGACGTCGAGCCGTCGCGGTCCTTGCCGCACGCCGGTGCAGGCGCGAGCGCGAGTGCGGCGCACGCCGCGGCGCAGGACGACGCGGGCCCGGCGGGCAAGATGGACGCCGCGAGCGCGCTCGCCGCCATGAGCGGCGCGGCGGGCCCGCCGCCCGTGCTCGTCGCCGGGCCTGTCGCCGAGCTCGACACGTCGTCGACGGCGGCGGCGTCGGCGGCGGCGGCGAGGAGCTCGGACGCCATGTCGGGCTTGCTGCGCGCTGCGGCGGCCGGTGCGGCAGCGGCGGCGACGCAGGACGAGCTCGACGAGCTGGGCGACGACGCACCCGTCGCGCAGCAGCACGGCGAGGGCTCGGTGGCGGTGGGCGGGCTGTACACGCCGCACTCGGAGCGCGGTCCGAGCGGGTCCGACGAGGTCGACGAGCTGCTCCGGGTCGACTTTGGCGACCTCGACGAGCTCAGGGCGTTCCTCGGTCGACACGACGTGAGCGAGGGACGTCGGACGGTGGCGGTGGCGGCAGGGTGGACGAGCTGAGCGAGCGAGGAGTGCGCGACGGGTGGGTCCGTCAGGGAGCGAGTGAGCGTTCGCGGACGAGTGTGTAGCTTCCTCGCCCAAGGAATGCGAAGCAGCGGCTTTCTTCTTTCTCGCAGAGGCATCGAGAGCGCGACGAGCAAGCGTTGCTGGCTCGCGCTGGCGGAACGGCAGCAGGAGGACCTTCTCAACTTCGTCGTCGTCCTCGTTGAGCGGCCGTGCCCTGCGCCAGGCTCCCGGTCGCCGGGCGCATTCGGTTTCTGGAGACCTCTCGAGTGACAGGAGAGACGCGAAGCGAAGCAGGGCCGGGAGAGGGAGGCGGCGCGAGTAGATCGCAAAGGCGGAAACGGACGACGAGGGCAGGGAGTCCAACGAGCCTTGCACTGCAGCGACAAGAGGACGACGACAAAGAGCTACAATATAAGAGAGAGAGAGAGAGAGAGACTGGGAAAGGGAAAGGGGATGCTACAAGAGACGAGAGCGAATCTACAGCACGGGCAGGTACCGGAGCTCGCGCTGCTCGTCCGTCGTCTTCCCAACGCCGCTCTCCTGCGACGACAGCCGCCCTGCACCGCCGACGCTCCAACGTCTGCCATCGTTCCCGTCCTCGGCCGCGAGCACGCGCTCGGACCGACGCACAGCCGTCGCCCGAGCGGGCGGCACCGGCTTGACGAGCTTGTTCGGCTGCTGCTGCCCGCCAGCGCCACCGCCCTCGCGCGCTCCTCGCTCCCGACTGACCGCCTCGACGCTCGCCGCCGAGCTGCCGCTCGAGGCGACGCCCGTGCCCGAAGTGGGCGCGCTCGGACCGCGACGCTTGAGCCGCCTGAGGCGGTCGCGCAGGCGGGTGACGAGGCGGGCGTTCTGCTCCTCGGGAGCTGGCTGGCGAGGACGAGGAGAAGGAGCGGTCGGCGTTGGGGCGCTCGAGGGAAAAGAGGGCGAGGCACCGAGAGGGGCGGCGCGCGTCGAGTCGACAGGCGCCGGCGCCGCGGTCACCGACTCGTCGTGCCGCCGCTCGCGGTCCTGCGCCGCACGAGCGAGCGCCGAGATGGCGTCGGCGAGCTCGCGCATGGCCGAGTAGCCCGACTCGTGGCCGTCGGGCGACTGGACGTGCTGCGCCGGCTGCGTCGCTCGCGCGATGCCGGCGAGGTGACGCAGCGTGTAGAGCTGGATGGCGAGGCTCGAGAGGCGCGTCGGGAGGTGGAGCAGGTCGGGGAGGGCGAACGTGGCGAGCGGCGAGGCGGCCGGTGCAGGAGCCTGAGCGCGCCCTTTGCCCTTGCCCTGGTCGACCGACTCGTGCCGCGCCGGGTGCGACACGCTCAGCTCGCGGTGCTCGGCAAGGTGCGACGCCGCGTCGCTCGGCGGCACGAGCGCGACGACGAGCCGCAGGACGGGCAGGCCCTCGTCGTCGGGCCGGAACTCGAGCCGGGCCGTCGCCGCGCAGCGCTGCGACCGGCTCTGCGCGAGGTCGGCGCGCGCAGCCGACAGGGTCGAGTCGCCGTGCCACATGAGGGCGCGCACGAGCGCGACCCACGAGTGCGCCTCGATGGCCCAATCGGCGCGGGACGCTCGAGCCTCCTTCTCGTTCGCCGTCGCCTCGCCGTCGCCCTCCCCCGCCATGCACGACAGCTCGATGCGCGCCGGCACCTCGGTCGAAGCGTCGAGGCCGTCGGCCGGGCACGCGTGCGCGAGCTCGCGCGAGCACGCCGCCGGGTGGCCGAAGCGCAGGCCGTCCTCGTGCATGTCTTGCGCGACGGCGGCTGCGGTCGACGGCTGCGGCTCGACAGGCGCTCGAGGCGGCGCATGCTCGCCGTAGGCGGCAGGTGCGGCGCCAGGCGGGAGCGACGGCATGCGCGAGGACGACTCGCGCTGCGGCAACGGCGGGCGCGGCGTCGACGCCGTGCCGTTCTGCGCGCCGCCGCCGCCGCCGGCGAGCCAGGTCCGCTCGTCGAGCGTGACCTCGTCAGGCAGGCCGTGCCGGCGAGTCGACGCGCCGCTCGACGCGAGCGAGACCTCGTCCGGGAACCGGCCGTCGTCGTGCGCTCGGACCCGGTCCTGCTCGACGACGTGCTCGTCGGCGCCGCCCTGCTCGGTCGCGTAGACCGAACTCGCCGGCTCGGTCGTCTCGTCGATGGCCGACATGGACCGGCCGGCGTACGCCGACAGGCCCGTGAGGCCCGCCGGGAACATGGGCAGGTCCTCGATCCACAGGCTCTCGACGCGGTGCCCGGCGTCGCCCTCGCGCTCGCCCCCGTCCGACGCCGACGTCGCCGTCGACACGCTCGACATGGTCGACGCGCGCGACGACGACACGCTCGGCGTCCCGTCCGGGTTGCGCACCGACAGCGGCGACATGGGCGGGCCCGCCGAGTCGGCGCTGTTGGCGCTCGACTCGCTGCGCCCGTCGGGGCCACCGCCGCCGCTGTGCGAGCTCGTCGACAAGGGCTCGTAGTACGACGACGACGAGCCGCCGCCGCTGCGGTTTTCCCACTGGCCGACGCCGGCGAGGCCCGGGCGCAGGTGCTGCTGGCCGGGGCCGTTGCTGCGGAGCGAGCTGCTCGGCGTGAGGAACGGGAGCTCGTACGGCGAGCCGTTGTTCTCGTCGCGGTACGACTCGGGGATGGCGAGGTTCTGGGGCGAGGGAAAGGGGACGGCCGACGAGGTGTCGGGCGGTGCGGGAGGAAGTCGGGACGGCTTCTGAGGAGCACCGGATGTCGAGGAGGAAGGTACAGGAGGAGGAGGAGGAGGAGCTGGGCGAGCTGGACGCGGCGGCGGGGCCGGCGCGGCGACGTCGAGGTTCGAGAAGGGCAGGGCCTCGGGCGCCGTGCGGTACGTGTCGACGGTCGCGACCGAGTCGTGGCGGACCGTCGGGAGCGGACGAGGAGGAGGGGGGGGAGCGACGGCGGCGAGAGGAGGGGACGACGGCCCGTCGGTCGCGAGCTTGCTCGACAGCGGCGGGCGCAGCCACGAGTGGCGCTGCGTCCTGGGCGACCGGGGCGACGTCGACGCCTCGTTGGACGACCCGCCGCCACCTTCGAGCGAGTCGCTCGCGGCGCCGTTCTCGGCGCTCTCGTCGCCGCTCGTCGTCGCGCCGAGCTCGCTGCGCCGCAGGGCCTCCTCGACCTCGGCGACCTCGAACCGGAGCCGCTCCTCCTCCTCCTCCTTGCTGATGCGGATCGCCTCGGCGAGGAGCTCCATCTCGCGCTGCTCGTCGTCCCACGCGCTGCCGGCGCCGGGCGGGAGCGCCGGGCGCCCGGTCGGGAACTCGCGCTGCTTCTCGGGCGGGTACGCCGACGACGCAAAGTCGGTCGCCGAGAACGAGGGCAGCGTCTGCGACCGAGGGTGGTACAGGGTGTGCAGGTCGTCGCGTTGCGCGGTCGCCGGCAAAGTGGACGAGGCGAGGAGGGCCGCCGTCAGGTCGGACTGCTCTTGGGCGGCGACTTGCTCTTGCCGGGCGAGCTCGTCGTCGCGCGACTGCTCGAGGACCTCGCGCAGCTCGGTCTCGCTCGTCGTCGGCTGTGAGTGCAGAGTGTCAGTTCGGCGAGGGTGTCGAGAATTAGGAGAACGAGGGGCGCACCTGTTGAGGAACGGGTTGCTCGTCGTGCAGGCTGGCCTCGAGCGCAGCGTTGAGGGCGGCGTCCTCCTCCTCCTGCTCCATGCTCTGACGCCCTTTGCCCTTGTCGAACGGAGCCGAAGGAAGGACGGGCGTGTCGCCCAGGTCGGGCGTGTCGGGCGGCGAGGGCGGGTACCGAGAGCGGTCGAACGCCGGCGGGACGGCTGACGGCGGTGGCACAAAGTGGGGCGCGTCGAAGGACGAGGTCGTGACGGAGGACCTGGCCGACGACGAGCGGGCAGAGTGGGCGCGCAGTGGCGGGAGCGGCAAGGGCTGAGGTGGGGCAAGGTGTCAGGAGGACTGGGTGTGGCGCGAGGGGGGATCGCGTGCGGTGGGACGGGGACGCACCTGCGGGTCTTTGTTGCCAGCCTTGTCCCACTCGTCCTGGACGAGGCGCTTGAGCGAGGTGGCCGCGGTCCCGAGTCGCTCGCGCTTGGAGAGCGGCGGGCCTTGATGCGGCCCTGGATGGAGAGCGTGCGACAGGGTGGTCGATGGCGCCATAGCACAGGTGCGATCTCGAGTGCAGCACGGCACAGGCGAGAGCGAGGGTGAGGGAGCAGAAGGAGAGTGAGGCGGTGTCACCGGCCCGAATTGAGAGCGACGTCGACGACGGCCAACCACCGAGCCCGGCTCTCGCGCTGGCCATATGGGCCACGAGCAGGGTTCAGCTAGCTCTTGCAGAGCAGCACCAGTCCACGCCCACGCTGCAGCGAGAGGGACGACAGCTGCGGATTTGAGCGAGGCGGTGCAGCTCAGCTCGCTCGGCGGCAACAGCTCAAGCTGTCTCTGTAAGGGGCCTGACAGCCGTACGAAACTGCCTTGCACCCGTCTAGCCACACCAACGATCTCCAGCGTGAGCGAGCGGCGCCGACTTCATCTCGCTCTCCGCTCGCGAGCTTGGAGCAGATTCCTCGCGGCGCCCTCCCCCAGCTCGCTCCCCACCTCCAGCCCCCGACTCTTTCCTGCTACCATGAGCTCTCGTGGTGGATTCCGAGGCGGTCGCGGCGGCGGCTCTGACCGTGGCGGTCGCGGTGGCTTCTCGCGCGGTGGTGCACCCGGTGAGCCGCGACCTCCCCGTCTCCCCTCCCTCGGTCGTGTGCCGTCCCTGTGACAGGCCACATCCGGTCACCTGCAGCCAGGGCCTGCGCCAGCTCGCCTTGAGAGGCCGGCGAGGCCGCCTCGACGAGCGAGTCGGCCCTCATCTCCCCTGCAGCACCATCTCGAGATGGCGCTCCCCCACCTCGCCCTCAACCCCTGCGTTCGTCACCAGGACCGTCACTGACTCTCCTTCACCCTCTCAGGCGGTCGCGGCGGCTTCCGTGGCGGTGGACGCGGTGGATTCGGCGGCGGCTACCGCGACGACGGCCCTCCTGCCGAGGTCATCGGTCCGTCGCTCTGTCCTCCCCCTCGTGCGCTCCTCGAGCCCACATGCTCACCATCAAGCGGTTCTGCAGAGATCGGCACTTTCATGCACGCCGTCGAGGGCGAGATGCTCTGCGCGTCGACCCTCCCGTCCAAGGTGCGCCCTCGTTGCCTCGTCTCGACGGCCAGCTCTCGAGCAGCAGCTCACGTGCCCTTGCGCTCGCAGGTCCCCTACTTCAACGCGCCGATCTACCTCCCGACCAAGGCGCCCATCGGCAAGGTTGACGAGATTCTCGGCCCGATCAGTGCGTCCTCGCCGTCCCTCTGCCTCGTCCTCCCTTGCGGCAGTTCCTGACCATCACCCTCTCGCCCTCACCTCTCGCCGTCCCTCGTCACTCGAACTCGTCCTCCCCCACCACCGCCTACGCCTGCGCCCACCTTCCTCGCCCTGTCGCCCTCGACTCGCTCGCCCTCGCCGCCCTCGCGCCTCTCGCGCCGCAGACGAGGTCTACTTCACGATCAAGCCCCAGGCCGGCATCGTCGCGACGTCGTTCACGGCGGGCGACAAGGTGTGCATCTCGACCGACAAGCTGCTCCCGATCGAGCGCTTCCTTCCGCAACCCAAGGCGCCCGCCGGCCCCAAGAAGAAGCGCGGCGCAGCCGGCGCCGGTGGCCGCGGCGGTCGCGGTGCGCCCCGGGGCCGCGGTGGCCCGGGCGGCTTCTCGTCGCGAGGCGGCGGCGGTCGCGGCGGCGGGTTCTCGAGCCGCGGCGGCGCGCCGAGGGGCGGCGGGTTCTCGCGCGGCGGTGGCGGCGGACGGGGCGCGCCGCGTGGCCGCGGCCGCGGTGGGTACTAGGAGGAGGGAGCGACACTTGTTGCGTGTTCTTGTCGGCTCGGCCGCTCGGCGCGAGCGAGCGTGCCCCCTTGCCAAGCTGTACTTTTATCGCGTTCTCTCTCCCGCACGGCGACCTGGCTCTCGCTGTCGCCAGTCGAGAGGCTATCTCTGCGGACCCTGAAAGCTCTCACGGCTCGAGAGAACCTCTCGCAGCCTGCGCAACGCTCCTTTCTCGCCCCGGTCGTCGTCTTGCGTTCTCTCCGCACTTCTTTCAGGGACGACTTGCATTCTACTCGATCGGGCGCCGATGAAGTGCCGCTGTCGGATGCGCGCGAGCTTGGCCTTTTGCGCGACGACGAGGGGAGGAGAGAAGGTGGTCGACGTCGAGGAGGAGGAGGAGGAGAGGAGGTCGGTGCGGCCAAGCTGAGCGAGCTGCGCGTGGAGCACTCTTGTGTGGCATCGGGCAAGGTGCCGCTTGGCCTTTTGTGCGCGCCCCGGGTGAGAGAGAGCGTCCGGGGCAAGCGACGCGTCCGACTCACTCAACCTCGACGCCGCGCTCGATCGACCTTGCTCCGTCCCTCTGCTCTCTCTCTCGGCCCCTTGCGACTTGCTCGACAAGCACAGCACCAGCTCGAGCACCCACCATCCCCCCGACGATGCGCCGCCCTCGCCTCCGCACCTCGCCTGCGAGCCTCGCCCTCGCGGCCGCCATCGCAGCCACGACGCTCGCCTCGCTCGTCACCGCCTCGTCGTCGAGCCCGGCCAGCCCGCACGCGCCCCACCCAGCCGCACACCGCGCCATCCCGCACCCCGCAGGCCACGGCCGCTTTGCCGCACGCGCAGCAGCCGGCGCCAACTCTGCCGACCCCGCATCGCCCGACTTGTTGCTCGTCGAGCGAGGGCTCGCCGCCGCCGCCGACGACGATGCGCAGGCGCGCTCGGCCCTGTTCGAGGGCGAGGTTGCCGGCAACGCGATCGAGGGCGAGGTCAAGGTCAGCGGGTGGACCGCCGACGACGACCTGTGGATGGCGTCCGGCACGTACGACCTCGAGGGCGCCGCAGGCGCGCTCCACATCAAGATCAGCGACAACTCGACTGCTGCCGCTCCGGCGTCGGCGTCGGCTTCGAGTGCCGGCGAGGACGAGGGCGAGGGCGAGCCGGCGGCGAGCGCGAGTGCGGCGGCAGGAGGCGCATCGTCTGCGACCGACGACTCGTCGTCGCAGGCGGGTTCTTCGGCGAGCGAGTCGTCCGTCGCCGAGTCGACGACGTCGTGCACCGATGCGCCGGCGGCCACATCCGGCTCGGCCTCGCCGAGCGGGAACCAGTCGGCGGCCGACTCGGTGGCGGCGACGAGCAGCGGCGGCGCCTCGACGTCGACGACGAGCCGCAAGATGTACCACGGCCAGAGCGGCTCGTCGACAAAGATCAAGGCGACGGGCACCAAGACGCTCGACCCGGACTCGCTCGAGACCAAGCTCCTGATCAACCCCAAGTGGATCGCGCTCAACCCCAAGTGGACGCCCACGGCCCTCCTCGCGACAGTCGTCACGCCGGCCCCGACCAAGACGTCGATCAAGACGTCGTCGGCGAGCGCGACCAAGACGTCGACCGTCGCCCTGACGCTCCCGGCCCCGCCGGCGTCGACGTGCCAGCCGCAGTACACCAACACGGCCGGCGGCGCCGTGTACGGGCCCGGGCTCGGCTCGTTCAACTTCCTCCCGAGGCCGTCGACGTTCGTCAAGCGCAGCGGCAACAAGTTGACGCTCGACGGCGACACGTACCGCATCGTCGGCCCGAGTGCGTCCCCTCGCTCCCTCATCCCTCCGCTCTCCCTCTCGACGACCGTCCTGACTCTCCTCTCGTCGCCCACGCACAGACATCTACTGGCTCGGCCTCGACGAGAACGTCAACTGGCAGGTGTCGTACCCGTCGAAGCAGCGCGTGCGCGAGGCCATGGCCATCACGGTCGCGATGGGCGGCAACACGATCCGGTCGCACACGCTCGGCGTCAGGTGCGTCCCTCTCGTCTCTCACCTCTCGAGCAGTCGACCGTTTGCAGGATACTGACCGCATGGAGGACGTCGGGCAGCACCGGCCACAGCAAGACGCTCTGGCCCAACGCGTGGAGCACCAACAAGGCTGCTGTGCGTCCAGCTCTCCCTCTCGAGCTCGGCTTCACGCGTCAACTGACTGCCCCTTGTCCTGCGCGCAGTTTGACCCGATCGACTACGCAATCTTTGCCGCGCGCAACTACGGCCTGCGGCTCATCATCCCGCTCACCGGTGCGTCGAGCTCTCCCTCCTCATCAGCGTCGACGTGTACTGACCCACTCTCTCCCTTTGCAGACAACTACGCCTACTGTGCGTCCGCTCGCCTCGCCTTTCCACCGTCGAGCTCGAACTGACCTTCTCAACCCGGCCTCTTCCCCTTCTCGCGCAGACCATGGCGGCAAGTACGACTTTATCGGGTCCGTCCTCCTCTCGCACCTCTCTCACTGCCTCTCAGTCTGACGAACGAGAACGTACGCAGCTGGGCCGGCGCCGACACGAACGACGCGAGCCAGTTCTACTACAATGACGACGTGATCAGCCTGTTCAAGGGCTACATCTCGGTCCTGCTCAACCACGTCAACGCCTACACCGGCGTGCGTCCCTCTCTCTCTTTCGCCCGTCTCGTAGTCGTGCCAGAGAGCGTCGAGCTCACTCGTCCTTCTCAAACAGGTCGCGCTCAAGGACGACCCGACCATCATGGGTGCGCCCTCGCTTCCTCTCATACTTCTTTTCCCGGAGCTCACGAGGACTTGTGTGCGCAGCGTGGGAGACGGGCAACGAGCTCGGCGGCTACATGCTCGGCGGCGGCGCACCTCCCGCCTCGTGGACCAAGGACATTGCGTCGTACATCAAGAAGCTTGCGCCCAACCACCTCGTCGCCGACGGCACCGACGGCTTGACCGACTATGGCGGCAGCTTGGCCACCACGGGCATGAAGGTGTCGAACGTCGACCTCGTGTGCGTCGCGCCCTTTCCCTTCTCTCTCTCTCCTCCTTCTCGTCGCGCACGGTCAGCTCACGCCGCATGTTCGCCTCTCTGTGCAGGACCGACCACTTCTACCCGGCGCTGCAGTGGCTCCTCGTCAAGGACAAGAACTGGATGAACAGCTACCAGAGCAAGGTCTTCTTCGTCGGCGAGAACGATTGGACCGGGCTCGTGCGTCCACTTTTCCCTCTTTCCTCCTCGCCCTCGGCTCAGATGTGAAGCAGACACTGACGAGCGGTATCCCGCACGAGCAGAAGGGCGGCGACGACCTCGACACGTTCTACTCGACGATCGAGAACATGGACGGCTCGGGCTCGATGATGTGGTCCATCTTTGGGCACGGTGCGTTCCCCTCTCTTCTTTTTCCATCCTTCCTCGACGTCGACTGACAACGAGCCCCGACCTGCAGACGATCGATGCTGCGACTGGATCTACCACGTGAGCTCTCGGCCGACCTTCTCAAGTCCTCTCGCATGGCCTCGAACTGACTCTTCTCTCTCGCCCTTGCCACAGAACGACGGCTACTCGCTCTACTACCCGAACGGTATGAGCAGCTCGATGAACAAGGCCGCCATCAAGCTCATGAAGGTGCGCTCCCTTCGCTCCCTCCCTGCCGCAGACGATGACGACGAGGTCCTGCACGTGAGCGAGACTGACACGGCCCGCCGTACCCCTCGACAGCACTGGTACCGCATGCGCGGCCTCACGCCGCCCTCGGCGCTTCCCGCCGTCGCGTGCCCTCAGCCAGAGCTCACCGAGTGAGCTCGCACAGGCGCTTTTCCGCCCCTCTCGCCCTTCTTTCGCATTTCGTCCTCGCACCATTCGTATCTCTGCATTAGACACTCCCCCCTTGAACCCCCTTCCCTCCTGTGCATAGCCTTCTTGCCGAGTCGTCGAGCGACGAGCCCTTCCTCCTCTTCCTCGTCCTCCTCTCGGCCTTTCTTCCTCTCCCCTTTCGCCCTCTCTTCCTCTCTTTAATCGCCCGCGGGCTTGTCACGACTCACGTAGCGCACGACCCGCAACGAACAGACACTGTGCCCTGCCTGCGTTGCGCCATGAGCGAGCTGTCCGAAAGAGGGTCCGAACGAGGAGAAACAAAGCCGAGAGAGCGTCCATTGGCAGAGCGAGGGGTACACAAAGAGGGAGAGCTACGCAAGGGTATGAAGGAACGAGGACGAGAGGGCGCGAACCGCAAAGGGAGAGGAAAGGGGGGCCCGAGCGCTCAGTGCTCGACGGCGAGCCTGCGCTTGTCGCGCCCATGCGCCCGCTTGCGCTCCCGCTCGACGAGCGCCGCAAAGTCCTCCTCGACCTCCTTCTCGATCCACCGCTCGAGGTACTTGATCGCGAGCGCGCCGAACCGGGCGTCGAGCTTGGCGTCGAGCGACAGGCCCGACTTGTTCGTCGCCTTGTGCGGGCGCGCGGCGTGCGGCAGCTTGAGCTTGACCACGCCCTCGCCGCCGTGCTCCTCCTTCCTCCGCTCCGCTGCAGCCGCCTCTTTCCTCGCCCTCGAGCGCGCCGCCTCGGCCTTGCGCGCCCGCTCCGCCGCCGCCCGGATCGCCTCGAGCGCCGCCCTCGCGACGCCCGCCGCGTGCTCCTCGGCCCTGCGCGCCGCCTTGGCCGCCCGCAGCGCCGCCTTGCGCGCCTCTGCGAGCGCCGCAAGCTCGGCTTCACGCCGGGCGGCGAACGCGCGGGAGCGCCGGCGCGCGAGGGCCTTGTTGGCCTTGAGGTGGGCGAGGGCTCGAGCGCGAGCCTTCTCGGCGTCGGCGAGCGCGGCATGGTGGGCAGGAGAGAGAGTGGGAGCGGGAGGGAGGACGTTGGAGGAGGTGGTGGACGACGGCGGGGAGGAGAGCTCTGCGCTGCGGGACGAAGCGCGGCTGCGCCGGCGGTCGTCGAGCCGACGTGGTGCTCGCCGTTCGTCGAAGTCGCCGGTAGGGCGGACGACGCCGATGAAGAGGGCGTGTGTGTCGACGAGGCGTTGACGAGAGGCGCAGAGGCGACAGTGGACGACGTCGAGGGGATGCTCGTGGTCGCCAGGGCGGACGACGCCGCGCTCGCCGCCGTGCCGCTCGCCGAGACCGCGACGGACGTCGCTGCGGTCGAACTCGAGAGCGAAGCCGCCGACGACGACGTGCTTCCGCTCGCCGTGACCGCCGTCGACGAGGTACCGCTCGCCGTAGACGTCGACGCTGACGACCCGCCGACCTCCTCGCCGTACGCCGCCGGACCCTCGATGAGCGCCGCCGACACGAAACGCTGGATCGCGGTCGAGAAGTCGTAGAACTGGGTCGGGCGCGACACGGTGTTGCCGCCGCAGTAGACGACGACTTGAGGTCCGGCGGCGGCGACGTCGCAGAGGACCTGGTGCACGTCCGAGAAGGGCGCGAGGTAGTCGACGCACGACGAGTCCCAGTCGTCGCAGAACGCGCTCGTGTCGGCGTCTGTAAAGAGGGCAAGAGGGGAGTCAGCTGGGTCGAACAGGATCGAGAGGACGAGGAGGAAGAGGGCCGCACAGACATCCTCGTCAAACTGCGGGCGGGCATCCGAGGGTCAGCAGCACGCTCAAAAGGACAGGGAGGGGGAAGCTGGACGCACGCTCATTGTGTACAGGTAGCCCTCGGGCACCTTGGGTGCGACGGCGACAGGCGCAGTCGAGGCGGACGGGGCGGCGCTGCTGGAGGTAGTGGCGGTGGCGCTGGATGTGCCGGCGTGCGAGCTGGTTGCTGTAGCACTGGCGGCGGTGCTCGTGGCGGCAGACGAGGTGAGGGTGGCGGCGTGGGCTGAAAGCGATGAGGCGGCGACGAGGGCGAGCGCGATGGGCCCGAGTCGGCGCGGTGCCATGGCGCGAGGTGAACGAGTGTGGTGGGGTGCAAGCGAGTGACGAGGGTGGCCAGCCAGCACGGCAGGCTCGACAAGAGAGAGGAGCGAAGGAGGGAGAGGAGCCGGCGAGGAGGAGGAGGAGCGTGCGGAGTGCGGGGTAACCCTCAATCACCGCCAGCGAGCCTCTCTCTCAGCCTCTGCCGCTGCACAGAGCACTGCAGAGCGAACAGGGACCGACAGGGCAACCTGCAGCAGGAGCGCCAGCCAACCTCGTCCTCGTCCTCCTCGACCCTCTCGCTCTCTCCTCGACCTCGGCCCTCGCACAGGAAGCGCAGGCTTTGTGCAGGTCAGGACAACACGGACACGATGCGAGGGGTGGTACGACGGGAGAGAGGGGAGAGGGATGTGGACAGGGAGGGAGAGAGAAAGAGAGGCCCGCTCAGAACTTCTGCTTCTTGCTCGGCCCGCCCTGCGCCGACGACCCTGCGCGCTTGGCCTGCTTGCCCGACTCTGCGAGAGGATGAGCGTCAGGTCCGTGCCTGTGCTGCGAACCTCCTCGACCTCCTGCGCGAGCGAGGAGGACGAGAGGGGAGCGAGGAGGAGACGAGGCCGACGCACCGATGCGGATGCGCTTGATGTTCTCGTGGAAGGCGTCCGACAGGGCCCGACCGCTGACCGAGACGTGGCTCTCGGTCCCGTTGAACCGGTAGCAGTTGTTGATCATGAGGTCAAAGTCGGCGACAAACGCGTCGATCGTCGCGTACTCGTCGTTCTCGAGCTTGCGCCGGATCATGATCAGGTCGCGCGCCTGGTCGGGCGGGATAAAGTCGAAGTAGTTGGGCACTTGGGCGACGAGGTCCTTGATCTGCATCAGGGGCGAGAGCGAGTGAGTGAGGGGTGCTCGAGGGAGGGCGACCGCCACCCGACGAGAGGGGACGAGGACGTACGGGCACCATGAAGGGGGCAGCGACGCCGGCAGTCCTATCGCGAGGGAAGAGAGAGAGAGAGTCAGGACGAGGTACCGGGAGCGACAGGCGCCGAGAGAGAGAGAGAGAGAGGGACGCACGGCGACGTGTTCATGAGGCGCTTGAGCATACCGCCGAGGCTGCGCTTCGTGTTGTAGCTGAGCTTGTTGGCCTTCTCCCACTCGGTGCGCCACGCGCGGTCGAGGATGTGCACGTGCCAGATCGGCTCGGTGTTGGGCGTGTTGAACCGCTCGCAGTTGGCGACGATCAGGTCAAAGTCGCCGAACAGGTGCGCGTAGCTCGCGTACACGCCCGCCTCGAGCCGGCGCGTGAGCGTGTCGAGGTCCATCGGGTGCTCGATCTCGTCGTAGTAGGTCGCGAGCGGGCCGACGGCCTCGACCGGGTACTGGAAGAAGAAGGCCTCGCGCAGGTTCTTGACCTTGGCGAGGACCTGGCGCGCCTTGGCCATGTCGACGGGCTCGTCCGGGTTGACCCACTTGGTCGGGTACGGCGGCTTGGGCGTGTTGAGGATCTCGGGCCGCTGCGGGACGCCGTACGCGACAGGAGCGGCCGAGTGCGCGACGGCGACCGTGTCGGCCTCGTCGTCCTCAAAGTCGGGCGGCTCGGCGTAGTTGATCGGGGCCTTCATCTTCTGCTGCGCCTTGATCGACTCCTTGCGCTTGGGCTTGGACCCTCCAGCCACGCCGCCGTCCCAGTCGCCGCCGTACGGCGAGCCCGCCGGGCTGTACGACACCTCGGGCGAGAACGACGTCGTCTTGGCCGGCCTCGGCGTCGCCCCTGCCGCCTCGGTCACCGACGCGCCGCCGAGCTTGAACTTGAGGGTCGGCTTGGGCGGCGCAGGTGCGGCAGGAGCGCTCGACGCCGGTGCGGGCGACGCGCTCGTCGGCTGCGACGGCGCCGACGATGGGGCGGCCGCGACGACAGGGGCCGGCGCCGGGATGGGCGGCAGGTGCGCAGGAGGTGGCGGGACGGCGGGCGCTGCGCTCGGCGTGCGCTGCAGCTCGGGGGCAGGAGCCGGGGAAGGCGCGGCCGAGGCGGGTGCGGGCGCCGGTGCGGGTGGCGGCGGCGGTGGAGGACGAGGTGCGGCCGACGGGATGGGAGGGAGGGACGGCAGCGTCGCAGCGTCGGGCTGGAAGGGAGGTGGTGGAGGAGGAGGAGCCGGCGCCTTGAGCTTGAGGCTGACCGACGGCGTCGACGACGGCGGCGCGTGAACCGGTGGTGCGGGCGGCGCATGCGCCGGGACGAGCGGCGGTGGCGGTGCCGGGACCTGGCGCGTGACGAGCTTGATCTTGTGAGAGCCGGCAGGTGCTGGTGCAGGCGGGGCCGGGACGGCGTAGGTCGGCGCAGGTGCGGGAGGAGGAGGAGGTGGAGGCTGGTGGTGCGAGTGGTGCGGCTGCTGCTGGTGCGGGTGCGGGTTGGCGTGCGAGTGATGGGTCGGAGGAGGGGCGCCAGGCTGGAACCGGGCGAGCGTCGCCTCGATGCGGGCCCACTGCGACTCGAACAGGGCGTCGAGGTCGTCGGCGAGGGCGCCGATCGGGCTTTCGGCGCCGTTGTACTGCTTGGCGTTGGCGACAATGAGCTTGAAGTCGTCGCGGAACGCGTAGCGGTCGGCGTACACGCCCGCCGCGAGCTTGGCGCCGAGCGTGCTCAGGTCCATCGGGCTCGCGATGCGGTCGTAGTAGTCGACCGCGCCCGTTTTGACCGGGTCGACCGGCTTCTTGAACATGAACGCCGACGGCGCCTTGTGGAGCTTCTTGAGGACCGCTCGGCACGCCGTCACCTCGGGCCCGCTCATGCCGCCGGCCTGCGCCGGCATCGCCTTGGGCAGCTTGGGCGCACGGTCCTTCTTGGGCTTGGGCGCCGACGGCGGCTGGACGACCGGCGGCGGGTGCACGACGGCGGGCGCAGGCTCGTACGCGCCGCCGTACGGGTCGTACGCCGGCTCGAGGGCGCCGTAGTCGTGCGGGTCCTGGACGGCGAACCGAGGCGTCGACGGCCCGCCGAGCTTGAGCTTGTGGAACGAGCCCGGCGTCGGCGGCGGCGCCGGCTCGGACGGGATCGACGGGATGGCGGCGGGCGTCGGCGGAAGGCGGAACCGCATCTTGGGCATGGGCTCGGCCTCGGGGCGGACCGTCGCCTCGCAGATCTTGAGGCAGCACAGGCGCACCTCGGGGTCGACGTCGGGGTGCGTGAGCGTCTGGAGCAGGCTCGTGCGGTAGTTCATCGACCGGCCGGGCTTCTTGCGCAGCGACTTGAGGACGTTGGCGAGTTCGTCGCGCTCCTTCTTGGCGTCGCCGCCTCCCGCAGCGCCGTCGCTCGCGCCCGGGTCCGGCGGCGCCAGGTCCTGGACGGCGACGAGGATCGGGAGCGACTCGAGGACGCTCTGCGCGAGGCGGCGCTGGACGAGGCGCGACGAGTCGTCGCGCATGACGGCAAAGAGGTACCGCACGAGCGGCATGACGTCCTGGAGCGGGTTGAGAAGGAGGAGGGCGTCGAACGCGGCCATGCGGACGGGCGGGTAGTTGCCGTCGCGCGTGTAGTTGAACAGCGACATGCGGTCCTCGGGGATGAGGGACGCGAGCGTGAGCTTGAGCTTGAACTGCGGGCGGGCACGACCTCGAACGTCAGGGCCTGGATCGAGTCGAGGATGGAGAGATCGCGAAGACGCACCTCGATGCCTGCGACGGTGACGACATTGTGGTAGCTCGGGACGAGCCTGTCGGCGCTCAGGTACCGCTCGACCTCCTGGACGGCCGGGATGAGGTTCTCGTTGGCGTCGACCTCGGTGAGGAGCTCGCTCTCGGCGCGTGGCAGGACGTTGACGAGGGCGTGCGACAGGGCGTGCATGATCGACGTGATGTAGTGCGCGTCCGAGTACTGCGAGGCAAGGGAGGACGAGCGAGGGTGAGCGAGTGTCCGGGAGCGCTCGAGCCCATCGACGGGCAGAGGGAGAGAAGGGGGCGCACCTTGTTGCCGAGGTTGTCGTTGTAGGTGAGGAGGTCGACGAGGAACTGCTGGATGACGGGCGGCGTCTGGCCGTGCTCGTCGCGCACCATCGAGACGGCCGTGAGGACGGCCTTTTTGAGGAAATAGAGGGTAAAGTCGCTAAAGTCGTTCGTCTTGGGGATGCACCGGAAGCCGAACGGGTCCTTGGTCTCGACGTCGGGCTCGAAGCAGTACCACGTCTGGAAGATCTTGAACAGGTGGAACAGGCCGAGGTAGTCTTGCTGCGCCGTCGCACACTGCGGGACGAGGAGGACGCACACACGCTCGAGGAGGTCAGTGAGTGCTCGGCGTCGAGCGAGAGAGTGAGAGAGAGGAGGAGGAAGGAGAGGACGCACCGAGATGAGGGCGAGGGCGGCCTCCATGCGGATGCGGAAGAAGTAGTTCGACACGAGGACCGTCTTGCACAGGTTGGCCGACACGATCGGCGACGGGATGCTCGACAGGGCGTGGATGGCCTGCGAAGGCGAACGAGGCGCGAGGGAGAGAAAAGAGTCAGGGCGCGAGTCGAGAAAGAGGAGGAGGAGTAGGAGGGAGCGAGGGACGCACCTCGAGCTGCGCGACGACGTCGCGGTCTCGCTGCAGCTGCGAGACCCACATGAAGTCGGGCTGGGTGAACTTGACGATGCAGATCCACTCGAGGTCGGCGTCGATGCGGATCCACTCGTACGTCGCCTGGCTCATGGTCGCGTCGTCCTCCTCGGACCAGTCGACGACGCGCCACCGGTCGCGCTCGCGCTCGTCCTCCCACATGCCCAACGAGAAGCCGACGTCGATGAGGCCCATGTCCTCGGCGGCCTCGGCGTCGCCGAGCGCGGCGGCGGTCGCGGCGGCTTGGCGGGCCTGGTACCGCTTCGTGTTGCGGCGCACGCGCTTGTACTTGGTGTTGAACGGCACCTCGTGGCGCTTGAACGTCTCGGCGAGCGACAGGACGTGCTCGTACGGCGTGCCGTCGGCCTCGTGGATGCGGATCGTCATCTGGCCGTCGAAGAGCGGGATCGGGCGCAGGTGCCCTTGGGCCTCCCAGGGCGCCTTCTGCGCCCACGCGTAGGCGTAACAGCGCTGCGTGACGTTGAGCTCGACGGCCATGCGCTTGCGGTTGAAGTTGGCCTGGATCTCGAACGTCGGACAGCCCGAGCCGTAGACCCACTGGTCGAAGAAGACCTTGAGCGCCTCGGACGAGCCGCCGCACGCCTTGCGACACGTGCGCATGAACGACGTCGTCGAGAGCGAGTTGCCCTGGTTGGCGAGCTCGCCGGCGATGGCGTCGAGGAACAGCTTGGGCAGGACCTTGTCGAGGCCGAGCGACGTGCCGGCCTTGCGCAGGTGCTTGTCGAGGATGTGGAGGACGAGGGGCGCCTTGAGCGCGACAAACTGCATCTGCGTCGGCTCGGGCAGCGTCAAGCGCGCCGGGACGCAGATGGGCTCGAACTGGATGTCCTGCTCGACGCAGCGGTTCATGTCCTTCTTGAGCCGGAACCGGAACTCGTTCATGCCCCACAGGTGCCGCACGAACCGGCCCGTCATGTGGAGCGCGATGCCGATGACGAGCCAGCTGTCGCTCGCCGTGCGCGGGACGAGGTTGACGCCGGACCACTGGACGGCGGCCGCGTGCGCGAGGAGGTGCCGCGTCTCGTACGCCTGGTCGATGACGCTCTGCGGGTGCAGGACGTCGCTCGCGACGAGGGCGAGCCCGGCCGAGTGGAACGTCGGCGCGCCGCTCGCGAGCGAGTCGACGAACGCGACCGTGAAGCTGACGAACGGGTACGAGCCGAACGTCGACGCGTAGAACTCGATCGCCTGCCGCACGACGCCGACCGAGTACTCCATCTCGGCCTCGCGGCCGGGCAGGCACAGCGCGTGCAGCGTCGGGCCATCGTCGCGAGCGGCGCCGTCGGTCGCGCCGTCGTCGTCGTCGTCGTCGTCGTCCTGCTGCTGCTGGTCGTCGACGCCCTTGTCGTCCGAGCCCTCGGCGCCGGCTCGTGCGCGCGCCTTCTTGGCCTTGGCGCCGCTGCGGATCTCGGTGACGACGAACGGGCCGACGGCCCACGCGATCTGCTGCACGCTGACGGGCGTCACTTGGACAAAGTGCCAGATGACGCGGTCCGAGCGGTCCGGGTGCACGACCTGCTCGACGAGCTCGCCCGACGCGACGACCGTGACGGGCCACTCGGCGTCGACCTCGTCGTCGTCGTCCGACTCGTCGTCCGAGTCCTCGCCCGCCTCGCGCGCTCCTGCTGCCGCCGCCTCGCCGCTGCCGCCGCCCTCGTTCGCCGGCTCGAGGCCGTCGAGCGACGCGCCGTTGCGCCCGGCGCCCGAACCCGCCTCGTCTGCGCCGGCGCCAACGCGCTTCTTGCGCTCGGGAGGGGCGCTCGCGAGGACGCGCGGGACGACGAGCTCGAGGTCCCACGAACAGCGCTCGCGGGGCGTGTCGATGCACGGGACCCAGGTGCGGGCCGCGATGTCGCTCGCGCTCGAGGTAAAGACGTGCGGGAACCGGGCCGGGTTGGCCTCGTCGGGGCCGACGACGACGACGCCGAGTCCGGGCTTGAGGACCTCGTACTCGATGGCGATCGTAAAGGGCTCGTACTCGTCGAGGCCGGCGGGTTGGCCCGGCGTCGGGGCGGCCGAGGCGTTGGCGGTCGGGACGATGCAGCCCGAGGGGATGGCGATGCCGAGCTCGCCCTCCTCGCCCTCGTTGTCGGCGCGCCAGATGTGGCGCTTCATCTCGGGGTAGGTGTGGATGTTGTCGGGCTGGGTGAGGGACGGGGCGGCGGGCGGGAGGTGGGTAAAGGCGAGGGGGACGACGGTCGGGAGGCGGAGCGAGGCGCCGAGGATGGTAAGGGACCGGGCATGGAGCCACACGGTCTTGAGGTCGGGGAGGTTGGGACAATGGTGAGCTCGGTGAAGCCCTGCGTGCGTGCGTTGCGAGAGAGTGTCAGCCAAGGTCGGCCCCGCTGCTCGGAGGGGGAGGGGGAGGAGGAGGGAGAGGACGAGGGGGACGCACGTTGATGCGGCCATTGAGGCCCACGGCGATCGAGACCTTCTGGTTGGTGATGACGAAGCCCTTGCCCATGGCTGCGTAGCCCTGTGCGGGACGAGGTGCGAGTCGAAGGTCGAGGAGGCGATGAGGCGGCGAGGGGCGAGTCGAGGGGCAGGAGCAAGCAAGCGAATGCCTCCCCGGGTGTCGGTGTCGGTGCTGGACACTCGCTGTGTGCTCTGCCGCAGTCCTGGTCGAGCGGCGGCGAGTGGTGGACGCTTGACCTCGGAGCGGCCTCCGCGAGCCAGGTTGGTCTCTGTCCACTCGCACCCGCTCGCTCTGATCGAGCCGCGTGGGTGCTCAGCTAGCTCTGAGCCTGCTCCCGACCTGCTAGAGCCCGGTCCGCACCTTCACCCAGCTCCCTGCGCCTCGCCCGTCTCGACCTCGTCCGCTCGACCAGCTCTCGACCCGATGCCGCCTCGAGTCCCACCCAGGTGCGTCTCTCTCGTCCCTCGATACCTTGGCATACATGTACTGACCGAATACACGGCCGCGCAGGACCCGGTTCGACCGCCTCGTCACCCTCGGACGAGCCGTCGTCGGCTGGCACGTTCGCCCTCCTCGTCTCGCCCACCGGTCGGAACGAGGGTCACCTCCCTTGCGGTACCTCCGATACCCTGTTGCGAGTCGATCCCGGAGGCGCGAGATGTCTCGCGCCAGCCTAGCGACCGCTCGAGACGGCTCGCCGCCGTCCTCTTTTCGCTCTCGCGCAACTGCTCGCTGCGGGCGTACCAGCTCGAGGCAGCCTCTCTGCCTGTCGTCAAGCTGCAGAAGATGCTCTCGCGCTTGATCTGCTACACTCGGCAGCTCGCCGCACGTCGCGACCGCTCGAGGCCGTCGAGCCAGCGGAATCGCCCTCTTTCGGCTGCGTCGACGCTGCGGCGGCGCTACGCTCGAGCTTTTCGCTCTCAGAGAACGTAGCTGGCGACAGCGTGGGTGCGTCTTGCCGCTGCGCAGCTCGGCCGGTGCCCGTAGCGAGGAGCGTCGGCTGGAAGAAGGGTTGGGGCGCGAAGGGTTCAAGCGCCGCAGCTGGTCCGGGAAGGCTCGCCGTTCCTCCGCACCTGCCTGAGCGTCGACGAGAGGGTACTGAGAGCGACACTGGAGGTGACTGTGGAGCGTTTGACAGCGAAAGAAGCGAGGCGGGCCGAGGCCGAGTCGCTCGTAACGAAGGTCCCTCTGCCCAGAGTTCCCTCCTTCAACCCACCCGCTCCGAGCCCACGCTGGCTACCGCTGCGCTCCTCCTCGACCGCTACTGCTCCACACCGCACTCTACCGCACTCATGGCCCCCAAGATGGGCTCTGTCGAGGTGCGCCTGCCCTCGATGACGGCCTCCCTCCCCACCCCACATCTCGCCTCGCGCCTCACACACGCCCTGCGCGCCCGCGTACTGACCCGCACCGTGCCCCACACAGGTCGGTCCTCCCGCCCAGCCAGGCGAGGGCCGCGCCCGCCGCTCGTTCGTCTGCCCCGACGAGCTCGTCACCTCGCCCGCCCCTGGCAAGGTCTCGGTCCTCGCCCACATCCTCGACCACGCCGCGCGCGAGTTTGCCGACGTGCAGGCCCTCGGCTGGAGGGACACGGTCGACGTCATCAAGGAGGACAAGGACGTCAAGAAGGTGCGTCCCTTCCCCCTCCTCCCGGTCGTTTGATCGAGGCAAAGGCTCGGCACTGACTCTTGCTCTCTCTCTCCCTCGTGCCTCCCTCCTGGCCCTCTCTGCCTGTTCTCGACCATCTTCCACGTCGCCTCCACTCGCCCCGACCTCGCCACCCTTCGTCCTTCCCGACCCTCGTCTCGTCACCTCGCCCGCACGCGCTCGCTCGGTCGCAGATTGTCGGCGGCAAGGAGGTGACCGAGAAGAAGACGTGGTCCTACTTCCACCTGAGCGACTACCAGTGGTGGACCTACGCCCAGTTCAAGGACACGGTCGACCACGTCGGCGGCGCGCTCCGCCATGTCGGGTGCGAGCCCAACTCGGTCTTCAACATCTACAGCGCGACGAGCCGTCACTGGCAGGTCATGGCCAACGGTGCGTCCCTCGTCCCTCTTCTCCCGGCGCGCGACGAGGACGACTCGGAATCTCACCTTCCTCCTCCTCCCTCCCTCCCTCCCTCGCCTCGACCGTCCGCCTCCCTCAGCCTGCGCGCAGCAGGGCATCACGTTCGCGACCGCGTACGACTCGCTCGGCGAGCAGGGCCTGCAGCACTCGATCAACGAGCCCGACGCGTACGGCATCTTCACCAACGCCAACCTCCTCCACACGCTCGCCAGCGTCGTCGCCAACACGCCGTCGCTCCGCGTCGTCGTGTACGACGGCCGTGCCGAGGACGTGCCCGAGGGCGCGCTCGACGCGCTCAAGTCGTCGCGCTCCAAGGACGGCGACCACGCGCTCGAGGTGTACACCTTTGACGAGTTTGTCGCCCTCGGCAAGGCGCACCCGAGCGAGCCGCACCTGCCCGGCCCGGAGGACATTGCGTGCCTCATGTACACGAGCGGCTCGACCGGTCCGCCCAAGGGCGTCCAGATCTCGAACGCCAACATCATCGCCTGCATCGGCGCCGTCCAGAAGCTCATCGGCCACATCGTCTGCAAGGGCGAGACGTACATCGCCTACCTTGTGCGTCCCCTCGTCTCTCTCGCTCTCAGGGGCGGTCGCAGAAGATCACAGAGTCGCTCACCCCGCCGTCGTCCCCCTCGCAGCCGCTCGCGCACATCATGGAGTTTGCGGTGGAGATGTGCTTCATGTTCGTCGGCGCGCGCATGGGCTACGGCAACGGTGCGTCCCCCTTTCGCTCCCTCTTGACTGGCGAGCGTCGGCAGGACCCTGATGCTCTCCTCCTCCTCCTCGCCCGCAGTCAAGACCCTGACGGACGCGTCGGTGCGCAACTGCCTCGGCGACATCCGCACGCTCCAGCCGACCATCATGGTCGGCGTCCCGGCCGTGTGGGAGACGATCCGCAAGGGCATCGTGTCCAAGTGCGCGCGAGCGGCGCCCTCAAGTCCAAAGTGTTCGACCTCGGCGTCGCCGCCAAGCGGTTCGGCGGTCGCGGCAGCTTCCTCGGCAACCTGGCCGACAGGTCGTGTTCGAGGCCGTCAAGCAGGGACGGCGCAAGCTCAAGTACGCCATGAGCGGCGGCGCGCCATCAGCAAGGAGACGCAGGAGTTCTTCAGCATCGCCCTCGTCCTCATCATCCAGGGGTCCGTCCCACCTCTCTCCCCCTCTCGTCTCCCTCGACGACACCGACTGACTCTCGCCTTGCAGCTACGGCATGACCGAGTCGACGGCGTGCGTCCCCTCGTCCCTCGACCTTTCGTCCGTCGACCGCGACTGACTCTTTCCTCCCTCGCCAATCCTCCCCCCTCTCGCGCAAACAGCATGTGCTGCATCCTCCCGCCCGAGATGCACCAGTACCAGACGGTCGGCGTCCCTGTCCCGTCGTGCGAGGTCAAGCTCGTCGATGGTGCGTCCTCCTCTCTCTTCGACCCCTCACTCGCCTGAGTACGTCACTGACAGCGCTCGACGCATGCGCGCAGTCGAGGAGGCGGGCTACAAGTCGAGCAACCCGACGCCCGAGGGCGAGATCTGGATTCGCGGACCGAGCGTCACCAAGGGCTACTGTGCGTCCCTCTCTCTCTCCCTCAGAGCGAGTCTTGAGACTGACTCTCCTTCCCCGCGCCCACAGACAAGCAGGACAAGCTCACCAAGGAGGCGTGGACGGATGACGGGTGGTTCATGACGGGCGACGTCGGTCGCTGGAACAAGGTGCGCCTCGCTCTCTCTCCTCTCGCTCCTCTCCTCGCGCCTCGACGCGTCGCTCACACCCTCTCTCCTCTACAGGATGGCACGCTCTCGGTCATCGACCGCAAGAAGAACCTCGTCAAGCTGTCGGGCGGCGAGTACATCGCGCTCGAGCGCCTCGAGTCGCTGTACGGCTCGTGCGAGTACGCCGCGCGCATCATGGTTTACGCCGACAGCAACGCGAGCAAGCCCATGGCTGTACGTCCCTCCTCCTTGTACCCTGCCGTCGTCGTCGCCGTCGCCGTCAGCGCCAGACTGACCTTGTCGACCCCGTCGTCGACAGGTCATCTTCCCGCACGAGGCCAACCTCAAGCAGCTCGCGTCCTCGCTCGGCGTCACGGGCGACATCGGCACGCTCGTCCACGACCACAAGATCCAGGACGCCGTCCTCAAGAGCCTCAACGCCGTCGGCAAGAAGGCCGGCCTCAAGCCCCTCGAGCAGCTCGCCAGCGTCGTCCTCGACGACGAAGAGTGGACGCCGCAGAACGGCCTCCTCACCGCCGCCACCAAGCTCAATCGCAAGCAGATCGTCCAGAAGAACAAGCAGGCCATCGACGTGCGTCCCTCGACCTCTTGCCTCCTTCTCCGGGTCCTCGAGACTGACTTCTCCCCTCGCAGGCCGTCTACCCCTGATCGACCTCCCCTCCCTCCTCTTCTGTGCCATAGCTCTCGCCCCCTCCCCACTCTGTCTCTCTTGCCTACGCCCCGCCTCGAGTGCCGTCGTCGTCTCGACCGATTTCGTCCCTCTCCCGTCGCTTCTCCCCACCGTAATCTTCTTTCCGCACTTGCCCCTCTACCTCCTCCGAGTGTAACGAGCTCTAGCTGTTTTGCTTTGTCCAGGTGCGCTTGCCTGCGCGAGAAGAGAGCCGGCTCGACGAGACTTCTCGCTCGAGGAGGAGGAGAGCGCTCCGGCCGAGGACGAGCGGCGGCCTCTCGTCGTCTTGCCTGCCCAGGTACCTCGCAAGACTAGCTTTGACTCTCGAGTGCGCGAGGGCCCACCGCAAGACGCGATCTCGTGCGGCGAGACGGGCGGCAGGAACGGCGACGAGGAAAGCTCGCGTTCGCGGTCGAGACTATCTCGTCCTGCGACGCTGCGAGCGACTTCTCTACTTAGTGTCGAGCACGATCGAACGTTCGGGCGTGGAACAGCTACAAGAACTCGGGCGTGAGAGGAACGAGCGCTCGCGAGACGCCGGCGCGCGAGTCGGCGCACGGACCGTGTCCGGACGTCGCTTCGCCGTCGGCTCTCTCTCGCGCGCTCTCTCGTCGTCGTCCCTGTACCGCTCTGTACCGCTCTGTGTTGCAGCCGACGACAGAGAGGGAGCACGAACGAGGACAGGGAGGGAGAGAGAAAGAGAGGAGAGAGCGTCAGAGGTGCCGCCGTCGGGCGCGTGGAGAGAACGAGGCGAGCGGACGAGAGCGAGAGGACAATCTCGGAATGACGACGCTGTCAAAGTACGACGAGATGGTCGAGCGAGGAGCGAGGCAAGGTGGACCGGGAAGGAGGAAAGCTGAGAGGAGGAGGAGAGGGAGGAGACGCAGGGACGCAGACGTCGAGGGAGGGACGGCTCGTGTTGGATTCGAGGGGGAGTGCACAGCTGAAGCCATGCGTGACTGAGTCGAGCTTGGCGCTCAAGGCTGGATCCCGGGATGGAAGCCACGACTTGGGAACGAGACTGGCTTTTCGTCTTGTCGAGGTCGACCTGCTGCTGAACGTCGCGTGCAGGCAGCAATTGCTGACAAGTTTTCTGTACTGTATCCTGCGCCGCACAATCAAGTAACAGGCCGCGTAGTTCAGTGGTTTAGAATGCACCCCTCCTACCACCTCGTCGGTTCTTCCCAGAGCAGTCGAGAGGACAGGGTGTGGTCGACGGTTCGACCGCAAAGGCTGCGCGAGCGCTCTCATACTGCTCCACAGCGGGTCTTCTGGGTGCCTGTAGTGTCTCGAGGTAACGTGTGCCTCAGCGCGAGACGGTGTCGGGCGAAGCGACTTGGGAAGGTAGCGGTTCCGCGCACGGTCCTCGTCCATTCCTTTGCGCTCCCAGGCCGGCGTACCTCAGGATCGAGGAAACGAGTCGTCTGAGGGAAGAGTAGGAGCGCTGACCGGCCAGGGCGGTACGACAACCGCATACGTCTCGGGTTCTGCGCTCACTTCGAGGTCCAGGAAGAGGGACGCAGTTTCTCGCTGGCAGACCTCGCTCTTTCTCGGGTATTTTGCGCTCGGTCGACCTATCGGAACGAGTACTCGACGATGGGCCTAAATCTGCAGACCGCTCCTGGTACCGCTCGCTCGACTCTGCGCTCACCTCGAGGTCCAGGAAGAGGGACGCAGTTTCTCGCTGTCAGACCTCGCTCTTTCTCAGGTATTCTGCGCTCGGTCGACCTATCGGAACGAGTACTCGACGATGGGCCTAAATCTGCAGACCGCTCCTGGTACCGCTCGCTCGACTCTGCGCTCACCTCGAGGTCCAGGAAGAGGGACGCAGTTTCTCGCTGTCAGACCTCGCTCTTTCTCAGGTATTCTGCGCTCGGTCGACCTATCGAGACGAGTACTCGACGATGAGCCCAGATCTGCAGACCAACCCTGGTACCGCTCGCCCGACTCTGCGCTCGAGAGGAGGTCCAGGAAGAGGGACTCAGTTTCTCGCTGTCGGACCTCGCTCTTTCTCGGTTATTCAGCGCTCGGTCGACCTATCGAGACGAGTGCTCGACGATGGGATCAAATTTGCAGACCAAGCCTGGTAGATCAAGGAGGAAAGCCTCTCACGCGAGCCGACCTTCTCAAACGCAGAGGTGCGCAGGAGACCGCCCTCAGCTCGTCCTCGTTCGCTCTGCTTCGAGCCTAAGCCTGTCGAACGACTCTCTGTGCGAGGGTCGAGCAACTAAAGCGAGAGGTGGAAGCGAGAGCGAGTGAGCATGTCCTCCTTCAGCGTCAGCGACCTTCCCGCAGACAGTCGAGCCTGCCTCGCTCCTTCCTCTGGCTCCAGACAGTCGGCCGTCGCTCTCGAGCCTCTCTGAGCATCGGTTGTCGAAAGCGAGAGCCGAGTCGAGCTCGAGAGGAGGAGCAAAGAGAGGAAAGCTTCTCACTCGAGCCGACCTTCTCAACTCGACCCGCCGCCAGAACGAGGCTCGACCCGCCGCCAGAACGAGGCAAAACGGGAGGCCAACGCGACAAAAAAAAAAGATGAGCGAACCTGGCCAGGTTGCGTAAGGTGATGGGTTGACGGCGGAGTACCGAGCGCGAGATACTTCTTATCCCGGGGCCACCATAAGCCGACTAGCGATACTTCGCGCTGCTCGTACTCCTGTGTCGTTGTGGCGACGAAGATCTGTAGGCAAGACTAGGCAAGGCAGAGACGTCGTGATTCCACGGGGCGGTGGCATTTGAGTAGAACCGAGCCAAGGCCTGAGCCGGTTCGAGCAAGGAAAGGTCGACTTTGCCAACGCGCGCAACACGCATTCGGGTCGTCACTATCTCGGTCCTCCTGCTTCCCCCTCGCCTCGGATCGCTTCGGGGAAAACACGAGCGACTCGGGCCTTTTCTGCTGCGTGCCTAGAGACCCACGGCGCACCATAAGTGCGACGAGGCGAGGCGAGAGCGCGAGACGAAGCGACGCGAGTCGGGCGCGCGCGCGGCGGCGACCCGGCTCCTCCCCACCTTCCCACCTCGCTCACCTTCTCTCGCCCCGTGGGAGCTGCACAGCGTTCCCGGAACATGCTCGAATACGTCGTTGCGTACAGAACGAGGTTGCCGCGAGCGCGTGAGAGAGCGCGGGCGTGCTCGGCCAGTCGGCGCTTCTTTTCCTTCCTCCTCGTCGTCTTCCTTGCAGACTCGTGCGGGATCATCGAGAGGAAGGTGAGAGGGGTCGAGCCCGACGTTGAGTACTTGTCTCGAACGGTATCGCAGGGAGGACAGGAGCTGCAGCGACGCTCTCACGAGACCTCAGGCGAGAGAGGGAGAGATAGGTTGCAGAGAGAGAGAGAGCTACGCAAGTGGAGGAGGAGGAGCGGCCCGCCGGCCTCGGCCGCGGGCTGCGGCCCTCTGCCCTCCGGGCACAACGGTCGAGCGAGCGGTGCATGATCCAAGAAAGAGCAAGGTAGCTTTGCGAGACCGTGCGCTTGCTCTCGCCCTCGGCCTTTGGCCGAGCCGTATCTGCCATCTAGCTCTTCTGAGCCTGCTTCGACACAATTCGACCCGCGAGGGAGCGAGACAGAACGGGCGACGGCGCTTCTGAAGCGGTCCGAGCGGGCCTTCACCAGGGGAAAGGCGCTCGTGAGAACGCGCTCAACTCACGCTCTTTCGCCTCGCTTTGACGGCAGACCTGTCAAACAGCGTTCTACCCTCGAATCGAGCCACTCGGGCGAGACACAGGCGAGAAAGGCACAGCTAACCTGGCTGGATCTCCTGCTCGCCCTGTCCTCTTGCGAGACCAAGTTCTGTGCCCTCACTCGCTCGTTCCCTCGCCCTTCTGCGAAGCCCAAATTTCGCCCCTCGGACGACTGTGCGCCTCGTCAAGTTGAAAGAAAGTGAGAGAGCGGGCGCAGGAGCGGTCCAAGCTGGCTCTCTCGCGAGGAAGGTGCATCGACCGACGCGCCTGTGGTTGCTCTCGCTTGAGCCGCTCTAGGTAGCTGCAGCTGACTCACGACTCTGGCGAGGTCCTAACGACCAGCCGAACGCAGAGAAAGAGGTGGGCGAGCCGCAGCTCAACTCGAGAAGGTCACTTTTCGCTTGAGAAGGTCGGTTGGCTGTGCTACCTTGTCGACAATTCGGCTCTAAGCTCTAAGGGCGCTTGCGCCGTCCCTCGCGGCTTTGGGAGAGCGCGCAGAAGGCGTCCACCGGGTCGCGAGAGGGCAGTCGGATCGTCGTGCGGCAACTCCTTTGTGTTCTCGAGGGTTGCGAGGGGGCCCGAGCGGCCGAAGGCAGTCCGGCTTGCAGCAGCGTCACGCAGCGACAGCTACTTGCGAGCGGCAAAAGAATAAGAGCGACCACGGACGGGGTCGAACCGTCGACCACACCCTGTCCTCTCGACTGCTCTGGGAAGAACCGACGAGGTGGTAGGAGGGGTGCATTCTAAACCACTGAACTACGCGGCCTGTTACTTGATTGTGCGGCGCAGGATACAGTACAGAAAACTTGTCAGCAATTGCTGCCTGCACGCGACGTTCAGCAGCAGGTCGACCTCGACAAGACGAAAAGCCAGTCTCGTTCCCAAGTCGTGGCTTCCATCCCGGGATCCAGCCTTGAGCGCCAAGCTCGACTCAGTCACGCATGGCTTCAGCTGTGCACTCCCCCTCGAATCCAACACGAGCCGTCCCTCCCTCGACGTCTGCGTCCCTGCGTCTCCTCCCTCTCCTCCTCCTCTCAGCTTTCCTCCTTCCCGGTCCACCTTGCCTCGCTCCTCGCTCGACCATCTCGTCGTACTTTGACAGCGTCGTCATTCCGAGATTGTCCTCTCGCTCTCGTCCGCTCGCCTCGTTCTTTCCACGCGCCCGACGGCGGCACCTCTGACGCTCTCTCCTCTCTTTCTCTCTCCCTCCCTGTCCTCGTTCGTGCTCCCTCTCTGTCGTCGGCTGCAACACAGAGCGGTACAGAGCTGCACAGGGAAGACGACGAGAGCGCCTCGAGAGAGAGCCGACGGCAAAGCGACGTCCGGACAAGGTCCGTGCGCCGACTCGCGCGCCGGCGTCTCGAGAGCGCTCGTCCCTCTCTGTCGTCTCGTCGTCGGTCGGCGCTCCTCTGCGTCGATGGGCTCGTAGCGACTCAGAGCGTTCGCAGCAGCAGATGCAGACGCGCCGGGTCCGGCAAAGACTTGGCCTCGCTCGACGTCCGAGCGCTTTCCCTCACTTTCTTCGCGGCGTCGTCGCTCGCTCGCAGTCTCGTCCAGGCTCAAGCTCTCGACGCGTACTGTCCGTAAGACGAGAGACAGAAAGGAGTGTCTGCAGCCGTCGCGTTGCTCCACCTTCTCTTCTCCCCCTTCCTCGCTCGCAGGTCCGCCCCGTCCGCTCTCTCTGCGAGCTCGTCGTCGACGGCGGCGCTTGTTCTCTCTTAAGCTCGACTGGACGTTCTCGGAATGCGAGGCAGGACGGGCAGCTCTCTTGTGCGCCAAGAGCAACTCTCGAGGCGGGCGACGAGACGCAGAGGGAGATTGGCAGGATCCATTGCGAGAGAAGAGGAGACCATGCGAGAGGGAAGCTGCGAGGGAGCAAGTGCGAGGTCAGGGACCGACTTGACGAGGAAGGGGGCAGATGCTCGACCTCGCGCGCGCGTGCGACACCGGGCGCCTCGACAAAGGTCAGACGTCTTCATGGCCCACACACGGAAGACGCCGCGCCCCGCACCGTCCTGAAAGAACGGGCAGACGACCGCCGCGCTCCACACCGCGCAGCTCCTCTCGCGACCCGCCGTACCGGTCCTCGTCCGTCCAGCGACCCGCCGCAACCTCGAGACGAGGCCGACACCGTTTCTCCCGGGGGATAATCTGACGACGGCCAAGGAGGCGCAAACGAGGTGATCGGGCGAGGGGGCGTAGGCGAGGGAGAGGTGGGTTGGCTGGGGCTGTTGCCTCGAGGAGGTACCGGAGGGGGGTCTGGCGCGGCGCCGTGACAAGGTCCGTCGGGAGGAAACTACGAACGAATGGTCGGATAATTCATCATGTTGACGAGGACGGGTCGGGTGTCGCGCGCGTGCGGGGCGAGGGGGGGACGAGGGGGAGAAAGAGAGGGAGGGCGAGGCTCACCAGGAGGGAAGAGGTCGAGCGAGGCGAGTCGAGGTGAGGAGAGAGAAGCTGTGTCGGGCACACGAGACGTGGTCAGTGACAGGTTTCCTCGGGAGGGAAAGTGGCTGTTGTAGGCACACGATTCGAGGCGAGGACGGCTCGGGGCGAACGAGGAGGGAGGGGCGAGAGAGAGAGGGGCGTCGTCGATGGCGAGGGATCAGACAAGGGCTACTGGCTAGTATAAATGATTGATTACGTGCAGGGCACCAGCCACGGCCACTATGGACGCGCGGGAGGGCCCTGACGCTCTTCGAGGTCTCGTCACGGTCGATGAGATGGGGAAGAGAAGGTACGAAGCATCACGCCCGACGCGCGACGACTGCCGCTCAATCTGGGTCCCGCCTCCTGCTCCATCGCTGCCACCGAGTGTGCCCTCGCCTCGAGTCGTGTGTGCGGGGAGAGAGAGGGGGCGAGGAGGAGGGACGCACCGAAAGCGAGAGAACCAGGGCCGGGCTTGAGGAGACGGGGCGGGTCGAACGGTCGGCTGGCGCGAGAGCAGGATAGGTGCGCCAGGTCGAGGGCGAGTGGGCCGAGAAAGAAAAGCAGCACGGTGCCGAGAGCTGGGAGGTGAGGGTCGAGGGGGGGAAGGAGGCGAAGCCTTGGGCGAGACGACGGTGCGAGCTCGCTGTAAAAAAACCGGAGACCGCGGAGAAGCTGCTCGGTTCGAGCCTGCCTCGTGCGCCGAATTCGCCAGTCCGGGGAAGCCGCGCGTCGACCTCGCTCAACCTCTCCCCTGCTCACGCGCGCGCTCTCAGCACCCGCTGCTCGACAGCCTGCCCGTTCAGCAACCTTTGGTGCACCACCACACCGCGCCGAGCCACGCCGCGACCCTCGAACGGCGACACCGAGCCGACACCGCCTCATCAACAACCGCCGTTCCCCCCGACCCCGGCTCGCTCGCTCGCTCCTCCTCCCTGATGAACAAGGAGAACCGTGCACCTGAAGCCGGTGAGCCCTCTTTTTCCCCTTCAGCCGCCCACCGCACCAGCATGGACACTGACCTGCGATACCGCCCGTACCCGTTCCTCCCACCGACAGCCTCGGCCAAGGGCTCCTCCTCGTCGACCCGCGCCCGCAAGCCCGCCGCGACCAAGCCCACCACGTCGAACAAGCGCACGACCACCGCCCGCCCCAAGAAGGCGTCCTCGGCGAGCGACGACGACGACGAGCTCATGCTCGACGACAACAAGTCGGACAACGAGGGCGAGGGGGCCGACGAGACGACCCTCGTCGCCGAGACGCACTTCGAGGCGGCGCGCGAGACCGAGGAGCAGGCCGCTGTGCCCAAGGGCCGCGGCGGCAAGAAGGCGGCGACGGCGGCGTCGACCAAGAAGGCGCCGGTCAAGAAGGCGGTTCCGGCCGCAAAGAAGGGCAAGGCGACGGCCGCCGCCGCCGCTGTCGAGGAGGAGGACGATGAGACGCTCGTTCGCGGTCTCGAGGAGATGGACATGCCGGGCGAGGAGCTGTCGCCGAGGGAGAAGAAGCTCGCCAAGCAGCTCGAGGCGGTACGCTCCCCTTTCCCCCTCGTTCGCGCCCTGCGCCCTGCCCTGACTCGCCCGTCTTCTCGCAGACCAAGAAGGCGCTCGCCGACTCGCAAGCTGCCCAACAGAAGCTGCGCGACCTGCGCACGACGAGGCCCGAGGAGGCCGAGCTTCGCCTGCGCGAGATTGCCGACGGGCGGCAGCAAGGTGCGCCCCTCTCGCTCTCTGCCACCTCGCACGCGTGGTTCGGGTCCTGACTCTCGTTCTCCCCTCGCCTCGCCTCGCAGCTTCCGTCAACACGATCGCGACCTACAAGACCGAGAACGACAGCCTGCGCGCCGAGCTCTCGTCGGTCCAGGAAACGGCATTCGCGTCGCCGCGCAGCAAGGCCGCCCGCCTCGAGTCGCAGCGCGTCCACGAGCTCGAGCAGGAGAATGCGGCTCTCGCTGCGCGCGTCGACGAGGTCGAGCGGCTGCGGGCCGAGGAGCAGGCGCGCGCCGAGAAGGACGCGGTCGAGCGGGAGAAGAAGTGGGAGAAGAAGTTGGCGCGCGATGTCAAGGAGGCGACGCAGGCGATGGAGAAGGAGCTCGTCGAGCTGAGGGCCGAGGGTGCGTCTCCTCTCGCCGTCCTCGTCCGGCCCGTCCTCCCCTCGCGTACTGACGCATGCCCTCGTCTCCTCCACAGTCTCGACCGCTCGCGCCGAACTCGCCGCCGAGGTCGAACACTCCAAGTCGCTCCAGCGCAAGCTCAAGGCCGTCCCGGTGTCCGCCTCGCTCTCGTCGTCGACCGCCGCCCCGACCGCCTCGTCCGGCCCCGGCTCGGCCCTCGCCAAGCTGCAGGAGGAGCACGACCGCCTCACGACGCACCTCAACCTCAACGAGGATTTGACGGGCTTTGCCGTCCACTCGGTCAAGCAGGACGAGGACGGCGCGACGTACACCTGCGTCCTTACCGACTGCGCGGGCACGACCGGCTGTGCGTCTCTCGTTCTCTCTCTCTCCTCCTGTCCCCTCGCCGCCAGGACTGACTTAATCGACCCGCCGCAGCGCTCAACTTCAAGCTCATGTTCCACCTTGACGGCACGGTCGGGTACCAGCCCGACGTCAACCCCGAGCGCGACGCCGCCCTCGCCGCCCTCCTCCCAGCCGACATGCAGAACTACATGCGGTGCGTCACCGCGCATCTCTCCCTCCCTCCTTCTCTCCTCCTCTTGTTCTCGAGCGGCCTCGCTGGCGGCAACCCATCTCGAACGCGCAACCTGACCTTTCCTCTCCCGTTCTCTCCCACACCCGCTCCTTCGCCCACAGCTTTGCGGCCGAGAACTGCGCCGAGTTCTTCAAGCGCCTCTTTGCCGCCGTCAACAGGGTCAAGCTCTGATGAGGACGCACTCGCCGTCGCTCGAGGGACCGAGGGCGAGGGAGGAGGCTCGACTCGCCGAGGAGGAGAAGGGGACCCTGCGCTTGATCTCGCCGTGCCGCTCGCCGCAGCACGCGCTCTTTACGACTCTCTCCTGTTGTGCAATACTATTCGTCTTTCTTTGCGTCGAACGTGACCCGCTTACGATCCGAGAGCTGGAGCGTGCGAGGCGGCCACGCGAGGGCGCAGAGCTCGCGCAGCCGTGTCTCGAGCAGGCGATCGCTCATGCGCAAGCAACGGAGTACCGACCACAGCGAGACGAGCGCTGGGAAGCTGGCGAGGATTGGAACCGCTCGGCGGCGGCGAGAGTCGACGTCGTTGTGCCTCGTCCGTCGCTCGCCGCCTGTTGCACGGTCAAGCTCTGCGCCATGGCAGGTGCGTTGTCGACCAGTTCACTGCACCACAATCCCAACAGCCACCGCTCGAGCCCGCCTCGCTGACACGCCTCATCTCGTCTCGTGCAGCCCCACTCTACCAGACCGACAGCGGCCGCCTCTACCACGGTGAGCAGGCCCGGTCCCTCTCCTCTCCTTTGGCGTGACTGCGCTGACTCGCCGTGGCCCTGTCCGCAGCCGGTCAGATCCTTCTCGTCTTCGTCGGCCTCCCCGGTGAGCCTCATCTCGCCCGCTCTCGCACCATCGCTCAGGGCTCTGGCGACCGAGCAAGTCGTCACAGAGCCACCCTGAGGACTTTCACTGACCACTGTCGTACCCTGCAGCTCGCGGCAAGACGTGCGCTCCCCTCCCCTCCCGCCGGCTGATAGCCTGCACCCGTCGCCCGTCAGGCTCACGCTCTTCCTTCCTGCCCGCAGGCATGTTTCGCGCAGCGTCGAGCGGTATCTGAGGTGGCTGGGCGTCAGGACCGAGGGTGCGTCCCCATCTCGCTCTGTCTCCTCCCGCTTCCCCTCCCTCCCTCCCTTTCTCGGGTCCATCCCCTCGCCGCCCTTGCCTGCAAGCTTCGCGTGCTCACCTTGGCGCCTCTCTCCCGCAGTCTTCTCTCTCGGCGACCACCGGCGTCGCATGCTCGGCCCGTCTGCCAACCTGCCGCCTGACTACTTTTCGCCCGACAAGCGCTCGCCCGAGACGGACGAGCTGCGCACAAAGATCCGCGTCACGCTCGAGGAGGAGGTCGCACGCTACTTCAAGGACAACCTCGGTCAGGTCGCCATCTACGACGCGAATGTGCGTCCCCTTCCCTCCTCATCTCGGCGAGGGAGACTGCCCAGGCGCCCGAGTCGTCGGCGACGAGAGCTGACTTGCCTCGTACGTGTCGCGCCCGCAGAACGGCACCAAGGCGGCACGGATAGCTTTGCGGCAGAAGTTCGAGGCGCAGGGCGTCAACGTCTTCTTCATCGGTGTGCCTCCTCCTCCTCGACCCGAGCCTCGCCGCCCGGGACCGACACTGACTCTCGCCCTCTTCTTCACAGAAAACATCTGCGACCGAGAAGACATCGTCGAGGCCAACATCCGCTCTGTCAAGATCAGCTCGCCGGACGTGAGCAGGCCTTTCCCCCCTGCCACCTGTCCGAGCACTCGGTTGACCTCTTCCCTCGCCCGCGCAGTACCAGGGCTGGAACCCGGACGCGGCGGTCAAGGACTACATGCGGCGCATCGCGAGCCACGCGACCCGGTACGAGACGATGGAGACCTCGGGCGGCCCGTTCGTCAAGATCTACAACATCGGCGAGCGCCTCGTCGTCAACAACATTCGCGGCTACCTCCAGTCGCGCATCGTCTTCTTCCTCATGAACGTCCACCACAAGAAGCGCACGATCTGGTTCGCAAAGGTGCGTCCCTGGCCTCACTCGTCGTCGCTCGCCGAGGCCGCCGCACTGACCCTCTCCCTCGCACACGCAGTCGGGCCAGTCGCTCATCGAGCACTCGTTCAAGGCCGACTCGGACCTGTCGCCGCAAGGAGAAGAGTACGCGCGCAAGCTCAAGGACTTTATCATCGCCAAGCGTCGCGAGCTGCTCAACGAGCGAGTCGAGGGAGGCGAGCCGGCGCACGAGCGGAGGCTCACTGTGCGTCCCGGCATCTCTCTCTCTCCTCTCGGCGCTCCCTGAGCGCCTCATGTACTGACTCTTGACGCCATCGAGCAGGTCTGGACGTCGGCGCGCCGTCGCTGCATCTCGACCGCGCGCCCCATGGCCGAGCTCGGGTACAAGGTCATCCAGCGGCAGCAGATGCACGAGCTCAACCCGGGCGACGTCGACGGCCTCACGGTCGCCGAGATCAAGGAGAAGTTCCCCGAAGAGTACAAGCGCTCCGAGACGGACCCGTACGCGCACCGGTACCCGAGGGCCGAGAGCTACCACGACTTGAGCGTCCGGTGCGTCCCGCTCTCCCTCCGTCGTCGGCTCGACCTCTCTGCCGGACACCGATCGACTGACTCGAACCTGGTCGCGCTCGCAGACTCGAACCCGTCATCCTCGAGCTCGAGCGCGAGCCGGCCGACATCCTCTTCATCGGCCATGGCTCGGTCATTCGCTGCATCATGGCGTACCTCCAGGTGCGTCCCTCGCCTTCTCTCTCTCTCTCTGTCCTTCTCGTGCGGGTCAGGGCTCACCGCAAATCGTTCCCGTGTGACAGGGCATGTCGCCGAACGAGATCCCCAAGGTCGAGCTGCGACGGGGCGACATCGTCCAGGTGACGCCGAGCGCCTGTGCGTCCTCCTCCCTCCTTCTTCGCGACGTCGTCGAGGTCGGGCGACAGCGAGCGCGCCAAGATCAGGCTCATCAGACGAGCGTCGCTGACCTCGAGCCCCCCTCGTCGCCGCGCTCGCAGACGGCGTCACCTTCGTCAACCACTTCTTCTGGCAGTGAGTCGCCGTCTCTCTCTCGTATGTGCCGTGTAGATACCCTCCCTGGGGACTGTAAGAGCCGTTGCCGTTGTCCCTTGCGAAATCGCTTTGCGATGGTTTCTCCGCAAGCCGCGGCCTCTCGTCCTCGCGCCGTCTGTCGAGAGGTGAGAGCGAGCTCGCTGCCAGAGCTAGCCAGTGAAGGTCTGAAGCGGTCCCGCAGCAGTTTCGCGCTCCCTGTGGCAGTGAGCGAGAGCAGGCTCGCTGTCGAGATCTGGCGTCGGAGATGATGTGGGGGCTCCTCTCTCTCCTCCCACCGCTCGCCTCGTCACCGGTACCGACCAGTTGCACGCCCAGCGAGCGTCGCTACTCGCCCGCACACCCGCCCCGCACCACGCCCGCCGTCGTCGCCCGCGCCGCACACGCCCTCATCGCTTCCAGCCGGCTAGCCGAGCCGGCTCTCGACAAACACACCGCGCACCGCGTCGTCGACCGCCAGGACCAGTGGGCGACCGCTCGACCACCACGACAAGGGCATCGCGCACCCGGGCAGCTCAAGCCGTCGCCTCGACGAGTAACCCGCGGCGATGGCCGACGACGCAGAGCCGCGCCCGGCAAAGCGCTCAAAGAACGTCGCGCGGGCGTGCGACGCTTGTAGGGCGGGCAAGCGCAAGTGCGACGGCGCGCTACCGTGCAGCGTGTGCAAGCACGGCGACAAGGGTGCGTTTCACGCTCTTTCACCTCCCTCCACCCTTGGTCCAAGTTGCCGACCCGGGTCGGCTCCCGAGAGAGATCGTTCGCTCACCTGTCGCTCGTCCTGCGCGCAGTGTGCGCCTACACGCTCGGCGACAAGCGCCGGCGAGTGTCGTCGACCCCGCTCGTCACCGAGGCGCCCGCCGCCGGCCCGTCCAACCATGCCGCCCTCCCACCCTCCCTTCCGACCCCTCCCCAGTTCAATGCCGCCATCTATCCTCCTCCTCCGCCCATCGTCAGCGCTCCCGTATCGTACACGGACCGGTCGCCCGGCATCCGAGGGCGCACCTTGCCGCCGATGGAGTTCGGACCCGCACCTCGATCCGCCGCCGACGACAAGATGCTCGCGTCCCTCACGCGCGCCATGGCCAACGAGCCGGCGCCAGGCGGCACGCAGAGCGATGTTCACGACGCAGCCCCTCCTGGCGCAGCAGAAGAAGCCGAAAGTGCGTCGTAGCACCCCCCTCGTCGTCTCTTTCGAAGAGGGACCGTCCTGACCTCACTCGTACCCGCAGACGCGCCAAGTTTCCTCGCCAGCATCCACCGTCACCTGTCGACCGTCTTCTCGCTTCGCGCTCAGCCCAAAGGGCGCGAGAACGAGGACCTCCTCGAGCCGGACAAGGGCATCGCCTCGTTCTTCCTCCCGACCAAGGAGGAGGGGCTCGCGTACGTGCGCTGCTACTTTGAGCATGTGCGTCCTCTTCTCTCCTCTCTCATCGTCGCGTACCGCATCTGACACACGCTCCCCATACAGGCATCGTCGACCTACCGCTTCGTCGACGAGGAGGACGTGACCGCCCTCGCCGACCGCTTCTTCGCCCGGGATCCCGAGGCGATCGCCGACGCCGAGTCGACAGCGCTTCTTCTCGCCGTTCTCGCGACCGGGTGCCTGTGGACGCCGAGCTGGACCGGGCAGGACCCAGAGATCCTCACGCCTCAAGCGTGCGTCCCTTTTCTCACCCTCCTCGCCTCGGCGACGTGACCTGACCCGCCTGCCCCTCGACCACAGGATCATGCTGTATCACGCCGCACAGCGCCAGCTTGCGCGAATACCGCCTTTCCCGGCTCGACTCGGCCTGATCCGCATCCACCTCACGAGCGTAAGTCGCCGATCTTTCTCTCGTGGACGATCGACCTTTCCTCGCCGACGAGGACTCACCTCGACTCTCTGCCGCACAGACGCACTTCCTCCTCGGCATTGCTCGGTTCTCGGCCGCCTACGTCAAGTTCAGCACCGCCGGTCGGCTCGCCCTCATGCTCGGCCTGCACCGCCACGACTCGAGCCTGCCGCCGCTCGAGCGCGAGAAACGGCGACGCGTCTTCTGGTCGAGCTTCATGATGGACCGCTACGTCGCGGCCGTCGTCGGCCTGCCGTGCCTGTACGACGAGCGCGACATCTCGCAGCGCTACTTTGCCGTCCCCGACAACGCGACGCTGCGGGCCGACATCGCGCAGCAGAACCGGGTCCTCATCGGCTCTCTCGCTCACATCAAGTGCGTCCCCTCTCCCTTCATCAGCCGAGAGAAGCCGGCCCTAACCTTGCCGAACTCGTGCGCGCAGGCTCACCCGCATCCTCGGCCACGCCATCCGCCTTCTCGGCTCGCCCAAGGAGGTCACGCCGTACGAGCGCAAGGCCCGCACGGCCACGCTCGAGGCCGAGCTCTCGCAATGGTCGCTCGAGTCGCCGGCGTTCTTCCAGCCGTCGCCGACCGGTCGCGACGCCCTCGACGAGGCGTTCGCCCAGGTGCCGCACATCTTTGAGCGGCAGCGCCGCCGGTGCCACTCGGCGTACCACTTCGTCAAGCTCCTCATCTACCGCAGCTACATCCTCGACGAGCTCCTGAACCGCCTGCGGCCGTCGGCGACGCCGCCCTCGAGTACGCCGTCGGCCGAGGTCAAGATCTGCGTGCACGCCGCCATGCAGATCAGCGAGGTCGCCATCATGATGCAGGACCAGAGCTCGTACTCGGGCATGTTCTGGGTGTGTCCCAGTCTCTCTCTCTTTTTCCTTCCTTGCCCTCGCGAGCCCGCACTGACCCCTCGCATTCCCTCGTCTCGCAGAGCACGGCCTACTTTACCTTTGCCGCCCTCACCGTCCTGTTCGTCTACCTCATCCTGTACCTCGACGCGCCCGACCGGGCCCAGGTCGAGGGGGTCATCTCGCGCGCGATGAAGGCCAACAAGCGCACGTCGGGCAAGGTCGCCTCGCACGAGGCCATCTTCAAGGTGCGTCCTCTAGTTCCCTTTTCTCTTAGTGCCCGAGCATGCTGTCGAGGCACGACACTGACGCACGGTCGCGCCCACAGGAATCGCGCCGCATCGCCAGCATCCTCCGTCCTCCTGCTCCTGCCGCGGTTCCCGGCTCGCCGACTCGCTCTACCGCCGCCGGTCCGTCCTCCGTCGACATGTCGGTCGACGTAGCAGAGCCCACCGGCCTGCCTTTCTTCCTATCGTCTGAGCTGGCGGCGCAGGGCGACGAGAACGCGGGCGCAGGGTGCGTCCCCCTCTCTCACTCTCTCTTTCGGCTCTTTCGGCGCCCGCACTGACCCATCGCCTCTCATATTGTCACAGCGCGACGACGACGGACTGGGAAACGCTCCTCGACGAGCTGCACGGCATGGTCCAGGCCGGGTTTGACGTGACGAGCGAGGGAGCGTTCGCGGCGGGTGCGGCGGCGCCCGCGTTTGACGGGTTCGGCGCGACGAGCGAGCGAGGAGCAGCATTCGAGTGGCCTCCCGTGGGTCGAGTTTGAGTAGTACAACGTGCAGTAACTTTGTGGTTTGCTTCCTCGAGCAAGCTGAGCGAGCGTGAGAAAAAGGGGCTCGAGCGCGAGAGCTGCCCGAGAGCTCGACTGCTGCGTGTTGGTCGAGCTTGCTCTCGATTGACACGCAAGCTCTCTCGACGAGACACAGAGAGCGTGATAAAGTGACGCTGTCGTTGCAGGCCGCCGCTCGACGAGCGACAACGCCTCCTGCCAAATCACGCCCGCCTTCAGAACAGCGAGTACCCGCCCTGCCCAAGACCCTGCGCGTCGTGCGTCCCGCTCAGCGCCGACCAGTCGATGCCCGCATCGAGCGCAAAGAACGCCTGCCCGGCGTCGTACATGCTCGGGCTCACGCCGCTGAGCAGCGCCGCGAACGGGTCCTCAACGACTGGCGGCGGCGCGATGTGCGACGCGCTGCTGCTGCCGGCGCCGTCGCCTCGCTGCAGGTGCTCAGCCTGCTGCTGCTGCTGAGACGGCGGCGGCGGCGAGTGCATCGGCGTCGGCTGGTACGACGTCGAGAGCGAAAAGTCACCGTGCGCCGAGAGGGCGGCGGCGGCCGAGCCATTGGCGGCGATCGTGCTCGAGAAGCCGCTGGCGTGCGTGCTCGACGGGTGCTGGGCGCGATGAGGAGGAGGTAGGGGAGGGGGAGGGACGGTCGCCGGCGCGAGGGCGGGCGGTCCGAGCGGGCGCGACTGCTGGCGCTGCTGCTCGCTCTGCCGAGCTGCGGCCGACTCGAGCTCGCGCGAGAGCGCGTGAGGCGCGAAAGGCGAGGTCTTGGCGCCGAGCTTCGGGCTCGAGGGCGCGCTCGTGGTCGACCGGCGCCCGCTGATGGCGGCGTCGAGCACCTTGCGGAGGAAGGCGGCTTGGCGGACGGCGGGGTGGTGCGGCGTCGGCGCGATCGCGTCGAGGAAGTCGGCGCCGAGCTGGAAGAGGCGGCAGAGGCGGTCGTTGGGCGACATGGGCATCGGCGGAAGGGGAGGCGAGCCGGCGTCGATGACGGTGAGGTCGGGACGGAGCAGGCCCTCGTTGGCGAGCTTGCCGAGAAAGATGATGGCGTAGCTGAACATCTGCGGCAGGTGATGAGAGAGTGAGTCTCTGAAAAGTGGAGGACCAGGAGGAGAAGGGGATAGAGAAGGAGAGAGCGAAAATGGAGAGGAGGACGCACGACGCAGGTCAAGCTGTCGCTCGCGTACTTGAGCGTGCGCACGACTTCGGGATCAGGCACGAGCGGGCCCGTCTCGGAGCGCCACTCTGCACGAGCGCCCCGGCGCCCGCTGCGCAGCTCGTCGCCGTCGACCGTGATGGCGAGCATCATCTCCTGCGCGACCTCGGCCGCGATGGCGATGTTCTCGCGCTCGTCGACCTCGAGCGCCGCCTGCCCTGCCCCAGCTCCTGCCCCACCACCGGGCTGACCCGCCGCTCGGTCCTTGCGCTCCGCCTTCCACTTGTTGAACGCCGCGCCGCGCAGGTTGAGCCGCGCAAAGCTCGCGTACGGGTACCACAGGGACCACGCGACCGAGTCGGCGCCGTCGTGCGCCTGCGCGCTTGCGACGAGCGGCGCCCAGTACTCGTGCCACGCCTCGAGGTCGTCGTCGAACCGGCGCAGGTCGTCCTCGTCCGGCACGCCGTTGCCGCCGCCGCCGCTCTCTGCGCCTGCGGCGGCGGCTCGCGCGTTGAGCGCCGTCGCGGCGTGGGCGACGAGCTCGACCGATGCGGCGAGGCGTACGTCGGACGGCTGGTTGCGCAGTTGGGCAAAGAGACGCGTAGTGTGGCTCGCGGCGTGCGGGTCAAAGTTGGCCGTCTTGCCGCTCTGGAGCGCGCCGTGCGACTCGTGGAAGACGCAGCCGAGGTACAGGCGCTCCTGGGCGATGAGCGCCTCGGGGATGGGCGAGATGTGCTGGTTGGCGAACGCGAGCGCGAACGAGTTGGCGACCGAGGGCAGGCCGACAAAGGCCGACACGCGCGAGACGAGCAGGCGCAACATCCACGAGGCCCGGACGTTGATCTTGGACGCCGACTCGATCTGGGCCGGATCGCTGATACCCCTCGCGTTGAGCGCCGAGTACTGGACGGGCTTGTACAGGAGGAGGAGGTGTGCGGCGCGGCAAAAGTCGAACGAGAGCTGGTCCGGCTGAGGGCAGAGGATCTGCGGCGCGAGGATCGAGTCGAGGATGGAAGACACGGCGCGGTACAGGGCGAGGTTGGCCGGCGTGCGAGGGCGGTAGTACAGGGTGACGAGGAGGATCGAGTGGAACAGGAGGGGCGAGCGCTCGCGCACGACGAGAGGATGCCGATCGAGGGTCGTCGACAGGAGGGCGGTCCAGGGTTGCAGGTGGGCGAAGTAGCTGCGGCGAGGGAGAGAGGCGTGAGTGGGCAACGCGACATGAGGCGCAGAGGAAGAGAACGAGCACGCACAAGTCAAACTCGGCGTCGCACTCGTCGAGCGTCATGATGCCCCTCCCGAGCACGTCCGGCTTGATGCTCTCCCACGTCGCCTGGGCTGCCGTGCCGTCCGCCCCTCTCGCCTGCGCCGCACCAAGGTCGACGAGGCCCTCGACCGCCATCGCCTCGCCCGCCGTCTCGACCGCGTTGGCGCCGGCGCCATCGTGATGCGCCTCGGCTGCGACAGCGTGCGTGCTGCGCGGCGTGATGCCCGCCGCCATCGGGCTCGACTCGCTGCCGGCGTGCGACGGGCCGTGGCCGTGCGACGCAAAGAGCGCCGAGGCGGCCGGAGCAGGGCCGGCGGCGAGCGACGTCGCGCGCGCGAGGGCCGACTCGAGGCTCTCGAGGCGCTCATTCATGCGCTTGAGCTGCTCGGCGACGTCGGGCGTCGTACCGCCCGGAGCACTCGGGTGCGGCGCCGTCGCCGTGGACGCGGGCGTCACGCCGCCCGACACGCTTGCGGGCAGTGCCGTCGTCGTGAACGTATAGAGCGGAGGTGGCGGCGGCGGGAACTGGTAAGGGTGCTGGAACGAGGCAGGCGGAGGAGGAGGAAGGGCGACAGCTGGGGCGATTGGGGCCGTGCCGCGAGTCGGGCGAGTTGGCGTGGACGAGCGGGACGCGTTCGACTTGACGGACGGCGTCGGGCCTGCCGCTGACGGGAAGAGGCAGTCGATGCCCCAGCTGCGAGCGGAGAAGCTGGTCAGGCTCGACGTTCGCAATCAAGACGAGGTGAGGGTGTGTCGCACGTGTTGCAGCGGTGGCAGGGACCGGGAGGCCCGTCACAGCGTCTGTGGGAGCGAAAGTGTGAGCACTCTGATCGCGATCAAGGTCGAGAAGGGGCGACCGAGGAGGCGTCGCTCGACGGCGAGGAGGAGGGGAAGGGGGAGACGCACTGTTTAGCCTTATGGCACGCGTCGCACGCGGCCTTGCTCCTCGTGAGCTTGACCTTGGCGGGTTTGGCCTGCCCTGCTTGCCTTGAGGCGGTTGCCGGCCGGGTCGAGGTCGAGGCGGATGAGGGGCCGGCGTCGGCGGGCGTGTCGGCGTTGTAGCTCATGCGGGCGAGTGCGAAGTCGCGGGGTGCGCAGCAGCAGCTGTGCGCAGGCCGGCGCAGCAGCCAGGCGAGCTCTGGCGGCGAGAGCGGAGCCGTGGTCGGAAGCAACCTCGAACGAGCGATCAACACGGCCAGCGACGCGCCACCGCTCTCCAGCGTGCGGGTGTGCGGCTCGAGGTGCTTGCAAGCTATCGGACACCAGCTCTGTCGTCCTCCTTCGAGCTCACCGGGTGCGGTCGCTGTTCTCGCCTCGCTGTCGCTGGCCGGCGGACGATGTCAACTGTTGTCGCTCTCCCACACGCTCCTGCTGCTTCTGCGCCGACTCAGAGCAGTACGATGAGCCCCTCGGCGCCCGCGCGCGTAGCTCAGACCGCACGCGTCGCCGTCGCACCCCTCGCCGCCTCCTCCTCCACCCAGCTCCCCACCGCGACCGCCTCGACCTCGACAGCCACAGCCCGCCCACGCCCGCCCAGCATCGCGACCGGTCCTGCACCTCCGACAAAACGCCCGCGACAGCGCCAAGGCGAGCCCCGACCCGACGGCTCGTGGCTCCCCGTCCTCGCGAGCCGGTCGCTCAAACCCGACGGTCAAGGCTGCGGCCACTTCGTCTATGGCTCGCCCGCACCGAGCACCAAGATCGCTGCATTCGGGGAGTCCCCCTCGAGGTCCCTTTCCCGGAGCGCAGACCCTGGTCGCCCTCGCCTTGGCCTCCTCGCGTCTGTGCGCCTCGAGTTCGATCCTGCGTGCTGACCTCGCTCCCGCCCTCGCAGACATCGACGGCACCATCATCCGTACCAAGAGCGGCAACGGCATTCCGAGCAGCTCGTTCGACTGGGAGTTCTGCGGGCCCGAGATCGTGCCAAAGCTGAGGGCGACCTACCGCGACGGGTGCGTCTCGCTCTCTCCTCGGCCGATGCGGCGCAGGACCGCTCTCTCTATGGCATCACGGCGCATCATAGCGCCCGACACGGATCGTGCACTGACTCCTTGCCCCCTCGCGCAGCTACGCGCTCATCCTCCTGTCGAACCAAGCCTCGTCGGGTCCCTCGCTCGCCGCCAACTTTCGCAAGAAGGTGCCGTTCGTCGCGCGCGAGATCGGCGTGCCGCTGCGCATCATGGCCTGCTTCGACTTTGACGAGTACCGCAAGCCGGTGAGCGGCATGTGGGACGCTCTCGTCGGGAGGTTCAACGGCGGGCTCGCGGTCGGTGCGTCGACCTTCCTCTTCCCTCTCGTCGGCGGCAGGGTGCGGGTCCGCTCACGTTCTCATTGCGCTCGCAGACTACGCGGCATCGTTCTACGTCGGCGACGCAGCAGGTCGACCGGCCGACCACGCCGACACGGACCGTAGTGCGTCCTTTCCCTTTTGCCCTCTCTCCCTCTCGTCGAGCCTGAACCTCGAGCTCACCCTGCCTCGCGCCGTCGCAGAGTTTGCGCTCAACGCCGGCGTCCGGTTCCTCACGCCCGAGCAGTTCTTCCTCGGCCGGCCCGAGGACCGCAACTTTGAGCTGTGGGGCTGGTACCCGCACGGCTACGACCACGCTCGTGCGCCCCCTCCCCCGCCGCTGTCATCCGTGCGCCGTACTCACGCACCTTTTCCGCCAGTCGCCCCGCCGCACGAGCTCCTCGACACCACGACGCCGCTCGGGCCGCTCGACACGCCCGAGGTCGTCCTCCTCGTCGGCCCACGGGCGATCGGCAAGACGTCGTACGCCTCTCGGCTCGAGCGACTCGGCTACGTCGTCTTTGTACGTCCACCCTTCTCTGCATGTCGTCCTCCTCGAGGACCTGCTCACGACGCTCTCTCGCAGACTTTGCCCAAGCTCTCGACGTCGACCTCGTCACTCGCGCCCTCGCTGCACGCCGCCCTCGCCGACACGCTCGCCATCGACGCCAAGGGCCTCGTCATCGACGGCTCGCTACCGACCCGCAAGGCGCGCGCCCAGGTCCTCGCCGCCGTGCGCTCGTTCGCCTCGACCTCGGCGCCGTTCCGCTCGCGCTGCGTCCTGTGGACGTCGCGCACGCGCTCGGCGCCGGACGGCATGGGCTCGTCGCACGACGCGCGCGAGCTCGTCGAGCTCGCCAAGCACAACTCGGTGTTCCGCCTCGTGACGGCGCGCGGTGGCGGGGTGCAGCTCGTCGAGCAGAAGGAGCTCCAGGCGTGGGACAAGACGTTCCAGGTGCCGACGCTGAGGGAAGGTGCGCCGCATCGCTTTCTCTCTCTCTCTCTCGCATGGTGGAAAAGGCCGGGCGCGCACAACGAGGACTGACTCTCGCTCTTTCCCCTCCCTCTCTCTGTCTCTCTCGACCCACCTGCAGGCTTCTCGCGCATTACGCCGACACGCTTCGCGTTCGACCCGGCGCTGAGCGGTGGCGCGACCCTCGGCGACTGGGCCAAGTGGCTCGCGGACGTGTACCCGGGCAAGGCGAAAAAGACGGGGCGAGTCGCCGTGAGGGGGCTCGACGGGGCGCAGGGAGCGTGAGGGAGGGCTTTGTTCTCTCTCGCGAGGGGCATGAGGGGCGGGCACGGTGCAACGCGGTAGCTTTACAACACTCGGCTCGGCGGTACGAAGAGAGAGGCGAGAAGAGAGGGGCGCCTAGTACCGCAGGCGCGTCGAGTAGTCTGCGAGACGAGCCGATCGTCAGGTTTAGGTACTTGTGCGCGCGAAAGAGAGAGAGGGAGAGCTGGAGCGCACCTTTGGGCGAGACGACCAAACCGCGGCCCTTGCTCGCTCCTCGGTACACCGTCTCGATCAGGTCGATCAGCTCCTGGTCGTCCTCGACGGCCCAGTTGACCTTGTTGTTGTTGCCCGTGCCGAGGTCGACCATGATGTGCTTGTTGCGCTGCGGGTCGGGCGGGAAAGGAGGGAGAGCGTGAGCGCGGGCGCGAGAGACGAGGGTGACTGCGACGGTCGGCGTCGAGGAGAGAGGGCTGCAAGACGTACGTAGAAGAACCTGTGGGAGAAGGGCGAGGTCAGTGCCGCACACGAGAGAGGGCGAGGGAGAAAGGCGGACGGACATCGTCGTGCAAGGGTCGTACAGCTCGTACATCTGGGCGCGCTCAAGGTCAGCGTTCTCCTTCGGCCGTAGAGAGGGAACCTGATGGGCGCACCTTGTTAAAGTCGGGCACCTGGGTGATGTCGACCGTGTCTGCGGGCGCAAAGGACGACGACGGTCAGGGACGGGCTCGCTCGAGGGCCGCACGGCGGGAGCTGGGGGAGAAGGGACGGACAGATGACGGCCATGTTCTTGACCTTTTCTGCTGTGCGGAGGAGGGTCTCGTCGTGGCGCATGCAGTCCGAGTCCCAGTCGTGGCCAAAGCGGATGACGACGACGCGCGACTCTTCTGCGAGGATGGCCTGGTCGACGTGCCAGCCCGACTCGAGTCGAGGGAGGAAGTAGGACATGCGGCGAGGCTAGGGCGGGGTGGTGGTGCCGAGGCGAGTTGAAGGAGGCGAGGGCGCGGAGGGTCGACGAGGAGAGGGTGGCGAAGGGCGCACCGGGGGCGAGAGGCGCTCGGCTGAAGCTGGAGCTGGTACTCGTGAGGGTGCTCGTGTGAGCTGGCGAGTGCTCTAGTGCTGTTGAGAGTGAGCGACGAGGTTCATCTCTGGTCGCTTCCAGGCTCTCGCTTCCTCTCTGTCCACTCGGCGCACCTGCTGCTACGAGCGCACCGCTGCGCCTGCATGAGCTACACTACCGACGAGGGCAACCTCTTCCAGTCGGACGCCCAGCACCAGCAGTCCGTCTCTCCTCTCGTTCTCACCTCGCCCCACCGCGAGTCGCTCACCTCTCCTTCCGCCTCACAGATCCGCAGAGCGAGCAGCCCGAGCGCACCTCCTCGCCGACCGCGGCAACCCGATCAAGCTCGCGAGCAAGCCCCTGCGCGTCGTCGTCCGCGACTCCAAGGCCTCGGACGAGCCCGACGCCTGGGTCGCCGAGAGCGGCTTTGTCGTGCGCCGCGTCGGCCTCGAGTCGGGCAAGACCAAGCAGCTGTACCGAGGGCACGGTGGACCCGTCACGTCGCTCGCGTTCCATTCGAGCCAGGGCCGCGAGCTCGTCATCAGCGGGTCTTGGGACAAGAGCTTCCGTGTGTGGGACGTCAAGGTGCGCTCCTTCTCTCTCTCTCGAGCAGCCAGACACACTCCTGACTCTCGACTCGACGCAGACCAAGACGCTTCTGTCGACCACGGTCGGCCACATCGACTTTGTCAAGACGCTTCTCGTCCTCCCCTCGCTCAACCTTCTCGTCACGGGCTCGTCCGACAAGGACATTCGCCTGTGGGACCTTTCGCTGCTCGACAACCTCGACATCTATGCGCTCGCCTCTGCGCCCGTCGCCTCGACGTCGACCGCGCCCGATGTCGCGCCACCTCAGCAGACGGGCGCCGCCCCACCGCCTGCCGTCGCCCTGCGCCCGCTCCCGTGCGTGTTGGCGCTCAAGGGCCACGTGCGACCGATCGAGCAGCTCGCGGCGTACCCGGTCCTGCGGCCACTCCCGCCCGGCTTGAGCGAGGACGAGGCCGACGAGCACCCGCGCGAGGAGACGGGCACGGTCGCGCTCGTGTCGGCCGACAGCATGGGCGCGCTCAAGGTGTGGGAGCTGTCGAGGACGGCCGAGGGAGCGGTCAAGGGCGAGCTGCGGTGCGAGGCGAGGGAGCACGAGCTGGGCGTGTACGACATGTCGCTCGGCGAGGCTGGGCTGTGGACCGGTGCGTCCCGAGCTTCTCCCTCTGTCCACCGTCGACTCGCCGTGATGACACTAACTCGTGCCCTGTCTCGCAGCCTCGGCCGACAACTCGGTCCTCCTCTCCTCCCTCGACCGCTCGTCCCCCTCGACCCCGCCCACCCCGATCCTGCGCATCCCGCACCCCGCGCAGACACGCTCCCTCCTCCCGCTCTCGCACACATCGGCCGCCTGCACCCTCTCACTCGTACGCGGCGTCCCGCCGCCGCCGTTCCTCGTCACGGGCGCGTCCGACGAGCTCGTGCGCGTGTGGGACCTCGACTGCTCGGCGCTCGACCCGTCGGCGTCGCGCGAGGCGCAGCGCGCCTGGCGAGGCGTGCCCGTCGCTCCCGGCACCAAGCTCGACGGATGCGTGCGCGCGATCGAGGGCCACGCGCACGAGGTGGTGCAGCTGTGCACGTACGCCGACCGGGCGGGCGAGCTGTGGGTCCTGAGCGCGAGCCTCGACGCGACGCTGCGGCGATGGAAGTGGAGCGAGATGCGCGACGCGCCGGGCGAGCGGCTCGTACTCGTGCCCGTCGAGGAGGAGGAGCAGCAGGCAGGCGCGGAGGAGAAGGAGAGCCTCCTGACCGAGGAGGAGGAGCGCGAGCTGGCAGAGCTCATGGGCGACGATGACTAGAGCGTGCAACGCGGGTCGTACACGCACTTGAGCCTGTCGTATGAGAGGGAAGAAAGCTGTTGCGAGTGACTCAAGCCGGCTCGTCGCGCCGCAAGGAGGACGATGAGGAGCTGATGAGAGAGGTCGGCCGCGACGGCAGCGAGGGAGCCAGCGCTCGTGTCTGTGCAGCCTGCAGAGTTCTCCAATACTATCGCACGCTTCAATGCAGCCACAAGTGTCGTGGGAGAGGCGGTTGCTGATCGCGGCGCCTCTCCACGCCGGCTCGAGCTCGTTGTTCGCTGCCTTGCTCCCACAACCTCACGCCGCTCGTGCAAGGTCCAGCACTCGACCAGCTCCAGCACAGTCTCCCAGTAGGCCGTACACCAAGCCCCAGCACGCCCCAGCCGCTGCCTCCCTCGGACCACCTCGCACTCGTTCCCTCCCTCTTCACCGCCTCACCCTCGTTCATCCTCCGACATGGCTGCCGAGGCGCCCTCCCAGTCGGCCAACAGCATCGTGGCCGACTTTGACTCGATCCTCATCCTCGACTTTGGTACGTCCCTCTCTCCCTCGCCCTCGCGCCGTGCCCCGCTTCTCCCCCACTGACCTGCTCTCCAACCCACCTCGCAGGCTCGCAATACTCTCACCTGATCGTGCGCCGATGCCGCGAGTTCAATGTCTACTGCGAGATGCTCCCGTGCACCCAGAAGCTCGCCGACCTCAAGTGGAAGCCCAAGGGTGCGTCTCCTCCTCCTTCCCTCGTCACCATCAGCCCGAGTCAAGGTAACTGACTCCTCGCACACTCATTTGCAGGCATCATCCTGTCGGGCTCGCCGTTCTCGGTCTACGAGAAGGACGCGCCACGCGTCGACCCGGCCGTCTTTGACGCCGGCGTCCCGGTTCTCGGAATCTGCTACGGCCTCCAGGTGCGTCCCTACTTCTCTGCGGGCCTCGGCGCACGTCCGTGTAGCAGAGCTGACCTTGAGCGATTGAGCAGGAGACCGCCAACTTCTTCGGCGCGCGCGTCGAGGCCTCGGACCACCGCGAGTACGGCGAGGCCATCATCAAGGTCCTGTCGCAGCCGGCGGACGCGCCCGCTCACCTCAACAAGCTCTTCGAGGGCATCCCCGAGGAGTCGCCCGTCTGGATGTCGCACTCGGACCGCCTTCACTCGCTCCCCGAGGGCTTCACCACCATCGCGACGACCGAGTCGGCGCCGTGGGCCGCCATCGCGCACAACGAGAAGCCGATCTACGGCATCCAGTTCCACCCCGAGGTGACGCACTCGCTCCGCGGCAAGGACGTCCTCCAGCGCTTCGTCATCAACATCTGCGGCTGCGCTCGCGGCTGGACCATGGTGCGCCCACCTCTCCCTCGTCCTTCTCGATCGCCGGACCCTGACCCACTCTCCCGCCCGCAGGAGGAGTTTATCGACAAGGAGATTGAGCGCATTCGGAAACTCGTCGGCCCGACCGGCCAGGTCATCGGCGCCGTCTCGGGCGGCGTCGACTCGTCCGTCGCCGCCAAGCTCATGCACGAGGCCATTGGCGACCGGTGCGTCTCGCTCTCTCTCTCTTCACCTCACATGGTGTCACGACTCACGCTCGTCTCGCCCGTGCAGTTTCCACGCCATCATGGTCGACAACGGCGTCCTGCGCCTGAACGAGGCCGAGCAGGTCCACAAGATGCTATGCGAGGACCTCGGCGTCAACCTGACGGTCGTCGACGCGTCCGAGCTCTTCCTCGGCAAGCTCAAGGGCGTCGAGGACCCCGAGACCAAGCGCAAGATCATCGGCAATACGTTCATCGAGGTGTTTGAGGAGAAGGCGGCCGAGCTCGAGCGCGACATTGAGAAGACGGGCGCCAAGGGCGGCAAGATCGAGTGGCTCCTCCAGGGCACCCTGTACCCGGACGTCATCGAGTCGATCAGCTTCAAGGGCCCGTCGGCGACCATCAAGACGCACCACAACGTCGGCGGCCTCCTCGACAACATGAAGCTCAAGCTCATCGAGCCCCTGCGCGAGCTGTTCAAGGGTGCGTCTCTCCTCTTCTCCAGCGTCGGTCGCCGGTCGACAAGTGCCAGAGACACTAATGTTCGACCCGGCCACAGACGAGGTTCGTGCGCTCGGCCGCCTCCTCAAGATCCCGACCCACCTCGTCATGCGCCACCCCTTCCCCGGCCCCGGCCTCGCCATCCGCATCCTCGGCGAGATCACGCCCGAGCAGGTCCGCATCGCGCAGCACGCCGACGCCATCTTCATCGAGGAGATCCGCAAGGCCGGCATCTACGACCAGATGAGCCAGGCCTTCTGCGCGCTCCTGCCCGTCAAGGCCGTCGGCGTCCAGGGCGACCGCAGGACGTACGAGCAGGTCATCTGCGTCCGCGCCGTCAAGACCGAGGACTTTATGACGGCCGAGTGGTTCGACTTCCCGCCGGCCGTCCTGCGCAAGCTGTCGAACCGCATCACCAACGAGGTCAACGGCATCGTGCGCCCCTCTTTCTCTCTCTCTCTCTTTCTCGTCGACGTGTCTCTTCCAGGGCGACTGACTCTTATTGCGCCTCGCAGAACCGCGTCGTCATGGACATCACCTCGAAGCCGCCCGGCACGATCGAGTGGCTCTAAAGGTGCTCTAGTGTAGACGCTGTCGCGCCCTCTCTCGTCGGAACTGTATTCCTAATAGACTCTTGGCCGAGCTCTGTCGTGCGGCCGCATCCAGAGAGCGTCGAGCAGATCGAGAGCGAGAGCATCGTCGACGAGGGTGAGCGCTAGGTTGGACGCAGCAGCTCGTCGATTGCGCTATCGAAAGTCAATCTGAGGTCCGTCTGAAGAGCTCCTCGGGAGAATCTCGCAGCGTCGGGTCGTCCTGCGCAAGAGCGAGGGAGGGTTGCCCTCGTGAAGCGGGACCTTCTCAAGTCGAGTCGCCCGATGCCTCGCTTGTTCTCTTGCAGACAGACCCTCTCTCGAAGCTGCAGCGTGTCAAGAGACCCCGTCGCGATAGAACTGAGCAATTTCAGGAAGCCAAAGTCGCTGCGCACGGACCCGACCCGCCTCGTCTCCCCCTCCTCGCTCTGCGGTTACTCGGCCGCCGCGAGCTCCCTCTTCGGTCCCTTGCCCGTCAGGTCCGCCCACATGTGCCCGCAGATGCGCGAGATAGCTTCGCGCTCCTCGTAGACCGGCAGGAAGATGCAGACGAACGCTCCCCCTGCGGAACGAGAAGGAGCTCGTGAGCACGCTCGCGCGGACAGGGAGATCGCGCCGTCGACGACAGCTCGAGAGACGCACAGAAGATCCAGATGAACGTGACGACGACGTAGAACGTGAATCCCGCCTTGGTCGAGATGTAGCCGGTGCCGCACATCGGGAGCGGGATGCTGCGAGCGAGACCAGGTCGACAGCGTCAGGCCCTTCTGCCTCTGCCTCGTCGAGCACGTGAGAGAGGGAAAGCGAGGACGTACAGAATGATGAGGACGACGAAAGTGGCGATGGCAACGACGGTCGCAAAGCGCAACGTCTTGCGGATCTGCTCGGGCGAGTCCTCCTTGACGAGAGGCAGGACGTCCTCGGCGACAGATGGGGCGACGGAACGACCCGCAGCAGGCGACGCGACGCCTTCCTTCTCCTTCTCGGCGGGGCCCTCGGGCGTCGAGGGGAGCGGGACGTCGTCGACTTCCTCGGAAGTCTCGCTGTGCTGGTGAAGGGCGCGCGTCTCGACCCAGTCGTAGTCGTTCGGCCATATGAGCGATCCGAAGAAGGCGATGAGAGCTGAGACACAGAACCTGCTCGACGAGCGAGGGGGTCAGGAGAAGGGTCCGTGCGTTTGAGAAGGTCAAACTCGACGCACGAGAGGACGTTGCCGATGAGCATAGGGTAATCATTGAACGTCGTGTCGATGGTGACGGTACCGTAAAGGCACTTGGTCGAGACGAGCCAGCCGACGAGGCCGGACGTCGTGCCGACGAGAGCGGCCGTGACGCACACCTTGGGATTGGCGCGATGCCACATGATGCCCATGGCGACGGGCACGACGCCGGCGCCGATGTACACGCCCATCGAGTTATACCTGGCGCGTTGGTGGCCCGCAGAGGATCGAGGAGAGCGAGAAAGTGTCGAGGTGAGGGCGGAAGGGCAGGGCGTGACGACGAGTCAGTAAGGCTCAATCGCGTGCTTCGAGCGGGCCAGAGGGACACTCACAGCCATCCCATAGAGATCCCGGCGTAGTGGAAGGCGATGCCGATGACGCCCGCGAAAATTCCCCACGCGACGATGGCGCAGCGGTCGACGAAGAGCACCTCGCGCTCCGAGGCGTGCGGGCGGATGTACGCGACCCAGACGTCGTACGAGAAGACCGTCGATACAGCGCAGAGCTCTGCGCGCCATGAGGAGGACGGGTGCGGGCGATGAGAAGGGAGATAGTCAGTCAGTCGAGAAGGAAAGGCTAGGGCGACGCCAGAGGTGGACGGACCGGCAGACATAGCCGAGGTGACGGCCATGAAGAGAAGAATGAGGAGCATGGCGGCTCCGCCTTCTTTGAGGAGCGTCTGAGCGGCGGCTGCCGCGGGAAGACCCGCTCCCACTTGCGAGTCGGACAAGCCTATCGGGTAGCCCGGATAGCTTGGGTCGTACTTAAGGACGACGGCAGAGAGGCCCATCGTAGTGGCCATGCCGAGGGGGACCCTGTGCGGGGCGGAACAGCGACGATCAGCTACCGCTCGAGAGAGAGGCAGGAGAAGAGGCTCGAGCGCACGAGAGCCAGGCGCTGCCGCCGAGCAGGTAACCCTTGACGGCGGTAGACGGGACCGACGCGATGGCACTGAGCGCGTGCGAGATGACGAACGGGCGAGTAGGAAGGCGGAGGAGGGCGCGAAGGGAGGTCAGCCTCCGAGCCGCAAAGACGCAGAGATTGGGGGAGCTGCCGCGCACCGTTGCCAGTACGCTTGGTCGAGGAATACAGTACCACAGTTTCCCACGAGGTTGATCAGCTGTGCAGAGGAGGGGAAGGAGGAGAAGGAGGAGCAGGAGGCGGCAAGTCAGCGTCCAGCCCGACTTGAGAAGGTCGCACTTGAGAAGGCTGCGAAGACGTACCATGAAGATGAGGCCGCTCTTGGCTCGGAACGTCAAGTACGAGCCGTCCTTGTTGCCCTCGACGGGCCAGTCCTCGGCGGCTTTGACGAGCAGGTCGTACATGACGCTCGGGGAGCCGATCTTCTCGCTGCGCGTGTAGACATGGAACTTGGGGGCGAACGGGTCAGCCCGGTCGCTGAGTAGACGCGAGAATGTAGAGCGCACCATGAAGGCCATGATGATAGCAAACAAAATTCCGCTGTGGACGTAGTCGGCGAGCAATGACGCCCTGAGGCCTCCAATGAGGACGTATACTTTTAGAGCGAATCATCAGCGAGCGAGCTCGTGAAAGTCGATATTCGCGGCAAGCAGTGCGTAGAGAGGTCACTCGAGCTCACCGATGACGCCGATCGGGCTGCAAGAGGGAAGCATGCGCGTCGAAGCGGCGGCGGGAAGGTTTGTCGAGTCGGCGGCGAGCAGATCGTCAGTACTCGAGCGCACGGTTTCGAGTCGACTGAGCAGACAGACGTACATAAGGATGCAGATGGCCGGGGTGCTGGCGCCGGTCAGGTCCTGCGAGAGGCAGAGAGGGTCAGTGCGCTCTCTCGTCGAACGAGACTCGGCGCCTGAGAGGCCCAGACGACGTACTGTGACGACAGCAGAGCCGCCAGTGACGAGCATCGCCGAGACGAGGAGGCACGTGACGAACGCGTAGCACAGAAAGACGATGTGCGCCGTCTTGCCCCATCGCACGCGAAGCACCTGTCCAAGTCAAGAGAGGGTGAGTTTCCTCCCACGATCGTCACGGCCGCAAGCCTTATCGCTCTGACTGACCTCGAGGAACGTGTGGGCCTTTGGCGCGTTCAGCTTGATCCTGTCGGCGTCGGCGACAGGCCGAAAGTTAGCCGGTGCCCTCGAATCGTGGAGAAAAGGAAGCGAAAGAGGACGTACTTGGCGGCGTTGCACGCAAAAACCTAGTACAGGGCACAAAGATCGACCCAGAAGGTAGACGTGGCGTCAGTAGCAGTACGCGAGGGAGGATCCCGAAGAAGGAGGACGAGATCTCGAAGGGGAGGACGAGGACGCACGATAATCTGCACGCTGGCACCCGCCGAATAGCTATAGGGACCTATTATGCCGTTCTTGTAGCCTTGCGCGGTGCTCTGGGAACGTCCAGAGCGTCAGCGAGGTCGTCGGGAGGGTGAGAAAGCGAGGACGGACCGTCAAGAGGCTGCAGGGAGGAGCGAGATCGAGGTCAGCTGCGGCGGTCCGTGCGACAGTGCGACAGTCCAGGAGTGTGTACGAGGGATCGAGAGGATTGACGAGACGCACGTTGCAGCCCAAGTCCATGAAGATACGATTGCGCAGGCGATCATTCCCGGCTTGACCGAGTGCGACGCCGACGCGAATTCAGCCACCGACGCCGTGCGTCGAGTCGTGTACTTGTTCTGGATCCAAGTGAGGCCGCACATGAGCGCAGCGAAGAAGAAGCCGATGCCGAGAACGACACCGTACCCGACGCCTTCCGAGAGGATCGCAACGTCGGACATGGAGGGCGAGTAGGGAGTTGTCGGGGAGGTCGTTCGGCGTGGTAACGCGGTCGTGGCACGTCGAGGCTTGTCGGAAAGCAAGCAAAAGAGGGGGCGTAGCGAGCGAGGGAGAGGAGAGGTTGCGAGCCGAGAGGGAGCAGCTCACGAGCGGCCGCCTCTGCGCCCCAGATAACGACGCCAATCGACCCCTTCTGCCCACCAGACGTGATTCGAGCAAGGACGGGGCCGGCGCGCTTAGCGCGAGCGGCAAAAAAGGTCGCAGATTGGGTCTCGCGCCTGAACCTTCTTTGCGGACGCCCGTGGCTTTGCGCAGCCTTCCTGATGCTGGCTCGGACTGCATGTACATGTACTTGGCAGGATGGGCGCAAAGCGAGAGCGATTCGACCGCTGCTCGGGGAGCAAAGCGCTCATCAGTTGCGCCGTCACGGCTCTCGAGGCGAAGCATGCACGGCGGCGCTCGACACGGCTCAGATGGTGCGGGCCTGCCTCGGATGTGCTCACAAGGCGATACGATTGCGACCGGCCCTCGCTATCAACCCTCCTCGGCGCGCAAGGGCAGCGAGCGGACAAGGCGGACGAGCCGGACGACGTAGTCAAACCGCTCTCGAATCTCTCTCGCTACAGACGCTGGATTGAGCGACGATCGCGACGTACGGTCCACACAGCTCACTGTGCTGCCCTGGGGCGCGTGCAGTGGACCATGCACGGCGCCGCCGAGCAGCAATGGCTGCCGGCTTCTCCGCGGCGGCGCCGGACCCTTCGAGCTGCGCTCTCTCCACTTTTTAGCGTCGTGCGGCTCGGGCGAACAGGAACGATCTGCTCATTTCCGTCGGCTCGCACACGGAAAGCTGCTTTCCGGCGGCGCAGCCCTATCTCCACTTCGCCGCTCGAGCGCTTCTCCACCTCGCCCCACCTGCTCGCTCTCTCGTCGCCAACCTCGCTCGCACTCTGCTAGACCTTGTCCGCTATGGCACCGCACCCGATGCTCGTCACTGTCGACCCTCTCAAGCCTGCAAGGGGCCAAGCCGGCCTCATGAACCGCTGGCATCCCGACATCCCCGCGTTCGCCCGCGTCGCGCAGGGCGAGGTCTTCAAGCTCGGCTGCCACGAGTGGACCGGCGGCCAGGTCAAGAACTCGGACGACGCCGACGACATCCGCGACGTCGACCTGTCCGAGATCCACTTCCTCACGGGCCCCGTGGCCGTCGATGGGGCCGAGCCCGGCGACGCGCTCGTCGTCGAGATCCTCAACATCGAGTACTACGAGGAGATGCCCTGGGGCTACACCGGTGCGTTCAACTGGCTCTCGCATACGCGGCGGCCAAGGCGTGTGGGAGGAGAGGTCCGAGCGCGTCGACGGAACGTCGCTCGAGCGCCGCCGAGAGGAGCCGAGGGGCCGCCGGTATCGCTCAGCACGGCTGCTGACCTGCTCTCGGTCTGCAGGCATCTTCGAGGAGAAGGATGGCGGGCTCTTTGCGAGCGAGTTCAAGACGCGAGCGAGCAAGGCCGTGTGGGACTTCGAGGGCCGGTTCGCCTCGAGCCGGCACATCCCGGGCGTGCGCTTCGCCGGCATCACGCACCCGGGTATCATCGGCACTGCCCCGTCGCAGGAGCTCCTCGACGAGTGGAACCGCCGCGAGCAAGCCCTCAACGACGCGCACCCGGGCGCGTCTCCCGCCGTCGCGCTCCCGCCTCTCGCCGAGGGCGTCTACGTCGGGCAGGATCTTCCCGCCGACGTCCTCGACAAGATCGCCAGGGAGGGTGCTCGGACGGTCCCTGGGCGCGAGCACGGCGGCAACTGCGACATCAAGAACCTCAGCATCGGCTCGAAGGTCTGGCTGCCCGTGTTCGTCCCGGGCGCCAACCTCGCTATCGGCGACCTGCACTTCTCGCAAGGCGATGTACGTCCTGTCCGTGTCCACTCAGAGACGTGCGCCAGCCGCCGTCAGTCGGAATGTTGCAGAGCGACTGACTCTCCCTCTTTCCTTCCCTCGGCTTCTCGCTCGCCCTATCCCTCCTGTCTCACGTCTGCGTGCAGGGAGAGCAAAGCTTCTGCGGGGCGATCGAGCAAGCCGGCAAGGTGACGCTCAAGTGCTCGGTCGTCAAGGGCGGCATCGAGAAGTTCGCGCTCAAGCAGCCCATCTTCCTTGTGCGTCGCGCTTTCCCTCCTCACCTTTGGTCGACCTCGCTCACGGTCCATGTCCCGCAGCCTTCGCCCATCGATCCGCTTTACACGCAGCAGCTCACCTTTGAGGGCATCGGCGCCGGTACGTCCGTCCAGATCTGCCAAGTTGACCTTCCCAAGTTGGCCTTCCCAAGTTGACGGTCCTCCTCCCCTTTCCGCCTCTCCTCGTCAATCACCTTCCGGCTTTCCGCTCGACGCTCAAACCAGACCTTCACGGAGACGGCTCGCAGAAGTCCATGTGCGCGACGACGGCGTACAAGCAGGCGTCGCTCAACGCCATTGCCTGTGAGCCTCAGACCTCTCGCCATCGACGTACCGACGACCGACTGACGCTCCTGTAATGCAGATCTCAAGAAGCTCGGCTACACGCTCGAGCAAGCGTACCTCCTCCTCTCGGCCGCCGTGCGTCCTTCTTCCCTCTCCTCCTCTCGTTCTCGCCGCTCACCTGTCGGCTCTCTCTCACGCTCGTACACAGCCCGTCGAGTCGCACGTCGCCGCCCTCGTCGACGTGCCCAACGCCATGGTGACCGTCTCGCTCCCGACGGCCATCTTCGACCGCGACATCCTGCCGCACCCGGACGGCCTCGAGAAGCGCGACTACGGCAACTGCGCGCTCAGGAGCGACGGCCTGCGCAGCTTTGACCTGCTCGACGCGAACGAGGACAAGGCCAAGGCGGCCAAGAAGTGAGGGGGGGGCTCGAGCGCGCTGTACAAAGGCCGAGTCGCTCTCGCGGCGACGCAAAACGATGAAACAAAGTCCGTGATAGCAGACGCGAGGCGGCACATTCGAGAGGGAGAAAGAGAGAGAGAGGAAAGGATGAGGGCGAGAGAAAGTGCTACAAGCTCGACGACGCCGCCCGACCCGACTCGAACTACTTCCTCGGCTCGAGCGTGACCGTCTCGGTGCTCTCGCCGTACCGCCTCACGTTCCACTCGTGCTGCCTGCGCTCAAACTCGTCGCCCGTCTCGCCCTCGCGGCGCACGGGCTCTGCCTCGCCCGCCGTGCCGTGCTCGACGCTGTCGGCGAACGGGTTGCTCGCCGGCGCCGGGTGCTGCACGACGCCGGCGGGCTGGACGGGGAGCTTGTCGTCGCTCGCCGAGACGCCGTACGGGTTGTCGTACGACGGGAGGCGCGTCGCGTCGTAGCCGCCGCCGTAGCCGGGAGGAGGCGGCGCGCCGTACGGGTTGGCCGACGCCGGGTACGGCGGCTGCTGGCCCGGGTAAGGCGCGAGCGGGTACGCGTACTGCGACGAGGCGTTGAGCTGCGGCACGTGGGTGCGCAGGCTCTGCGGCTGTGGTCGTGTGGGACGAGGGAGAGGGTTAGTGCGGGTGGACGAGGAGAGCGAGGACGGCCGGACGCACGTTCTTGAGCTGGTGCAAGTACGACGCGCTCAGGGACGCAAAGATAAAGGCGATGAAGAGCGAAAAGATGAGGAGGGCAATGTCGATCTGCGGGCGTCGAGCGAAAGTCAGGAACCCGCGAACGCGCGCGAGGGAGGAGAGGAGGACGAGGGACGCACGTAGGACGAGTTGCGCCAGTTGTCGCGACAGTAGCTCTCGACCGTGGACGTCGTGAGCGACCCGTCGGCAATGTCGCTGCTGTACGACGCGGCGCACGCCTCGAGGATGTCGCTCTTCATCGTAAAGTGGCAGACCGTGCGGGCGAGCTCGGCGCCCGTCACGAGGGCTGCGACGACGAGCGAACCGTAGAAGTACAGGCGGACGAGACCGAGCGAGCCCTTGTACGACGCGAAGAAGCCGAATGCCTGGTCGAGAGGGAAAGAGTGTGAGTGAGAATCGCGTCGTTGGCCAGCTCGCGCTCGACTGCGCGAGACCTGACTGCGCCACTCAGGCGCTCGCGCACCGTCGTACCGCAACGTGAAGAAAGAGAGTGGACGCACCTCGATGGCGACGCAGACAAAGTAGACGATGGCGAGGGCGAGCCAGACGGTCTTGAGGCTCGAGGGCGTCTCGACGTCGTTGCGGTTGCGCAGGTAGGCGGCGCCGACGACGAGGCCCCAGACTGTGGGCGCAAGAGTGCGTGTCAGTGCGGTGCTCGAGGACAGAGGGTGGGCTGCTCCTGGTCGCCGCCGGCAGACTGCGCAGCACCGCCTCCTCGACGAGGGGCGACGGCGACAGCGAGCGTGCGCTCGCAGACGGCGCTCGTGTGCGGGATTGGCCGGACTCGACATGGAAGCCGGGCTGGTCGTGGAACGCTCGCCATGCCCGCGGTGCTGCGCGCGAGACGATGACGGTCGAGAGGCGGGACGAGGCGGGGTGGAAGACGGCAACTCGTCGCGGTGAGGGGTGGAGGGGTGGGGGAGGACTGACTGGTGGCGAAGAAGGTCATGATCAAGGCGGCCGGGCGCAGGTTGCGGGTGGTGGACGAGTAGCGCTGGAGCGAGTAGGCCGGGGGCGGGAGGGAAGAGGGAGCCTCGCGGTTCCTGCAGTGCGACCGAGTCAGTGGACGGGGGATGGAGCTCAGATGGATCCAGAGTACTCACATGATGCGCTGCTGGTGTCCCTGAGTGAGGCTGACAGGTGGACGGCGACAGCTCAACAGACGACGAGCGAACCGAAGCCTTGGTCCACCTCGCCCCTCGCAGCGTCGCTCCTGGCCAGAGCCGCGCACTGCTATCTGCCACGCCACACTCGAGGTCACCCCAACCCCGCTACAGGCTCGCGCCAGCCTTCGACATGGCCGCCGTCGTCGCGTCCTCGTCCTCCATCAGTCACTTGTCCGTCCACCCTCTCCCACACCTCTGGGCGCGCCAGACTCAGCTCGTACTCACTCTAACACCTCGTCACAGAACCTGGAGCCAAGCCCTCGTCCTCCTCGAGTCGCCCTCGCCAAACGGCGTCCCCCCCTCTGCCGCGACCTTCCTCCGCTCTCACCTCGACCAGCTCCAGCGCCCGCACGACCCTTTCCCGCCCAGCCACCAGAGCAAGACCCAGCTCTCGTCCGGCTCCCTCACCGTCGCCAGCCGCCAGCTCGACGTCTCGAAACCCGACCAGCAGCTCGCCCTTGACGTCGCAACCCGCTTCTCGTGCGACGAGCTCGAGGCGTACCACGCACTGCGCCATGCGCGCCGCGCCAAGGGCACACACCCGGACAAGCTCGCTGAGGACGAGTGGGACCGCATCACGGCCTGGCTCTTCGAGGAACGCATGGCCGTCCTCGCCGTCGTCGCCCTCTTGTTGCGCAGCTGTGCGTCTCTCTCTCTCCTCACTCTGTGCCGCACACTCACTGACTCTTCGACCAAAACAGACGACGACCCGGCTCACGCCTGCTACGAGCTCGCACTCGAGCTCGTCCCCGAGATCGTCACGCCCTCCTTCACCTCGTCCCTCCTCGCCGCCTTCACCCGCCGCACGTCGCAGCACCTCCCCGACGCCGTCCGCCCCTCGCGCACCCACTCGGCCTTCTGGACCAAGCAGCTCGTGCGCGAGCAAAAGACGCTCCTCGAGCTCGTCTTCCTCGCCTACTACTCGCCGCGCCCGGCCGACGGCCTCGAGCTCGCGCGCGTCCTCGAGGCCATCCAGGCGACCGAGTTTGGCCAGCGGCAAGAGCTGTTCGGCCACTTTGACGCCGAGGCGCAGGGCGTCGTGCGCGAGATCGGCGACCTCTTGACCGTCGTCGCTCTCGAGGCGTGCAACCTCGAGCAGGCCATGGAGGCCGAGTACCCGATCGGCGCGCCGGGCGAGGCCGTCGTCGACCCGTCGAGCGTGTACCACCCGTCCAACCTCGTCAAGGTGACCGAGCTCGTCGAGGCCCTCGCCGGCGCCGCGCGCGCGTCGCCCATCCTCCTCGCGTGGGCGTTCCTCCTGTCCAAGGTCACGGCGTCGCTCCTCGAGCGCGGCGTCCCCGAGGCGTACCACGACTTTGCCGAGCAGTCGCTGCGCGTCGAGGCGCCGTCGAGCTCGTCGCGCTCGTCGACGCAGCCCCTGTTCCAGCTGTACGCCGCGCACGCCCTGTCGCCTGCGTCGGCCTTCTTCCCCGTCCTCCTGTCGATCCTCCGCTCGCCCCTCCTCGGCCACTCGGCGCAGCGCGAGTCGTTCTCGGCCGCCGCCAACCACGAGCCGAACGCGATCGGGTACCTCTCGGTCCTGCGCGGCCTCGTCACGGCCATCCCGAACCTCGTCCGCCTCCCGTACCTGTCGTCGACCCAACTCTCGGCCCTGTACGACGCCTACGCCGCCCTGTACGGCAACGCGTCGTCGGCCGTCCTGTGCGCCCAGTTCTGGAACGACCAGGCCGTCCTCAACGCGGCTCTCGACGGCGCCGACGACGACGAGTCGAGCATGCTCGTCGAGCGCACGGCCCAGAGCGCCGGCGAGAACGACATTGTCGACCTCGCGCGCTCGAGGTTCCCGCTCCAGTTCGGCGGCCTGACGCAGCTCGTGCGCGCCCTGTGCGCCGGCGCCGCGGGCCTCGTCCCCACCGAGCACCCGGGCGGCGGCAGCCCGGCCGCGTCGAGCGACGACGAGCTCCTCGCGGCGCGGTGCGCCCAGAGCACGTTCGCATACCTCGCGACGCTCCCGAGCCTGACGCACGTCGTCCCCTCGGCATCGGTCCCGGGCGTCGGCGCCGCCGCGCCGCTCCCGTACGAGGTGGCGGCGTACCCGGATCCCGACACGGGCTACGCCTACCGCGCGACGAGGCCGATCGGCGTCAGTCGCAGCGTCGCGATCCCGGTCGGCGCCCAGGGCCGCCTCGTGTCGCAGCAGGGGACCAAGCCCGTCGTCGTCGCGTGGGACGTCGAGTGGTCCGCCTGGCGCCTGTTTGCCGACGTCCTCGAGGACTACGCGGGCGTCAAGGGCCGGGCAGGGGCTGGAGGAGGAGCGGGCGCGAGGAGGGACGTGTTCGGGAGCAAGGAGGCGCAGACGGACGGGCTTCCGATGGAGTGGGACAGCGAGGACGAGCACGACCGCGACGTGACGGCCGTCCTCGACATCTTGCGCATCACGCTCCACAGCGACCACTCGCTCGCCGTCGCCCTCATCGACCACCTCGCGACCGCGCCCGGCCGCCTCGCCGAGTCGGCCGACCCGGCCTCGGCGCGCAACAGCTTCGTCGAGGTCCTGTTCCGCATCCTCGAGCGCTCGCTCGCGCCCAACCTCGACCGCCCGCCGCCGACCGCCCTCGTCAGCTCGCTCCTCGGCCTCATCGCCGCCCTCCTCCCGTCGTTCCCGGGCGTCATCTGGACCTACCTGCGCGGCTCGGCCCTCCTGTTCCCGTCGACCAAGGCGTCGTCCAACTCGGCGAGCGAATTCGGCTACGGCGCCGGCGCAGCCGGCCTCGCCTCGTCGTCGTCGTCGTCGGTGCGCCCGCAGGTCCTCCACGCCGAGCGCCTCTCGGGCCAGTACCCGGTCACGCTCGCCCTCCTGTCGCTCGTGCACGCCCTCGTCCTCGAGGAGCAGGTCGCCGCGTGCGTCACGCGCAGCGACTTTCGCGAGACCAAGCACGGCGTCCTCGTGCGCGCCCTCGCGTGGGTGCGCGACACGGTGTGGCTGAGCTTTAGCGCGTGGCGCTTCGCGAGCCTCGTCGAGAAGTACGAGCTCGCGCGCCGGTGCACGTCCGTGTTCAAGCTCGTCCTCGAGGAGTCGGCCGTCGCCGCCTCGACCGCGTCGTCGTCGTCGAGCCAGGTCGTCCAGGTCGTCACCGACGCGTTCGTCGGCCCCAAGGCGACCGTCGCCCAGCTGTCGCCCGTCCTGTCGACGCTCGCATCGGGCCCGGACGCCATCCTCCTCCTGCGCAAGGCCAGCCGGTTCGCCGACGCTCAGGCCCTCGAGGACCTCGTGCGCTCGTCGCTCAACCTCGTCCTCGGCCTGTTGCGCCTTCGTCGCCGCACCAAGGGCACCTCGTCGTCGCTCCTCGAGAAGCTGTGCCTGTCGCCGGCCGGCAGCGCGTCGTACGCCGTCACGGCCGGGTCGGCCCACGGGTTCGCGGCAGAGCTCGACGGCGGCAGCAGCGAGGGCCGGCCCGCACGCAGGCCCGAGCTCCTCGAGTCGCTCGTGCGGTTCGTCGTCGCCCCTCTCGACGGCGCCCTCGCCGTGCAGGCGGCGCGCATTGTCGCGCTCTTGTGCCTGTCGACGGCGGCGAGCGAGACGGCGCCGGCGAGCATGACGGCGCTCTTCGGCGGCAGCGAGGGCCTCGAGCGCCTGTTGACGGCGCTCCTCGCCGTTGTCGAGGACCACCTGGCGGCGCAAGAGGTGCAAGTCGCGATCTGGGACCTCGTGCGTCCTCTTCTTCCTCCTCGCCTTTCTCTCGAGCGCTCCTGACTCCTCTCCTTCGGCCCTGCAGCTGTCGGCCATCGTCGACTCGCAACCTGGGCTCGGCATGCTCCTCGTCACGGGCCGCTCGTCGCCGTTCTCGATCGACGACCTCGTCCCGGCGCCGCCCAAGGACGACAAGGGCAAGGCGCGCGAGCTCAACGACGCCGAGAAGGCGGCGCAGGAGCTCGCCAAGTCGCTCGCGCCGTCTGCGCCCAAGCCGCTGTCGCGCACGGCCGTCGGCGTCGCCTTGTCGACCCTCGGCACCTGGAGCAGCATCTGGTCCGAGCGGCCGGCGCTCCTCGCGTCGGTCCTGCGCTTCTTCGACTTTGCGTGGCAGCACCTCGTCGAGTACGGCCCTGCGCTCGACGACTTTCGCGCTCGCACGTCGACCTGGGAGGCGTTCGTCAAGATCGCGTGCGAGAACCCGGGCTCCGAGCCGCACGACGAGGTCGGCGTCGTCGAGTACTGCCACCGCGTGACGGCTCGCGCTCACGCGGCGCGCATCCTCGCGCTCGACGTCCAGGCTGCGCTCGCCAAGCCCAAAGCCGAGGACGCCCCGAGCGTCAAGGCGTTCTTTGCCGCGTTCCGCGATCCTGCCCAGGTCGCCGCCGCGCTCACGTCGGCCATGGCGTCGTCGTGCGCGCCCGAGCTCCACCAGGGCATCTACGAGCTCGTGCACGCGACGTTCCCGGGCCTCGACCTCGACGCGCTGCGCAACGCGCCGTCGACCCACCCGCTCGACGAGGCGCGCGAGTTCGGGTCCGAGTACCTGTACGCGCTCGCGCTCGTCCGCCGACGGCTCGACGGCTTTGTCGCCGACGCCGACAGCGCCGTCGACGGCGATGCACTCGCCGACGTCGTCGCCCAGACGGCCCAGCTCAACCGCAACTTTTCGCTCCTCGAGGCGCAGATCCTCGACACGCGCTCGTGGCGGCAGCTCCTCGAGACCGTCTCGCCGCTCGTCCGCAAGGAAACGGCGACGCCGTCGACGTCGGCGGTCGGCCTCGTCGCAGAGGAGATCGCGCGCGAGACTCGCGGCGGCCAGATCATGACGACGGTCCAGGCCGAGCGGTTGTCGATCCTCCTCACGCTCGTGCAGGCCCTCGGGACCGTCGAGCCCGCCAAGGCCAAGGCGCCCCTCGTCGAGCTCGTCGTCAACCTCGCCGCCATGTTCGCGAGCGAGACGCTCCAGCCGCTCGAGTCGGTCGCCGGGCGCGAGACGCCGCCCGTTCACGTCGCCCTGTTCCGCGCCACTTTCCTCGCCTTCCGACAGCTCGAGGTGTGCGTGCCGACAGCCGAGGCGGCGACCAAGGCGCTCGAGGACGAGCAGCGCGCTCGGGTCGCGGCGGCGACCGAGGCCATCCTGCGCGACGTCCTGACGGCGACGCGCGACCTCCTTGTACTCGCCCGAGCGCGCAAGGACGTCGACATCGAGCAAGACATCGCGCTCGCCGTCGCCGTCGTCTCGCAGGTCCTCAAGTCAGCGTTCGCCCCTCCCGCCGCCGTCTGGCTCGCCCACGTCCACGCGCTCGACCTCTTCCGATGCGCGTTCGACGTCTTTGTCCACATGGACCAGCTCGAGCCGGGTCAGCCGCTGTACGCGCAGCACGTCCTCGACCTGTGCCTCGCCATCGCGACGTCGTCGCCCAGAGCGGCCGAGCAGCTCCCGCTCGAGGGCGCCATGACGGCCCTGACCAACAACGCCCTGACGGCGGCGGCCGAGGCCGGCGCGATCGCGCTCGTGTCGCCGACAGACGCGTCGAGGACGCCACAGCACGAGCTGTGGACGTCGATGCTCGCCCTCGTCGTCGCGCTCGTCGCCGCCCTCGGCGAGTCGACCCGGTTCGTCGAGCAGGACGTGACGGGCTTCGTGCGCCTGTATGGCCAGCAGGTCGTGCGCGCCCTCAGCTGGACGTCGAGCACGCCTGTGACGGCTGCCGGGCTCGAGGAGCTGTCCGCCGTCGTCGCCCTCATGCACGGCATCGCGAGGAGCAGCACGACGCTCGGCGTCTCGCCCTCGTCGCCCGTCGTCGCCGTCGCCAGCGTCTTTGTCGAGCAGAGCCTGCACCTCCTGCAGCACCTCGTCTACGCCCTCCTCCACCCGAACCACCTCGCGGCGCTCGTCGAGGGCCTGACGCCGGCCGAGCGAGGGTACCTCGAGAAGGAGGCGGCCGAGCAGGACGTCGACAAGCGGCCCGTCGCGCAGGCCGTCACGCTCAAGGTCGTCCAGCTCGCGAGGGACCTCGTCGGCGCGCTCGTCGAGTTTGCCGACGCGTGGTCGACCCTCCTCAAGGACCCGATGGATTGGCGGTCTGAGCGGGCCGTCGTTCTCCCTGTGCGTCCCCCTCTCTCTTTCCTCTCTGCCTCTTTCTCAGCTCCCATCGACTGACACGTGCACCTGGACAGACGGCAACGGTCACTGCGGGCGACAAGGCGTCGCTCGGCACCCTCTTCGACCTGAGCACCTTCTGCATCGACGCGCTCCGCTCCCCACCGACAACCTCGCCCGCACCCTCTCTCCCCTCGTCCTCGCCCTTCCCCTCTCTCCCTCCAGCCTCGCAGCCCGTCCTGCGTGCCGCGTGCGCCGAGACGCTCGAGGCGTGCCTGCTCCTGTCGGCGACGCAGCTCGCGCTGCACGCGCAGCAGCAGGGCGGCGCGTCGCGCGCGCTTCACGAGCTCGGTGGAGAAGTGGTCGAGCTGGTCGACAAGGCGGTGGCGCTGAGCGGGCCCGGGTCGGCCAAGGACGACGAGCGGAACCGCAAGGCGCTGCTCGAGGTGGTGAGGAGGAAGTTGGGCACGTGGGTCTAGCGCGTCGCGTGCAAGTCTGTTCTGCAGCGGCCCTCTTTGTACGCTCGCCGAGGAAAGCGAGAGCGCACGAGAGTGACATGTTGGGCGTTCGCCGCACGCAGGTGTGCTCGCTTCCCCACTCTCAGCCCACCTCACCCTCGCTCGGCATGGCGCGCAAGAAGGGAGTCCCGCAGCGTGCGGGCCTCTCTCGTGCCGAGTTTGTCAAAGCCCTGTCGAGCGCCGCGTTCGCCGAGGAGCAGCGCGACGAGGAGGAGCGCCGGCAGGAGGTCGAGCGCGAGGAGCGCAAGCGGGCCGAGGAGCACGTCAAGCGCATCAGGGCGGCAGCAGAAGAGCGCACGAGGGCAGCACACGAGCGCGGTGCGTCCCACCTTTCCCCTGTCGTCGTTCGTCGTCGCTGGTGGTCGCCCCGCTCATCCTCATCTCGCCAGCGACCGCAGCTCTCACCTCGGGTGCGGGACTCGCCGTACTCGCCATCCAAGCCCTCGGTCTGACTCTCGCTTCCCTCTCCAGGTCCGCCAGTCGCAGCAAGAGCGATCCCCCTCTCCCTCAACTCGCACCTCCCGCCGGTCGTCCCTCTTCCCGTCGGCCCTGGCGCTCCTCCTCCTCCCGCCGTGACCACCTTCTACCAGACCGTCCCGCCAGCCATCACCATCCCTGCTCGACCCGACACGCACGCCATCCCTGCCGCCGTCACCATCCCCGCGCCGCCGCAGACCAACTCGGTCCAGCCGCAACAGCAGCCCAGGCTCGAGCACCCGCCCGGCTTGAGCCGCTTCGCCGAGCTCTACGTCCCTGTATGGCTCCGGCGCGTCAACGCCGACCGGCCCCAGTACGTCGTCCCGCGCAGCAAGGCCGAGGCGTTCGCGGTGCGTCCTCCTCTGCCTCGTCCGTTCCCTCGCTCCGAGGCGCAAACTGACTCTCGCCCCGCCACAGATCGAGTATTCGGAGATGCACGACGCCCTGTACCCGCCCAAGCTCATCCACCACCTCGGCAACATCGAGCGCGCCAACCACGAGCATCTCCTCAGGGAGCACTTCGACCGCGCGTCGAGCCAGGGTCGCCTCGGCGCTCGACCCGCGCCGCTCCCGCTCGCGCCAGTGACCTATGCCCACCACTGGCTGCCGTTGCAGCAGGCCGAGTACACGGCGCGCGCCCTCCAGCTCCAGCAGGCGGCGCTGTACGCCGTACCGCTGCGACCCGTCCCGCCGCACCCGAGCGACCCGCCCGGCCCGCCGCTGTACATGCTCGAGGCGCGCTCGATCCGCGAGGGCTGGCCACCTGTCGACCTCGGCGACATCCTCAACTTGCGGCAACTGCGCCCGAGCTTCCAGAGCTGGCAGGGCCTCGAATTCGAGGCGAGCGTCGCCGGCATCAATCGCGCGGCGGGCGAGGTCCTCCTGCGGTGCGACGGCCTCATGGGCTACCAGGAGGCCATGGTCTTCAACGTCGTGTGGCGCGTCCAGGACCGCATCTTCAACGAGTGGCGCCGCTCGACCGAGCTCGCCGACCTGTACCTCAACTCGAGCTCGATCCTCCTGGACGGCCCGCCGACCAAGCGCCGCAGGACGGCGATCGACTCGTGGCTGTTCCCGCAGAGCGAGGACGTCTCGGTACACGCACCGGCGCCGACCAAGGACGACCTCGACCCCGAGTGGGTCGACGAGAGCCTGAACGAGGAACAGCGCGTGCGTCGAGCGTTCTCTCTTCCACCTGCACGAGGCCGTACTGACTCTGGACGCCCTGCAGAATGCCATCCGCTCGATCATCTGGGCCAAGCAGCGCTGTCCGCTCCTCCTGCACGGGCCTCCCGGGACGGGCAAGACCAAGACGCTCGTCGAGTCGGTCTTCCAGATCCTCAAGCGTGCGTCCCTCTTTCCTCTTCCTCTCTCTCACTCTCACAGAGACACGGACCTGACGAGCTACCGCGAGCAGGCCACCCTACCACGCACGTCCTCGTCTGCGGCGCGTCCAACCCGTCGACCGACACGCTCGCCATGCGCCTGCGCTCCCTCATGCCCAAGGACCTGTTCCGCCTCAACGCCCCGAGTCGACCGTTCGCCGAGGTCAAGGGCGAGCTCCTCCCGTTCTGCCACGTTGAGAACGACCGCTTCGCCCTCCCGTCCATGTCGACCCTCCTCTCGAAGCGCGTCATCTGCTGCACCGTCCTCGACGCCTCGATCCTCCTCAACGCCCACGTCACCAACCACGACCTGTCGACCCTCGAGATCTACGTCGCCGGCAGCGTGCACCCCAACAACCCTCCTCCTCTCGCCAAGCCGCACTTTGGCTTCCTCCTCGTCGACGAGGCCGCCCAGGCGACCGAGTCCGACATCGTGCCGGCCCTCAACGCCGTCGCGACCGACGACACGCGCTGTCACCGCGCCCACGTCACCGTCTGCGGCGACGCTCGCCAGCTCGGCCCGCACATCATCTCGGAGGAGGCGCGCCAGAACGACTTTGACGTGTCGCTCCTCGAGCGGCTCATGAACCTGCCCGTCTACGCCGACCACCCGTTCGCGAGGAGGAACCGCTCGCGCAACCCGGACGTGCGCTTCGACCTGCGCACGACACCGTTCGTCGACCTCGTGCGCAACTACCGCTCGGCACCCGAGATCCTCTGGCTGCCCTCGACCCTTGTACGTCCTCTCTCTCTCTCTCTTACTCCTCTCGTGTACTCGACCTCAACCTGACCTCGTCGTCGCGCAGTTCTACCACGAGACGCTCCTCCCGTACGCCGCCAAGAGCGTCCAGCACACGTGCGTCCCCCTCTCTCTGCCTCTTCCTGCCTGCGCAACCAGGCCTGACTCGTGCGCGCTCTGCAGGCCTCTTCGATCCTGGGCACAGCTCCCCAACCCGGGTTTCCCGATCCTCTTCCAGCACGTCGGCGGCCTCGACCTCGAGATCGACGAGGGCGCCTCTTTCTACAACGACGCCGAGGTCGCCCAGGTCCGAGCGCACATCCTCGCGCTCGTACGACCGCCGGCCGACCAGGCGCAACACGGCACCGTCGCGCCCAAGGAGATCTCGGTCATCAGCCCGTTCCGCGAGCAGGTGTGGCGCATCCGTCTTGCGCTCAGGGCGGTCGGGCTCGGCGAGGTCGATGTCGGCAACGTCGAGGCGCTTCAGGGTGCCGAAAAGTGCGTCCTCCTTTCTCTCTCTCGTCGATGTCGCCCTCGCAGCGTCGACTGACCCTCTCGCCTCGCCACAGCCGCGTCGTCATCATCTCGACCGTCCGCTCGAAGGAGCTTCGGTGGCTCCCGATCGACCGAGCGCAGAACCGGGGCCTTATTCACGAGCCCAAGCGCTTCAACGTCGCCATGACTCGCGCCAAGGAGCTCCTCATCGTCGTCGGCAACGCAGAAACCCTCGCGGTCCGTCTCCTCATTCTCTTCTCGCCCTCCCTCTCTCTTTCTCCTGCGTCCTCTTTCTCCTCGTTCGCGACACTGACCATCATATCGGTGTCTCTCGACAGCGCGACCCGTGGTGGCTCGCCTTCTACCGCCTCTGCGTCCGCAACCACTGCTACGTCGGCCCGCCCGTCTCGGCCGCCTCGGCGCACGAGGCCGGCCACGCCGTCTCGCGCCTCGAGCAGCAGTACCACGCCGAGCGCAGCGGGAGCATGTCGCCGGCGAGCGTGCGGCGGGACGAGGACGGCGGCGAGGGCGGCGAGGAGGAGGACGGCGAGCGAGGGAGGGAGGACAAAGACCGAGCGTTCGACATCCTCATCGGGAGGCTCGTCTCGTCGACGGTCAACGAGGACGAGGAATGAGGTACCGAGGCGCCTGCAGTGCATGCTGGCGTTCCGCCGAAGCCTCACTCTTGTTCTGCTCTGCGAGTGGGAGAGACCCTTTCGCGAGCGCGAGCGAGAGCAAGTCCGAGTCCCACGCGCCACTGCTCTCGCTACTTATTCTGCGTCTCGCTCGCTCTTAACGTCGTCGCCAAGTTCTCTCGAAGAGGCCGAGGAAACGAGGAAGAGTGTCTTTTGCAGCATGAGGAGGGACGCAAGTTCCGAATCCTGCGCCCGCGTCACAGAGTCGCACACACCTGCTGACGACGACGAGATGGTCAGGACCGAGGCAGAGGCGAAAGAGAGAGCGACGAGCGCACCTAGAGCCGCCTGCTGTCGAACGCTCGACCCCCTCGCCTGCTCCGCAAGAGCTGCCGGCCCGCCTCGCTGTCGCTCCCGCCGCTGCTCAGAGGGCCTTTGGCGAGCTCGAACGTCGTCCGGCCTTGCTCGGCGAGAGCGCCTCGCAGGCCGAGCGGGTTGCGCGCCGCCGCCCAGTAGATGCTGTCGTCGACGGCGCGCCGCTCTGCGGCATCGAGCGCGTCGAGCTTGGCGAGCGAGTAGTCCTCGTCGCCGCGACGCTTTTTGTGCGGCTTGACGTCGTCGTCGTCGTCGCTGCCAGTCGCCGTCGACGAGCCATCATCGCTCGAGGCCGAGTCGTCGCTGCTCTGCCGCCGATGCTTCTTGACGGCGCCCTTCTTGTTCGACGACCAGATGAAGTAGCCGACGGCCCCGACGACGAGGAGGATGACGAGGCCCATGATGGCCCACGCGGCGGTCTTGGGCATGCCGAGAATGGTGTCGTCGTCGGTCGAGGTCGAGTCGCTCGAAGAGGAGGACGAGGTTGAGCCCGATGACGAGCCCGACGAGCCCGACGAGCCCGCGCCGCTGTCGCCGCTCGTGCCCGTGGCGCCTGCCGCTGCGGACGACGACGACTTGGACGAGGTGCTGGTCGTCGCCTTGGTCGTGTCGCCGCTCGAGCCTGCGCCGCCACCAGATCCTGCCGAGCTGCGGTACAACGCGCCACGTCAGTTTCACGTCGTGCCTCGTGACGTTGTGGAAGACGAGAGAGAGTGAGAGCGTACCTCGATCCGCCCCCTCCTCCTCCTGAAGCTGAGGCAGCGGCGGCGCCGCCACCACCGCCGCTCGAGGATGCCGCGCTGTCCGACCCACCTCCGCCGCCGCCGCCGCCGCTCTCGCCCGTGACCTTGACGTACTCGGCAAGCTCGAAATCGCCGCCCTGGGTGATGGTCGTGCCGTTCGGGAGAGTCCTGCGAGCGAGAGAGAGTCAGTCGCAGTTTGAGAAGGTCCCGCCGGCGGGTCCTTTTTCCCGTCGCGACGATCAGAGAGGGAGAGGACGTACGCGGTCGTCTCGAACAGGCTTGAGTCGGGGCAGAAGGTGATGATCCAGTCGACCTGCTTGCTGCACGTGAAGAGGGCGGTCCCGCTGCAGAGAACGGCTCGCTCCGAGTCAGTGCACGAACAAGAGGACGACCAAGGGAGACCCAGACGCACGACGCCTCGTCGTAGGCGTAAGCGTAGGCGATCGGGCACCTGCATAAGGGAAGGAGGAAGGGTGAGCTCGACCTGAAAGATGGGCTCGAGCGAGAGGAGGACGCACGCTTTTTTCCACCAGTCGTAGTACTTGACGCCGCTCGTAGGGCACGTCTCGGGCGTGGCGTGAGCGCCTTTGCAGCAGTACTCTGTGGCAGGGAAGAGATAGGTCGTCAAGAACGGCCTCGAGCGATCTTGCCGGCGAGGAACGTGCCCTCGTTGTCCTCCCACGCGCCACAGGCGGTGAGGCAGCCGACGACGTCGCCCGCCGCATTCTTGCGCTGCAGGTCGTCGGGACACGCTTTGCGGAGGTCGTACGGGCTGCGGGAGAGGGGGAAATCAGGTGCGTGCCCGGGTTCGAGCTGAAAAGTGGACGCACCAGTTGCTCAACGGGCAGTCGGCCGAGTTGGTTATCGCGAGTGCAATGTTGTTCCCGTCGACGTTGCTTGTGTCGTCTGTGGCCCAGGAGAGCTCGGCAGGGTCAAAATCGACGCTACGGGGCGTGCAGAAGGGAGCAAGCGCTCGAGAACCGACACAGCGAGAGCGACGCGACGCACAGTGGTCCACCTCGGTCTGGATGTTGAACTCGGCGAGCGTGACAGGAAGACGACCCGTCCCTGCAGCAGAGAGGCGAGAGAGTCAGGACGGCGGCGAGAGAAGGCGGGTTGAGAGGGAGAGGGTCGGTGCGCACCGGTCGTCGCGTTGCACTGCAGGCCGCCGATACAGCCGCCGGTCTCGCACTGGTCGTAGTCGGGCTTTGACGTGTCGGAGAAGTCGCAACCGGTCCTGCGGGCGAGATCAGGCGGGTGAGAAGGACGATCCGACGGGGCTCGACGCAGGCTCTTTTGCCAGCCGGGCTCACCTCGGCCAGACTCGTCCGCCCCCTGTGCGTCGAAGAATCGTCGAAGAACGAGTCAGTAGCTGCGCGAGGTACAACTAAGGGAATTTGGGGGAGAGGACGCACAGCTTTCCTCGACCTCGAACGTCAACGACGTGCCCGATTTGGCCTCCCAGCCCGTCTCCTGCGACGGCAGCGGTCCGACGCTCGTGAAGATTCCAGGCCAGACGGTGAAAGTGCCTGCGCGCGAGAAGATAGGTGAGCGCTCGCAGTCGACCAGCGGGAGAAGAATTCGAGGGAAACCGGCGGACGCACACTGATTCGTGACCGTGATCTTGCGGTTCTTCTTGGCTCCCGCGTTGACAAGGACCAGGAACGACCCGAGTGCGATGATTTGGCGGAAGCTCGTCATGCTCGACGGCGAGAGGTCGGTTTTGAGGAGACGAGAACGGCGCGGCAGACGGCGCAGCTCGTGTGTGCAGCAGGGTGCGACGAGGCTCGGGCGTGCGAGAGCTGCTGGCGTCGTGAGCGCAGCGGTGCGCGGCAGCGAGAGACGAGGCGGGAGAGTCGAAACGGCGTGGCCAGCGAGCGGGCGCCGACGCCGAGGCGGACAAGAGGCAGCGGACGAGCCGCGGACCGGCCTGCGCACGCGCCCGCTGTCGCTCGAGCCCCTGTCCGTTCAGCCGAGTCGAGCTGGCCGACTGGCCGAACGGCGCGTCGAAATCTCGACACGGGGGGGCGGAGGAGCGCGCTCGAGCCTCTCCCGCGGGACAGCCGACAGGTCGCGTTTGACGACGGCGCAGAGAGGAAGAGTGTCTGTACTTGCAGCAGGCCGCTCTACAGCCTCACACAGAGCCATGCCCGCACGCCTCCTTGCTGTCCTCGCCGTCGCCAGCTCAGTTGCTCGACCCGACCGCCCTCGTCGCGTGGCCGTGACCGCGCGAGCTTGTGCGGCGCTGCTTCTTGTGGGCCGCAAAGGTCGGGAAGAGGTCGAAGCCGGTGCCCTGCGTGATCGTCGTGCCGTTCGGGAGGAGCCTGTGCGACGAGACGAGCATCGAGTCAGTTGAGAAGGTCCCGGCGACGAGGTCTGCGGGCGAGGACGCACGCAGTCGACTTGAGGCTCTTGTCCGGGCAGAAGGTGACGGTGTAGTCGGAGCGCTCGGAGCAGGTGAAGAGAGCCTGCAGGAGGAGGTGTCAGGTCGGCGAGACGAGGAGGAAGACGGTCGATTCGACGCACGGTCCCGCTGCGAGAGGGGCAAAGGTGCGTCAGGGCCGGCTCGACGAGGTGCGAAGGCGAACAGGACGTACGAGGACTCGTCGTAGGCATAGGCGTAGGCGATAGGGCAGCTGTAGAAGGTGAGGGAGCGGCGCAAGGTGGGCCTCGAGCGCAGAGAAGAAGAGAACGACTGGACGCACGCTCGCTTCCAGAAGTCGTAGAACTTGACGCCACTCGAGGGGCACGTCTCGGGCGTCGAGTGTGCGCCAGAGCAGCAGTACTGCGGGAGAGAGAGAGCGTGAGCCAACGACGAGATCTCCCTCGAGTCGAGAGAGAGAGGGTGGGACGCACCTCCTCCTTGTTGTACTTGCCGCAGGACGTAAGGCACCCGACGACCTTGCCCTTGTCGTTCTTCTTCTGTAGCTCGTGAGGGCATGCCTTCAGCAGGTTGTACGGGCTGCGGCAGGGCGTCGAAGAGGTCAGGGTCCGCTCGGCGCTCGAGGAGGCACAGACACACGGGCGCACCAGTTGCTGAGCGGGCATTTCTTCGACGATGACGTAATGGCGATGGAAATGCTGGCACCATCGACATTGGACGTGTCGTCTGCGTAGCGAGCAAAAAGTCAGAAGAGGTCGCCTTCTCAAGAAGGCCACGAGCGAGGACGGCCACGACGCACAGTTGTCGACTGTTGCCTGGAGGTTCAACTCGCTCAGGGTGACAGGAGGAACGCCAGTACCTGCAAAGAGAGTTTGTCAGGACAACGTTAAGGAGAGAGAGGACGAGAGAGGGTGACAGAGAGGACCGACGCACCTGCGTGAGGGTCGCACTGCAGCCCGCCGACGCACCCACCCGTCTCGCACTGCGCGTAGTCGGGCTTGGTCTTGTCGGAGAAGTCGCACCCAGTGCTGCGACGCGAGGGCAGGTGAGCGTCGTCGTCGCGAAGAAGGAACAGGTCGAGGAGGACCGAGCGGCGAGTGCGGCTCACCGAGCCCAGATACGGCCGCCCCCTGTGGTCGACAGGATACGTGAGTGTCGTCGACTGGGCGAGAGAAGGTGGGAGAGGGAGAGCGAGGACGTACAGCCTTCCTCGACCGGGAAAGAGACGCGCGATCCGGGCGCAGCTTTCCAGCCCGTCGCGTGCGTCGGGCGCGGTCCCACGCTTGTGAAGAGCGCCGGCCAGATGGGAAAGGTACCTGGGCGAGGGAGGAAGTCAGTATCGTCGATCGTCGAGAGAGGCGAGAAGGGAGAAGGGCCCACACTGATTGACGACCTGAATCTGCCTCTGCCGCATCGAGCTGGCGTTGGCGACGCCCGTCGTCGCGAGGAGAGCGAAGCAGGCAGCGACGAGGACGTGCGAGAACGAGGACATGGCGAAGCGAGATGGCGAGACGAGGTGCGAGAGCTGGAAGAGGCGGACGAAGAGAGAAGGCGAGAGCGCCGAGCGCCCGAAGCAGAGGGAGCTGCACACTGCAGAGCGGGCATGCGGCCGACGCGCGAACGAAAGAAGCTCCAACGAGCGACGGCCGCGCTCGAGCCCGCTGTCTGCCTCCTCTCATCGCCCTCGAGCCCTCGCCCGTTGAACCGGCTCGCGTCGTCGATGCACGCCGCCCGACACCGCTCTACTCGTCCACCTCCATGTTGTCCCCTGCCTCGGACACGCCGCTCTTGCGCCCTTTGCGCTTCTTCTCCTTCTTGTCCTTCTTGGCCGGTGAGCTCGCGGGAGCGGCGGCGCCCTCGGCCTCGACGACCATCTTGACCGCCTCGGGGACCGGCGCGCTCTTGCGACGCTCCTTCTTGGCCTTGTGCTTGGCGCTGCGGCGCTCGTCGTCGACGACGCCCTCCTCGCCGACCTCGACATCGCCCGCGCCGCCGACCCGAGTCGTCGCCCATTCGGCGAGGTCGTCGCCTGTTGCCGAGGCGGGCAGGGTCGCGAGCGGGTCGAGAGTAGCCGAGGCGTCGTGTGCCCAGATGGAGCGGGCGGAAGGAGGAAGGGCGGACGAGGTGTGGAGGGACGAGAGGGTCGTGAGGGAGGTGAGGAGGAGTTGGAGGCGGGAGGGGGTCAAGCCGGGCTCCTGCACGATCAAGGGCGAGTCAGTATGGCACGAGGACGAACAGGAGAGTAGAAAGGAGAGACGCACAGCTGCGAGACCACCCAAGTCGCCCTCGAACTCGCTAACGAGCCTCGCGCGCCACCACTCGCCGAACCGGTCCTCGCGCTTCTTGCCGTCCTCCTCCTTGGCCTGCCCGTCTGCGACCGCCTCGTCGCCCTCGACGAGTCCCTCGAGTACCCTGCCCGAACCCGCCTCGGCGCCGTCCTCCTCGCCCGCCGCCGTCGTCGTCGCCGCCGCCTTGGGCACGCGCTTGTCGAGCAGTGGGAAGAGCGACGTCCCGAGCGGCACGAACGCGCTCGGGTCTGCGCGCGCGAGCATCGACGGGCTTGGGCTGCGCTCCGGGTACGGGCGACGCGCCTGCGCTGCCGCCGCGTGCGGAGCCGAGCCGGGAGCTGCTGCGCCTCCTGCACCCTTGGCGGCCGCCTCCTGGCCCTCTGCTGCGCGCCGCCGGCCCCTGCCGCGCCGCCCACGCCCGCCGAGGTCGCCGCCGCCGTCGCTCAGGAAGCTCAGGTCGCTGCCGGACGACGAGTCCGAGTCGGCGCCGGCGTCGTCGTCGTCGCTGCTGCTGCTGCTCGAGCTCGCGGCGGCAGCCTTGGCCGGCGCGGTGGTGGCAGCAGTCGCCGAGGTCGTAGTCGGCGTGTCGGCGTCGCTGTCCGAGTCGTCAGACGCCGAGGACGAGCCGGCGTCGGACGACGAAGATGAGAGGTCGAGGTCGTCGTCCGAGTCGGCGTTGGCGCGGCGGCGGCGCTGGCGCTTGCGCTTGGGACGCCCTGCGGCGTTGGTCGTGCCTGCTGGGGCCATCGTGGGAGGCTCGCGCGAGGGTGAAGTGGGGGAACGAGGACGAGGTCCGGTGCGAGCTCAAACGAGGCGGGGGAGCCTGGCTCACCCGGATCTCCGCGGCCGCCGAGTCGCCCTCTCTCGAAAGAGACGGCCAGGAGATAGAGAGAGCTCGACTGTGTACTGCAACGAGCGCGACACGACGCTACCAAAGACGAGCGCGCTAGAGCGACTTGAGCTTCTTCTCCTCCTGCTTGCCCGCGTCCCTCAACGACTGCCACACCGGGAACCCGCCGAGCAGCGTCAGGAAGCGCTGCACACGCCGACGACATCGAGAGAGAGTCAGTACCGGGACCGAGGAAGAGGCAAAGGGAGGAGAGAGAGAGACGAGGAAACGTCGGCCGGGAAGGGAGGAAAGAGACGAGGAAAGGTCGGGACGCACCCACGCGAGCCGCAAGAGCGGGCTCTCGACGTTGTACCGCTTGATCTGCGGCTCGAGGCACGCCGGGACCTCGATAGCGTGCACGACAAAGAACAGGCCGAGCCAGAACGCCTTGATGGCGCGGCCGGCGTTGGCGGGCGAGTTTGGGTCGAGGCCGGCGAGGCGGACGACGGGCGCGAACGCGCTCACTTGCCACGGGACCCAGGCCGCGAGGCGCTCGGGGCGCACGGTGATCAGGAAGTAGTACAGGGCGACGATGCCGGCCGTGCCGACGATGGCCGGGACCGAGAGCGGCAGGCCCGAGACGACGGCGTCGCTCTGCAGATGGGAGCAGAGGGGCAGTGGGTCAGTCTTTGCCGCTTTGAGGCTGCCGACCCGCCAAAGAGGTCGACAGGGACGGAGAGAGGAAACGAGGATGAGAGGGGACCGCGAGAAGGAGAACGAGGGACGCACAATGCCGAGCTGGACCTTGGCCTGGGCGTGCATCTCCTCGAGCCGCTTCCTCGCCTCTCCTGCGTGCATCGGCGGCGAGAACTCGTAGGTGAACTCGTCGCGGGCGAATGCCGGGCCGTAGGCGATCTTCATCGACGGGGAGGTGAACGAGACGATCTCGGGCTTGGAGTAGGCGAGCGACGGCGAGATGTTGCCATAGTACTCGAGGTAGTGCCTGGCGGGAGGGACGGGAGGGAGTAAGCGGCGCGGCGAGGAGGTCGGCAAGGTGTTCGAGGGGGAGAGGAGGCGCGGGCGCACCCGAGCGACTTTTCGTGGTCCTTGTTCATGTGGCTGCAGGGACGTGGCGAGTCAGCTGGAGCCCATGGTCGAGGACAAGCGCAGGCCTGCTCACCTGATGATGCGCTGAGCTGCGAGCGAGAGGCGAGCGGGGAGGTGGGGGCAAGCGAGAGTCAGTGCGGTGAGGGAGAGACGAGGAGAGGGAGGGGGGATGTGCACCTTCTGCGTCGGTGACCTGTGCCATGGCTGGTGAGTTCCCGCGTGCCAGTCGACGTAGAGGGTGAGGAGCGAGAGCGAGAGCTCGATGCGAACGAACGGCGACTTCGGGCTGCGGCCACTCGCTCTCCATCTCGCCTGTCAGCTCGTCTGGCTCGCTCCGCACGCGCACAATCAACTCTTCACTACACACACTCGCGCCACCAGCCGACCCGCACCCCGCACCACGCGCCGTCGCCATGTTCCCTCATCGCATTCACCTCGTCTCATCGCCGCCGACGTCGCCCAGCCCGACTAGGACGACGACAGCGTGCCAGTGCACCGCAGCCACCTCGCACCCGTCTGTCGCGCGTCCCACCGCCTGTACCGCCTCGCCCTCCCCTCGCCGAGCACCTCTGCTTCCTCTGCGCGCGACACCTCATGAGCGTGCGGCGACAGCGCGACCAGGCCGACCGGTGCCCGCACCAAGGTCGTCGAGCTTCACATTGCGGGCGAGTGGGGACAGGAGCCGGACGAACTCATCACGGGCGTCGACACGCTGCGCCCGTTCCTCCCCCAACCTCGAGGAGCTGCACATCGAGGGCCGCACCCAGACGTTCTACCTCGACCTCCTCCTCTGGTACACCGGTGCGTCGCCTCGTTTCCTCCGTATCTGCTCGCCCGTCGAGCCGTTCCCGGCGAGCGCACGAGTGCAGGAGCCACGCGCGCGAGGTCTAGACGACCTGCATCAAGAACTTGTCGGTCTATGTTCTCTCTTTGTGAGTGCCTCGTGACCGAGAGCGCGAGAAAGTTCGAGTCTAGCCGTCGTCGACGAGAGAAAAGGACGGCCCGAGCGCTCGTCACGTCGAAGCTGTCGAGCGTCGACGGCCCGTCTCTCGCGCTCGCCCCGTGCTTCGAGCCCTCTCTCGGTCGTCTCGTCGAACAGAGAGTGCGAGAGACGTGAGCACAACAGAAAGAGTCCCCATTCCAGACCGCATCGCCGGCCCTCCCTCGCTCGTCCCTCCTCCTCGAGCATGGTATCTACCTCGTCGCGCCGCGCACCTCGTCCCGCGCACACGCCCAACCGCAAGAAAGAGAAAGAGAAAGACGGATCGAGCCGCCGAGAAAGCAGAGCGCGCCGGCTCAGGCCTTGAGCTTGGTGACGGCGTCCTGCGCCGCCTGCTTGGCCTGGTCGGCCTCGTACTCGAGCTTGATCTTGGCCTGCTCGGCGGGCGACTTGCGCTGCCAGCTTCAGGTCGGGTGCGGCGTGTTCGAGGATAGGAGGGAAGAGAGGGAGAGTACGGGCGAGGGCGGAAGGTAGCGAGGAAGAAGGGGTCGGACGAAGAGAGAGAAGGGCGAGGCGGCAAGGAGGAGTAGGGCAAAATGGCTCCGTCAGCGGCTGCTCCGTACGACGGAGTCTCGCTCCTTCAGGCTCGCACGAGCGCGAGGAGCCAGACACGTCAAGAGAGAGGGGCCGCCGACTCACTCCCAGGCCCGGTACAGCGACGTGATGCCCGTGCCGGCGACGAAGCAGTTGACGGCCGCGAGCGAGTAGTTGACGGGCGTGATGACGAACGAGTAGCGGACCCAGATGAGGCCGGTCGCGGTGAGGGCGAGGTTCTGCGGGACCGAGATGACCTCGGCGGGGCGGCCGAGGTCCTTGAGGCCGGCGGCGACGAGGCCCCTGTTGCGCACGGAGAGTCAGTGGTGGACAGGGAGAGGATAAAGAGGAACGAGGGGGACGCACCACTTGAACATGGGCGCCCAGAAGAAGACGGTCCTGCGAGAGGGTTGGAAGAGGAGGACGAGGGGAAGGGGAAAGACGAAGCGGGTCAGCGACCCGTGCGCAGGCCGCCGAGAGGGTACTGGACGGTCGAGAGACGCACTTTGGCCCTGCAGGAGGCGAGCGTCAGGGTGTGTGCGGGTGCCGAGGCGCGAGTCGAGCGATGGGGAACGACGAGGAGGACGAGAGGACGCACCGGCTGGGGAGTTCCACAGGGACTGGATGCGGGTGCTCAGGGTCTGCTGTGCTGCTGCGGGAGCGGCCATGGTCGTCGAACGAGCTTGGTGAGGAGCGTGAGCTGCCCTTGGGAGGTCGTCGACGTCGAGGGAGATGAGGATTGCCTCTCGCTCGGAGCGGCGCTGCTCTCCAGCTAGATGCTCCAGTGAAGCTCTCTAAGAGGCTTTTTTGACCATGCCGCACTGACCAGCTGCGGTCGAGACGAGAGGGAGACTCGCTTGAGAAGCGACCGTCGACGGGTGACTTGGACGGCTCGTTTGAGTAGAGCCCGGGGCGTGTGACCTTGTCCTACTGCTGCTTTGCAGGCAGGCAGTCACACTCAGAGCGAAACGGGCGAGGCTGCGGCGTGCGCCGTCATCGCCAAGTTGACCCGCCTCTCCGCTTGCCCTCCTCTCCACCACCACCACACCGCGAGCAGCCACGATGAGCGCACCAGAGCCATCGCCCGCGTTCACCATCGACTACCAGCCCCCTGGCTTCTACCCGCCCACCCCGGCCAGCGAGGACCTCCCCACCTCGCCCTCGTTCGCCGATCCCAACGACAGCCAGGACCAGGACGCCCTCCTCGCCCGCGCCGCTCTCGAGCCCGTCACGACCCTCCCCTCGACCCTCGACACGGTCGAGCACGCCATCGCCGGCGCCGCCAGTGGCCTCCTCGCCAAGGTCGGCGAGCTCGCAGGCGTGCCTGCCCCCGAGGTCGACGGCCTCGACGACCTCACCCGCAACCTCGAGCCGCACCACGACGACGACACGGCCGCAACCGGCAGCCCGGCGAGCGCCAAGACGCTCACTCTCGCCGGCGACGACTCGGCCCCGGTCGACGAGACGCACCGCCCCGAGTTCGGCCTCGACGCCGTCCGCAAGGAGCAGGACGACCTCGCCGCCTCGCCCGCTCAGCAGCTCGTCGCCGACGCCCAAGATGACGACGCCGACGGCAAGCACACCGGCGCAAAGCTCGCGGCCGGCGGCGCAGGTGCCCTCGGCGGCGCCGCCCTCCTCGCAGGTGCTGCAGGCGCCAAGAACGAGGGCAACGAGGTGCGCGAGCCGACCGTCGAGGACGATGCCGCCGAGCGCAACGGTCTTGTCGAGGTGCGTCTCCCTCCCCTCCCTTCACGGTGCCGAGCGGCCCTGACCTCGCCTCCCTCCCCACCCGTCCTCTCGCAGCCGACCCACGCCCAGTCGACGCCCACCTCGGCCGCGCCCGACTACGGCACGCCCGCCATCGAGAAGGAGCAAGCCGCACTCGCCGCCTCGCCGGCGCAGCAGCTCCTCCGCGCCGACACGGCCTCGTCGTCCACCGCCATCCACCGCGACGAGGCGGCCCTCCTCGCCGGCGCCGCCGGCGCCAAGCTCGGCGCCACGCACGAGGTCGAGGAGCCCGCCAAGGCGCCTGTCGACGTCGCGACCGACAAGGCCGTCGAGGCCGGCGCGGGCGTCCCGCAGAGCCCACACAGCGAGGCGCTCGAGCGCGAGGTGCGTCCTCATCTTCCCTCGCCTGTTTTTTTCCCACCCCTGACCTAGTGGCTCTATCTCTTCCTGCCGCTTGCGGACCCACAGATCTCGGAGCCCGTCGCTCCGCTCTCGTCCTCCACCGCCGCCGCCGACTCGACCTCGCGCCCGTCGCTCCCGACCCCGCATGGCTCGACCACGTCCTTCTCGGCCGACGTTCTCGCCGCCGGCGACGGCATCCACACGCCGACCGAGGCGCCGGGTCCCGCAGCTGGCGGCTTCGGCATGCGCGGCGACGGCGACATCGTCGCGACCGACCACGAGCTTGACGAGGGTTCGGCGCGCGGGATCGAGGGAGGCGACGTCGTGCACAACCCGGCTCCGGCGGTGCGTCTGGTACTCTTCCCTGTGTCCCTCGCCGGGCGACGGCCCTGACCTTGCCGTTCGACGCCCACAGCTTCCTGCCCTTGCGGTCGTCGGCTCGGCTGCCGCCCTCACGCAAGATGTGGTGCGTCTCGCGCTCCTTCTGCCCTCTCTGCCCTCGTTCCAGGGTACATGGGCTCACGTTGTCTTGAGCCCGTACAGCCCAAGGACTTCCAGCCGTACACGCCGCCCGTCGCCGAGCCGACCCAGGCCAGCGTCGAGCTCCAGCAGGCGGTGCGTCCTCTCTCGCCCCACACCTGCGCACGACACACTCCTCGTATGCCCTGAATCGCGGCCGTGGACAGTCCTGACTTTCATCTCTTCCGCAGGCCGCGGTCCCTGTCCCCGTGACGCCCGCCGCCGAGCTTCCTCCGACCGCCGACCTCGCCCGTGTCGACTCGCGCTCGACGTCCCACACCGTCATGCCGAGCACCGCCACGGGTGCCCTCGACCCGTCGGCGACGAGCGTCCCCGAGACGCTCAACGCGCAGAACCTCGACACGACGACGCCGGCCGTCCCCTCGCCGGCGCCGGCACCTGCGTCGCCCGGGAGCGAGCAGATCGAGATGGACGAGGCGCTCGACGAGGGTCCCGTCATGGAGAAGCGGGACAAGGGCAAGGGCAAGGAGGTGCTCGGTGCGGCGGCGCTCGGAACGGCGGGCGTTGGGGCGGGCGTCGGCATGAAGGAGCTTCTCGACGGCGACAAGGTGCGTCGAGCTTTCTCTCTTCCTTCTCGCCCATACTCGGCCGCGGCCGAACGCGCGCAGGCGTGATGAATCCGACCTGACGATCTCGCTCTCGCGCCGCAGCAGACCAACGCCACCACCGCCCACCCCGACTCGCTCGACGACCAGCGCGCGTTCCCCACCACCCCGCACATGCTCGACTCGACCTCGCCCATCGTCGCCGCCGACGGCGCGGCACCTCGCGCCCTTGACCCGGCGACGGCGGGCCACGGGCAGTCCGGCTCGGCCGCCGTCGCGGGCCCGACCGTCGCAGCCGGCGCGCAGGGCATGACACCCGCCATGGCCGAGCTCGCGCACCTGAGCGAGCCGGCGTCCGGCGCGCACGCGCCGCTCACGACCGAGCAGCCGCTCGTCGAGCAGCCCATCTCGGCCGCCGAGTACGAGGACCAGAAGGAGGCGCACCGCGAGGGCGACGGTCACGGCGTCCCGCTCGCCGCGGCCGGCGCAGGCCTCGCCGGCATCGGCGCCGGCGCGGCGGGCGCCAACCTCCTCGCTCGCCGCAACGAGCCGCACGCGCCCATCGCGGTCGGCGCGCCGTCGGCGCTCTCGCCCGTCGCCGCCGCTCCTGTCGCTGCAACGCCTGTCCAGCCCGAGACGGTCGAGCCCGTCGCCGCGGTCCAGCCTGTCGCCGCCGCCGCCGAGCCCGTCGTGCACGAACCCGTCGTCGAGCACCCTCGCGCGGTCGAGCAGCAGCCGTCCGCCGCGCCGGTCGCTCTCGCCGCAACGCCTGCCGTCCTCGCTGCAGGTGCAGCTGCGCCTGCCGCAGCCACCATCGCCGCCGTCGACGCCAACGAGCCGCAGCAGCAGCAGCAGCAGCAGCACCCGCCGCTCGACAACAAGCGCACGCCCGTGTCGCGCTTCACCGAGGAGACGTTCACGCCCTCTGCAACCGGTGCCGAGACGCCGTCGTCAACGCGCGCCGTCATGGGCTCGCCGCCGACGTCGGCCGCCGCGACGCCGCTCCAGTCGACCACGCCGACCCAGTCGCTGTTCGAGGCCGGCATCCTCGAGAAGAGCCCGCACATGAAGATTCAGACGCACAAGGTCGACGGCCACAAGCGCCTGCACCGCAAGAGCCTGTCGGGCGTCGTGTCGCCCGTCGGCAGCATCTCGCGCCGCACCGGCTCGGGCGAGTCGCCGCGTGGCTCGCCGCGCCAGTCGGTCGAGACCGAGCGCGCCTTGCCGCAGCAGCAGCAGCAGCTCGGCGCAGCAAACGCCGCCGTGCCGGGCACCGTCGCGGTCGCCGGCGCGACGCCCATGCTCGTTGGCGGCGGTCCGCAGGCGGGGCAGGTGCGCAGGGCGCCGAGCGCGGTCAACCAGGAGGGCAGGCGCGACCGCATGGTCAACAACATGGTCGGCGTCCAGGGTGCGTCCCACTTCCTTTGTTCGAGCCTCTCTCGTCGTCGTCGTCGTCGCCGTCGCCGTTCCTGTACTGACCTCGTCGCCCTCCCTCTTCCCTCTCTCGCTCTCGCCAACAGACCCGACCATCGGCGGCTACGATGCGCCCAACTCGGCCCGTTCGGCACCCGTCTCGCCGACCATGAACGTCGCCCAGGTCTCGCCCAACGCCGGCGGCGCGCAGACGTACGCGGGCCTCCCGCCGACGGGCTCGGCCGCGGCCGTCTATGCCCCGGGCACGGGCGCCGGCGCTCCTCCTCGTGCGGCTCAGCAGCAGCAGCAGTACTACGCGCCGCCGCCGTCGCAGCAGCAGCCGCAGTTTGCGCGCCCGCCGCCGCCCCAGCAGCAGCAGCAGGTCATCCCTCCCCAGCACCAGCACGCCGTCGCGCAGCACCCGGTCGCCCACCAGCAGCAGCCGCACCACGCGCAGCAGATCCCGACGCACAGCGCGACGACGACGACGGTCGACTCGCACGGGCGCGAGCACCGCAAGCTGCAGAAGAAGCACGCGCCGGCGGGCGCCGTCGGCGGCGTCAACGGCGGCGCGGTCGCTCCCGGCTCGACGGCGTCGTCCGAGGAGAAGAAGAGCGGGTTCCTGTCGCGTGTGTTTGGCGGCGGGAGCAAGTGAGCGAGTGGGAGGGACGACGAGGAGGTCGGAGCGCGAGCGAGCGAGCGAGCGAGTGTAGCCTTTTCCCTTCTTCGTCTCCGTTGTCGATAGTTTCCCCCGCCGTCTTTTATGCTATCGTAATGCGCCTCGCCGCGTCCTGAGCGTGCTCGCAGTGGGAGAAAGCGAGAGCGCCAAGTCAAAGTGGGGAGAAAAGCGAGGCGGGGAGCTCGACTCGCCCTCTGCTCTCCACACCGCATCAAGCAACTCGGCATGTCGTCCATCGACTCGTACCAGACTCCGTGAGCACCCTCGAGCCACTCTCGCGCCCGCCGAGCGTCGCCGTCCTTCGTTCTGACTTTCTCCTCCTCCTCATCTCCCTCTGCCACCTCTCCTCGCTCCCGCCCTCTGCCGACCTGTCCGACATGCGCGATACCGTGGGACAATAGTCTTTCATCGCGCTATGCCTCGAAGGAGATGAGCAAGCTCTTCTCGTCGTCGGTGCGTCATCCCCCCTCCTCCCGTCCCTCGTTCCGACCGCGCCTTCTCTCCCAGCCCTCGAGACGGCTCACTGACCATGCCCTTCCTCGCGACAGACCCGCTTCGGCACCTGGCGCAAGCTGTGGCTCAGCCTCGCCACCGCTGAGAAGCAGCTCGGCCTCAACATCTCGGACGAGGCGCTCGAGCAGATGAAGGCCAACCTTGTGCGCTTCCCTCTCTCTCTTTCTGTCAGCGTACCCACCTTCTGTGGAACTGGCAAGCTAACTTGCCCTCTTTGCGCCCGTGCAGGACCTCGACGACGAGCAGATGGCCGAGGCGGCGGTCGAGGAGAAGAAGCGCCGTCACGATGTCATGGCCCACGTCCACGTCTTTGGCCTCAAGGCGCCCGCCGCGGCGGGCATCATTCACCTCGGCGCCACGTCGTGCTACGTGACCGACAATGCCGACCTCATCTTCCTCCGCGACGCGTGCGACATCATTCTTCCCAAGCTCGCCGTCGTCATCGAGCGCCTCGCTTCGTTCGCCGAGCAGCACAAGGACCTCCCGACCCTCGGCTGGACCCACTTCCAGCCGGCGCAGCTCACGACCGTCGGCAAGCGTGCGACCCTCTGGATCCAGGTGCGTCCCCCTCTCTCGAAATCTCGGTCGTTCGGGTACTGACTCGGCGCTTCCTTCCTCTCGCCTGCAGGAGCTCCTGTGGGACCTGCGCAACATCCAGCGTGCGCGTGACGACATCGGCTTCCGCGGCGTCAAGGGCACGACGGGCACGCAGGCGTCCTTCCTCGCGCTCTTCGAGGGCGACCACGACAAGGTGCGCCGCCAACGGCCCAGCTCGCTCGAGCCCTTCGTCGAACACATCACTGACTCTTCTTGAACGTGCGTCTGCAGGTCGAGGAGCTGGACCGTCTCGTCACCGACCTGTCGGGCTTCAAGCACGCCTACCCGGTCACCGGCCAGACCTACTCGCGCAAGATCGACATCGACGTCCTCGGCCCGCTCGCGTCGCTCGGCGCCACCGCGCACAAGATTGCGACCGACATCCGCCTGCTCGCCAACCTCAAGGAGGTCGAGGAGCCATTCGAAAAGGACCAGATCGGCTCGTCCGCCATGGCCTACAAGCGCAACCCGATGCGCTCCGAGCGCATCTGCTCTCTCGCCCGCCACCTCATGGTCATCCAGCAGAACGCCCTCATGACGGCCTCGGTCCAGTGGTTCGAGCGCACCCTCGACGACTCGGCCAACCGCCGCATCACCATCCCCGAGGCGTTCCTCACGGCCGACATCATCCTCACGACGCTCCAGAACGTCACCGAGGGTCTCGTCGTGTACCCGGCCATCATCGCTCGCCGCGTCCGCCAGGAGCTCCCCTTCATGGCGACCGAGGTGCGCTTTCGGCTCTCCCTCTCTACCTGTCTTCCTCTCCCGCGAACACTTACTCACGCTCTCTCCCTCTCTCGCAGAACATCATCATGGCCATCGTCAAGAAGGGCGGCGACCGCCAGGTGTGCCACGAGAAGATCCGCGTCCTGTCGCACGAGGCCGGCGCCGTCGTCAAGCAGCAGGGCGGCGAGAACGACCTGATCGACCGCATCCGCGCCGACAAGTTCTTCGAGCCGATCTGGGCCGACCTCGACTCGCTCCTCGACCCGAGCACGTTCGTCGGTCGCGCGCCGGAGCAGACGGCCAAGTTCGTCAAGGACTTTGTCCGCCCGGCGATCGAGCCGTACCGGAGCCAGGTCGACGGCGCGCAGGCGGCCGAGCTCTCGGTCTGAATGTCGGTGTGAGTGACGCAGAGCTGGAGGAGGGCGAGTTCGAGAACGAGGAGCAGGTAGACGGAGCGTCTGTGTCTGTTTGAAAAGCTGTCGTTTCCTGTTCTCCTCTCGAGCGCAGATCCTGAACAAGAGCCTGGCGCACACGTTTCCTCGCGGTCGTGAGAGATGGCGATCGAGAAAGAGCGAGGTCTGACAGCGAGAAACTGCGCTCCTCCTGGACCTCGAGGTGAGCGCAGAACCGAGCGAGCGGTACCAGGAGCGGTCTGCAGATTTGAGCCCATCGTCGAGTACTCGTCTCGATAGGTCGACCGAGCGCTGAATTACCGAGAAAGAGTGAGGTCTGACAACGAGAAATCGAGTCCCTCCTCCTGGTCCTTTTCCTGAGCACGCTCTCTCTCTCTATCTCGTTTCCGCTCGACGCCGGACACGGGAAGATGTCTACAGATCCAAGTCTTATTGCATAGGGAGAGGAGAAGAGAGATGCGAGGGCGATACGAAGGAGGAGAACGAGGCAGAGCGTGACAGGTGATGAGAAGGGGTAGGTGCGTGCCTCACTCGGGCGAGGCTTTTGGGGCGTGCCACGGCCCGTCGGGCGGAATGTGGGAGTAGTGCAAGGTAGGGAGAAGAAAGAAAGGGTCGAAAGAAACGGTGGGGGAAGGCGCTAGTTGAGCGCGACGACGAGCTCACTCGGCCGCCTCGCGCACCGCCTCACCTGCCGCCTCGACCGCCGTCTTGGCGCCTGCGTGCCCCGGCACGTCGGCGCGCCTGCCACCTGCGGCACGAAGCCCGACGCCCGACGTGTTGGCGCGTGCGCCCGACGACGAGGATGAGGACGACCCGCCGAGGGGCCAGCCGAGGCGGACGCCGATAAAGTTGCGCGCGAACAGCTCGCCAAAGCCTGCGTACGGGATAGAAAGTCGTCAGGGCGGCGCTCAAGAAGATAGGGAGGGCGGGTCGGACGAGAGAATGGCGAGAGAAGACGAGAGAGAGCGGGACGCACCGAGCATGACGCCGTTGACGAACGGCAGCCGACATTGATGGCGACCGAGGCAAGGACGGCCCACATCTTGCGGGTCCACGGCGCCGTGTGCCACGCGCTCGCGATGGCGAGCGTGAGCGACGGGGCCGAGTCGGCCGACTTGTGCGGCGGCGCGCCCTCGTCGTCGTCGTCGCCGTCGTTGTCGGCAGTGCGGCGAGCGGGACGAGAGGGAGAGGGCGAGCGCGAGCGCGAGGGAGAGCGCGAGGAGGAGCGTTGGGCGGCCGGCGCAGCGGCGGGAGGGGAAGAAACGGCCGGCGTCGAGGTCGACGCGAACGACGAGAAGGCCGGCTCGGCGGCGGTCGACGTCGACGCGACGGGCGCCTCGGTCGCCGAGGACGGCTCGCCCGAGAAGGCCTGGCCGAGGAACGAGCCCAACGGCGTCTGCGTCCCGCTGGAGCGCGCCTGCGCGTCCTCGGCCGCCTTGACCTCGTCCTCGCTCGGGCCGGTGCCAGCGGCGCCCTCCTCCGCCCCGGGCACGCTCGTCGCGCCGACGCCTGCGCTCTGCTGCGCCGGGTCGGCGCCGCCGGCGACCTGCGCGCCCTCGGCGTCGGCGGCGGCGAAGCTCTTCTTCGTGAACTCGTCGCCCTGCGCGCCGGCCGAACCGACCGTCGACGCGACGTCGCGCTGCTCGGCCGCGCTTAGGAGCGACGAGCCGTCCGCGTGCTGCTCGTGCACGGGCGCCGACGCCGGCTCGTCGGCGTTCCACCAACCGCGCTTCTCCTCCTTCGTGTCCTCGGCGACAACGGGCGTCGACGACGTCTCCTGCTGCGGCTCGGCGCCCTCGACCTCGGGCACGACCTTGCCCTCAGCGTCGATGTCGACGTCGAGCACGTCGTCGAGCCTGGGCATGGCGGCGACGGCCTCGGCGCTCGTCGGGAAGTCGTTCGGGTCGACCTGCGACGGCGAGAGCGGGCCCGCAGCGGCGAGCGCCTCGGCACGACGCTCGTCGAGAGGCTCGAACGCGGTCCAGCCGGTCTCGAGCGGGGCGGCGAAGGACGACGAGAGGAAGGACGAGAGGGCGCTGGGCGTGGTAGGGGCTGGCGACGAGGGCGAGTCGACGACGGCGGGTGCGACGGGCGCCTCAGTCGAGGTCGCGGCCTCAACCGGCTCGATGTCGGCGGCGGGTGCGGGGGAGGAAGATGGGGAGGGCGACGGCGTGGGGGAGCGAGCGGCATCGACGGGCGCAGGCTGCTCGGCCTCGGCCTGGGACGCGACGTCGACGACGACGACCTCCTCCTCCTTCTGCGCGCTCGGCTTGTAGCCCTGGGCGCTCTGGTCGGCCGCCTCGTTGCCCGCCGCCTCCTCTGCTCCCTGCCGATCCGCCTCGGTGAAGCCCGGCTTGACGAACCCGTCGCCCTGCGCGCCGGCGCTCCCGACCGTCGACGCAATGTCGCGCAGCTCCTGCTCCGACAGGAGCGACGAGCCGTCCGGCTTCGAGTCGTCGACGCCGTCGGCGCCGTCCTGCGCGACGAGGCGCTCGGCGGCGCTGTCGACGAACGCCGAGTCGAGGAACGTCGAGAGCGGCGTGGGCGACCCGCCGTCCTTGACGAGGTCGCGCGCGATGCGGCCCTCGTCCGCCGACGACGAGCCGGCGGCGGCGGCGGGCGACCACGCCGGGAAGCGCAGGATGGGCTCGTAGTCGTGCGCCTGGGCCGACTCGATCGCGGGCTCGGCGAGCGCGGGCTCGTGCGCCTGCTCGCGCTCGGGCTCGACGTCCTCGGCGGCGCCGGCGCCGACGGCAGGGGCGGCCGCGAGCGGGTCGTAGCCCTCGCTCCACCAGCCCTGCTTGTCGCGCCACTCGAGGTTGGCGACGGGCGACGCGTCGACGGCGCCCGGAATGCGCAGCTCGTCGGCCGGGCGCACCTGGGGCTGCGTGCGCTCGGGGTCGGCGTCGCGGCCCTCGTGCTCGGGGAGCGAGAGCGGCGCGAACGCGCCCGACGCGTGGACGAACGCCTCGTCGAGGAAGGCGCCGAGCGGGCGGTCCTCGCGCGGCTGCTCGACCTCGAGGCTCGCGGCCTCGGCCCGGCGACGCGGCGCCTCGTCCTCGGCGATGCTCAGGCTCGTCGACTTGTCAGCGCCGGCGCTCTGCATGCCCGGCTCGGCGCCGGCCGACTCGACGGCGCCCTCGGCGTCGGTCGCCGAGAAGCCCTTCTTGCGGAAGTCGTCACCCTGGGCGCCGGCGCTGCCGACCGTCTGCTGGATCGCGCGCTGCTCGGCGGCCGTGAGGAGCTCGCGCTCGCCTGCGGACGCCGCACCCTCGTCGCCGGATGCCGGTGCCGACGACGACGACGACGACGCCGGGGGCGAGGACGAGTCGCGCTGCTCGTGCGCGTCGGGCTGGGGCTGCGGCGTGACGGGAGCGCCGAGCGAGGGCCCGCCGCCGGGCACAAAGTCGAACGAGGCGGCGAACGGCGACAGCTTGGACGAGGTCGGGGGCAGGACCTTGCGGAGCGTCTGGCGGCGCTTCTTGCCGACCGTGTGCATGGGCGGGTCGGTCGGGCCCGCAGTCGAGGTCGCAGGCGAGGTCGAGGTCGAGACGGGGGCCGGGATGCCCGACGACGACGCGGCGCGCGAGTGGACGGCCGGGGCGTGGACGCCGACTTTTTCGGGAACCCAGTTGGCGACGGGCTTGCCGTTGACGGCGGGCTTGTTGGGCCCCTGACCGTGGGCGTTGCTGCCGCGGTTGGCCTTTGCGCGAGGCTTGTTGGCCGACGACGACGAGGTGGCCGATGACGGAGTGCCGCGGGCGTAGGGCGAGTCGCGGCCGTTCTGCGAGGGCTGGAGGCGCTCCTTGGAGTTGTGGGACGAGAGCTTGGGCGGCTGGGGTGGCGGAGGCGGGAGCGAGGTGCCCTGGGGCGCGTTCGAGGGCGGGAGGAGGTGCTTGGACACCTTGGCGTACGAGATGCCCGGCTGGGTCGGTTGCGGGTGCGGGTGCGGGTGGTCGTCGTGGGCGGTGTCGGCCTGCGGGCCCTGCGAGTGGGCTGGGAGGGCGGGGAAGGCCGACGGGGTCGGAGGAACGTCGGCGGGAGGAGCAGGGCGAGTAGCAGGGTCGCGCGCAGGCAACGGGACGTGCGACGGTCGCGCAGAGGTGGCCATGGTGGCTGAGTCTGGTGCTCTGGAGCTGGCCTCGCTGAGTGTGGAGGAGGAGGACGAGGAGGAGAGATGGCGACGACGATTCTCGGCGACTCGATCTCTCTCCTCCTCCTCTCGCTCGTCGCTCTCGCACCCGTGCAGACATGGCTACCCTCGCAGCACTCGCAGCTGGCGTCGCAGGCACCACCCTCGCTCTCCGCTTCAGCCTCAGGAGCGCCGCACGCAACGGCGCCCGCCTCAACCCCTTCCTCCAGGCCATCGCAGGTCAGCCCGGCGCAGGCGGCAAGGACCAGTGGGTCAAGGGCGGCTTTGCCCCTCGCATGGACCGCAAGGAGGCCACCGAGATACTCGGCCTGCGGTGCGTCCCCTCCTCCTCTCTCTCCTCCTCCTCGGCCAAAGTGGCGCACCGGGACTGACCCACCGTACACCCGCCGCACACAGGGAATCTCACATGACGCTCAACCGCCTCAAGGACGCCCACCGCCGCATCATGCTCGCCAACCACCCGGACCGCGGCGGCTCCCCTTACCTCGCCTCGAAAGTCAACGAGGCAAAGGACCTCCTCGGTGCGTCCCTCGGCTCTCTCGCCCCTTGTCCGTCAGACAGTGTACTGACAGGCTCGTCGTCGCGGCCCGCAGAGAAGCAGATGTCCAAGTAGGACCCTCCTTCCACCCTCACCGCCGCAACAACTCGCATCCTCTTCTCCCTCCCCCTTTCCCTCTCTCGCCCGCATACCCCTACGTGTCTCTCTCCCTCTGCACCGAGCACGCTGTATCACCTCTCTCCTCTGAGCTCCCCCTCCCCTCTCGTCAAGGTTGTACCGAATCACAGATCTTTCTCTCCCTTTCCTCGTCGCACGATCCGAGAGTCCGCAAAGCTCGCGAGAAGAGAGATTGGCAGAGGCCTCGCGCTACAGCAGTTTCTTCGCCTTGGCCTTCTTCTTCTTGTCGCGCTGCCCGGCCTCGCCTGCCACGCTCGCGCTCACCTCGAGCTGCCGCAACCGCGCCCGGCGCCGCTCGCGCTCGAGGTCCTTCTCGGCCTGCGCCGCTGCGCGCTTTTTCGCCGCTGCGGACGCTGCGGCGCCCTCGTCGGCGTCGTGCGCGGGCGCCGGGGTCGGCGTTGGCGAAGGAGCGGCGCGCACGGGCGCGACCTCGTCATCGGTCGACGGCTCACCCTCGTCCGTCGTCCCGGCGCCTCTCCTCCCTCTCGGTCCTCCTCCCTCCTGCTCGTCATCTGTCCGAGGCTCGCCGTCGTGTGCGCTCGAGGGCGCCTGCGCCGCAGAAGGGAGCAGCATCGACTCGGCGAGCGACTCGGCGTCGCGCGCCGGCGCCTGCGACTGCGAGTCGTCCCAGGCGACGCGCTCGCCCGCCGATGCCGCCCCTCGGTGATTGAGCATGCGGTTGGCGAAGGATGGAGGAGGTGCGCGCTTGGCGGGCGAGGGTGTGGGCGAGGGCGAGGCGACGACGGGCGAGGGCGAGCGCCGGCGCTTGGTCGGCGAGGGACGTGGAGGAGCAGCGGCTTGCGAGGCCGACGTGCTGGTCGAGGGAGAGAAGAGGCGGGTCGACGAGCGTGTCGGGAGCGAGAGCGTGACGGGTTCTGCGACGAGAGGCAAGGGGGTCAGTGCGGCGCTCGACTCGACTCGACGGTGCCGACCTTGACGTGCGCTCGACTCACGCAGGTCCTTTTCCTTGGCGCCCAGTGACCGCTGCACCCACCTCCCGAGAAGCGCCGGCCCGCCAACGCCCATGAACCTCCTCGCAGCCCTTCCTTCCTGCATCCTCTCCGCGGTACCCGACCCGTCGATCGCCGTCTCGACGCGCCGCAGCAGGTCGGCGTCGTCGGTCGACGCGTCGCGCAGAAGGGCGAGCAGCGACGAGCACACGCCGAGGAGGGGCGCGACGAGGTGGGCGGCGAGGGCGGGCGAGGACTGGTGCTCGAGCGAGGTCGTGAGGAAGCGCACGGTGAAGCTGGACGGGACCGTGACGCTGACGATGTGCTGCAGGAGCGGAACGAGGTCAGTACGTGCGAGTGTCGAGAGGAGAGAGAGCGAGCGACGCACCTCGAACGCCTCGTGCGAGATGTCGACCGTCGCGCTCCCGTCCGCGACCGCCGCGACGAGCGCGTCGACCGACTCGCGCAGGAGGCGCTCGCCCTCGTCGCCGATGCCGACCATGATGCCCTGGCTCTGCGTCTGGCTCTGGATCTGGGCGTTGAGGGTCGCGAGTGCGTCCTCAAGCCGGCGGTTGAGCTGGCGCGCCGTGAGCGACTCGAAGTAAACGGCCTCGAGGTCGGTCGCCATGAGCGACAATTGCCCATCCTGTTTGTGGTCGCTTGTTAGGTGCTGTGTGCACGCCGAGAACGACACAGAGAGACGCAGAGCGCACCTTGAAGAGCACCTTGACGAGGAGGTTGTCGAACGAGGACCAATGTACAGGCAGCAGCTGTTGCCCGGCCTGTTGCGCGCGCCCAGAGAGTCTGTCAGCAGTCTGTGCAGGCCTGGCACACCCCTCGTGACAGGCAGAGAGTTCTCACCTCGCTCCAGTCCGACATCGCTGATGAAGGTTGTCGAGGGCGAGGGCGGCGAGCAGGCGAGTCTTGAGTGGGCGGGGCCGGTACCAGAAGGTTCTCTAGAGGGGACGCAAGCGGCACGAGCTAGCTGTAGCCTCGGCTGTGCGGTGTAGCGGTGTCGAGCGGTGAGTTCCTCTCCCCCTCCCCACCTCCTCCTCCCTCCTCCCTCGTCCACGCACCGCTCTCGGCGGCTACCGATCCAGATCGGCTCTGATCGACCCACGAGCCTCCTCTCGGCATGTCCGCGCTTGCTCCTGGTACGGTCTGCCCCTGTCTCGGCGACGCGCTCGCCTCCTGTCCGTCTTGTCCGTCGCAGGCCCCGCGGACACTCCGTTCGTCCGCCTGGCCAGCTGCCGCTCGAGTTTTGCGCTTCTTGCTCTCGGTACACGCCTCGCCACCTCCCGCCAGCCTTCAGCCATGTCGCTCCCGATCGTCCTCAACTCGCAGATGATGCCGTCGTCCACTCTGCGCCGCCGCGACAGCATGTTCAGCGGCCCCGACACCGACTCGGAGGACGAGGCGCCTGCGCGCTCTCGCCTCTCTCGCCTGACGGCCCCCAGTGGCGCCATGGGCCGCGAGTTGGCCACCATCGACTCGTTGCTCGGCGGCATGGGCATCGGCGGCCTCCCTGTGAGTCTCGGCTTCTGCCGTCCTCCTCACCCTCGCGACAGGGTCGCCAAGAAGGTGCCCCTGAGCGAGGTCCTCCTTCCGGTGCACTCGCCTTTCCCCTTCTCCCTCGCACACGACCTGACCTGAACCTGCCCTTTCCTCCCCGCGACAGGGCCTCTGCACCTGCGGCGCGTGCCACGACTGCCGTGCCGAGCGTCGCGCTCGCCGTGCCGACCCGCGCATTTCGCTCCGCGACCCGACCATCAAGCGGCTCACGGGCCCGGTCACGCCGTCGCCCGACTACCTGCGCCGCGCCGCCGTCCCGTCGCGCCCGACCCAGTCGGACCACCCGCTCCTCGTCATCTCGCTCGACGGCGTCGTCGACTGCCGCCTCCCGTACCACCTCTCGGGCGGCTACACCGACGTCCTGTCGCGCCCGTACCTCGAGCCGTTCCTCGCGTACCTCCTGTCGCAGCAGAGCCCGTGGTCGTTCTGCTTCTACTCGAGCCTGCCGCGCGAGCTCGCGCTCAAGACCCTGCGCGAGCTCAACATGCCGACCGGCGGGCCCGAGAAGGACGAGCGCGACGGCGTCGTCGGCCTCTTTGCGCGCGACGACATGCGCGAGGGCTGGATGGGCGGCGAGCTCGACATCAAGGACCTCGAGGTCATCTGGAGCGAGCTCAGTGCGTCCTCTCTCTTTCTTTCTCTCTCTTCTCTCTCTGTCTCTGTCCTGACGACGTCTCTCTCGTGCGCAGACAAGGAGGAGGGCGTGCAGTGGGGCGTGGAGGACACGGTCGTCCTCACCGAGTGCGTCTCTCGCTCTCTCTCTCGTGCTTCCTGTCGCGGTCAGGTACTGACGAGCCCTTCCGACTGTCCGCAGCTTCCCGGGTCACATGAAGCTCCAGCCCAAGAACTACATCCTCGTGCCGCAGATGTCGTACAAGTGCGGCTCTCTGTCCCTCCTCGAGCCCTTCGGCGACCTCGTACTGACTGCTCGTCCTCCCCGTGCAGGTCCAACATACGGCCCCGCGACGACCAGTTCCTCCTCCTCATGATTGCCGTCCTCAAGGGTGCGTCCTGTCCCTCCCCTCGGCCTGCTCCTCGCCACCCTCACTCACGCTTCCCTTTCCCTTCTCACCTCGACACAGACCTCGAGACCGAGACCAACTTTGCCAACCACATCGCCAGCCTCGACTGGGACAAGCTCCAGATCTGGACCTCGCTCGACGAGCACTCGACCAACGAGCGCAACTCGTACCTGTGCAACGCCGTCAAGATCTGCGCCGAGTACCGCATCGACATCAAAGCGTTCACGGGCAACAAGCACGCCTAGCAGTCGTCGTTCGACCGCTGCAGCGAGTACGACGTGTTAAGCGAGATGAGGCACACGAGGAGCGTAGAGAGCGAGGTGCGGGCGAGGCGGACGAGCCTCGACTTGCAGGGTCGAGCGGCGGGCATGTGCAACTATTCCTTCGGTTCTCTCTCCCGTTGTCTCTCTGTCTTCGTCTTGGCGCGAGCGTGAGCGAGAGTGACCCGCAGCAGCACGCCGTGTAACCCTGGGCGTGCGTTTCTGCCGGCCTCGAGCGCTCAGGCCTCGCTCTCTCTCTCGCTCGCTCGCATCGCAGCTGGAGACAGGCATCTCGAGTTGTACAGCGTCTACCACTCTACAGAGACGTCTTCTTGGCTCCGTCTACCGACGGCCGCTTCGCCGCCGTCCCTTTCTCGGCGTCGTCGTCGGCGCCGTTACCGGCCTTCTTCTTCTTCTCCTTTTGCCGCTGCACCCACTCTTGGCCCTTCTGCTTAAGCGCTTCTTCGTCCTTGCGCTGCGAGACGATGTGTGCGAGAGTGAGCGATCGAGTGAGCGCGGAAAGGGGCAGAGAGGCGGACAGAGTCGACGCACCGAGAGCGAGTGCCGCTTGATGAGGACGACGGCGATGACGAACGCGCCCGAGATCAAGCCCGCGAGAACGTGGAAGAGCGTGTGGAAGCCGTTGACGTAGGCCGAGATGATCTGGTCCTTCTCCTCCTGCGGCAAGTTGAGGAGCGTCGTGCCCTCCTTTGACGAGGACCGCCAGATGCCCGTCGGGTCGTCGATGACGGCCGAGATGAGGTCTTGCTCGAACCCGAGCGGCGACAGCTTGGACCGCAGGGTGTTGTTCCTGCGCTCGGTAGAGCAGAGTCAGGCTCGGGCGGATTTGGGAAGGTCGAGGAGAGGGAGACGACGCACAAGATCGTGGCGGCGATGACGAGGAACACGGTGCCACCGAGAGAGCGCATGAAGTTGCGGACCGAGGTGACGACCGACATCTCGGACCGAGCGACGGCGGCTTGAGCCGCAACCATGCTCGTCTGGAGGGTCCCGCCTTGGCCGGCTGCGAGACGACGAGGGAGAGTCAATACCGGTCGCTGACGCCGCGACTGAGACGTACGAGAGGGACGTACCGCCGTTCAGGATCTGGTAACCGACGATGCGGGCGACAGAGGACGTCTCGTCGAGCGTCGAGAGGAGGCCCAGGCCGATGGCCCACAAGGCGTAGCCGACACAGATCATGGGCTGCGAGTACCAGTGTCAGATGACTTGACTCGAGGAGAAGGAGGGAAAGGCGGGGCGCACCTTGTACTCGCCGGTCCGAGCGACGAGCTGGCCCGAGACGAACACGGCGAAAGTCGTCATGGTGAGCTGCGGCAGGATCAAGACGCCGCTCCGTATCGGGCTGTCGCCGCGCACGACTTGGAAGAATTGCGGGAGGTAATAGACCTGTTTGAGGTCAAGGAGGGTGGGCTGGGTGCGCTCGAGGACGAGGAGGAGGAGGGAGAGGGAGCGCACCTGGGTCAGGATGGTCGCGCCGTTTAAAAACGTCGACGCGAAGACGGCCGAGACGGTCTGGTTCTTGAAGATGAACGCTGTGTAGGATGAGAGAAAGTCAGGGAGGTTCGAGGCGAGGCGAGGCGAGGAAGAGAGCGAGGGGAAGGAGGACGTACGAGGGACGATCGGGATCTTTGCCACGCGCCACTCGTACACGACGAAAACGCCATAGCCCACAATGCCCGAGATGAGGCATCCGAGGACCGGGCCCGACACCCAGGGGAACGAGACGCCGCCCCAGTTGAGCGGGAGGATCACGAGGACCGTGGCGAAGCTCGACAGCAGGGCGCCGCCATAGTCTATTTGGAGCAGTTTCCTGTGACGGACGCAATACAGCCTGTCAGTACTGTACTCTGTGAGAGACGGAGAGCGAGGGCGCACTGTCTCATGGACCCTCGAACCGCCTTGAGGGGGAGGAAGAAGAGGATGACGGCCATGGCGACGCCGCCAATCGGCAAGTCTGCGTGCTCGAGAATGGTCAGTACCTCGTCCGGACGTGCCGACAGAGCGGCGAGAGAAAGGTCCGAGGGGTGCGAGCGGGCTTCTCGACGACCTCGAGGACGACGAGAAAGGCCCAGGGGGACGGGAGAAGTAGGCTGACGACTCACTGATCCAGAAGCACCAGTTCCACGTGAGCTTTTGCGCCATGACGCCTCCCAGGATTGGCCCGGCGCCGTTTCCGACGAGGATGGTCGCCTCGGTAAGGCCTGCAGGAGCGCGAAAGGTCAGTACGGGCTCGCACGAGGCGCAAGGTGGACGTGGACGTGGACGCACCCTGGTACTTTCCTCGGTCCTTGAGCGAGACGATGTCCGACACGATGATGAGGACGAGCGTGAGGAGGCCGCCGCCGCCGACGCCTTGGAGGCCGCGAAAGATGATGAGCTGCAACATGGACTGCGCGAGCGCGCACGCCAAGGAGCCGACGAGAAAGATGGCGACGCAGGAGAGGAGGGTGATCTTGCGGCCAAAGACGTCGCTGAGCCGGCCCCAGACGGGTTGAACGGCGCTCGAGGTGAGAAGGTACGCTGCGGCGACGAATGACGACGAGCGGCCGGCGTTGAAGGCGGCCGAGATGTTGGGCAATGCAGTACTCTTCGTGACGAGGAGCGTCAGCTGATGATAGGGAAAGAGAGGAAAGGGTGAGGACGCACGACGATAGTCTGGTCGAGGAACGAGAGGAGGACGGCGAGCTGCATCGACGCAAAGACGATGAGGATACTCTGCAGGCGACGCGAGTGAGTCAGTGACGAGTACGATGGTTGATAGAGGGTGCAGGGAGGGCGGTAGAGCGCTAGGGAGGCTGCTCACCTTGACAGGCCTGCGGGGTTCGAGGGTCAGCTCTGCAGTTCCAGGGCCAGGGCGAGACTCGGCGAGGAAGGTGGGCGCACATGTAGCTCGTCTGGTCTACGAGACCGTTCTCGAAGCGCTCGGCGACTGCAGGTCCTTGGGCGCCCTCCTCGGCGCCGCCGGTCGAAGCCGTCTTGTCGACCGGCGAGACGGCGGTCGCGCTTGAAGGCCGCCGATCTGGAGCTGCGCCGCCGGGTACAGCCGTCTTGATGCTCTCTGCGTCGCCCGTCGCCCTATCGGCGTGCGGGCTCGTCTCGCCGCGAGCATCGCCATCGTCTCGTGCCGACGGAACCGCGGGACGCGCGACGAGCGGCGGCAGGCTCGGGAGCGTGTCGAGAGGTGGTGCTGGTGGATCGGTGGGCGTCGTGGGCATGTAGCAGGGTCACCGCCGTAGCATCTGGATGAGGAGCGAGGGCGAGAAAGCGAGCTGCGAGTCTGCTCCGGCCGCCGACGGCGAGCTAAACCTGGGGCGCACAACGCGTCGGCCGGGTGGCTCGGCGGAGGCGCGTTTGCGGCGTCTAGCTTTTGCCCGCATCACCGCAGCCAATCGCGCACCTTGATCGCTTGTGGGCTCGCTCGCGCACCGCGCTCTCCTCGCCTCGCCCTCTCACCTCGCCCTTGCGCCGGGCTGAGCTGCTACCGAGCGTGCTGCAGCGCAGCTGGAGCACCAACCCTCGCCTGCTAGTCGCGTGAGCGCAGCGGCCGCGCTGGAGCGCTCCTCCGTCACCGAGCTCCCTTTGTCCGAGCGAGCGGGGACAATGCAGGCGGTTCGCGGGACGCAGCTTGCTGGCCCGTGCTGCACAGAGCCCACCCGCCGCTCACGAGCCCGGACTCGCCGCACAAGCCCAGCCGGCGTGGAGCACGAGCTGCCCTTGCCGACTCGCCGGCGCTCCTCGTCCGACACAGCTCTTCCCCTCTCGCCCTGGTCCACAGCCTGTCCGCCTCGCTCAGCCCATCCAGCTCGCCGACGGCAGCCCTCGAGCCGACGACTATGGCCGCTGTCGCCATTCCCCAGTTGCACCCTGCCGCCCGCGACACCTCCTCAGCACCCGCACGAACCCGCTCTCGCACCGGCAACCTCCTCAGCACCGGCTCCAAGCTCGTCAAACGCGCCGTGCGCGAGAGCCGCTTCGTCCCGACCGAGGAGTTCGACCTCGGCAGGTCGACCGTCGAGCTGCTCGGCAGCAGCAGCGGCGGCGGCGCGACGAGCTTCGAGTCGCCTCGGCGATCCATCGATACGGCACGCTCTGAGCAGGAACCTGGCGTTCAGTCTCGAGACGTCGGCGAGCTCGCGTGGTACGACGAGCACATCCCGACCGGCGGCCTCGAGGCGCAGCCGTATGCGCGCGAGCCGCAGTACTTGCTCTCGTACTCGCGCTCGTCGCTCAACTGGTGCGTCCCAGGCCTCTTCTCCTCTCTCCTGATCCGTGCGCGCGACTGACATCTCTCTCTCCCCCTCGCAGGGAAGCACTCGTTGGCTCGCTCTTGAGCGCGACCGCGCAGGGCTCGCTCGCCCACGCGTCCTCGAGCAGCTCAGACAAGGCGCCTCGACACGTGCTTGACCTCGGCTGCGGGCCGACGCCGTTCTGGATCATGGCGCAGGCGATCGAGCCGGGCTGGGAGAAAACGCAGTTCGTCGGTGCGTCCCTCCTCCTTCCGAGCCTCCTCGCTCCTCGGCGCGCACCTCTTACTCTCACTGACTCGACCCGACCATACAGGCCTCGACGTCGCTCCTACGTCGGCCACCATTCCGCTGCCCGCCTCGTACGACGAGCGGGTCTCGTTCATCCAGCATGCCCTGCCCGAGCGCCTCCCGTTCCAGGACGACTCGTTCGACCATGTTCGCCTGTCTTTCGTCAACCTCGCGCTGCGAGAGCAAGACTGGCAGGTCGTCTGCGAGGAGGCACTGCGGGTTCTCGTACCGGGCAGTGCGTGCTCTCGATTCTCGACGTCGCCGGCGGCGAACGCCTGGACCTGACGGCCTCTCCTCGCTCGCAGGTACCCTCGAGATTGTCGAGAGCGATCATCACGCGTTGCGGCATCGTCCAGATCCTTCCATCGACTCGACCGACCCTGTCGACCTCCTGTTCGCCGACGTCCTCGCCGACCGCTTCGTCAACCCTCGTCCCCTCACACTTCTCCCCTCGACCCTCATCATGTCGGGCGCGACCACCTTGCGCTCGACCGGCCGCATCTCGCTCAGCATGCCTGCGCCCGTCAACGACGTCTCGCCGTCGCCCGATTCCGCCAGTCGGCCGGCCGCCGCGCACGAGCCCCTCGCTCGCTACGTCTCGGGCCGCTCGAGCACGTCAACGGCGATGCACACGCACGAGACGGCCGTCGTCCTGCACGCGTACGCCGATCGATGGGCGTCGTCGTCGCTCGGGCTCGCCAAAGCTGCCGTCGGCGCTCGGCGCCGGGCGAGGTCCGTCTCGGGTCGGCAGGGCAGCTCGCTCCAGTCCGACACGTCGGCCGCCGAGCGCGACATGCAGCACGACATCGAGGCGGTCGAGGACGTTGTTCACGCGTGGGCGGACGACCTGCGCTCGCGGGCGAACCTCGCGAGCCTCGTCACCTCTCGACTCGGTTGGGAGCCAGCCTTCGACGTCGCGCTCGCGGCGTCGCTCGAGACGGCGCTCGAGACCAGCAGTGCCGGCCTGCGCGAGGTCGAGACGCACCGGGCGCTGCACGAGGACGTGTTCGGCGAGCCTGACGTCGAGCTCGAGAGGCGGTGGCAGCAGATGGATTTTGCGAGGCGGGACGCAGAAGCCGACCTCGCCGTCGTCAGGTCGAGGCTCGAGCATTCGTCGGAGCACGAGGACATCCTTGGCGGCCTTGACTTTGAGGTGTTCGTAACCAATGCGCCGGTCTCTCGGTAACTCTCGCATTCTCACGCTCCTCAAGAGGCTCGGGCTCGTCTTTCGCGCCCCGTGGCGCCTTCGCTGCGAATCCGAGAGACAGCGAGAGATGAGAGAAGTCTCTCGTGCTCGTCCCTCGCTCAGGCTCGGAAGAAGTCGCTGCACGGTCCTGCTCAAGCGGCACCGACAGAGTTGCAAAGCGAGGAAGGGTCTAAACACTATCTACGGAAGGGAAAGGTGGCAGTGTCCTTTTGTGCGACAGCAAGCGAGAGGGTGGGGGAGAGGGCGAGGGAGGAAAGCGTCGCCGCGAGCTGGTCGACAAGGTCGCTCGTGTCGACAGATGGGGGCGTGAAGCTCACGCCGCGTTGAGCTCGGCACTCTGTAGACAGGGGAGTAAGTCAGGGCCTGTGACCGTGGAAGAGAGGCCCGAGATTCCTTGAGGAGAGAAGGAAGGAAGGCCGGACGCACGAGCTTGCCCTGCTTGATGAGGCTCTCGGGCGCATCGAGAGGCGCCATGCGGACCTCGAGGACCTGGATCTTGTCGGCCTTCTGGAACTCGTCGTTGGTGAGGATGTCCTCGAGTTGGCCACGCGTCTCGGCGAGCCACGACTTGGTCGGGAGCGGCTTGAAGTTGGGTGCCGGCGCGTTGAAGAACGAGAGCATCGACTGCCAGTCGAACGACGGGATGTTGTTGTACGACGCCGTCTCGCCGTGGATGAGCTTCTCGATCGTGTCTGTGCGGCAGGAGAGGAGGACGGGGGGTCAAGTCAGTTTGGGAAGGTCGCGACCAGGCGACGACGGCGACGGCGAGTGAGAGCGGCGAGGACGCACAGCCGTTGTTGTTGAGGATGACGAGGATGGGCTTGAGGCCGAGGCGGACCATGGTGGCGACCTCCTGGATCGTGAGCTGGATGGAGCCGTCGCCGGTAAAGAGGATGGTGCGACGCGGCGTGGACGATTCCTCTGCCGCCAGGAGCGCGCCGAGCGTAGCGGGGTTCGCGAACCCGATACTGCCCCAGAGCACCTGGCTCACGGAGGTCGTGCCCTTGGGCAGGGCGCTGCCGAGGATGCCGAAGTTGGACGTGCCGGTCTCGGTGACGACGATGTCGCCCTCTTTGAAGAGCTGGGCGCCCATCATCGGCCAGAAGGCCTTCTGCGTCACCATCTCGTCCTTGTCGCCCTCGGGGACCTTGGTCGACAGGCCGACGTGCTTGGGCGGCTGCGAGACGTTCGACTTGGGCTTGAGGGCCTTGGCGAGGGCGGGCAGGAGCATGTGGAACGACACGTCGGGGTAGTGGGCGTACTGGACGAGCGTCGAGTCCGAGTGCAGCTCGATGACCTGCTCCTGCGAGAACGGGTACGAAAACTCGCCCGTGTTGAAGTCGGACTTGAGCGAGCCGACCTGTTGACGAGGAGGGACGGACGGGCCGTAAGGTGAGCTCCACTCGTTCGCTCCAGTCGCGAAAAGCGCTACAGGACGAGAGAAGAGAGAAGAAGAGACACACCATGATGACGAGGTCCGACTTCTCGACGACCTCCTTGACCTCGGGGTCCGAGATCTCGCCGACGTAGACGCCGCCGAACCCGTTCTCGGGGTCCTCGTCGATCGCCGTGCGGCCCATAGGAGCTGTTGCGGACAGGCAGGGTCAGGCAAAGGCAACAGGGAAGGCTCGAAAGGCGAGATCGAGTTTGGGAAGGTCGCCAACGACGGGAGGGGACGAGGTCGGGGCCGCCGACGAGAAGGAAAGAGGCAGCGAGAGAGCTCACTCGTGTAGAACTGCGTAAGTAGCTCGAGTCAGTGTCGAAGAGAGGAGAGGCGAAGAGCGGGAGGTGGACGCACCTTGACCTTGGTGGCTTGCACGAGGTCGCGCGCAAGGTGGCCGACGCCGTAGCGAATGGCGCAGGCGTCGAGCTGTATTCAAGCGAGGGCAAGATTCAGTGTCTGTGGCAGAGAACGACGATGAGTGGCCGAAGATTTCGACGCACAAGCACGATCGGGTCCTCGGCACCCTCCCACAGGCGCTCGATCTCCTTGACGACAAACTCGAGGCGCTTCTTGGTCTCGTCCTCGACCTTCTTGCCCGTCGGGAGGACGTCCTTGTTCTCGAACGCGACCGAGTCCGGGATGATGGGCGTCTCGAGCCGCTTCTTGTCGACGGGGATGAAGACGAGGTCGGTCGGGAGGGTGAGGTACGCCGGACGCGCCGTCGTCAGGGCGGCGAGAAGGATGCGGTCGATCTCGGACGCGGCGTCCTCGGCCTTCTGGAGGAAGGCGCGCGCGCAGGTGATGCCCGAGTGCGCCTGCTCGAAGACGTTGGTGAGGCCGTCGCCGAGCGTGTGATGCAGGACGGCACGCGACTTCTGCAGCTTGGTCGACGCGACGCCGACGAGATGGATGACGGGCACGCGCTCGGCATACGCGCCGGCTGTTGACGGCGAAGAGGGAAAAGTCAGGATGGACCCCCTTGATCGGGACGACGACCGAGAGAGCGCGAGGGCGTACCGATGCCGTTGACCGCACTCAGCTCGCCGACACCCTGGGTCGTCAGGAGGGCGCCGAGGCCCCTCACGCCGCCCTGCGTCTTGTCCTTGCCGCCGCCGCTCTTGGCCTGGCCCGGCTTCGAGTCGGCCTGGTCGCCCTCGCGGTCCTGGTTGAGCTGGGCCTGCTTGACGCGCGCGTAGCCGTCGGCAGCGTACGACGCGTTCCTGTACGGCGTCGAAAGAGTCAGCCCCGCGAGACAGGGCGAGATTCGAGGGAGCGAAACGAGGTGACGTACAGCTCGTTCGTGTTGCCGATCCACTTGACGTCGGGGTGCTCCTCGACGAGGTCGAGGAAGGTCAGGTTGAACTGCGAAGAGCACGGCGACAGGGTGAGCCGACGGTTCGCTGTGGCCCCAGCGAGAGGAGGGAAAGGGGGAGCGCACGTCGCCCGGGACGCCGAACAGGCACTTGACGCCGAGCTGTGCGAGGCGGTCGAGGAAGTAGGTGCCGAGGTAGACCTCGTTGTCGGCGAGCTGGCCGGGCTTGGACATGGTGGTCGAGCTTGTGAGGTTCGGAAGCAGTCGAGGTGGGGAGGCGGCGAGGCGGTGGTCTGGCGCGGTTCGAGCTGGTGCGCGAGTCTGTGTAGGTGGTCTGTGAGTTCTGAAGCGCGGGCTGGCGGGTCAGGGAGACTCACAGAGCTGCTGTGGCAGGACCGAGAGGCTGTGGCCGAGGTTCGCCATCATCTGTCTCATCTCCACGGCGCTCCACTCTTGGACCACTCTCCTTCCACGCACTTCGCTCTCTCGCTCGACTCTGTACATGGGCTCGCTCGACGGCATCTCATGCGCTCGCGCGAGCCTGACCCGAGCCCGACTTTCGTCGAACCTGCCCCGCGCGCTCGGACCGCCGCTGTCTGCTCCGCCCCGCTCGCGCGCCTGGCTCTTTCCGCCGGACACGGCTGCTTCCGGCGACGGCCTGCTCGTCTCGCACGCCAGTCGAGCCGCACCGGAACGTCCGGTCCGCCTCGCCTGTCCGCGCTCGCTCCTCCTCGGTCTCGCTTTCCCCTGCCGCGCTCCTCTCCCTCGAGCTCCACAGTCGCTCTTGCGCCGCACCGCTGCTGCGATGAGCACAGCTGCTGGCCCACCGCTTGGCCCGCCACCACCGCTCACCAAGGCCCAGATCGCGAGGATCCGACGAGCGCCAATCCACCGACGCATCAAGCACTTCGTCTACAGCGTTCTCGCTCTCGCCGTCGGCGGCGCGGTCGCCAACATCACCTGTCTAGTGCTCGGGGCCGTGTGGGCTCGCAATATCGTCGCCGCCGAGAAATGGTGCGTCCGTTGCGCCCGCCTCGTCCTGCTCGAGCCGGCTTCCTCCCTCGTTTCGAGACTGACCTCTTGCCCTCTCAGGTTCATCTTCCACTACGTCTGCGCCGGCGTCCTCACAATGATGTGGCTCGGCTACTCGGTCGTCTTCGAGCGTCACATCAAGTTCATGGCGTGCGTCCCTCGCCGTCCTCTTCTTCCTCGACGAGCTGCCAAGCTTCGACATTGACCTCTCTCGCACCCGGCACAGCTTCCCTGATCAGCTACAGATCGACCTGGGCTGGATGATGGTCCGTGACGAGTGCCCTCTCCCTGTTGCGGACCCTCGCACTGACCTCGTCCCTCTCGCAGTTTGCCGTCACCTTCGCTTCGGCGTGGCATTTCTACCTCTTCCGCAAGATGCTGCAGTACGGCGTCCTCGACATGTTCATCGTCACCTGGTGCGCCCCTGTCCCTCCTCGACTGCGCATTCATCCGAGAGCGGGCGCACTGACCCTCGCTCCTATCGCAGCTCGTCTGGCTGCACGACAAAGCTCAACTTTGTCAAGCTGAGCCCCCTCGTCGTGAGTTTCTCTTCGTCTTTCTGCGTCGGCGGACCCGCTATGAGATCACTCGGTACGGCCGTCTGACACGACCTCGATTGGCGGCCTCGTCCCCTCGCAGCTCGGCATCTCGACCCTCGTCCTCGGCGCCCTCCAGCTCGTCCTCGGCCTCGCCTTGTACCGCAACCCGATCATCAATCCTCCCCTCGACGCGCACGGCATGCCCATCCCGCAGGACCCCGAGACTGGCCGCCCGATGCCGCTCGACGCCAAGGGCCAGCCCGTCCTCCCCGAGTGGCTCCTCCCTCGCGACCTCAAGACGGGCGAGATCCTCCCGTGCGACGCAAGCGGCAATCTGCTCCCGCCCTCGTCGACGAGCAAGGCGTCGGCGGCGAAACCGGCAACGTCGAGGCGCTCGGGCGAGCTGCGCGACGCGAGCGGGACGGACTCGGAGCGCAAGGGCGACAGCAGTGCGAGCGACGACAGCAGTGAGGACATGTCGTTACTCGAGCGCAAGGCGACGATGCAGGAGCTCGGGAGCAGCGCTCGCGGGAGCGGCAGGCGCTTGAGGAGGGGCGAGCGTCGCTGAGAGGGTCGTCCAGGTGGCGGTCTGACCAGGGCGGCGGCGCGTGCGGGCGTGTCGGAAAGGGTCGACCAGGCCCAGGGCTTGACCACGAGCGGGCGAGGTGGTCTCTCAGCTCGCGTCGTCGAGAGTGCAACTTGAGAAGGCCAACTTTGCTTTCCACTCTCGCTCTCCTGTGCCAGAGTCGAATTGGAGAAGAGCAACATGTTCTGCTCGTTACGCTGCGACAGAGAGAAACGCCCCCGAAAGACGAACTGAGAGACAGGGGCTGGCGAGAGGAGAGGAAGAGGGGGAGCTCGAGATGATGACAACAATGAGGGAGGGATCTAGCTTAGACACAGGTGGGTGACAGGGTGCGTCGGCAACGTCCTCGACGACGGATGTGACAAAGAGAAGGGAATGCGAGGAGAGGAGAAAGTGCGCGTCTCGAGGTGAGGTTCGCGGCTTGATGTTGAGCGCGCCGGCGTAGGAGCGGGTGTCGTGTATATGATCGACCTGGTGCCGGCGGCATGCTGATTGTGGATATGGTGGCGGCGCCTTTGTCGAGAAGGAAGGGCGGCGCCTGGAAGAGGTGGCCATGCGACGGTCGATGACGAGGTGTGGTCCGGCTGGGTGCGGGACGACGGCGACGACGACTCGTTGGTGTGCCGGGTGAAAGAGGTAGGTTGCTCGACGAGATGAGTGGCGAGAATGTTCAGGTTCTGCGAGAGGAAGGAGACAGCGTCAGGACGAGAGCTCGAGGCGAGAGCGGAGGAGGGAGGGAAAGAGAGAGGACGCACTTTTGCGTTTGCGAGACGCTCTGCGACTGGCTCGAGCCCTTGACCTTCTGCATGGCGGCGCGGTCCGTCTCGCGCAGGCGAGCGACGAGGCCGTCGGTCGACACCGACTCGGCGAGCGAGCGGTACTCGCGGCCGGCGAGTTCCGACAGGCTGCTCGCCTCGGCGCGGTCGAAGAACGGGATCGACATGTTGGCGTACGGCGACGTCGGGCCCTGGTCTCCTCGGTGCTCGAGCATGCGCCTGGGCGACTCGCGCGGAGGGAGCGGGCAGTGGCTGGGGCGGTACGGGTAGCGGGCGACAGACGGCGACTGCGAGTCGGTGGTGCAGCTGTGGTGGTGGTGCGAGGCCGGTAGGGTCGTGGCGGGCATGGGGCGAACGTGCGAGTGAGGCGAGAAGGAGAGAGAGAGAGCGCGCGGCAATTGACAGGGTGGTGCGGTGCAAGGGGGCAGAGCGAAGCGAGAGATCTCGTCGAGACCTGAGACATTGCTGAGCACCCCGTGCCTGGCGCACTTCAAGGCGATCCATCTCGTGCGGCCCAGTCGAATTCGTAACGGAGCCGGGGGAGCTCGAGCAGGCTCGGGCGTTCGCGCACGTCGTCGCCCTTGCTCGCACGCAGCCTCCTGCGAGCCTGCTCACGCACAGCTCTTCGCACCGGCTCGCTCCCGACTCTGACCTTTGCGCCCTTGTCACTTCCCGAGGAAACGCGCACGGTCCGTCGTTCGGCGGATGCTCGACTTGCAGGTGCCCGCCGCGCACACAGATCCAAGGAAGCCATCCTCGGCGCATCGCTCGAGGGGAAAAGGGAAGAGCGCAGTGCACGTGTGCGCGTGGTCGCTCACAAGCTCGGAGAGAAAGGAGGTTCCGTGCGCGAAAGACAGCTCGCGCGGCCGCATCGTCTCCGAGTCGACGAGTCCTTCCGGTGCGCGTGCCGGGGAAACCGGTTGCACCGCCTGTCCGTTGCGATTCAAAAAGGCCAGGACGAGGTGCGATCGAGGTAATCGAGCCTCCGCCGTCGGGCACTCTCCGCTCCTTCCCCTTCTTTCCCTCTCGACCGCAGGATTGGGTCTGGTCGTCAATCGAGAGCACTCTCCTCCTTCATCGTACACGGAAGCGCAGCCCTTAATCACGCTTGCAGTCGACGTACAGAGCCCGAGCTGCAGGCAGGTCGACAAGTCGACCTTCTCAAGTCGAGCCTCGTCACAAGCCCAAGCTTCACCACTCGCCTCGGTTCGCCGGCCGGCTACAGAAAACAAGCGTCGACTGCCCAGCGATGCGATGTCCGAGAGCCGATTTTTGCACTTGCGCGCGTGGCGAGCCGGACGAGAGATTCGGTGGTCAAGCTCGCTCGGACTCGGCTGAAGGGGTCGCACCCCGGATCCTGCGTGCCGGCGGCAGGCGCGCAAGCATCGCCGGTGAGGTGCTCGTTTCCTGTGCCTGCGAGAGATCAGCTGCGGCGACCTGCAGGGACTGCCAGCCGTGACAAATCGCAGGTGTAGCTCGACGTCGCACGGACCTCGCCGGAAGCGGGGTCTCCTCAGAATGGCTCGCAACCTTCTGCAAGGAGCTCGCGCGACGTCCTGCGAAAGTAGATGAGGCGCGGCGAGCCCTTCGCATGTCTACGCGGTCAGGCGCTCGGCAGCGCTTGTCGTAAGTCCAAGCGGAGAACGAGGCGGAGCTCTGAGGCGGTCGCTCTTGAGCTTTCGCTGGGCGCGCGGGTTCGTCAGGTCGAACGAGGGACTCGTGCGTAGTCGGGCAAGAGCGCCGAGCAGGTGGCCTTCGTGGCCGCTGCCGCACGACCGAGAAAGTTGACCTTCTCAAGTTGAAAGCTCTCGAGGGTGTTCGCGGCGACGAACGCAGAACCTGTCGCGGGTCTCTCTCAGATAGCCCTGGTCCCTCAGCTTCTGCTCGGTCGGTCCGCTGCGCTGCTGCTTGCGCTTCGTTGTGGCGCATCTCGCAAGCTTCTCCTCGCACGAAGAAAGGGCGCGAGCGCATCTGCCTGCTTCGAAGGACGACGCAGTGAGCCCAACCTGCACGGACACCATCTGACGGCTGAATAAGACCTTCACGGCCCTGTTGCGACTCACCCTGCGATCCTCGAGGAGCAAAGGCTGGAAAGAGGTCGAGCAGCGAATCGAGGAGGAGAAGAAGCTTTGCGCTGTACACAGCTGTTCGAGCTTCGTATGGCGCTCACGGGGCTCTCGAGGAGACACCACGAGAGAGCTGCCGACCGAGCGAGCCGCGACAAAGAGCTCTCTCGACCTCGTCCGTCGCCCGAGTTGAGAAGGGCAACGGGCAGCCAACTCGCGCTCTGCACGACAAAACAGCCCGGAAACGCGCTCTATTCCATCGCAGACACCTCCTCGTTCGATCTTGCGCAAACAGAACGCCGTAGCCCCTCTAGATCAAGAGCTAGCGTTTGAGCGAGGGTGCGCAGGATCCCCCTGTTTTTAGCAGGTGGCCGGGCACACGGGCGCTCCGCAGGGGTGCGCACCGTGCGAGCGGCTCACCAGAGTGCGCCCGCTGCCCTCAGGGGCACGAGAGGGCGGGCGCGGCCTCGTAAGGACCCGTCCGCGACGGCTCGACTCGCTGAGCCGTCGGGACGAGTGCGACGACGGACGAGACTCTGAGCGGTCTGGGGACGCTCGCTAGGGACGACGAGAGCTTTCGGAGAGGGAAAGGCGCCGTCGCGCGGCGCAGCAAGGGCGCGAGGGGAAGCTTTCGGGGCCGAGAAGGGGGAGGTGCCATCGAGGGCGCAACTAACCTGCGGCGCGAGGTCAAGAGGGTCAGTGCGCGGCTCGGCGAGGAGTCTAGACCTATGTGAAGGTCCTGCAGGCAAGGAACAGAGTGCGCGGGACGTACAAAGGACAAGATGAGCCGCCTCGAGGTCGAGAGCCCGCCTCGTGCCGCCCAGAAGACCGCCCTGCTCGCCTTGCGCAGCCATTTCACCTGCAAAGGGACTAGGTCAGTCCACCAAAACCCCTGCACCGCGTCGCGAGGTAGCAGAGGGGGCGAGGGGAGAGGGAGAGGGGGGCCAAACACGGGGAGGCGGGGAGGAGGTGGACGCACCAGTCGCCCACAGCCCGCGCAGCGCGGCCGCCTGGCTCGATGCACGACTGGAAGCTATTTGATGCCCGTACGAGCGCGCCCACCGGTCCACGAGTCGTTGTCACCGGTCGAGAGAGGTCGGACGACGCGGTTTGGTGATGAGGACGCGAGTCGCCCTGCGCTGTCGGCGAGCGCTCGTGGCGGTGAGGGGACAGGCGCAGTCGATCGCAGTTGTGTGCAGGTACAGGTGGAAGCGAGTACGACGCGCCCAGTCGTGAGGGTCGGTGTGCGAGGTGGACGAGGGAGAGGAGCTGCGACTCTCGCGCTTGGCTTTCGCTCACCAGCACAGCTCTGCTTCTCGAGCCGCACGCAGACGCTCAAGGTCATCGCAGTGTCACATTGCCAGGAGGCGAGGGAACTCTACACAAGCTGGGCAGGCCGACATGGCTGCGAACGGCGTCGAGAGCTAGTCAGCGCATGTCGCAGGACGTCGATGACCGACGCCGGGAGGGAAAGAGAGGGAAAGAAAAAGGGACGCACCGATGCGGGCCCGCTCGTCGTCGCGTCGAGCGTCGCCGACGATCGGGCCGACTCGGACCAAGCGCCGCACGAGGTCGGGCTGCACGCCGTAATGAGAAATCTCATCAGTACCTTGTCCTCCTCGACGCAGAACACAGGGGAGAGAAGACCAAGAAGCGCTCGTGGCGAGGACGCACCGTTCTCCCTCGTCAAGCTGCGCTCGTGCCCGCCGCACTCGCACTCGCACTCGCCGCGCCTTGGTCCTCCTCTACCGCTGCAGCCGCCGCCGCCGCCGCGGGAGGAGCTGCCGCCGCCGGGACGGGCGAGGCCGCAGGCGGCGGCAGCACGGGCGGCCTCGGCGCGACGTAGCCGAGCGGGCCGACGCTCGCCGGCTGCTCCTGCGGCGGCGCCGGCGCCGGGCTCGGGGCAGGCGACGCCGCGCCCGCCGAGAGGTGCGACGCGGCGACGTGGGACGAGGCGCGGCCCTTGACCGGCGCCGAGGCGGAGGACGGCGTGGTCGAGGGAGGAGGGGACGCGAGCTCGTCGCGCGAGGTGGTGGTGGTGGGCGCGGTCGGGGTGGCGCGTTGCGCGGCGAGTGCGGCGGTGGCGAACGGCGAGTACGAGTCTGTGCGGGCGCGAGGCGTCGGAGGAGCGGGTCAGGTCCTGGGCGAGGACAGGAGGAGAAGGGGAGAAACGGCTCGCGACGCACCTCCTTGCCAGCTCGGGAGCGCGACGCTCTTGCCGTCGACGCGCTTGAACGCAATCTTGGTCTTGATCCACCTGCGCGGCCTCGGGGTCCCGAGCTGGAGCGCGTGCGTCGCGACGTACTGGTTGTTGAGCCTCGGCGGCGCACCGACGGCCGAGGTCGTCGTCGAGCCGGAGGCGGCAGCGGGCGTGCGAGATGGGCCGGGAGAGGAGCCAGAAGGCGTGGTGGTGCCGCCGGTATGGAGCGAAGCGGCTGCAGGCGGCGAGGGGAGCGTCAGGGTCGAGAACTTGCGAGCGCGAGGAGGAAGGGAGGACGGACCGATGGCGGGGTCCAGGCCGACGCCGGCGAGGTTGCTGCGCGGGACGACGAGTCAGTCTGTGGGTCTGCAAGCGTACTCGAGAGAGGCAAGGACGTACCCCTTGAGGCCCTTGCGCCACGATTTGCTGCGGGCACGAGCGGGGGTCAGTTTCCTCTGGAGCCACCTCGATGGCGCGGTCGAGCGGCTTCGCTCGACAGGTCGGGGAGAGAGTGCGAGCGTCGACTGACCCAGGGCCGGCCTCGCCTGGCTTCTTTGCCGGGCGCTTCTTCTTGGGTTTGGGCTCGCCGTCGGGAGCGTCGGTCGCCTTGGTCTTGGTGCCGGCCATGGGCTTGGGGGTGGTCGTGGTGGCGGCGGTGGTGGTGGACGGGAGCGGGGTCATGCTGGCGGACTGGGCGGGCTGGGCGAGCGAGGGCGAGGGCGACACGGCGGACGACGGAGCGGCGGGGAGCGAGGGGAGGGCGGCGGTGGGGAGGAGAGCCGGGGCTGGTGGCGGGGCGGCCATGGTCACTCACGGGTCGTGCTGTGCAGGCTGGTGCGCGATGCACGGTCTTGTGTGCGACGAGGTGGGGAGGACGAGGCGAGGCGGCGACGCGCTTGTACGAGATCGAGGCCGCGGCCGAAGTGCTTGTAGTACGAGTGTGGGCGTGTATGAGCAGCTCACGGGCGCACTGGGCGTGGCAGAGTCGAGGTCGAGGTGCGTCCCTCCTCCTCACGACGAGGTGGTCGCCTCGCTCCCCGTCTCGTCCCACTCTCGCCGCCGCCAGAGCCAGTCGCACACCTCGCACAGTCGACAGCTCCTTCCACAACCCGACCCGCACCCCAACCCCGGCCGCGAGTGCCGCCCTCGCCTCGTTCAAAAAGGACCGCCTCAGCTTCGCACCAGCTCGTCTCGTCCCCTCGTGAGCCTTACGTTCTCCGGGTCATACTCGAGCGGGACACGAGCACCCTGCGCGCACCATCGCTCGTTCAGCCCGACCGCAGGAGGACGAGTCGCCGTCTCGTTCTCCGGTCCTCCTCGCGCGACCGATGAGGTCCACCAGCCCTTCGCCAACAACCCGCAGAGCCTGCCCGACCTCGCCGAGATCCACAACTGACTCACAGCCGCCCCCTCACAGATCGAGCCGCGCCGCCATGTCGCATCTCGCTCGTGCAGGTCGCCTCCTCGCCCGCCCGTCCACCTCGGCGGCCCTCGCTCCCTCGTCCGCCGCCGCCGTCGTCGCGCGCCCCTTCTCGTCGTCGTCCACCGCCGCCAAGCAGCCCACATCCGCCACCACCACCGACGCCGACGGCAAGGTCCGCCGCATCCTCACCTTTAGCAAAAAATCGGGCCAGTCGACGTTCAAGACGTACCTGCCCGTCACGCCCTCGCTCCGCCAGCTGCGCGTCCCGATCTCGGAGCACCTCCACAAGGGCGGGCCGTTCCGGCCCCTCACCGAGGCCAAGCGCGGCCACGGCGGCCGCAACGACCACGGCCGCATCACGATCCGCGCCCGCGGCGGCGGCCACAAGCGCCGCGTGCGCCTCGTCGACTTTGTCCGCCGCGAGACGGGCGAGCAGCACGTCGTCCGCATCGAGTACGACCCGGGCCGCAGCGCCCACATCGCCCTCGTGCGCCACAAGGAGACGGGCGCCGTCAGCTACATCCTCGCCCCGAACGGCCTGCGCGAGGGCGACACGGTCCAGTCGTTCCGCTCGGGCGTGCCCGACTCGTTCCTGATCGGCGGCGGCGCGAGCGCGCAGCGCTCCAACGAGTTCGGCGCCGACGTCGACGCCGACGCCGCCGCCGAGTCGGTCGACCTCGTCGACCCGTCGGCGCCGCAGAGCGTCCTGCCGCCGCGTGCGCCGCCGTCCCTGTCGCAGATCGACGTCTCGGTCCTGCGGTCGCTCGCGCTGCGGCCGGGCAACTGCCTCCCGCTGCGGCTCATCCCGGTCGGGACCGTCATCCACGCCATCGCGCTCTCGCCCGAGGGCAAGGCCGTCCTCGAGCGCTCGGCGGGCGGTTCGGCGCGCATCATCAGTGCGTCGAGCCCCGGTGGCAAGCACGCCCAGGTGCGCCTCTCGAGCGGCGAGGTGCGCCTCGTCGGGCTCGACTGCGTCGCGAGCATCGGCGAGGTGAGCAACGGCGACCACCAGCACCGCAACTTGGGCAAGGCCGGTCGTATGCGCTGGTTGGGCTTCAGGCCGCAGAGCCGAGGTGTCGCCATGAACGCGTGCGTCCCCTTCTCGCTCGTGCCCCCCTCTCGTCGGCTGTCGTCGTCCTCTGGGACGACCGGCGCCACGAGTTGCTGTCGCCGTGAAGGACGTACTGACTCTCTTTCGTCTACTCTACAGGACGGACCACCCGCACGGTGGTGGACGCGGCAAGAGCAAGGGAGGCAACCACCCAACCGACGAGTGTGCGTCCCTCTTTTCCTCTCCCTCTCTCTTTCCTCTCCCGTGTCGACGACTGACGAGCAACCTCTGTACACGTCGACAGGGGGCAACGGCATGAAGGGGCAGCGCACGCGGGCGCCGCAGAGCAAGAACGGCAACAAGATGGTGGTGCGCGAGCGGCCTCGCGGCGGCATGAAGAACAAGAAGCGCTGAGGGTCCCTTGTCGAGCGAGTAGACCGTGTTGCTGTGTACGATCAGAGTCGCACGTCGTTGTCTCTGCTAGTGTGCGAGGTCGGCGAGAGAGAGGTCAAAGCACGACAGCACCGCCTCGTCGTCGTCCAACCTCTCTCTCCTCTCGCGCGTCGTCCACCCCGGCAAGCAGCACACGCAGCATGGCGAGCTCCTCTGTTGGCTCTGCAGTACACGGGCAAGCGCATTGAACTGACCCTCGCCAGCACACGCGCCCCCTCTCGCGTCGCAGGCGACCCCGCTCGCAGGCCGACCTCCCGCTCCCTCTCCCTACCACCACCCTGCCGCACCCGCCATGCGCGCACAGTACTCGCCAGCTCGACAGCAGCAGCAGCACCGCGCGCACCCTCAGCACCCACCGCCCTCTCCCTCCTCGTCCCTCCTGAGCAACATCGCTCAACGCGCCTCGGCACCCGGCCTCGCCTCGCCCTCTCGACCACCCGGCGGCGGTGTGGGCATGCGTTCGAGCGGCTTCAGTGTCCGCAGCACCACGAGCGGCGGCAGCGCAGGCAGCGGCGGGAGCGGTGGGAGCGCGGGCGGCACGGGCTACGACCGCAACGCGGACCCGGCGGAGCTGTTCGTGCGCCAGGACCGCATCGGTGCGTCCGCCTCTCTCTCTCTGTGTGCTGGGGGAGTACGCGCTACGAGGCGCGAGGCCGTCGGCCGCCTGGAGCGAGGACGAGCCTGCGCAGGCACCGCTCGCCGAGCGGACCTTGCACGATGAGCCTGACCCTCTCCTCCCCCTTCTCTGCCCGACGCAGGCAAGGGCTCGTTCGGCGAGGTGTTCAAGGGCTACTCGGTCAAGACGCAGAAGGCGGTCGCGATCAAGGGTGCGTCCTCGCTCGCTCTCGATGTCGGGCTCACTCGCCTAGGAGGGACCTGACCGTCGTTACTGTACGTGGTCGCGCGCACAGTCATCAACCTCGAGGACGCAGAAGACGAGATCGAGGACATCCAGGTGCGCCCGTCGTCCTCTCTTCGTCCTCGTCCTCCTCGGCCGCACCTGCTCACGCTTGCCCACCTGCGCACAGTCCGAGATTTCGATCCTGTCGTCGCTCGACTCGCCGTTCGTCACCAAGTACGAGGGCTCGTGGCTGAGGGGCCACGAGCTGTGGATCGTCATGGAGTACCTGTCGGGCGGCTCGTGCGGCGACTTGCTCAAGCCGGGCACGTTCAAGGAGGACTACATCGCCATCGTGTGCCGCGAGCTGCTTCGCGGGCTCGAGTACCTGCACGAGGAGGGCAAGCTGCACCGCGACATCAAGGGTGCGTCGAGGCGGTCCTCTCGCGCTCGTCATCTCGCACGTCCGAGGCGACACTGACACGCTCGCCGTCGCCTCACAGCCGCCAACGTCCTCCTCAGCGCCTCTGGAGATGGTTCGTCTCTCCCTCGTTCTGTCCGCTGTCGGCGACGCCCTCACTGACCTCGTCTCGCCGCCCGCAGTCAAGCTCGCCGACTTTGGCGTTTCGGGCCAGCTCACGGCGACCATGACCAAGAAGAACACGGTGCGTCTACCTTTTCTCCTCTCGGTACCCTCTTCCGGTCCACCCTGACTGACGCGGTCGTCGGTCCTCGCAGTTTGTCGGCACGCCGTACTGGATGCCGCCCGAGGTCATCAAGCAGAGCGGCTACGACTCGAAGGCCGACATCTGGTCGCTCGGCATCACGGCGATCGAGATGGCCAAGGGCGAGCCGCCGTACGCCGAGCTGCACCCGATGAAGGTGCGTCCTGGCTGTCCCCTCGCCCGCTCGAGCTCCTCTCGAGCTCGGGCGGCCGTTTGTCCGACCGTGCTGCTGTGGACGACACTGACCCGCGCCTCTTCTGTCGACAGGTCCTGTTCCTCATCCCCAAGAACCCGCCGCCGACGCTCGACGACCCGCCCTTCTCCAAGCCGTTCCGCGACTTTGTCGCCCTGTGCCTGCAGCGCGACCCGCTCGCGCGCCCGTCGGCCAAGGACCTCCTCAAGCACCCGTTCATCCGCAAGGCGCGCAAGACGAGCTACCTCACCGAGCTCATCGACCGCCTCGACCGGTGGAAGGCCGAGACCGAGGGAGAAGGGCAGGCGCGAGGCGGCGAGGACGGGTCTGGAGGAGAGAGCGACACCGAGTGCGTCCACCTCTCGCCATGCGACGTTGTCTCTGTCTCTCGCGAGCGACCCTGACCATGTTGATGTCGCCGTCTTTGTGCGCACAGGGCCCTCGCGCTCGCCGACGACCTGTGGGACTTTGGCACGGTGCGCCACATGCACGCTCGCGCCGACGGGCCCGCCACGATCCGCCGGCGTCAACAGCAGCAGCAGCACGAGCAGCACCAGTCCCGCCTCCCTCAGCATCCGCAGCCGCACTCGCGCGCCCCGCCGCAGCCGCCTCACCACCGCTCGGCGCCCGCACCCGCGCTCGCACCCGTCGCCGCGCCCGTCCGGTCGCACGACTTTGCCGACACGGTGCGCGGTGCGCCCTCGGCGCACTCGGAGTACGACGACTACTCGTCGGCGGCGTCGTCGTCTGGCGGGGGCGGTGGAGGAGGAGGAGGAGCGGCGAGGGACGCCGACGCGCGCGCGAGGGCGGCGCTCGACCGCGAGAGGGAGAGGCTCGAGCGGCTGAGGATCGACGAGCGGGAGAGGGCGGTCGAGAGGGAGAGGGAGGAGCTCAGGGCGAGGGCGGCGGCGCAGCAGGACGAGGTGGACGAGGAGGAGGGAGTGGGCGAGATCCTCGACACGGTCGTCCTCCCGGTGCTCGACTCGGTGCGTCGCTGCTCAGCCCTTTCTCTCATCCCTCTCGAGTATACCCGAGCGAGTGACTGACCCTAGTCAAGCGCCTCGACGCAGATCCACGACCGCATCACCAACCCGGCCGCGCGCGACTCGATCTTGCGCTTCCGGGCCGCGCTCCAGCAGGTCGAGCGCGAGGTCCCGGGCCTCATCAACGTGTTCGTCAGCGAGGTGGTCGACTCTGTCGAGGTGCGTCGCGGCGTCCTCTCTGTCGAGCGCCTCGAGGATGCCCGCACTGACCTCCCTTCGTCCTCCTCTGCTCGCAGCCTGAGCCCGAGAGCGAGTGATGGCCCGCCCAGTCGCCCTTCGCTCGTCTACGTCATCTCCATCGTCGCCGACGTCGCCTTGCGCGCACTCTTGAAGGGTTGTACATCGTGCGGCGGGTCCTCTCTCACCTCGTCGACAGCTTTCCCGACCTCCCTCGTCCTCCTTGACTTTGCCCTTCGTCCTTCTTCTTGTCTCTTTCGACCCACTCTGCATTGCGTCTCTTCTGTAGATACCCTCGTTCCACTGCAACCTCGACGACGTTGTCTATCGTCCCTCGCCCGATTGGCCGGCAGAGAGCGCTCGGGTCTTCACTCGCCGCAGAGCGCTCCGGATGGCCTCGGCTGCCGCGACAGCGACGAGCGCAAACCGCTCTGCTGCTCTCGACAACGGGCGAGGCGCTCGCGGAAAGCTGCCTCGGCAACCTCTGGAGCCGGGCGGCTCGTCGCGAGGGAACCATCTGCCCTACTCCCTCGTCCTCACCTGCATCGCCTTTGTTGCACTCGCTGCACTCGCCCTCTACCGACACTCAAGCACCGACATGAGCAAGGTGCGTCCCGATCTCGCTCACGCACGCGGAGGGAGGGAGCGAGCCACCCCCACCCCGGGTCGTCGTCGCATGGTTCCTCGCCCGCTCTCGCGCCGTCCAGGCGGCTGGGTGGGCGTCGAGTGCCATGTACACGTCCTGGGAGCGCACGAGCAGAAGGATGCCTGTGCGGAAGGCCCTTCGCTGACCTCCTCGCCTCGCTCTCCTCCGCAGACTCTCACCGCCAAGGAGGTGTCCGACCACGCAACGGCCGACTCTGCCTGGGTCATCGTCGACGGCGGCGTGTACGACGTGACCGAGTTCGTCGAGGAGCACCCCGGTCCGTCTCCCCTTCCTCGTCCTCCTGCCCGCCTCTCCTTGTGAGTCGCTGACCTCGTGCACACGCACCCGCAGGCGGCAAGAAGGTCCTCCTCAAGGCGTGCGGCAAGGACAGCTCGAAGCAGTTCTGGCAGTTTCACAACGAGAAGATCCTCAAGAAGGTCGCGGCGCAGTACCGCATCGGCTCGGGTGCGTCTCTCTTTCTCTCTCTCGGTCCTCCTCGTTCCGCCTCGTGAGCCGTTCACTGACTGAGGTCACGCACACAGTCGGCGAGACGTCCAAGCTGTAGAGCGACGAGTCGAGCAGCCGTCCTCGCCGTGTTGTATTGTCCATCCTCGTCTGTGCCTCTCGCTCGCAGTTCTCGAGAGACGGAAAGAGAGAAAGACAGCTCGTCCTCGTTGCAGCTCTCGCGTCTTCTACGCCTTGACCCATGGTGGCGGCACATCGAGGTCGACGTTGCCGCCGCTCAGGACGACGCACACCGGGCCCTCGACTCGCAGCTCGCGAAACTTGGCGCTCCGCGCGAGCGCGAACGCGACGGCGCCGCTCGGCTCGACGACCGTCTTGAGACGCTGCCACAGGAGGCGCTGCGCATCGAGGATCTCCTGCAGGGTGCGCGCCGAGAGGAGAGTGTCAGTTTCGAGGACCAGAGGGGGCAGAGAGACAGAAGGGGAGCCGACTCGCCTCGTCGGTGACCGTCATGACCTTCTCGACATCCTGCTGCACGACAGGCCAGTTGTGCTCGCCGACCGGCGTCAAGAGGCCGTCGGCGATGGTTTCAGGCTTAAAGTCGGTGATGCGCCGCCCTTCTGCGAGACCTCGTACGCAATCGTCTGCTCCCGCCGGTTCTGCAGAGGATGACGAGCGTCAGTGACACATTCTCGAGTGTGACAGAGAGAGAGAGCATGGGACGCACCTGCGCCAAAGACCCGCACGCCCGTCCCTCGAGCTGCGACAGCAATGCCGCCGAGGAGCCCTGCCCCTCCGACAGGCGCGATGATTGCCCCGAGCTTGCCCCACCCTCCCTCTCGCGCCTGCTCCTCGACCTCGAGAAAGACGGTGCCCTGGCCGAGCATGGTGTTAACGGCGTCGGACGGCGGGACGTAGCACGCGCCCGTGCGCCGCTGCACGTCGGCGAGGGCGGCTTCGCGCGACTCGATCGACGGGTCGCACAGCGTCAGGTTGCCGCCGTAGGCGCGCACGGCGGCGAGCTTGGCGGCGGGTGCGGTGCGCGGCGAGACGATGTGGGCGGGGATGTCGAGGTCGCGCGCGACGAGGGCGAGGGCGGCGGCATGGTTTCCTGTCGGGTGTACGGAAGAGCAGGGTGGCGACGCAAGGGTCAGGACTGTTCTGAGTGCGCGGGAAGGGAAGAGAGAAGGCGAGGACGGACCGCTGGACTGGGTGACGACTCCTCGTCGTCGCTCGTGGTCGGTGAGGCACGCGACCGAGTACGTCGCGCCGCGGATCTTGAAGCTGCCGCTCTTGTTGCAGTTCTCGGCCTTGAAGAGGAGCGTGTAGCCGGCGTCGTGGGAGAGCGAGGTGGACGAGAGAAGTGGGGTGCGGTGGACGAGCGTGGCGATGGCTCGGTGGGCTTGCTGGACCGAGGCGCGTGTCAAGGGAAGCGGAGCAGTCGAGGGACCGTCCATGGCAGCAGCAGGGCTCGATGGGAGGGAAGCTGGAGTCGGCCAACCCTCAGGCCTCATCTCCCCCCGCCCGCTTCTCACTCCTCCTACTCCGCCCTCGGCTCCCTCGACTGCCGAGTGAGCACCTGCACCTGCTCCCAGCACCATGCCCAGACCGTCCGCCACCACCCCGCACAACTCGCGCGCGACCCCGTCCCCCTTCGGCTTCAGTGAACGCACCCAGGCCGCCCCGCTCCGCAACGGCAAACTCGCAGCGAGGGACTACTACGACGACAGCCAGGCCAACCTCAGCATCGACCAGGTCGAGGACCTCCGCCGCCAGTCCAACCTCAGCACCTTGTCGCTCTCGCCCCGCCGACCCTCGTCCCTCGCCCACTCTGGCTCGACCACTACCGCCCGCCCTCGCCGTGGCACGCCCCTCGCCTTTGCCCGACCAGGCGACGCCGCCGACGACGACAACACGGGCTTCCTCGCCGCCCACTCGGTCGACGACGGCGCCCCCTGGACCTTGGTCGACCGCCTGCGCAACTGGCGCAACGACGCCATGACCCAGCACCTGTACGACTCGGCAAAGTTCTGGGGCGGCAAGGTCCTCGAGCTCACCGGTCCGTCCTCGCTCTTCCCCGACGAGCGAGAGGCGCCCTGTACTCACGCTCCCCACCCCGCAGGCAACGCCGACGACGCCTTCTGGCTCGCCCAGACCCACTTCCTCACGCACCAGTTCGCCCAAGCCGAGCGCATCCTCACGTCTCCTCGACCCCCTTCATCCGCCTCGACCTCGACTGCGCCGCCCGTGCGCCTCACCGACGTCAGCCTCGCGTGCCGGTACCTCGCCGCCCAGTGCCAGGTCCGCCTCGGCAAGTGGGACGACGCGCTCGAGATGGTCGGCCGACGGGGCGTGCTCGGCGCCGACGTGCGCGACGGCAAGGGCGACGGCGGCATCAAGGTGCGTCCACGAGCAACGTCCTCCTGTTCTCGTCCTCGAGCACAGCCTGACCCACCACTTCCCCTCGCGCAGCTCACCGCCTCGGCCGCACACCTGCGAGGGCTCATCCACCTGCACATGAAGGCGACCGAGCTCGCCAAGGAGGCCTTCATGGAGGCCCTGAGCCGCGACGTCAAGTGCTTCGAGGCGTTCGAGATGCTCGTCGGCGGCGAGATGATGTCGAGCGAGGAGGGTGCGCTCCCGTCTCTCTTTCTTCCTTCTCCGTGCGCATGACCTGACCAGCTGCATGTCGTGCACAGAGTGGGACTTCATCCAGGGCTTGCCCTTTCACGCCCAGACCGAGGACGACGCCGAGTTCGTGCGCATGATGTACACGGTCCGCCTCAAGAAGGTGAGCTCTCCCTTCCACGTCCTCCACTGCGACGGATCGTGACTAACTCGAGGAACCGGGCGCGCAGATCTCGCACAACAACGACATGGCGATCGCGCGACAGCGGCTCTCGGACGAGTACGGCCTCGGCAACGACCCGGACGTGCTGTGCAGCAGGGCCGACGAGCTGCACAGCGCCATGCGGTACGCCGAGTGCTTCAAGATCACGACCCAGTACGTCCCCTCTCGCTCTCTCCCCGAGTCGTCCCGCTCGGACCCCTCACTGACCCTCCTCTCTTCCTCCTCGAGCAGCATCCTGTCGATCCACCCGTCGCACCGCCTCACGCTGCCTCTGCACCTCTCGTGCATGCACCACCTGCCCAACCTGCGGTCCAAGCTGTTCCTCGTCGCGCACGACATGGTCGACAACGAGCCGGACGACGTCATCAGCTGGTACGCCGTCGGCCTGTGGTACTTTGCTGGCAAGCGGTGGGAGGAGTCACGCAGGTTCTTTGGGTGCGTCCCACGCTCCCTCTCTCTCCCTCTCTGTCGCCGATCGAGCCGTCGAGCTCACCATGCTGCCTCCCCCGACTCGCAGCAAGGCCGTCCTCATCGACCCGCGCTTCGGCCCTGCATGGCTCGCGTACGCACACTCGTTCGCGCACGAGGGCGAGCACGACCAGGCCATCACGGCCTACTCGACGGCGCAGCGGCACCTGCCCGGGTCGCACCTCCCGCTCCTCTTCATCGGCATGCAGCACCTCGGGCTCGCCAACGTCAAGCTCGCCCAGGAGTACCTCGAGGCGTCCAAGGAGATCTGTCCAGACGACCCGCTCGTCCTCAACGAGCTTGGCGTCGTCGCACTGCAGAACCAGGAGTGCGTTCCCCTCCCTCTTTCCCTCTCCCTCCCTCTTTCTCGGCTCGAGATGAACGACCGTCGCTCACACTTGCTCCCTCGTCGCAGGTTCGACAAAGCTGCCCAGCTGTTCCGCGAGACGCTCGGCGTCGCTCGGCACGTCCAGAGCTCGCCGGCGGCCTGGAGCGCGACGCACCTCAATCTCGGCCACGCGTACCGCAAGCTCAAGTGCGCCCGCGCTCTCCCTCTCTCTCTCGTCTCTTCTCGCCCTCTACTGGGCGTGGCTGACCTTGGGCCGACCGCCTGAGTACAGGCTGTGGGACAAGGCGCACGCCGCGTTCCGCAAGGTGATCGAGCTCGACCCGCGGTCGGCGGGCGCGTACGCCGCCCTCGGCATCGTCGAGCACCAGCGCGGCAACATGCAGGAGTCGATCGCGAGGTACCACGAGGTGCGCCCGCCTCTCTCTCCCCTGGAGACCTCGCAAGCGCCCTCGACCGACCGACTGACCCAAACGCTCCTCTCTCTCGCCCTCGTCCGCCCCTCCTCCTCTCTCTCTCGATCGCAGGCACTATCGCTCGCACCGGGCGACCCAGTCACGTGCGACCTCCTCAAGCTCGCGCTCGACGACGTCTCGACGCAGATCTCGGCGCTCAAGCTCCCCTTCCCGGGCCTGCCGGCGCGCACGCTGCGCAACATCGACGAGCAGGTCGCCGCGCTCGAGGACGACATCCTGTGCGGGCGCGGGCTCGCCGACGAGGTGCGGGACGAGGCGAGGGCGCGCGAGGGAGACGGAGCCGGCGAGCTGAGTCGGGTCGGGGAGGAGGACGAGGGGGTCGAGGGGAGCGAGATGCTGCAGAGCATGGCTGTGTCGCGCAGCGAAGACGGGATCGAGGTCAGCATGGAGGAGGAGGACGACGACGAGGGCGACGATGAGGGCGACGAGGGCGAGACGATGGACATGACGGGCGAGTGAGACTGTCCTCGTCGCAGCGCCCGAGCGTGCAACGAGTCGTGCCTCTCGTCTCCCGATCCCAATCTCTCGTTTTCCCGAGAGCTCGCAGAGCGTCGCACTGCATAACCGAGCGTCCATTGCAGACGAAACTCGTCCGTCGTCCTCGCCCGCTCAGCTCCTCCTGACAAAGTTGGCGTCGATCTGCCTGAGCTGGGGCAGCTCGAGCTGAACCTTGCGCCGGTACGCTGTGCCGAGGTCTTTCTGAATCGGGTTGCCCTCGAGGTAGATGGTCGTCAGGGCCGGGTGCGTCGACTCGGGCAGCGACGGGATCGTGCGCAGCTGGTTGTCGTTGGCCTGTCGGGGCGCCGCGAGAGAGTCTGTCAGTGCCGAGGCTCGAGAGAGGGCGTGGAGGGAAGAGAAGAGAAGAGGGGACGCACCCAAAGTTCCTCGAGCTCGACGAGCGGCGCGAGCTCCTCGGCCGGCGCGTCCTCGATCTTGTTGTGCCCGACGTCGAGCGTCGTGAGCTTGGTCTGTGCGTCCATCGCACTCCCGCATCAGTGCTCGGCCCTGAAGAAGGTAGAAGGCGCAGAGGAGGAGAGAGGTGGACGCACGAGCTTGCGAAGGCCCTCGATCCGGGTCAGGCCGTTGTGCGACAGGTACAGCTCCTCGAGCTCGGTGAGGGCGTCAAGCCCCTCGATCTTGGTGAGACGGTTGCCTGTGAGGCGGCCGACGTCGTCAGGTTCGTCGTGTTCGAGACGAGGAGGAAGAGGGCAAGGCGCCGCACTCTGGATGCTCAGCGTGCGCAGGCCCGTCAGGCCGTCGAGACCCTCGATCTTGGTGATCTTGTTCTTGCCGAGGAAGAGCGAGCGCAAGTTGGCCGACACGGGCAGGTTCTCGATCGTCTGCGGGCGGCCAAAGCGAGTCAGTCGGCGTATGGCGCGGGCGCAGAGGTAGAGAGAAAAAGGGCGAGGGACGCACCCGGATGCGGTTCCCGCCGTACTCGAGGTAGGTGAGGCTGTCGCGGTGTCGGACGCCCTCGATCTTGGTGAGCTTGTTCTGGATGAGGTACAGGTGCGTGAGGTGCTTGAGCGCGAACGGCGAGTCGGGCGACGCGTCGTCGAGGGGTGCGACTGAGCGCAGGAGGTTGAAGGACAGGTCGAGGGACCTGTACACAGGGTGCGAGAGTCAGTGCGGGCGGCGAGGGACGTGGGGCGAGACAGGGAGGGGGACGCACTCGAGCGAGTCGAGCCCTTCTAGGCCCTTGATGCTCTTGAGGCTGTTGTCGTACAGGTCGAGCTCCTCGAGGTCGCTCAAGCCGCGCAGGGGCCACACGGGCTCCTCGTCCTCGGCGCGGCGCCGCTCGTGGTACGGGAACTCGGCCTCCTTCTTGGCCGCGTCGTCGTCGTCGAGCGGGTCCTCGTCGACGGCGTCTCGCGCATCGGCGTCGGCGTCGGCTGCGGTGGAAGTCGAGACGAGGGTTTGGCCGGCCGAGGAGGAGGAAGTGGGCGGGAGAGGGTGGTAGAAGAGGGACGAGAGGAGGTTCTGGCGGAGCGAGATGCGCTGCGTTGCGGAGCGGCCGAGTCAGCTGGGGGAGGAAGGAGGGGTTGGGAAGGAGGATGAGGGACGGACCTGGACCTTGCGGAAGCGCTCGATGCCGAGGCCGCGGAGGGTGCGCAGGCGAAGGTGGGTCAACTCGAGGTCGAGGGCGTCGTCGTCGAGGTCGGCGAGGATGTCCTCGTTCTCGGCGAGGACCTGGCCGGCGATGACCTGGTCGCCTTGGGGTCCGGAGGGTCCGTCGTCACCCAAGGGCGGGCCCATGACGAGCTGAGCCTTGCGTTCCGAGCGGCGCTTGTCGTCCTCGAAGTGGCGCTCGCCGAGCTTGAGGTTGGCGAAGGGCTCCTTTGTGCCGCCGTCCGAGACGTTGCCGCCATCCGACTCGGAGTCGTTCGGGTCGGCCATGCCGTTGGTGGGCGAGTCGCGGGGAGGAGGCGGTGCCGAGGTGGTGGTGGAGGGGGAGGAGGACGACGCCGGCTGGTCGAGGCCCGCCGGGAGGGAGGCGTCGGTGGGTTGGAGCAGGCCACTCATGAGCTCAGTCTGGCGGTCGAGTGCAATCAAGTGAGAGTCGCCGTCTGCGTCGTCTCGAGTCGGTCCTCATCAGCTCGACGAGACGCCGGCTCGCCTCGGCCACATGCGCAGAGAGCTCCACCATGCGCTCAGGCGTACTGCACGCGCTGCAGTACCCCAACCTGCGCCCCTGCGACCACCACCTCGCCGCGTCGCCTCGTCCCTGTGGTCGTCGTCGCCTCAACTCAGAGACCAAGTCGCCCTCGCGTGGATCCCGCGACTCGCCAGCGCGTACAACAGCGCCAGGTCCTTCTCGAGCTCTTCATCCTCGACAAGCGCAGCCGGGCAAACCCCACCGGTGCGTCCTCGTTTCCTCCTCCTCCTCCTCCTCCTCTCTTCTCGCGACTTTCTGCTGACCTTGTCCCTCCCCCGTGCATGCTCCCTCTCCGCCCGTCACCACCGCACCTGTCGATATCGCCCGTCTCGTCCCATTCCTCTCGTACCCTGCTCGCTCGACGCGTCCACTGCTTCACCGACCTCTCGACCCTCAGCCCGTGTCGAAGGCCCAGCAGCGCCTGCCGACTCTCGCCGACTTTCCGCCAGACAAGATCCGCAACTTTGCCTGCATCGCCCACGTCGACCATGGCAAGAGTGCGTCCCGCTTCCCCATCCTCGCGCGCCTTCCCTACCGTGCACGACGACCCTGACCTCGCTCGTCGCTTGCAGGCACCCTGTGCGACCGCATGCTCGAGATGACGGGCACTATCCCGCCTGCCGCCGTCAGTCGAGATCAGCCCGAGCAGGAGGCCAAGAACGAGCAGGTCCTCGACACGCTCAAGGTCGAGCGTGAACGCGGCATCACGGTGCGTCGCCGCCCTCTCTCGCCTTCCCTTCTCTTCTGTCCTCAGCCTGATCCTGATTCCCTTCTCTCTCGACGGCAGGTCCGCGCCCAGTCGGCGACCATGTTCCACCGACACTCGGACGGCGCCGAGTACATGCTCAACCTGATCGACACGCCGGGCCACGTCGACTTTGCGAGCGAGGTCCTGCGCTCGCTGCTCGCGTCCCAGGGCGTCATCCTCCTCGTCGATGCCGCACAAGGCGTCCAGGCCCAGACGTTGACCGTCCTCGACGAGGCCCTCAAGCGCAACTTGACTGTCGTCGGCGCCGGTGCGTCCTCGCTCTCTCGCCCTCGCTCGGTCGCCCGCTCCGGAGTGTGCGGCACGGGCTTTGAGCGCTTTGAGGTACTGACTCACGCGGCTCGCAGTCAACAAGTGGGACCTCGTCAAGGACGACGGCCGCGGCGAGGCCGTCCTGAGCGAGCTGTCGGACCTGCTCGGCTGCGCGCCGTCCGACATCCTGCGCATCAGCGCCAAGACGGGCTGGGGCGTCGACTCGGTCCTCGACGCCGTCGTCGAGCGCATCCCGCCGCCGCCGCCTCGAGCGAGCGAGGACGTCAAGGAGCCGTTCCGCGGCTTGGTGTTCGACAGCTGGTACGACTCGTTCCGGGGCGTCGTCAGCTTGGTGTCGGTGTTCGAGGGCGAGGTCAAGAAGGGTGCGCCCCGCTCTTCTTCTCGTACCTCTTCCCCCTTCTCGCACGGACCCTGACCCGCCCGTCTTCCTCCCCGCCTCTCCCCTCCCTCCCACCTGCAGGCGACTCGATCACGTCGACCATCACCGGCAACGACTACACGGTCCTCGACCTCGGCATCCTGTCGCCGCGCGAGATCAGCATCGCCGAGCACCCGGACGCCCACTCGCGCTCCTTGCGCAAGGGCATGGCCGGCTGGGTCGTGTGCGGCATGAAGAACCCCAAGGACGGTGCGCTCGCTCTCTCTTACTCTCTCTTGCGTGCACGGAGCCGTCGTTCTGGACCTGACGTGCGCTCGAACCGGGCAGCCTTCCTCGGCGACACGTTCCACCTCACGTCGGCGCCGACCCCGCCGCTCGAGTCGTTCAAGCCGCTCAAGTCGATGGTGTTCGCCGGCATCTACCCGCTCGACCCAGGCGGCTTCACCAAGCTTGAGGAGGCGATCCGGCGCCTCACGCTCACGGACCGCTCGGTGACGAGCAACCGCGAGAGCTCGACGTTCCTCGGTCAAGGGTTCCGCCTCGGCTTCAACGGCAGCCTGCACATGGACGTGTTTCGGCAACGGCTCGAGGACGAGTTCGGCGAGGAGGTCATCGTCACGAGGCCGCTCGTGCCCGTCAAGCGTGCGTCCTCTCTCTCACTCTCTCCCCCTCTCCCCTCGTCTCCCGACCTCTCACTGAGTATCTCGCCGCCCGCAGTCACGTTCAAGGACGACACGGAGCGTACGATCGACAACCCGGCCGACTTTCCCGACCCAGGCGGCCTGCTCAAGGTCGTCCGCGTGCAGGAGCCCATGATTCGCGCGACCATCGTCGCGCCGGACGAGTACACCGGCGCCATCATCAACCTGTGTACTGTGCGTCCCCTTTGTCCTTCTCTCCTTTGTCGAGTCGAGCCGAGCCTGACGACGATCCTCGCCGACACAGTCTCATCGAGGCGTCCCGCTCTCGCACACCTACCTGTCGGGCTCGGCGGCCACGTCGACGGCAACGGGCACCTCGACTGCGCTCAAGCCTCGCGTCACGATGCTGTACTCGCTGCCGCTCAGCAGCATCATCACGTCGTTCCACTCGTCGCTCAAGTCGATCTCGAGCGGGTTCGCCTCGTTCGACTACGAGGAGGCGCCGTACGAGGACAGCGATCTGTGCCGCATGAACATCCTCGTCAACGGGCAGAAGGTGGACGCGCTGTGCACGGTCGCGCACCGCAGCGAGGTCCAGAAGGAGGGGCGCGAGTGGGCCAAGCGCCTGAGGGAGGTCATCCCGAGGCAGCAGCACGAGGTGCGCCCGGCCTTCCTTCTCCTCTCTCCTGGCGTGAGTCGACGTACTGACTCTCTTCGATCGGCATCGTGCAGGTCGTCATCCAGGCCGCCGTCGGGTCAACTATCCTCGCTCGCGAGCGGTCCGTCTCACTCTCTTGCTCTTTCTTCCTGCTCCACCCCAATCCCTGACGCCGTCACGCTCCGACAGCATCGCGCCTTTCCGCAAGGACGTCACGGCCGGCCTGTACGGCGGGCACTACGAGCGCAGTGCGTCGCCTCGGCCCTCCTCTGCCCTCGAGCCGCACGGACCTGACCTCTCTTCCCTCTCTCCCTTCCTTCTCCTTCCCCCTCGCCCGCTCGTATCGCAGAGATGAAGCACCTCGCAAAGCAAAAGGCGGGCAAGGCGCGTCTCAAGGAGCGCAGCATGTGCGTCCTCCTCCTTCCTCCGTCGGTCTCTCGTGCGCCCCGAGACCGTCCATTGACGTCCTCTCGCCCCCTCTCGCTCCCTCTCCCACCCTCTCTTCATCCCCTCCCTTCCACGTTCCGGCTCGCTTGCTCTCTCGCCATCGCTGTCCCCCTCGCAGCGGCCGCATCACGATTCCGACCGAGGCGTTCCACGCGGTGCTCGGCGGGCAGGAGGTCAAGCGCAAGGGCCAGGCGGCCGACAAGGACAAGCGCAAGAAGCATTAGAGCTGGGGCTGCTGGGCGTGTTGTACTCGTTTGAGCTGGGGCGAGAGGGTGGCGAGGCCGCTGCAATTGCATCTCGAGTCTGCAGGACGCTTTGGTCGCTCGCGAGACGCGGTACTTGGGAGAGTTCAGCTGCAGAGAGTCTCGTTGAGACGCAAGCTCGACGGCTGGGACCTGACCCTCACCTACTTCTCTCGAAACCGAGAAGTTGACCTCGTCGAGCAAGAGAAGGTAGCTGCGGGACGCTGTAGCTGCTCGAGAGTAGTTTAATCCCGGGTTCCGCCGCTCTCACAATCCTTGTTGAGACGAATACTCGATGCCTAGAACCTGACCCTCACCTACTTCTCTCGAAACCGAGAAGTTGACCTCGTCGAGCAAGAGAAGGTGGCTGCGGGACGCTGTAGTTTAATCCCGGGTTCCGCCGCTCTCACAGTCCTTGCTGAGACGAATGCTCGACGTCTGGGACCTGACCCTCACCTACTTCTCTCGAAACCGAGAAGTTGACCTCGTCGAGCAAGAGAAGGTGGCTGCGGGACGCTGTAGCTGCTCGAGAGTAGTTTAATCCCGGGTTCCGCCGCTCTCACAGTCCTTGCTGAGACGAATGCTCGACGTCTGGGACCTGACCCTCACCTACTTCTCTCGAAACCGAGAAGTTGACCTCGTCGAGCAAGAGAAGGTGGCTGCGGGACGCTGTAGTTTAATCCCGGGTTCCGCCGCTCTCACAGTCCTTGCTGAGACGAATGCTCGACGTCTGGGACCTGACCCTCACCTACTTCTCTCGAAACCGAGAAGTTGACCTCGTCGAGCAAGAGAAGGTAGCTGCGGACGCTGTAGCTGCTCGAGAGTAATTTAATCCCGGGTTCCGCCGCTCTCACAGTCTTTGCGGAGACGAATGCTCGACGTCTGGGACCTGACCCTCACCTACTTCTCTCGAAACCGAGAAGTTGACCTCGTCGAGCAAGAGAAGGTAGCTGCGGGACGCTGTAGCTGCTCGAGAGTAGTTTAATCCCGGGTTCCGCCGCTCTCACAGTCTTTGCTGAGACGAATGCTCGACGTCTGGGACCTGACCCTCACCTACTTCTCTCGAAACCGAGAAGTTGACCTCGTCGAGCAAGAGAAGGTAGCTGCGAGACGCTGTAGCTGCTCGAGAGTAGTTTAATCCCGGGTTCCGCCGCTCTCACAGTCCTTGCTGAGACGAATGCTCGACGTCTAGGACGTGACCCTCACCTACTTCTCTCGAAACCGAGAAGTTGACCTCGTCGAGCAAGAGAAGGTAGCTGCGGGACGCTGTAGCTGCTCGAGAGTAGTTTAATCCCGGGTTCCGCCGCTCTCACAGTCCTTGCTGAGACGAATACTCGACGTCTAGAACCTGAGCGGCACCTACTTCTCTCGAAACCGAGAAGTTGACCTCGTCGAGCAAGAGAAGGTAGCTGCGAGACGCCCTGACCGCTCTCGTTCCCGCTCTCTCGCACTCTCGTTCTCGACCGCGACTTCGAGTTCTGTCCACAAACACTCACGTTGCAATATGGGCGGACAAGACAAGGTACCGCCGACGCGACGCGCCGGACCGAAAGACGAAGAGGACGAAAGAGGAAGCGTTCAGAGAACGTCCTGCCCGAGACGATACGCGACGAGGCCTTGGACCTTGTGGCGGTTGGTCGAGAAGGAGCGGAGGCGGACCTGTGCCGCATGGGCGAGAGTGTCAGTCGCCTGCTCGAGAGCCGGAGAGACCTGCGGAACGAGGGACGCACCTGCTCTGCGTTGCCGATGATCATGTGCGGGTCGCTGTCGATCCACTCTATAGGCACCTCGGTGTCCTTCTTGGCGTACGTGAGGATTGTAAAGACGTCTGCGGGAGAGGGCGGGTGAGCCAGTCCTCCTTCTCGACTAGCTGGACCGCGTTGCGCACGACTCGACCGACGAGAGAATGCGAGAGGAGCTAGGACGCACATTGCTCTTCGAGCGAGGGGAGGAAGGTGACGCTCGACGTGATCTGGCGCATGATGTCCTGGATGTCCTTTTGCACTTGTTCGGGCGTCTTCTCCGTCTTGGCCTTGGGCCCTGCTGCGGCGGGCGCGCTGTGGATGGGGGAGCATGTCGGTCAGATCCGCGAGGTTTGCGTCCAAGGCGAGCGCGCGAAGACGGGTGGCGGCCTGCACGGGCGCGACGATGCAGAGAATCAAGCCGACGCACCCGTCATTCTCCTTGCCCGCCGGCGCTCCTTCTCCCGCTCCCTCGGCTGGCGGCTCCTCGACGTGTACGTCAAACTGCCACCGTTCGACGACCTCGCGGGTATCGCGGTTCATGATGATGAGGGCCAGCGAGTCGAGCTTGCCGGCCAGGATCCAGTCTGCGGGGGAGGGAGGGAGGACACGGGTCAGTGCTGCGAGTTAACGCAGGTCCGGTCCACCGAGCGCACGTGCGCGCACTGCGGGCTGCGCGGAGAGACGCAGACGAGGCGAAAGAGGGAACGAGTCGCGGACGCACTCTGGACCTGCTTCATGAGGTTCTGGATGTAGCGCTCGAGGGCCTCGTCGGCGCTCGTGAAGAGCGTGAGGCCGTACTTCTTGACCTGCTTGAAGTCCTCGGGCGGGTAGACGCCACGCTGGTACAGGATGCTGCGCGAGGCGAGAGAGGGGAAAGGGGAGGTTGGGTGGGGGAGCGAGTCAGCGAGGCACGTCCTCCAGACACGGGCGCGCTCGCCGGACCTCCAGACGAGCTGCACAGAGGCAAGGGAGAGACCGACTCACGAGTTGACCGAGTACTCGAAGAACTCGGTGACGATCTTGGTCGAGCCTTTGAGGCTGAGCGTCTGGCCCTGCTTGCGCTTGGTGGCCATGACGGCGGGTCGCTATCGGGCAGAAGAGGGCGTGTCGAGGAACTCTGGGTGTAGCGCGAGGCTCTGGCGAGCGAGGTCGTGGCGGTGTCGGCACGAGGAGATGAAGGACGGACGGCTGCAGGAGAGGGGAGCGAGTGAGTCGTGTGGGCGACGAGGCGAGGTGGAAGGGCTCGCAAGCCATCACTCACAGGCTTGGCGCGTGGCTAGAGCGAGCTGAGCGAGTCGGAGGACGAGAACAGACGAGCTGCCCCCGCTTCATCGCCGCCCATGTTGGACGAGCTCGTCGCCTTCTCTCATGGCTCGCTGCAGGAGTTTCGAACGTGCCAAGGCTGTGAGAGCATACTCTCGGCCCCTCTACAGCTGCTCGGAGCACGCGAGCGTCAGGCCACGACCTCCTTCTCCTCCTCGGCCGCCTCGAACACGAGAGGATTAAGCACAACCGGGCACAGCATTGCAGCACAGCTTGGGAGGGAAGGGGGGTATCGCAGAGGAAAGGAAAGGGAACCCATGCGACTCCCGCTCACAGCTTGGCCGTCCCTGCCGACGCGCCCTCCTGCTCCGGCGCAGGTGGCGACTGCCCCTCCTCGCACGCCTGGCGCATCTCGCGCAGCGCCTCGGTCAAGTTGCGCCGGAAGACCTCGGTCGACGTCTCCTTGCACGACACCTTGGACTCGATGCCGAACTTGATGACCTGGTTGCCGGCGAGGTCTGCGGCGACGACGACGAGGGTCAGGGACGAGGGGACAGACGAGGGAAGGGAGAGCGAGACGCACAGTTGATGCCGTATCCGGTCGGGTACACAGCGCCAAAGCCCGTCCCGAAGAAGCGGTCGCCGGCGCTGAGGCCGCTCGTCGAGAGGACCCACTCCTGGCTCTTGGCGAACAGCGGGTCGTCGAACAGCGGGTGCGATTCGCCCTCGCGCAGGACGAGCCGCAGGCCGAGGAAGTGGCGGTCGATGCCGCGACCGGTCGACGAGTCCTTGGTGTACGTGTTGTGCGCCTTGGTCGCGGCCGACAGGAGGTCGTAGCGGGTCTTGGCCTGCAGAGCGTTGAGGACGAGGTCAGGACGACGGCGACGGGCAAGAGGGAGGCCCACACGAGAGATGGAGAGAGAGGGAGAGAAGACGCACGTCGGCTGCAGGGTCGCGCATGGCCTTGACGAACCTCCAGCTGTCCTCGCTGAACGTGCGGATCACGTCGGTGCGGCCGTGCTGGAACAGCCTCGTCGACGCCGTCTCGTACGTCGCCGTCGGCTTGTTGTGCGTCTTGTGGTACGCGAGCTGGAGCGCCATCTGGAGGTACGCGTCGGGCGACTGCTTGCCTGCGAGAGAGGGAAGGGGAGGGGGAGTCAGTCGAGGCGCCCTTCTCGACGACGACGACGACGACGGCGGGAGGCGAGAAAAGCGTGACGCCGACGTACCGACCTGCTTGATCCAGCCTGCGCCGTACTCGTCGTACCAGAGCATCTTGCCCTCGCTGTCGGCCGCGAGCTCCTCGACCGTCTTGCCCGCCTTGGCGATCGCCTCGCGCGTCACGTCGTCGACGACCCACTTGAGCGGCTTGGGCGCCTCGGCGACGTGCGCACCGCGCCGACTCGGCTGCTGCGGGTCGAGGTTCTCGGCGAGCGCGTAGTCGCACACGATCGAGGGGATGAGGGCGTCGCACGGCGAGTGCTCGCCGACCATGCTCGCGCGCCCGTTGGCCTCGACGTGGACGCCGACCGCCTTGTCCCACCACCGGTTGCGGCCCGTCCCGTTGGCGCTGCTCGCGTTGCGGATGTGCGCGTCGAGGTCGGGCGTGTTGCGCGACGGCGACGACGAGACGTACTCGGCCGATGCGAGCGTGTAGTTGTCGAGCGACAGGACGAACAGCGAGTCCTCGACGGCTGTGCACGACGCACGGTTGACGGGCGACACCGACAGGAGGTGCTCGCGCGCGACGGTCCAGCTGTCGCGGTCGTCGGCCGACAGGAGGCCGACCGGGTCGGGCGCCGCACCGCGGCGCTGTGCGTCCTCGGCGATGGCCCACAGCTGGGCCTCGAGCTCAGACGTCGGGAGCGGGTCGCCGCTCGCCGCGTCGACGACGCGCAGGACGTAGAAGTGGTCGAGCGCCATGACGATGATGTTGGGGCTCGGGTGCGGGTACGGGACGTGGACGAGCGTGTCGGTCGGCATTTGCGGGAGGCGAGTGACGCCAAAGACCCTGCGGGTGAACCAGAAACGTTGCGCGCGACCTGCGTCAGTGAGGGAACGGCGAGACGAGGGAGGAACGGCGGCCGAGGACGGTCAGGATGGGTAACACGACGAGGAAAGAGGGGCCCACCGCGTGTACTGGTGCATGTCGAACGGACCTGCTCGAGACGAGTCGGGGAGGATCTCCTGGCTGCAGGGCGGGCGAGGCCGTCAGTACCTCGGCAAAGAGATGAACGAGGTGCGAGAGCTGGACGGACCGGTCGATGCGGACCTTGAAGTCGATGAGACGCTGCGTCAACTTGGCCGCACGCTTGATCTGCCAGTCGGTGAACTCGCCTGCGAGGTACAGGAGGACAAGGTGAGCTCGCAAGCGCGCGAAGAAGGGGAGAGAAAGAGAGGGCGAAGGCTGGACGCACCCTGCGACGCGCCGCTGCTGCGGACCTCGGCCGGGATGCTCAGGTCGTCGTGGCACATGAGCCACCAGTTGCTGTTGATCGGGAGCGGGACGCGCCACGAGTGGTACGCGACCTTGATCCAGAAGTGGTCGTCGAGCCAGTTGCTCGGCGTGATGCGGTCGACGTCTGTGGGCGGCGCCGCTCGGGTCAGGTCACTTCTGGCTCGTGAAGGGAGACGTCGGAGAGGAAGCGGGAGCTGGACGCACCCTTGAGGCGCTCCTGGAGGACCCTGCCGAGCCCACCCTGCTTGACAAAGTCGGCGGCCCACTGGCGGCGCTGGTCGAGCTCCTTGTCGACCCAGTCCTGGCCGTGACCTTCTGCGTCGGCCTGGTCGAGGAGGAACGGGCGCAGGGACCGCAGGTACTTGTCGAGCGAGGCGTCGAGCGTCTGGATGGGGAGGCGGGGGAGCTCCTTCTGGCGCTCGAACGTGCGCGTCTGGTTGGCGCGGTACGGCGTGAGGGCGAACATGCGAGCTTGCTGGTGTGCGGTGGGACCGGGCTCGAGGTGTACGGCGAGGCGAGGGCGAGGGCGAGGCTGGAGGTGTTGGAGCTGGCGCGAGGCGGGGCGGGGGAACGACGGGAAGCAACGACGCGCGAGGGCTGGCAGAGCAGGCATACGAGGAGGACGCTGGGTGTCGCTCTAGAGGGCCATGCGCTGGTGCGGTGCGAGCCGAGGTGTGGGATTCGGACGAGAGACGAAGGCGACCTCGCACAGCCGGAGCCGGCCTGACCGGTCGCAGCGTTTCACGGCCAACTCGGCTGCTGCTTGCGCTCGCCTCGCTTGTGCAACGTACAGGGGCAGAACCGAGGCTCGCTAAGATGCACATCTACAAGAGAGCCCGCGACCGACACAGCTACTAGAGGGGGAGCTAAGGCAAAGGGAAAGGTGGCCGTCGCCGCGAGCAGGCAAAGAAAGAGCTCGACGGCGGACAGAGGGCACGAAAGACGAAGGGGCCAGGCTCGGGGAGACAAGAAGAGGGCGTCTAGCCGAAGATGTTCTTGCGCGCCGCACCGCCGCCGAGCGCGAGGCTGAGCGCCGACTTGTTCTTCGGCGGGTCGAGCTTGATGGGCGACAGGTCGAGCGGCACGACCGAGTTGATGTTGGCGTTCTGCGCGAGGTGACGATGGTCAGGACGAGGGACGGAGGGCAACGAGAGAGGAGGAGGAAGAGGCCGAACGCACCTCGAGGTTCCCCCACGACGTCGCAAACTTCTGCTTGGGCCCGCCGAAGAGCTGGATCTTCTTCTTCTTCTTCGGCGGCTCGCCGTCGACGTCCTTCTTGCCCTTCTTCTTCTTGGCCGGCTCGTCGACCGCCGCCGGCTCGTCGTCGTCCGTCTCGACCGCCATCTTCTTCTTGCCCTTGCGGACCTTGAGCGGCACGCCGCCGGCCTCGTCGCGCTCCTTGGTCGACTCGACGGTCGTCGACGAGTTGGCCGACTTGTCGCCGAGGACGCCCGCCTTGCGCTTCTTGGTCGGAGCGGCCTTCTTGGGCGTAGGCGCGTCGTCCTCGTCGACCTCGTCGTCGGCCGCCGGGGCAGGGACGACCTTCTTGACCTTCTTGACGACCGGCGCAGTCGCCTTGACGGCCTTGGCCTTGGGCTTGACCGCCGGTGCGCGGCTCTTGACCGGGGCGGGCGCGTCCTCCTTCTCAACGGCCGACTCGTCCTCGCGCTCCGACGCCGGCTCGCCAGCATCGTCGGCGCTGTCCTCGACCTCGGTCTCGAGGGCGACAGGCGCAGGTGACGGCGACGGGGTCGGCGCCGCCTTCTTGGCGGCGCGCTTGGTCTTGACGGGCGGCTCGGGCGACGCCTCGACGGTGTCGGCGGCGTCATCGTCGTTGTCGTGCTGCTGCGGCGCCGGCTTGACGGTGCTGCTGCTGCGCTGCAGGGCCTGCTTGGCGGCGGCGGTCGCGGCGCGGTGGGCGGTTTCGAGGGCGGACTGGGCGGCGGCGGCCGTCTTCTCGGACGCCTTGAGCGCAGCTTGAGTCGACTTGAGCTGCGTCTGTGACGACAAGATGAAGGACGATGGAGTCAAGGCCTCGTCGCGGAAGAACAAGGAAGGAGAGAAGAGCGGACGCGCCCGACGCACCTTGAGCTCCTTGACCTCGCCCTCGACCTTGTCCCGCTTGGCCTTCTCCTTCTCGAGCGCCTTCTTGTCGCCCTCCTCGCTCTTCTTGCCGCCCTGCTCGACGCGCTTGACCTCGGCCTTGAGCTCGTCGACCTCGGCGGCGACCGGCTCGAGCTCGGCGATGCGAGCCGACGACGCCGCGACATTCGCGTCGAACGCCGAGCGCAGGGACGACAGGTCGGAGCGGAGGGTGGCGATGGTCGACTCGGCGGTGTGGTACGACGAGAGGAGGAGCTGGCGGGCGCCGGACAGGGCCGAGATGCGGGCGTCGCGCGAGGCGAGAAGGTCCTGTGCGAGGCGGTCGTCAGTGCCGGCTGCAGGGAAGAGACACAGAAGGGAGAGTCTCGAGCCGACGCACCTGCAGTTCCTCCCGCTCGGCCTTCTCCATGTCCCTCTCCCACTTGACCTGCGCCATCTCGCCCTCGAGCTCGGCCACCTGGATCTCCCACCTGCGCTCCTCGCGCTCGAGCAGCTCGACCTCCCATTTCTCCTTCCACCGGCGGTTGACGAGCTCGCACCGCAGCTTGGCCTGGAGCTCCTTGCCCCTGCGGCGCTTCGCCGACTCGATCGCGAGCGCGCGTTCGAGTGCGCGCACGCGGTCGGCGGCGCTCGGCTCGTCGACGTCCGCGTCGGCGGATGGGCCTGCGGCAGCCGTGGCGGCGGCGAGCTCAGCGGCGAGACGCTGCGCCTCGGCCTCCCAGCCCTCGGCGTCGGTGCGGCGCTGCGCCCGCTCGTCGGCGAGCGTCGCGAGCTGGCCCTCGGCGGCCGAGAGCGCGGAGGCGAGGACCGTATTGCGCGCCTTGAGCGAGGCGAGCTCGGCGGCGAGAGGAAGTGCGGGCAGGGCACCCTCGGCCGAAGTAGAGGAGGACGACGAGAGGGGGGCGAGCGACTTGGGGCCGAGCGAGGCGCGCGCTGCCGAGGGGCCAGGGAGGGAGGTGCGCTTGCTGAGGAACGGGTTGGGCGCGGCTGAGGTGCTGGCGGCGGGGAGGGAAAGACGGCTGGTGCGGGAGCTGCTCGACGAGGCCGAGGAGGAAGACGGCGCCGGGTCTGCGCGAGCGGACGAGTTAGGACTGGGGTACTCAGGCGAGGGAGAGGAGTGGGACGCACTGGACGGGAAGAGGAGGCGGGCGACGAAGCTGGACCGCGGGCGCGGCTTGTCGTGCTGGACCGGCTCCGCCTCGACGACAGGCTCCTCGGGCGAGTCGGGCTCGATCGGCGCCTCGAGGACGAGGGTCGTATCCGCCTGCGCCTGCTCCTGGTCGTCCGCAGCGACGACCTCCTCGTGCGGCTGCTCGACAGGGGGCTCCTCGGCATCGGCCGCCGTGAGCGGCTCGTGGTCAAGCTCCATGTTGAGCGTCGCCTCGTCCTCCTCGAACAGGGGCTGGTCGACGAGGGTGTTGGGCGATGAGGGGGCGATGGCGCGCAGCTCGTCGGGGATGGAGCGCATGGCGCGCGCGAGCGAGGGCGGCGAACGAAGAGGGGCCGTGGCCGGGGACGAGAGGCGCTGCTGCTCGATGGCGTGCGAGGTGGCGTAGGAGCGGGAGAACATGGTGCGACAGGGGAGAGTGTACTCTTGAGATTGGCGAGGCGCACTAGGGCGGGTGGGCGAGTGAGCTGCGCGACGAGGCGGGGCGAGGTTTAGCGACTGTTCCACGACGAGGAGGCCGATGGCAAACAGGGCTGCTGGCGTGCTCGACTGATATGTACCATGCTCCATGCACCACTTTCAGCCCGCCGCAGTAGCAGGGCAACGCCCAACGCCGTTGTGGGCACCCCGTCCGCCCTCCACAACAAGCCGGGGGAGATGAGGACGAGGGGCTCACCTCGACTTGGGGACGGCGCTGGCCAGTCGGTAAGGTGGCGCACTGGACGCCGAGTGAAGCTGGGGGCCTGCTGCGGACCTCGCGAGCAAATCTGGCGAGGGCGGACGAGGCGAGGGTTGTGCGCAGGAGGACAAGGGCGAGCCGCTCGTGACACCGCCGAGTCGACCTCCTCGGCCAGCACTCGCTGGCCAGCCGAGGCTTCTCTCGGGTAGCTGCAAGCTCTCGCTACCAGGTTGCGGCTCTCTCGGGCGGGCAGGGAGCGCTCGCTCACGGCTGTCGCTCTCGGGATAGGTCTGCACGACGAAATCGGCCTGGTCATCGCTCGGGAACTGCATTGCGAGCCTTCGTCGCGCGCTTCAGTCTGCCCGAACACCGTAGAGCTCACCGCCGATCGGAAGAGAGGGCGGCATGGGCGACAGTGCCGGCGTGACTCGGCGCGAAAGGCTGTTCTCGCCTCGCTCGACGACAATCGCTGGCGCACCGAGCGCTGGAGGCGACGCGGCGAGCCCTTGACGAGGACGAAGAGGCTGGGCTTGATGTCGAGGCGGACCATGGCGGCGATCTGCTGGATCGAGCCGCCGTCGGTGACGAGGAGGGTCGACGCGGCGTGGACGACTCGTCGACATCCTTGAACAGCTCGGCGGACAGTATCGGGCAGACCACCTTCTGTGCGCCCGGGCCGGCCTTGTTGCTGTCGGGGACCTTGATCGACCGGCCGACGTGCTTGGGCGGCTGCGAGACGTTGGGCTTGGGCTCGGCGAGGGCGATGGCTGTCGCGTCGAATCACGGCGGCGGTCGGATTGGTGGCTCAGGTCGCGAGGGGTGTCGTGTTGGACCGAGGCTGGACTCGTGGCAGAATCTGGCGCGTCAGGTGGCAGGTAGACGGGGCGAGGAGGAGACGGAGGCGGCGAGTCGGGGCGAGAGTCGGGTGGGAGGGACATCCGGGGTCGGCGAGGTCGGCGCGGGGCTGTGTGCCGTGCCATCGCCCCTCACGTGGTCGTGCGGGTCGTCTGGCGGGGTGGTGAGCGGGAGGAGGGAGAGCGAATGGTGCGGGGAGGTGGGGGCGGCAACGAGGACGAGGACGGCGTGTGCGGGCCGCGGAAGTGCTCGACAGGACAGCGAGTATGCTGGAGGAGCATGTCAGCTCAGCAGTGAGCCGCGCGAGGTGCGTGAGAGGAGGAGCGCTCCCTCGCCGAGAGCGAGGTCGATCGCTCCGTGTCGTGTTGGCGGCGTCCCTCCTTCTCACGCACCCGCACAGCTGCGAGTGCCTCGCTGCCTGCCCTCAAGCACTTGCTGCGACCGCCCCACGACTGCCGCCCAGCTCGGTCCGCGACCTCCCACCAACCTCGCTTCCCCGGCCTGACGGCGCTCACGGCTAGATGCTCTTCCAGCAGCATGTCGAAGGTGCGCCCGCTCTCGCAGTACCCGTAGAGCCCCGCCACTGACCGCGAACCACCCGCGCAGGCCTCATCAAGGCGCTGCGCGCGAGCAAGAACGACGAGGCCCGCGTCGTCCACCAGGCGCTCGACGAGACGCGCAAGGAGATCAAGAGCAGCGACGCCGACATCAAGGCCGCCGCAGTCCTCAAGCTCGTCTATGTGCGCCCCTGCCCGTCCCCTTTGCCCTCCCTCGGACCTGCGAGCTGACCTCTTCCCCTCCCCCACCGACAGCTCGAGATGCTCGGCTACTCGATCTCGTTCGCCTCGTTCGCCATCGTCGAGTGCATGACGAGCACCAAGTTCCACCTCAAGTCGATCGGCTACCTCGCAGCGTCCCAGTGCTTCGACCGCGACACTGAAGTGGCCGTTCTCGTCGTCAACCTCGTCAAGAAGGTGCGCCCCCCTGCTTCTCTCTGCCTCTCAGCACACCCTCGTTCGACGCCTACTGACTCGTCAAAACACGCCCCGCAGGACCTCCTCACGCCGCCGACACCGCTCTTCTCGTCCTCGCCCAACGCGCTCACGGTCGCCCACCTCACCACGACCCTCTCGTCCGTCGCCCTCCTCCTGACGCCCACCCTCGCGCGCGACCTCGGACCCGACCTCATCTCGCTCCTCACCCACACACGGCCCCTCATCCGGCGCCAGGCGACCCTCATCCTGTGGCGCGTCCTGCGCAGCTGGCCCGGCGTCCAGGAGCTCACGACCGGCCGCGAGGAGCGCGGCGAGGACCCGTGGATCGAGCGCCTGCGCGAACGCCTCAGCGACGAGGACATGGGCGTCGTCGGCGCCGCCGTCAACGTCATCTGCGAGGCGGCGAGGCGCGACCCGGCCAAGTACTTGCCGCTCGCGCCCGAGCTCTTCAGCCTCTTGACGGCGAGCACCAACAACTGGATGCTCATCAAGATCGTCAAGCTGGTCCGTCCCCTCGTCTGCAACTTGATCCAGACGAGGCACTGACCTTCATCGTCGTCGTCGCAGTTTGCCGTCCTCACGCCCGAAGAGCCTCGCCTCGTCAAGAAGCTCCTCCCGCCGCTCACCGAGCTCATCGAGACGACGCCCGCCATGTCGCTCCTGTACGAGTGCATCCAGACGTCGATCGTCGGCGGCATGCTCACCGGCGTCGAGGGCGAGGGCCTCGCACGGACCTGCGTCGAGAAGCTCGGCAGCTTTCTCGAGGACGTCGACCAGAACTGTGCGTCCTCTCTCTTTCAGCGCCTCTCGAGTCGAGGGAGAGCAGGTCCTGACGCCGAGCCTTGCGCGCAGTGCGGTACATCGCCCTCGTCGCTCTCGTCAAGATTGCCCCGACGCACCCGCACCTCATCTCGACCCACTTCGACACGATCCTCCAGTGCACCGACGACGCCGATGTCTCGATCCGCATGCGCGCACTCGACCTCGTCGAGGTCATGGTGCGTCCCTCTGCCCCCTCCTCTCGCCTCCCCTGCCAGTCCTCGAGATGATCGTAAGCTGACCTCTGCCTCACTCCCTCCCTCCCGTCGCCTCCCTCAGGTCGACCGCCACAACCTGCAGACGATCGTCAAGCGCCTGTTGACGCACCTGCGCCCGTCGGCCGCCAACTCGACCGCCTCGGCCGCCGCGTCGCTCCTGCGCGCCCAGCAGGGCGTCGCGCCCGCCGCCCCCTCGCCGACCCTGTCGGCGTCGTACCGCGCGTCGCTCATCCGCCTCATCCTCCGCATGACGTCGAGCGGCACCTACGCCAACGTGACCAACTTTGCGTGGCTCGTCGACACGCTCATCGAGCTCGCGCGCATCGCCCAGTCGCTCCCCGTCTCGGTCAAGGCCGGCTCGTCGTCGGCGGCGGCGGTGGGCAGCGTCGGCGGGCAGAGTGCGGGCGCGCAGCTGCGGGACCAGCTCATCGACGTCGCGGCGAGGGTGCGCGCCATCCGGCCGTACGCGACCAAGCGCATGGCGCAGCTCATCATGGACGAGGACCTGCTCGAGAGCGGCGGCGAGGGCGCAGAAGTTGCAGAGGTGCTCGGCGCGGCGGCGTGGATCTGCGGCGAGTACTGCCGGTGCGTCCTCGACCGTCCTTTCCCTCGAGCGGAGCGAGCCGGAACCTGACCTCACTCGGCCTTCCCGCAGCGACCTCGAGGACCCGCGACCCGTCATCGCCTCGCTCTTTGGCTCCAGCACGACCTCGTCCCTCCCGCCCTCGGTCCTCGCGCTGTACATCCACAACGGCGTCAAGGTGTGCGCCTCGTGGCTCTCGGCGCTCGCCGACCCGTCAGCGTGGGACGAGTCGGCCCTCGAGCAGGTCCGCAGCATCTCGAGCGCGCTCGAGAGTCAGCTCGAGCAGTGCGCCGCGAGCGCCGACATCGAGCTGCAGGAGCGAGCGGCCGAACTCGGCGGGCTCTTGCGGCTCGTCCGCACCGGGCTCGACGCGCCGAGGCCCGTCATCGCCGACGACGCGCTCCTCGGCGACGACGAGCCGAGCTCTGGCGCCGAGAGCGGCGGGTTCGCCGCTGCGCCGACGCGCCGAGGGCCGCCGTCGTCGCTCACCCTCCTCGAGCGCATGTTCTTCTCGCACGAGCTCGGGCCCGTCAACCTCAAGGCGCAGGGCATGGTCGCCCCGCCGGACGGTCTCGACCTCGACGCACCTCTCGCTGGCTCGACGTGGGACGCGGCGGCGGCGGCGGGCGCGCTCGGGCAGCCGGAGAAGGAGGGCGAGACGGACGAGTTTGGGCGGCCGCTGCGTGCGGCGGCGAGCGCGGCTGCGAGCGAGGCCAGGTCGAAGAAGAAGAAGGTCAAGGGCGAGAAGGGCTCGAGCGGCAAGAAGGGCAAGAAGAAGGACGACCCGGAGGCGGGCGCCAAGGTGCGCTCAGTCCCGCTCCCTCATCCGACCTGATCTTCCGGCCTGACTCTTTTCGATCTCGCGCAGGCTCGTGCTCGGCGTCTCGAGGATCAGCGCGACGACCCGTACTACGTCGGCGCCTCGTCGACAAGGCAGGCCGCCTCGGACGACGACGTCGACTCGATCCCGATCGTGCAGCTCGACCTCGACTTGCGGTCGCCGAGCCCGCCACCCCGAGAGCCGACACCTCCGCCCATGCTCGTCAACGTCGAGGGCGAGCTCCCGCCCGTCCAGGCGCCCACGCCGGCCGCTCGGAGGACGCCCGAGCCCGTCGCCGTCGCCGTCCCTCCTGCCGAGGCCAAGGAGGCGGCGACACCAGAGCCGGACGCGCAGGCGGCGCAGAGCTCGGTCGTCAAGGTCGTCAAGAAGAAGAAGAAGGACGGGACGGGCACGAGCGGGGCGAAGAAGTCGAAGAAGAAGGCGAGCGCGGGCAGCGAGGCGGCGAGCGGAGCGGCGACACCGGTAGACTCGTGAGCTGTTGTCTAGCTGGAACTCGCAGTTCGTTTATCGCGCTCTGTGGGACTGTCGGGCCGAGCACGAACAGCCCACGAGCTGTCACGAGAGGAGCTGGCTCATCAGTTCTTCGTCTCGAGGCGACTCGAGCTTTCTTTCGTCCACCTCGCTCTTGACACGCCAGAACGAGCTGCGACTTGCGCCCCTCGCCAAACTGCCCATGCTCTCAGCAGCGCGCCGAGCAGCCCCTTGTCTTGCGGCGCCGGGCGCTCACCTCGTCGAGCACCTTCACCGCCTCCGAGCGCTCGTCCTCCCTCTCGCCGCGCCATCGTCCAGCAAGCCTTTCAGCACCAGCACCGCGCTCCAGGTCGCACCACAACAGCGCCTGAGCAAGGTCAAGCGCGACGAGCGGCTCGACAAGCTCGCGCGCAAGCGGGAGATCCGGGCGGTGCGGCGGGGCAGGGAGGCGCAGCGAGAGGAGGCGGCACGGCTCGCGCTCATGCAGCGCAGGGACGAGGTGCAGGAGAAGCAGGCGGTCGCCGAGGTGCGCTCCCGTTCCCCTGTCCTCTCTTCCTCGCCCTCCCTCGCCTTCGCCTGAGCTGACCCTTCGCCGCCTTCACAGGAAATCGCCGAGTCGCTCCCGCCCTTCTCGGACGACCAGCTCGAGTCGATGTACCAGGGCCTCCTCGCCGCGCCGGCGAGCGAGTTCGCCATGCCGGCGCTCGAGGCGAGCAAAGCTCCAGCTCTTCCCGACCCGGCCGTCGACTCGCAGCTGCGGCAGGACCGCCTCGCGCGACTCGCCCAGCGGCTCCAGGACCTCGAGGCGGAGGAGGCGGGCGGCGCCGAGGAGCGAGACGAGCTATCCTCGACGTCGGGCTCGCTCGCGGCACGGTTGCGGCGGCGACGAGTCGAGTCGGGCGACGTTCCCGAGCTCGCGCCCGTGACGGCGGCGCCGCTCGCGCTACTGCCGTCCGCGGCGACCGCACGAGCCGTACTCGACCACCTCGAGACGGTGCTGCCCCGAGGCGACGTCGAGATCCGCTCGACGGGCTTGGCCGGTCTCGACGGCCCGCTGGCGCGGGGCCTCCTCGCCCGCGGCGAGTGGAACGACCTCATCCTGTCGTGTGTGCGTCCCTCTTCCTCTCTCTCATCCTCCTGCCGAGCCCAGGACCTGACACTAGCTGTTCGCGCAGGCTGAAGAGGGCGACACCGAGGGCGTCAAGAAGGGCCTCGAGCTCATGGAGGTGCGTCGACCTCTCTCGACGCTTCCTCGTTCTACCTCGGCCTGACAACCCTCTCTACAGCGCACCACGCCTATAGTCGAGGGCACGGTGCTCGAGCAAGCCCTCGCCATCTACGCGTCGCAGAAGCGGCCGCAGGACGCCCTTGCCCTCGCCAGTTTCGCTCGTCAACGTAAGTTGTCGGTCTCTCTCACGTCTCCAAACGCGCACTGTGACGGTGACTGACTCGGCGTGCCGCCCGCAGACTCGCTCCCTCTTTCCGTCACCGCCCACCACCACCTTCTCAACTCGATCCTCCCCTCCCATCCCGAGCTCGCCGTCCGCCACCTGCACTCGATGGAGGCGGCAGGACATACGCCCCTCCTTGCGACCTACAACGCCGTCGCGCACCGCCTCCTCTCGCCTGCGTCGCCGCCTCACCTCGTCCGCCAGGGCTGGGACCTCTTCAGCCATGCCCGCCTTGTCGCATACCCTGTTCCCGACGTCGCCCTCTTCGCCACCATGATCCAGGCGTGCTCTCACGGCGCACACCCGTCGCCCGAGCGCGCCATCGACCTGTTCACCGAGATGGCCGACGACAAGCGCCTCGCGCCGTCAGAGCTCGCCTACAACGGCGTCATTCGCGCGTGCGCCCGCGAGGGCTCGCAAGAGTACTACCACGAGGCGCTGCGCTTCATGCGCCGCATGCTCGACGAGCACGTCGCGCCCTCGCGGCACACGTTTCACGCGCTCCTCGAGGGCGCCAAGCGGCACGGCGACCTCGCGCGAGCGCGGTGGGTCCTCGTCAAGATGGTCGGCGTCGGCGGCGAGGCGGCGCCGAACGAGACGACGCTCGCGCTCGTCCTCCAGACGTACGCCGCCTTCCGGCCACCCGGCTCGCGAGCGCGTCATGCGCAGAAGCCGGACGAGCCGCCCTCGACCGGGGCCTCCTCGTCGGCGGCCGACGCGAACGTCTCGGCGGCACGAGCCGGCGACGATGCGGCGGCCGGCGTCGCGCGACGGCGGCCCTCGGCGGTGCTCGTGCGCGAGGAGGACCCGGCGGCGCTCCCTCTCGCGCCGTTGCGGGCCGGCGGCGAGAGCGCGAGCACGCTCAAGGTCATCGAGATGCTCGGCGAGGCGTCGCTGTTTTACCCGGGCCCGTTGCCCGAGACGGCGGCCGAGGTCGCCGCCGAGGCGCGGAACCTCATGCTCCAGGTCGTCGACCCGGCCGTTCTCGCGCCGCCGTCCGCCGTCAGTGCCGACGAGCCCATCTCGAACCCGCAGGCGCATCGCCAGGGCATGTTCCCCGGCGTCACGCCGTCGACCTTCCTCCTCAACGCCTACCTCGCCGTCCTCAACTCGCACACGTCCTTCTCGTCTTCGCTCGACTTTTTCCTGGCCGCCTTTACCCGCACCGCACTCGCCAAGAACCGCTACACGTTCGAGATCATGATGCGCCGGTGCGAGATCGGCGACGTCGACGATGCGCGCGTCGCGCAAGCCAAGCAGGTGTGGGAGGAGTGGGTGCGGTGGAGCGAGGCGCCGCTTCCGCCGAGTGTCGACGAGCCGGACCTCGCGAGCCTCGAGGCGGACGAGCAGGAGCTGTGGCGGGAGAAGCGGCGGGGCGAGGAGGAGGCGTGGGCGGGGCAGAGGAGGAACGGCAAGCACGTCGCGAAGCTCTGGGGCGGGCTGATCCGGGTCCTCGCCAAGTGCGTCGCGCTCTCTTTCCCCCCCTCTCTCTCTACCTCTCTCGTACATTCCCTGAACTGTACTGACCTGGATCTTGTCGACAGGGCGTACAAGGAGGACGAGGCGCTCGCCGTGCTGCAGCGGTTCGTCCAGACCTACCCGCCGACCTTGCTGCGCTCGCCCATTCGCCCTTCTACCCCGATACCGACCTCCGCCCTCGCACCGCCACGCCGATCCTCCCTCGCCTTCCCCGTCGTCCCGATCCGCCTCTCCTCGCCGCTGTACCTCGAGACGTCCCCCTCGCTCGACCCTCTTCGCGCACCTCACCTCACCTTCTCCGACCTCGCCCTCCTCCACAAGCGTCTCGCCGACGTCGAGGACAAGGACGGGCTCGCGCTCGTCAAGTGGGCGGCCAAGAGCTACGAGGGGTCGATCCGCATGGCGAGGAGGAGTGAGCGCAGGGACGAGGGCCGGCGTGAGCAGCTTTGAGGGGCGTCGGCGCTTCCCGTCGTTGTTGTACCTCGTCGAGTGTAGATCTAGAGTGCATCACATCGCAACTTACCGCATCTCGGCCTGCCTTTCCTCTCTGCCTCGCTCAGCTGGAGGAGGTGAGAGGCGAGGCGACACAGAGTTCTCTCGTTCGAGAGCGGCGGCTTCTCGGTCGTCTCGTAGCTACAGCTGTCGTGCAAGCGCGGCCTGGCTCGACCGTGTGACCTTTGTGACGAGCTGCGAGGACTCGAAACAGCTTCGGCACCGCCTCGCGTCCGTTCCCCTCTCACACTCGCTCTCCCAGCTCGAGAGGCGCAATCCAGAGCCGCTCCCTACTCGCCAGCTCGTCAGCTCTCTCGAGCGGCACCCCGCACCTCGTCTCGTCGCGCGCCCACCTCGCGCTCTCGTCCGACCGACCCCCCGCACCACCCGAACAGCGATGGTCCGTTTCCCTCCCTCTGAGTACATCCAGGCGACCTGTACTGACATCCAGTCACCTCCCTCTGCGACACAGGCCCCCGTCCGTCGCGGCAAGAAGGCGGCAGCAGCCGCAGGAGGTGGTGCTGCCCCCGCGTCATCCCGCAAGGCCGGAGCAGGAGGTGTCTTCGCCAAGGTGCGCCGCGACAGTTTCTCTCGACTGGTCTGCACGAGTGTGTGATGCTGACCCGCGCACCCGATCAGGCCGACTGGAAGGAGGGCTTCAAGAAGAAGCAGGCCGGCGTGAGCGACATGACCCTCCTCTCGACCATCTCGAACGACAGCGTCAACGACAACCTCAAGAAGCGGTGAGTCCACTTGCTGCGTCTCAGCACACGAGTGCGCCTCACTGACCCTGTTGCCCCCCTCGTCGTCCAGCTTCGAAAACGGCGAGATCTACGTGCGCCCCCTCGTTCCCTCAGCCTCGCGCTCTCCCACCCGCAAGCTGACACTCTGCTCCGCGCAGACCTACATCGGCCATGTCCTCATCTCGGTCAACCCGTTCCGCATGCTCCCGATCTACGACGACACGACGCTCCACTCGTACCGCGGCAAGAACCGCCTCGAGATGGTCCCGCACGTGTACGCCGTCGCCGAGAGCGCGCACTACAACATGCGCTCGTACGGCGACAACCAGTGCGTCATCATCTCGGGCGAGTCGGGCGCCGGCAAGACCGAGGCGGCCAAGCGCATCATGCAGTACATCGCCGCCGTCTCGGGCGAGGGCAGCAACGCCGGCGGCATCAACGACATCAAGGAGATGGTCCTCGCGACCAACCCGCTGCTCGAGAGCTTCGGCTGCGCCAAGACGCTGCGCAACAACAACTCGAGTCGTCACGTGCGTCGCTTCTTCCTCCTCTTCCCCCCTCCCCCTCTTCCCGGACTTTCGACCTGACTCTCCCTCTCTCGCGCCATCTGCAGGGCAAGTACCTCGAGATCGAGTTCGACGCGCAGGGCAACCCGGTCGGCGCCATCATCACCAACTACCTCCTCGAGAAGGTGCGCCCCCTCTCTTTCTCTCCTCTCCGCCCTCGAGCTGTCGGCCCGTCGGCTCACGCGCCTCTCGCTCGCCGCAGAACCGGGTCGTCGGCCAGATCAAGTCGGAGCGCAACTTCCACATCTTCTACCAGCTCACCAAGGGCGCGTCGGCGGCGCAGCGCGAGGCGTACGGCCTGCAGGGTCCCGAGGCGTACGCGTACACGAGCAAGTCGGGCTGCCTCGAGGTGCCCGGCATCGACGACACGCAGGACTGGGCTGAGACGCTCAACGCGATGCGCATCGTCGGCCTGAGCCAGGGCGAGCAGGACAACATCCTGCGCATGCTCGCCTCGATCCTGTGGATCGGCAACGTCGAGTTCAAGCCCGACCAGGACGGCAACGCCGCCATCAAGGACGAGAGCGTGACGGCGTTCGTCGCGTACCTGCTCGAGGTCGACCCGGCCCAGGTCGGGCGCGCGTTGACGAGCCGCATCATGGAGACGCAGCGCGGCGGCCGGCGAGGGTCCGTGTACGAGGTCCCGCTCAACCCGGCCCAGGCGGCGTCGGTCCGCAACGCGCTCGCCAAGGCCATCTACAACAACCTGTTCGAGTGGATCGTCGACCGCGTCAACGTGTCGATGCGCGCCAAGCAGCAGGGCCAGACCATCATCGGCGTCCTCGACATCTACGGCTTCGAGATCTTCGACACGAACCAGTTCGAGCAGCTGTGCATCAACTACGTCAACGAGAAGCTGCAGCAGATCTTCATCCAGCTCACGCTCAAGACGGAGCAGGAGGAGTACGTGCGCGAGCAGATCAAGTGGACCCCGATCGACTATTTCAACAACAAGGTCGTGTGCGACCTGATCGAGGAGAAGCGCCCGCCCGGCCTGTTTGCCGCCCTCAACGACGCGTGCGCGACGGCCCACGCCGACCCGACCGCGGCCGACAACTCGTTCTCGCAGCGCATGGGCGGCATCAGCAACCCGCAGTTCGAGCCGCGTGGGTCCAAGTTCCTCGTCAAGCACTACGCCGGCGACGTCATGTACACGGTCGCCGGCATGACCGACAAGAACAAGGACGTCCTCCTCAAGGACATCCTCGACCTCATCGCGTCCTCGAGCAACCAGTACCTCCAGGGCCTCTTCCCCGACCGGCCCGACCCGGACAGCAAGAAGCGCCCGCCGACCGCAGGCGACAAGATCAAGGTGCGCTCCTGCCTTCCCCTCGTCGTCGTCCTCGTCATCGTCGTCGTCGCCCCTCGAGCCAGGGACCTGACCTCGCGCCCTCTGTCGCCCGCCCGCAGTCGTCGGCCAACGCCCTCGTCGAGAAGCTCATGCGCTCGCAGCCGCACTACATCCGCACGATCAAGCCCAACCAGAACCGCTCGCCGTCCGAGTACGACACCAAGGCCATCCTGCACCAGATCAAGTACCTCGGCCTGCAGGAAAACATCCGGGTTCGCCGAGCCGGTTTTGCCTACCGCAACACGTTCGAGAAGATGGTCGAGCGGTGCGTCCTTGTCCTGCCCTCGTCGCGTCGCGTCGGCGAGCGGGAACCGAGCCCTGACCATCCCTCCTCCTCCTCGCGCAGCTTCTACCTCCTGTCGCCCGCCACGTCGTACGCCGGCGACTACATCTGGCAAGGCGACGCGCGCACCGGGTGCGAGCAGATCCTCAAGGACACGGGCGTCGCGCGCGAGGAGTGGCAGATGGGCACGACCAAGGCGTTCATCAAGAACCCGGAAACGCTGTTCGCGCTCGAGACGATGCGCGACAAGTACTGGCACAACATGGCGGCGCGCATCCAGCGGTGCTGGCGGGCCTACCTGCGCCGCAAGGAGGACGCGGCGCGCACGATCCAGCGCTTCTGGCTCAACAAGAAGGAGGGCATCGTCTACGCCCAGCAGCGCGACTACGGCCACCAGATCCTCGGCGGCCGCAAGGAGCGTCGCCGGTACTCGCTCGTCAGCATGCGCAAGTTCCTGGGCGACTACCTCGCCGTCGGCGAGCGCGACAGCGTCGAGGGCTCGCGCCTGCGCAGCGCCGCCGGCATCGCCTGTGCGTCCCTCCTCCTGCCCTCTCTCCCTCTCTCCCTCAGTCTCGTCCCTCGTCCTCGTCGAGACCTTCCCTGACGCCTGGTTTCCCGTACGCAGCCAACGAGGCGGTCGCGTTCAGCTCTCGGGCCGACCTCCTCGTCTCGAAGCTCGGTCGGTCGTCCAAGCCGAGCCCGCGGTACCTCATCCTCGTGCGCTCTCCTCCCTCCTCTCTGTCTCTCTCTCTCTCTTCCCCTCAACTGCGACCCCTTATTGACGTCGACGCACCCCGTCGCTCGCAGACCGACAAGGCCGTGTACCTCCTCATCTCGACGGCCGTCCAGGGCCAGGTCCAGACGTCGCTCGAGCACAAGATCCCGCTCGTCACCATCCGCAGCGTCGGCCTGTCGAACCTGCGCGACGACTGGATGGCGCTCAACACGACGAGCCAGGAGGAGGGCGACCCGCTCATCTCGTGCCCGTTCAAGACCGAGTTCCTCGTCCACCTCCAGCAGCGCACCAACGGCGCCGTCCAGGTCAACATCGGCCCGTCGTGCGTCCCTGTCCTCTGTCCAAGGTCGTCGTCGCCGGCCGCCACAGGTACTGACCCTCTCGACCCGCAGGATCCAGTACTCGAAGAAGAAGGGCAAGACGGCGACGATCGCGTTCAAGAAGGACGAGTCGATCCAGCGAGGCGACGTGTACAAGTCGTCGACCGTGTCGGTGCCGTCGGGCATGCCGGCCAACAGCCAGTCGGACCCGCCGTGCGCCCGCAAGCCCAAGCAGAAGAAGGCGCCCGTCGCGAAGCAGAGCAACGTGCGTCCTCTCTCTCCTTCTCGATCGTCCCTCTCAAGATCGTCACTGACACTCTTGCCCCGCCGCACGCAGCGCCCTGCAGGAGGGCAGCGTCCCGCAGCTCGCAACCTCCCCGTCCAGTCGGGCGGGTTCGGCGGCGTCAAGCCGGCTCCTCCCGCCGGCATTGCCGCTGCCGCCTCTGCTGCACCTGTCGCTCGAGCCGCACCCGTCGCACCGGGCGCCGGTCGTGCTGCCCCGCCGCCGCCGTCGCGAGCGCCGGCCCCACCTCCTCCTTCCGAGCCCGAGGTCGAAAAGTACAAGGCGTGCGTCCCCTCTCGCCCGTCTCTCTCAAAGTCGCACGCACTCACGCACGCTCCCGATCCTGCAGGCTCTTCACGTTCGAGACGGACCAGCCGGGCGAGCTCGCCCTCACCAAAGACGAGCAGCTCGAGGTCGTCACCAAGGACGACGGCGGCTGGTGGCTCGTCAAGCGTGGCTCGCAGGAGGGTTGGGTGCCGTCCAACGTGCGTCCAGCAGTCTCTCTGTCTCTTCAGGCGGCCGTCCTACACGTGCTCACCCTCTCCTCGCGCAACAGTACCTCCAGCTCGTCCCGCCCAAGCCCAAGCCCGCCGCCGCACCTCCCGCGCCAGTCCGCCGCGCACCTCCCGCCGCACCTGCGGCACCTGTCGCGCCCAAAGCGCCCGCCGTCCCGGCGGCGCCCAAGGTCCCCGTCGCCCCGGCGGCAAAGGCGGGCAGCATCGGCCTCGGCGCGCGTTCCGGCGAGGGCAGCGCGGCGCCCGTGTCGGTCATGCCGGGCATGGGCAACGCGGGAGGGCTGCAGGCGATCCTGGCGCAGAAGAGGGCGCAGGCCGAGCAGGGCGGGAGCCAGACGCCGAGCTCGAACGGTGGCTCGCCGGCGGGTTCGCGACCCGGCTCGTCACTCGGTGCGCCCCTCTCTCCCTCTCTCGAGCCTGTTGCGCCCGGCACTGACTCTGTCTCCATATCCGTGCAGGCAAGGCCCCTCCTCCCGCCCCGAAGCCCAAGCCCGTCATCGCCGCAAAGCCGTCCATCCCGTCCAAGCCGTCGATCCCGAATGGCCGCCCCGCCGCACCGCCCATCCCTGCCGTGACGTCCTCCGCACGTGCACCCCCTCCTCCTCCTGCGCCTCCCGCACCCGGCGGCGCAGGTCGCGCCCCGCCGCCGCCCGCGCCGCCGGCCTTTGGCGGCGCCCGTGCCCCGCCTCCTCCTCCCGCGTTCGGCGGCGCACGCGCACCTCCTCCTCCTCCCGCGCCGCCTCGTGCAGGTGCGGGAGCCGGGCGCGCCCCGGGCCCGCCGCCGCCGCCGCCCGCGCCGCCGATGCGCGCCAACGGCGGCGGCGGCGGCCCTCCTCCCCCGCCGCCGCCTCCTCCGCCACCGATGGGTGCTCCGGCCGCGCCTCCTCCTCCGGGTGGCGGCATGGGCGGGCTCGTCAAGCCGTCCGCGGGAGCGCTCCAGGCTGCGCTGGCCAAGCGGGCCGGCCGCAAGCCAGCCGACGAGGACGACGACTGGTGAGCGATTGCGGTCGAGCGAGAGTACTCTCGAGAACCTGGAATGCCAAAGAGCGAGTTTGAGCCGTCCTGTTGCGCCGTACGAGAGCGAAAGAGCGAGCTTCTCGAGCAACTTGAAGCGGCCGAGACGACCAAGTCGAGCGAGAGCGGACCTCCTCCTCCTCCTCCTCCTCACTCGCTCTCGGCATGGCTTGCCTCCCTGTCGTCGATCTCGACGCCTTCTATTCTGCTCCAGCCTCGCCTGCCGCACGCGCAGAGGCTGTCAAGGTGCGTGGCCTCCCCCTTCACCGCCTCGTCCTCATCTGCCGCGAGGGATTGCCGCGGCTGCACACGCTGTGGGAGCGTGTGCGCCGGCGACATGCCCTCGACTGTACTTTGTCACGGCCTGCGCGTGTGTGCGACGCAGCAGGGGCGCGAGGGCCGGCAGTCGCACCCCCACCGTCTCCGCGTTCGTCGCGAGCACCCACACTGACCTCTCCCGCCGCCCACAGACCGCAGAAGCCCTGATCCAGTACGGCGCCCTCATCGTTCGAGACGGTCGCGTGTCCGAGACGGCCAACCAGCGCTTCCTCGACGTCATGGAGGACTACTTTGCGCAGGACGAGGCGCGGCTCAAGGAGGACTTGCGGCCCGAGGTCCACTACCAGGGTGCGTCCCGGCTCGTTCTCCCCATCTCATCCAGAGCCTGCGCTGACATCCGTACCCGCAGTCGGCGTCACGCTCGAGAACACGGAGAAGGTCCGTCCGCGTCCTCGCCCGTCCTTGACCTCGCCTCGCGGCCTCTCTCTGACGATCTAGGTCCCTCGCCACAGCCCAAGTGCCACTCGGACGACGCCTGTCGAGCCATCATCGCGGCATTGGACCCGGCCGAGCGCCCGCTCGACCTCGAGGGCGGCCAGGCGGATCCCAAGTGCCGGTTCGTCGACTCGCCTCGCCGCTGTCATTGGCTCGTCTTGCGACTCCCTCACTGACTTTCCGGCCTGCAGCTTCTTCCACCGGATGGGCAAGACGCCGCCGACGACCGACTTTCCCTCGCTGCGCATGGACAACGTCACGCCCGCCGCCTTTCGCTCGACATGGGCCGCCTCGATGGAGGAGTGGGGCGCGCAGATCAAGCAGGCTGTCGACGGCGTGAGCGAGATGCTCGCCGTCGGGCTCGGGCTCGAGCGCGACACGTTCTTGCGCGCCGCCGAGTACGGCTCCCACCTCCTCGCGCCGACGGCGACCGACCTCGACAAGTGGGGCAAGGTCGGCGAGATCTTTGCGGGCTTCCACACGGACCTGAATTTTCTCACGATCCATGGTCGCTCTCGGTACCCGGGCCTGCACATCTGGGCGCGCAACTCGGGCCGGCGCATCACGGTCCAGCTCCCGCCGGGACACCTTCTCGTCCAGGCGGGCAAGCAGCTCGAGCACTACACGGGTGGCCTGGTGCTTGCGGGCCACCACGAGGTATGCTGTACGACCGCGACGCTCGAGGCGCTCGTGCGCCGCCGCGCCGATCCGGAAACGGCGCACCGGCCGGCGATCCGCATCTCGTCGACCTTCTTCCACCACCTGTCGTCGGACGAGGCGCTGTCGCCGCGAGCGTTCGTGGCGGCGACGCGCTCGAGCGAGGTCGTGCAGCGCGAGAAGGCGAGGATCGAGAAGGCGGGAGGAACCTGGGACGTCGGGCGGCATGAGGAGGGCATGAAGGTCGGCCGGCTCGTCCAGGAGGAGCTCAAGCACATCGCGCTCATGGCCGACTCGTGAGTGCAGGGGGAGTCGGCCATGAGCGCACGGGCGGGCGGCGCAGTGTGCGCTGGCTCGGCTGGGCCGGCGTGGTCGGGCGGCGGATCCGGAGCGAGCGAGGGCGGCCGTGCACGGATCTCTCTCTCTCTCGGCGGCGCACTTTTTTTTTTTCCTGCGCCGTGTGGCAGTGCGAGAATGCAACGCAGCGTCTGTGCAGCAGAGTTCTGTCGGCCCCGCGCATCGACGCGAAGCTGGAGATACGCGAGCTGGAGCAGCTGGAGCATCTTCGCTCCACTCTTGTCGCTCGCTACCACCGCCTCGCTCGAGCTCGCCGTGCACCTGCTGGCCGGCCAGTACATCTACCGACTCGCACGCCGCCTAGCGACCCTCGGCACCCGCGTCCTCCCTCCCGCCTCGCCAGCCGGCGAGATGATGCGGACCTCGAGCGAGCACGAGCTCCTGCCGCAGAGCCCGACCAGCCCGACCGCGCCGTACGGTCGTCACACGCCTCGAGGCTCGCTCTGGCCAGACGAGGAGGGCGGCGAGCCCGAGGCGCGCCGTCACAAGTTCGCGAGGAGGAGGCGAGGCGGTGCGGCAGCATGGTGTGCAGGGCTGGCGTGGACCGATCGGCTGAGGTGGATCATCGGAGCGCTCGTAGTTGGCGGCTTCTTTTATGCATCCCTCCTCGACCACGGCACCGACGCGCGAGGTGAGCCACCGCCATCTCCTCCTCCTCCCCCACGACCGTTCCCGAGTAACCTCTCGCTGATTCCTCGGCTCGCAGAACGGATACGAGACTCGCTTCATTCTGCAGCTCATCGACTACACGACCTGACGGCCGAGAAGGCGGGCATGAACAAGTCGCTGGTGCGTCCGCCGACCTCATCCACTCTCTGTTCCGCCTCGTCGTCGCTCACCCTCGCCCCCTCCCTCGCCGCAGGTCCTCAACTTCCCGGACGAGCCGCAGGACACTTTCATGAGCCAGCTCAAGCCCGGCGTGCGGTACATCACCACCATGAGCTACGGCGGTCACGGTGCGTCGCCCTCGGACCTTCTCTCCCTGCACCGACTCGCAGACTGACTCTCGCCGTCCCTGTCTCGCAGCCAACCAGTTCATGGCGATCGAGAACCTTCTTTACCTGAGCAAGCTCCTGTCCCGTGTCGCGATCGTGTACGTCCTCGCGCCCTTGCGTCCTCGTCGACCAGTGGCTCACCTTGTCCTCGTCCTGCAGCCCTACCCTGTCTCCCCTCCACTTCAACGAGACGCCTCGCGACTTTTCCACCTTCTACGACCTCGACCGCTTCTACCGCGAGACCGAGATTCCCGCCGTCGAGATGTCGGCGTTCAAGCCGTGGAACTTTACCCGACCCGCCGTCAAGGAACAGATCAGCTGCTGGTCGGTCCTCGAGCAGACGGCCGGCAACCGCAACGTCAATGACGGTGCGTCTTCCTCCCTCTCGTCCTCTCATACAAGCCGTGACTGACGCACTCGTCGTAACACAGGCTCGCTCGCGGCCCACCAGATCGCCGTCAAGTACTGGGCCTTGCCGCCGATGGAGCGAGGCTCAGAAGGGTTCAACATCTGGTTCGAGTCGCTCCACAGCGTGCGTCAACCTCTCTCTTTCAGCCTGCCTCCCCTTCAGGACGAGCTGACGATCTTGCCCCCAACAGTTCGACTTTGGCCGGCTCAAGCGCGACAAGTGGATCGAGCGCGTCAAGAAGGAGCTCATCCCGCAGCAGTACCCTCAAGTGCACCCGTCTGCCGACCCGTCGCACGAGCGAGCCGAGACGCTCAAGCCCGGCTTCGACCCGCTCGGCAGCCCTCCTCCCGACGAGAACCTGTTCTGCCTCGACACGACCTTCTTCCTCGGGTCGCGCATCCTCCCGCCAGCGTACCCGCTCCCCGACAAGCGCTACGAGGCGCCGAGGCTGTACGAGGGCCATGGGTGGCTCCAAGCCGGCCAGTTCCTGCGCTTCTCGACGCACCTCGAGGAGCTCGCCACCATCTACCTCCAGGACCTGTTCGGCACGGTCACCATCCCGCCGTTCATCGCCGTGCACCTGCGCCGAGGCGACTTCCAGTCGGCGCGCGGCCTCACGTCGCTCGAGGCGTTCACCGACGCCGTGCAGCGCGTGCGGGACCGGCTCGACTGGCGCATGGACCATCCCGACGGCTGGGTCGGCGCCGGGCACGCGCAGCAGAAGTACTTCTCGGGCGTGCGCGCGCGGCATTACGCCGTCGTCGCGACGACGGACGAAGCGCCGTCGAGCGACTTTGTGCGGCAGCTCAAGGAGGACCTCGGGTGGAAGGTGGTGGATCACGAGCACATGCACACCGAGGAGGAGCTCGGGGCGTGGTACCCGACCATGATCGATGCGGCGGTGCTTGCGAGGGGCCGGGGCTTTGTCGGGTGCGTCCCGCTCTCTCTCTCTCTCTTCGCCCCTCTCCCTCTCTCCCTTCCCTCCTCTCTCTCTCTCCCTCTCTCGACGTCTAGTGCGGCGGGACTGACGGCTCGTACCCGTGTGTGCAGGACCGAGTGGTCGACGTTCTCGTACTTGGCCGGGCTGCGTGTAAAGTAGTGCGTCGAGCCCGCCCTCTCCTTCCTCGTTCCCACCCTTGCGGGCCTTCCTCCCTCCTCGCGCTCGCCCCCCTCCAGCCGCATCTCGACCTCGATCGCTTACTCTTCTATCGTGTGTGCGCAGCTGGAACGGCGGCGTGGAGGAGTGGACGCCGTCACTTGTTTAGCCGGTGAGCCGCAGGTTCTCGTTCTCCTTTCCTCTCGGCCACCTCAAACTGACTCGTATCTTCATCCAGATCTCTGCAGTCTTATTGGTCAACTGAATCTCTCGAGAGAAATGCGGCGACGAGAGCCGGCAAAGAGTCCTTCTCGTTGCAGCACGCGTCCTGCTCCTCGTTCGTCCGGAGCCTCGTCGACCTCGGCCTCGACCTCCTCTCGACGTTCTCTCTCGTCCTGCCCAGTCCACGCACCTTCCCCTTCCCCTCGACGACGCTCCCGCCGTCGCCGTCACTCGCTCTCGTACTCTCCCTCCTCCTCAAAGTCCATCCGGAACTCGAACCGCACCCCGACATCCTCGCACCGCAACCTCGCCTCGTCGATCGCCTCCTCGCCCCACACGTCCGGGCTGTCCGTCACCGTCAGCCTCCTGAACCCGTCTGGGAGGGCGAGGTGCTGGTCGCGCAGGACGGCGAGGAGCGCGCGCGGCGAGAAGCGCGAGAGCGAGTTGAGGGACTGGACCGAGAGGGACTGGAGCGAGGGTGGGAGGGCGAGGAGCGCCGAGGGCGTGAGCTCGGTCGAGGTGCAGTGGAGGGTGCGGAGTGCGACGAGGTGAGGAAGGAGGAGGTCGAAGAGGGGAGCGGGCCGAGGCGGTCGAGTGCCGGTCGAGGACGAGCTGAGGTCGGGCGAGCTCGTCTGCTGGTGTGGAGACGAGTGAGAGGGTGGAGGCGAAAGGGAGGAGGACGAGTCGCCGCTGTCGGGGCCGGGCGAGGTCGGATTGTCTGCGGACACGCAACTTGAGAAGGTCAGGCCGCTCGTCGCAAGCTCGAGAATCGTCGCTCGAGAGGAGAGATGGGGACGCACAGACATATCGCACCTCACGCAAGCTCTTGCCCGACGCTTTGAGAGCGTCGAAGAAAGCTTGAGCGGGCTTGTACTGCTCGAAGTACAGATCGAGGTACTCGAGCGACGAACAGCTCTTGAGCGCCGCCGCGAGGAGGTCGATCGGCCAGTCGTGCCACAGCTTCAGACGACGCAGGGCCAGCTGCGGGAATGGGCGCAGCGGTGGGACGATGCTCGCCGTCGACGGCGCCGGACCCGGCGCCAAGAGGCCCGTGTGCTCGAGGTTCTGCACCGTCGGCCGCAGGTCCCAACCGTCACGGACGTCCCACAGGCCCACGCTCCATCGTCTCGCTGCGGCGTGCGTCGGCCCGAGCACGAGCGTGACGAGCGGGCGCTGCGGGTCCATGAGCGTGCTGAGAAGGCGCTCGCGCACGTCCTGGTGGAGAGTGCGCACGTGGACGTGCGCCGCCGACGAGCAAGCCTCGAGGGCCGCGACGAGCAGCTCGGACGTCGCGCGTTGGCGGCCGGGCGCAGCCGGCGGGTCGAGGAGGATCGGCGAGGAGGACGGCGACTGCTCGTCCTGCGCGTCGAGCGCGAGAACGATGAACGCCGTCTCGTTCTTCGCGAGCTGCCGAACGCGCTCTGACTGCTTGACAGCGTCGATGAACGCCTGCGCTCGCTCGTGACCGTCGAGGACGACGCTCGAGAAGAGGACGGCCTGCGCGGGCGAGCGCCATCGTCGACAGACGAGGCTGAGCGGCGCAGCAGGCTCGTACGAGTGCCAGGAGCAGACGGCGCCGCCATGCCGAGGTCGAGAAGAGGAGGAGGGTGTCGAGGCGAGGCGGAAGACGAGGTGGAGGAGCTCGTAGGGGAGGTCGCGGGCGACGAGGCGAGGGGAGGAAGGAGGGGAACCTGCGACGGGTCCGTGCACGTCGCTCGACGCCTCGATGGACATCGAGGCGAGTGTTTGGCGGTACAGGTGCGGCCGAGGCGGTTCGTCGACGACCGTGGTGCACGAGGAAGAACGACTCGTTCGCTCGAGCGGCGGCGAGGAAACCTTGTGCCGTTCGCCGTCGGCGGGTGCTCGGGTCGCGCCGATCAAGCTCGGGGCGCACGCTGCAAGCTGCAGACTGGCGACGATCGCGAGATGCGCCGCCTCGCCTCGTCCAGGAGCGTCTGCGTCGCCGACTGCGTCTCGGGGATGGTCGAGAGAAAAGGAGGGCCGGGGAGGAAACCGACGAGCCGTTGCCGCCGAACAGGCTCGCGCGTGTCCCGAGAAAGCTGCCCGTCCGAGCGGACGACTAAAAGCTTCGCTCGGCAAACAGCGAGCGCGCCCGCTCGAGCGAGAGGAAGCAGCTGCAACGGCTGCAGAGCAAGGAACGCGCCCTCGTCGCGCGTTTCGACGAGTCGACCCCTCGTCGCGCTCGGCACGACGTGAGAGAACGTCCTCCGGAGCTTGGGACGAGACGAGGTGCAGCACCGGGCGAGAGCGCGAGCCCCTTCCTCGTTGCCCCGCGCCAATTTGCTCCCCCGGCCGGAGAACTCGTCCACCGTGGCCTCGTCCCCTCGCTCAGCGACGCACGCGCAGGGCACATCTGGTGCGCGCTCGTCGCTGACGGCGACCGCGAGCGTGCTCGGCGTCGCCAGTCTGCTGCTGCGGCGGCGTGCGTCGCTCCTGTCGGCCCGCCGCTTCTCCTCCTCCTGCCCGTCCACCGCTCGAGCAAGGACACTCGCCGGCCCCTCTGAGAGAGCGAGAGTCACAGCTGCCAGGCATGCAGCGAGCAGCGGCGGTGCGAGGAAAGCTGAGCGGCACGTTGCGCCGGCGGAAGGCGAATGCGAGGTCAGAGCAACTTTGAGCAGGAGGAACGAAGCAAAGAAGCGACGGCGGCGCGGCCACACTCGCCGTTACGTACTGACGACGATGCCTGGTACCGACGCAAGCTCGAGGTGCGAGCGGCGGGGGCGAAAGATCGACGCGAGCGGGCTGCGCAAAGTCCACGGACCTCTTCCTGCTCGCCTCGAGGTTCGCTGTTACCTCGGCCTCGACCACACCAAGCCAAGCGTGATCATTTGCAAGCGAGCCTCGTCTTGAGCAAAGAGAAAAACGGCTCGGCACAGATCACGTGCACGCGGGTCGGGTTGCCGCCGCCTCGCGGACGCTCGAGTGGGGGGGAGGTTCTCGCTCTCTCGCTCTCCACCAGCACCAGCACCTGCACCATGCTGCACATCACCCGCACCACGACTCGCACGGCACGCGTCCACGCCAGCCCCGCCCTCGCCCGCGCCCTGTCGTCCCGCGCACGCTCCGTCTTCTCGGCGCTCGACCTCCCCACCTCTGGCGAGCCTATCGCGGGCGTCTACTACAGCGCGCAGGACGGCTGGTGCGGCTCGGGCGAGCTGCAGACGTCGCGCAACCCGGCGACGGGCGAGACGCTCGGCGAGGTCCGGACGGCGTCGCGCGAGGACGTCGACAAGGCGCTCAAGGCGGCACGGCTCGCGTACGAGGGCTGGCGGGGCGTCCCTGCGCCCAAGCGAGGCGAGGTCCTGCGGCAGATGAGGGGCGCGCTCAACGACCGCATCGACGACCTCGGCGCGCTCGTCAGCCTCGAGATGGGCAAGGTCCTTTCCGGTGCGTCCGCTCTCTCTCTCCCTCTCTCTTGCCTCTTTCTCTCCGCCCGAGCTGACCCTCCTACCTCTACAGAGGGTCGCGGCGAGGCGCAGGAGTTCGTCGACGTCATGGACTTTGCCGTCGGGCTCAGTCGAACGTTCGGCGGCACCGTCGTCCAGAGCGAGCGCGAGAAGCACTTCATCACCGAGGTCGCCAACCCTCTCGGCGTCGTCGGCGTCATCTCGGCCTTCAACTTCCCGTGCGCCGTGTTCGGGTGGAACCAGTCGCTCGCCTTCATCACCGGAAACGCGACGATCTGGAAACCCGCGCCGACCACGCCGCTCGTCGCCATCGCCACGACCAAGATCCTCCAGTCGGTCCTCGAGGCCAACAAGCTTCCTGCGGCGCTCTCGGCGCTCGTGTGCGGCGGCGGCGAGACGGGCGACGCGCTCGTGAGCGACAAGCGGGTCGACCTCCTCAGCTTCACCGGGTCCGAGGCGCGCGGCCGCGACGTCTCGATCAAGGTCGCCTCTCGCTTCGGCCAGTCGCTTTTGGAGCTGGGGGGCAACAACGCAAGCATCGTCCTGCCCGACGCCAACCTCCCGATGGCCCTCCAGGCGATCACGTTCGCGGCGCTCGGCACGGCCGGCCAGCGCTGCACGACGACCCGCCGCGTCTTCCTCCACGAGTCGATCGCGCCTCACTTCATCACGTCGCTCGTCGAGGCGTACAAGTCGGTCTCGCCGTCGCGCATCGGCGACCCGCTCGAGAGCGGCACGCTCGTCGGCCCGCTGCACTCGCAGGACGCCGTCAAGCGGTTCCAGGACGCCGTCAAGCAGGCCAAGGAGCAGGGCGGCGAGGTCCTCGTCGGTGGCGACGTCGTCAAGATGCAGGGCGAGCTCGCCGGCGGCAACTGGGTCCAGCCGACCATCATCCTCGTTCGCGACGTCGACAACTTCCCGATCATGAAGCAGGAGACGTTCGCGCCCATCCTCTACGTCTCGACGGTCGGCTCGCTCGAGGAGGCGATCCAGCGCAACAACGAGGTCGAGCAGGGCCTGTCGACGGCGCTCTTCACCAAGGACCTCGGCGCCGCCATGCAGGTCATCGGGCCCGCCGGGGCCGACTCGGGCATCATCAACGTCAACTCGTCGACGAGCGGCGCCGAGATTGGTGCGCGGTTCGGCGGCAACAAGAGCACGGGCTGGGTACGTCCCTGCTCTTCCCCTCCTCCCTCTCCTCTCTCCCTCACCCTCCCCCTGTCTCTTTATCGTCCTCTCTCGCCCTCTCCTCGCCTCCCTTTCTCAGTGTCGACGTTTCCTGACACTCTCGACGTTGCGCAGGGTCGAGAGAGCGGCGGCGACGCGTGGAAGCAGTACGTGCGGTGGTCGTCGTGCACGCTCAACTGGAGCGACCAGCTCGGGCTTGCGCAGGGCGTCAAGTTTGAGTAGCAGTCGTGCAGTGCATCGTACTCGCAGTCTCTCAAGAGCGGCTTCTTTCAGAGCGAGAGAGAGAGGCCTGTGCACGAACGAGGCCGACCGTCGAGTGTCCGATCTCCGCCTCCTCACGCGCAACTCGCTCTCGCGCCACTCTCTCGGTCGTACCAGCTCGTCTTTCGCCAGGAAGCTCTGCACGATGGGCCTTTTGCGCCCCGACCCGCTCCTCGTCGTCGGCGAGCCACTCACCGCGGCCGATGTCGCCGGCGCGGTGCAGCTTCCTCCCTCTCACAACGACCCTGCCGCCTTCATCGACAGCCTGCCCGATGGCGTCGTTCTGCGCCACTTCGACTTTGTCGCCCGCCTGTCCGACCGCACCAGCTGTCGCCCGAGTGCTGCAGCGCCCCTGAGGCGAATTGGCGACCCGGCCGCCGACGCCGTCGTCGACATCCTCGGCCTCGCCGACGTCAAGGGCCGTGGCAAGGACGCCCTCGCGGCCATCGAGGAGTACCTGTCGCGCAAGGAGCAGGAGCTCGGCGTGCGGTGGAAGGAGGAGCGCGGCGAGGACGCCGTCTGGAGGCTGTGGGACGAGATGGCGAGCGAGCCGCCCGAGGGTGTGCATGGCTACGCGGCGGGTGCAGACGGCAAGCAGGACCGGCGGGCCGTCCCCCTCACGCCGTTCGAGGCAGTCCAGGTGCGCCCCTCCTCCTCCTCTCCCCTCCCCTCTCCTCGCCCTGGCCGACTCTGGAGCTGACCTCTCGCCGTTCTCAGGGTCCGCCTACTTTCGCCGAGGGTCAAGCCGTCTTCTGGAAGTACTCGGCGCAGATCTACTCGGCCCTCGGTCACTTCAGCCTCGCAGGCGGCTTCTCGGCGCCCAAACTCGCGGCCGTCATGCACGAGACCAACTACCTCACCTCGGACGCGCGAGACGCGACGCACAAGCGCCTCCTCGAGACCTCGCTTCACGTCATCGATGTGCGTCTCTCGTCCTCTCCCTCTCTCCCCCTCTCCTCGTCGTGGTCGTCGGCTTTCTCTCCCTCCCCTGCACCTCGCACCCCGAGCTGACCTCGATCTACCCACCCCTGCAGGTCATGAGCGACATGACGACGGGCACTGGGCGCGGCTGGAAGAGCACGTTCCGGGTGCGCATGCTCCACGCGCAAGTACGTCGGCGCATCGCCAACGGCAAGGGCCGGTACAACGTCTACGACGAGGCCGAGAACGGCATCCCGATCAACCAGGCCGACTTGCTCGCCGTCCTCGGCGCCTTCATGATCGCGCCCATGTGGTCGTTGCGGCGCATGGGCATCAAGCCGACGGCGAGGGAGGAGGCCGCGTACCAGACGACGTGGCGCCACATCGGGTGCGTCCTTCCGTTCCTCTGCGCCCTCTCGATCTTCCACCGACACATGCCTCTCTCGCGCACAGCTACTACCTCGGCATCTCGCCCGACCTCCTCACGCGTTTCTACGGCGGCTCGTACCAGGCCGCCGAGACCTACTTTGCGTCGCTCGCGTTCTCGATCTTTCCTGCCGGCGAGCCGCCGAGCGATCCGCTCGCCACGCCCCAGTACAAGATCCTGTCAGCCATCAGCAACCGTCCGCCACACCCGACCGGCGTCCTCCGCCACGTCGAGCTGTGCCGGCTCCTCCTCGGTCCGGCGCTCGCCGACCAGCTCGCGCTCCCGCACGGCACCCTGTACGACCGGTTCATGGTCGACGTCGAGACGTGGACGGCGTGGGCCTTGCTCGCGTACGGCCAGGCGTACTCGCGCGTCGCCGGCGCGAGGGGTCGGCGGTGGGAGACGATCCGCAGCGGGTTCTTCCGCCAAGTCATCGAGCTCGTCGTCGTGTACCACCTCGGCGAGCGGCGCACGGTCTTTGCGTGGCGCGAGGCCGACAAGCACGGCGACAAGCTCGACAAGGAGGAGGGCGAGGAGCCTGTGCGTCCCTCTCTCTTCCCTCGTCGTCGACCCTGTCCCTTCCCTCGCGGACTCGGTCTGACTCGGGCTCCTTGCGCAGGGTATCGAGCTCGGCCCACACGTCGGCAAGGCGGTCGTCAAGCAGTGGCGGCACCTGCTCATCGAGATGGGCTGCGTCCTCGGAGGACTTGCCGCGGTCGCGCTCGCAGGAGGAGCGCTCGTCGTGCGGCAGCTCGTCTAGATTGCCTCCGAGACCCTTGTCTAGACCGCTCCCCTGTTGCCATTGTGACACTGTGTACTGCGCTTCTCGCGTGGAGCGCAGAGAGAGTCGGGCTCGCCGTCGCGAAAGTGGCCGGCTGGCGGCGGAGCCGGTCCTCCAACCTCGCGCCAGCCTCTCACGCCAGAGCAGTGCACACACTCGGCAGCTCACCTGCAGTTGCACACCCCGCCTGCGCGCGCGCGACAAGCCGCCCGCCCTCGCCCACCGGCTTTCATCGTCATCTCCCCCAGCCGGCTCCTCCTCGACCACCGCCATCTCAGACCGCCCTGAGCCTGCACTCGGTGCGTCCCTGAGCAAAGTGTACCTGTACAATCACCCTGCACCATCCAACTGACGGCCCTCGTCGCTGCAGATCCTCGTCCTCGACCCGCCCCACGAGCCACTTCCGGCCTCGCCTCGCAACCCTTGCCACGCCAGGCCATGCCGCAGTGGAGGGCCTCGCCGTCACGCCCAGCTCCTCCTGTCGCCTCGACCCATCCCGACAACCCGTCCAACTCGTTCGACTCGCTCTTCGCCAGCACCTCGTCGTCGCGCTCCTCTCGCGCGCCCGGCACGCCATCCACTTCGGCCTCGTCATCGTCGAGCACGCCCGCGCGAGGTCTCTCGAGCTCGAGCTCGGCCTACTCGCTCCTGTCGCGCAAAATGGCCGAGATGGAGGACGAGGACGACCGCATGAGCATCCGCAGCGGGGTCAGCGCGAGGAGCGGGACAGCAGGATCGGCGGCGCGAGGACTCGAGGGCGGCGCGAGCGGCGACAGCGACGAGGTCGGCGCGGGCAAGGGCAGAGGCCGGGCGACGAGCTCGGCGAGTTCGGTGAGGACGGCGCGAGGGCGGGTCGACGCCAACGACGACCTGATGGACGTCGACGAGCCGCGGTTCGTCGACGGCGAGGGCAAGGGCAAGGGCAAAGAGCCCGACACGCTCCCGTCCTCGTCGACGGTCAAGCGTCAACGGCGTAGAGCGCCCTCCCTCCTCGGGCCCGGCGCCGACCGCTCGCCTCGCCGTCGGTCGACCTACCAGGCGCCAGGCGGCTCGAGCAGCACTCTCGCCGCAGGACCGCAGCCGACGCTGTCGACAACGACCGCCGACGACCTCATGCCGAGCATGCGCAAAAAGCCCGACCGCGCCTCGTCCGTCTCGTCCGCCTCGACCTCGACCAAATCCCTCTCGCGCCCGCTCCAGCCGAGCACATCCACCTCGACGCTTCGCCCGCCTCGTCCCTCTCCTGATCGCAAGGCCACCTCGCCGGCCGTCGATCCTCCCTCCTCCACATCCCCTCAAGCCGACCAACCCCTGTCCACCCGGCCATCCTCCTCGACCGCGCCTAGCCAGCGCAGCGCCAAGTCGTCGCTCGCCCGCCGCAGCTGGTTCGGCATGGCAGCCGCTCCCGAGCAGGCGCCGTCGGCGAGCGAGGCGCCAACACCGGCGACGCCGCAATCGTCGACGGCGGACGAGCCGATGTGCACGTCCGAGGACGGCGAGCGTGCAGGTCTCGTCGAGCAGGCGCCAGCGAGCGGCCCTACGCCGCTCGAGAGCGCGAGCGAGCCGGCTCGGCAGGACGGCACCGAGTCGCCCGCCGCCGCCGCCGCCGCACCACCTCACAGCTGGCTGTCGCTCGTCGCCCGCGCCACGCCGAGCTCGCTCAACCTCGCCGCACAAGCTCTCGGCTACGGCGCCCCTGCGTCGATCGAGGCGATGCAGCTCGACGAGCCGGCACCTGTCGAGGACAACGACTCGACGCCGCCTGCAACGCCTCGCGCTGCTCGACCAGGTGCGTCCGCCTCTCTTTCCGCCTGTCCGAGGTTTGCCCGCAACGTCCGCTCACCTCCTTTCCGCCCTCGCAGACGACGACACGGTGCGAGTTGCTCCTGTACCGCCGCCGAGCCACGACTCGGCGACGGCGGCATCGACGGCGGCCGACCAGTCGGCCTCGCGCGCGAGCTGGTTCGGCTGGGGCTGGAGCGGGCCAGCGACAGAGCCCGATCCTTCGGCTCCCGCCGAGTCTACGGCGGCCGCTCCCGACGAGTCGACGCCTGCGGCCCCGCCCGTCGTACCATCGAGCGCCGCGACCGCGGTCGTCGCCGCCCCGACGCCCACGAGCACGCCGGCTCCCGATGCCGCGCCATCCTCGTCTTCAACCACTTCCTCTGCCGCCGGATCCGGCTGGCTGCGGGCGTTCACGACGGCTTTGACGGCCGGGCCTCAGCCGTCGGCCGAGGCGCTCATCGAGCAGCGCCGGCGCGAGGCGTGGGCGCTCAAGCTCGCGGCGCAGAACGCGGCGCGGGACCAGAAGGCGATCGAGTCGGCGCCCGTCGTCACCGAGGGCGAGCGCGCCGAGCCGATGAGCGGCGAGCCGGTCCAGAGCCAGCAGCACGAGCAGCAGGAGGCGCTCACGCCGGCGCAGCAGATCAAGCACCGCGCGTCGAGCTCTGCGTGGAACCTGTCGTCGAGCCTGTTCTCGCGCACGCCCAACTCGCTGCGAGGCCCGCTCGCGTCGCTCGGCGTCGGCTCGTCGTCAGCCGCGTCGACCCACTCGCACGGCTCGTCGCACGCGACCGACACGGCGCCGTCGTCACCTCAGCTGCGGCCCCAGTCGAACCAGGGCCCCGTCAAGCCGCTCACGGGCTCGATCCGCTCGTCGCCCCGCCAAGGTCGGCCGTCGCCCGGCGCCGTCGAGCCGCCGTCGCCCGCCGTCATCGACAACCTCGTCCTCCCTACCTTTAACGACACGTTCTTCCGCCCGCCGAGGTCGTTTGCGCCCAAGAAGTCGACCATCACGCGCGCCGTGAGCGCCGTGTCGGCCTACCTGTTCCACCGCCCGCCGGAGGAGCTCACGAGCCCGCGCCTCGCCCAGGCGCAGCTCGCGGCGGGCGTCAACCCGGCCGGTCTGCCGACCGAGATGGAGGACGATCCGGCCGAGCAGCTGCCCAAGGCGCTCGAGGCGGTCGGCGAGCCGGCGAGGCTCGACAAGGTCAAGCGCGTCGTGACGATTGGCGTTCACGGCTGGTTCACGAGCAACAACATGTGCGTCGCCCTCCTTCCTCTCCCCTCCTGCGTACCTCGTACTGATGGTCTCGCCATCGTGCAGGATCAAGTCGGTCATGGGCGAGCAGACGGGCACGAGGTGCGTCCAGTTGTCCCTCCCGCCTCGAGCGCACGCTCTCGAAGGAGCGTCCCTGACTCTTCTCCTTCTCGTCCGCAGCGTCAAGTTCGCGACGATGATGCACGACGCCGTGCAGGCGTACCTCGAGTCGCACGACCTCGGCTCGTTCAACATCCAGGCGATCGCGCTCGAGGGCCAGGGCATGGTCGAGGAGCGCGTCTCGAAGCTGTACGACCAGCTCGTCGGGCGCGAGGAGTGGGTGCGTGCGCTCAAGATGGCCGACGCCGTCTTTCTCGCGACGCACTCGCAAGGGTGCGTCGTCTCGACGCAGCTCCTCGCGAGGATGCTCGACCAGGGCCTCATCACGGGCACGCAGACCCACCTGTGCGTCCTCTCGACGTCTCTTTCTCCTCCCTCTCTCTCTCGTGTCGCACTGATCCGTTCCTCGCCTGCAGTCTCGCCATGTGCGGCATCGCGCAAGGACCGTGTACGTCCTGTCCGGAGCCTCGACCTCGTCCGGCGCAAAGACTGACTCTTGCCTTCACCTCACAGTCGTCTACCTGTACCAGTCGATCGCGCTCGCGCCCTACTTCAACTACCTCGAGTCGGCGCCGGCGCGCGAGCTGTTCGACTATCAGTCGCCCGAGTCGGTCGCCACGATCAAGTTCCTCGAGAGGTGCGTCCGCCAGCCAGACCGCCTCGCCCCTCTCCTCGCCAGGCCCTGACGTCCCCTTTATCCACAGCTTGCGCATCATCCTCAACGCCGGCGTCAAGGTGACGAGCGTCGGCTCGATCAACGACCAGGTCGTCCCGCTCTACTCGGCCCTCTTCTCTGGCATCGACCACCCGGGCATCCTGCGCGCCGTCTTCATCGACTCGGACGCGTTCCGCACGTCCGACTTTCTCGCCAACCTCGTCGTCTTCTCGGCGCGGCTGCGCAACGCCGGCTTGAGCGATCACGACCTCGTCTACCACGTCAGCGAGGCGCTCGCCGGCGCGCTCACGGGCGTCGGTCATTCGCGCATCTACGAGGAGGCCGACGTGTACCGGTGCGTCCTCTCTCTCTCTCTCTCTATCGCGCCGTCGCCTGACCTCTCTTTCGCAGCCTCGCCGTGCAGTACCACTTTGAGACGACGTCGCTCGTCGAGCCGCCGACCTCGCTCGACGTGAGCCTCGCCGGCCCGCCCCTGTCGATCGCGTGGAACCCCCGGGACCGTCGTAACCCCTACCTCCTGACGTGGGCGATGCGCGGCATCGTCGAGGACCGCCGGGTGCGCGAGCTGTTCGGCAAAGAGCTCTCGGCGCTCAGGGAGGCGTACGAGGTGCGTCTCTGAGCGACACTCGTCGTGTCCTCGTCTCTCCTCTTCTCTCTACTCTCCTCGCCGGTGCCGTCGTCGTGCAGAAGAGCCGGCGCCGTCGTCGAGCAGCAGAGCCCTGACTAAAACTCGTCGACCTCCCCGTCGTGCAGACCTGGCGCCCGCAGACCAAGGTGCTCAAGGACGTGAAGCTCAAGCTCGAGGGTATTCGCCTCATGACGCCGCAGCGGTCGGGCAAGCTGTGAGCAGGTGCGAGTGCGGTCGGAAGGGAGCGAGCGAGAGAGCGAGTGAGGGGTTCGAGGTCGGGGTCTGTCTGTTTGTCCTTCTCGTCGCTGTTGTCGTCTTCCTGCATCGTCGTCTCGTTCTCTCTCTTGTCTCTCGGTGGCTCGGTTTGGCCCGAGAGCCATGAGGTGGCGAAAGCGAGCGTCGTCGTTGGTCACTCCTCGTCCATCGGCTCTCCTCCTCCCTCGCCCGACTCGCCCTCGTCCTCGCCTTCCTCCTCGCCCACCACCTCCTTGCCCTTGCCCTTGTCCTTGGCTCGGGTCTCGCGCCCTCGCGCCGCGCCGGCAGGCTCAACCTCGTCGCCGAGCGGCGCCTGGCCCGTCAACTGCCCGACCGAGAACGTCTTGGGCTTGTTCTTGCTGCCCTTGGGCCGACCGCGCCTGCTCGACGGGCAACGTCAGCTCGGTTTCACCTGTTTGGTAGGTAGGCGGAGAGGGAGGAACGGCGCGACGCACTTGCGCTTGGGCTGGCCGTCCGGCCCCAACTCGCCCTGCGCCTCCTGCTCCGCCGCCGCCGCAGCGGCCGCCGCCGCGTCGGCCTCGCGCTGCGCCTTCTTAGTGTGCGCCTTGGACGGGGGTGGGACGCCGAGGGCGTTGGCCATGCCCGACGGCGGGACGAGCGCGACGGGCTGGAACGAGATGCGGTGCGACGACGTCGTGAAGGGCTGAAACGCCGGCGTGGTGTTGTCTGCGAGCGAGAGCGGGCCTTGGTCAGTCTGTGGATGCTTCGGAAGAGGCGGGAAACGGGAAGGGGAGCGCACCGTTGCGCAGGAAGAGGATGTCGGAGCCGACGAGAGGCTCGTGGAGGCCCTGGAAGTAGCGGTCGCCGAGCAGAGCCATGGGCGTCGTCGACTCGGGTGCCTGTCGCATGGTTCGAGGTGAGCTCCGCCGCAGTGCGTCTCGCCTAGGAGGGAGGGAGAGGGGGAGCGCACCAGGAGCTGGATCGCGTCGTGCTCGGCGAGCGCCTTGGCCTCGAGGTACGGCCCAAAGTCGAGCGTGACGTACTCGACCTGTGCACATACAAGCTGCTGTCAGGTCGGGCGAGTCCGTGCGCGCGAGAGTAAGGGGTAGGGCGCACCTCGTCCTCCTCCCACTCGTCGTCGTCGCCGTCCGGGCCGTCGACCTGGTTCAGGAGCTCGCGCGGGACGAGGTGCTCGACCCTGCGCCAGTTCGAGTTGAGGACGGGCTGTGTCGGGCGTGGGCGGGTCGGCGGGATGGCCATGGCGGCGAGGAGGCGAGGTCGGAGGACGAGGTTGTGGGGAGGGAGACAAGCGCGAGGGACGAGAGGCGGGCCTTGCTGAGGCGCGTGGCGTGTAGCTGTAGCTCTCTCGAGGGTGCTGTGCGCTGCTCAGGTGGATCGAGCGCTGTGACGACGAGTGGCAGTGTCCACAGCTCGCAGTTTGCTGATGAAACCGCGGTTCGCTCTCGAGACTCTCTCTCGCTCGCCCCTCAGCGAGCAAGTTGCTGCGCACGCTCGCTGTACTTTCGGGCTTGCTGCTTCCTGGTGTGCGCGGGTGCCGCTCGCTCCGTCACCTCGTCACCTCGACCTCTTCCTCGCGCGCTTCGACCGTGACTCCGAGTCCTCGTTCCCGACGCGTACTGTGCAGCGCACCTCAGGAGTACTTCCTCGGCCTCGGCGAGTGCGAGGTGAGGACACGAGAGAGGAAGGAAAAGGCGACGGGCCAGACGAGGCCGAAGCGCGAGCAGCTTTCGTCCTCTCTCGCTCTCGCGCTTTGCACCGTCGCAGGAACGCGCGCTGCAGTTCCAGAACCCCCTCCCGCTCGTCCTGCGCCAGCCCGCTCACGCCGCCTGCGCCACCGCCTCGTCGGCCCGCATGGCCTCGACGCCCTCGTCGCTCAGGAGCTCGTCCGGGACGGCGCCCGCTCCGTGCACACTCTGGAGGCGCTCGCGCGCGCCCTTGGTCACCTCGACAAACTCGAACCGTTTCCGGGCAGAGACGGGGCGGCAGTTGCGGATCTGACGGGGCGAGGTGGGGCGCGAGGGTGGAAGGTGGACGGTGAGGGGGGAGAGGGGGTAGGGTCGAGAGCGCGATGGACGCGGAGAGGGTTGCAGGAGAGACGAGAGAAGGGTGGGTACGACAGGGTCAGCGCGGCTCGCTCGGACGAGCAGAGAGAAGGAGAGTGAGAAGAGGGACGGACCTTGACCTGGTCGCCGACGACGCAGGTGGTTTCCGGATCGTGAACGAGGTACTTGGTGTGCTGGCTGTACTCCTGTGTGGTGTCGAACCGGCGTCAGCGGGTGGCTGAGGGCAGGGAGAGAGAGAGGGAAACGAGAGGCGGACCTTGAGCGTCTTGTGGTCGGTCATGCGACGCTCTACCTGGACGGTGCAGGTGTGCTGCATCTTGCCCGTGGTGATGACGGTGCCCTTGAGCTCGAGGCCCTTTGCGAGGGTGTACTTTGAGGCCGGTGGAGGAAGGGACGAGGTCGAGGCGGACGACACGAGGCGGGACGACGAGGGAGAGCACGAGCAGGGGAGGAAGGAGCGCGACAGTGGCCGTGCGGTGGCAGAGATAGACCTGAGCATGGCTGCGGTGGTGCTTGGCGTTGTCGACGAGGCGGGAGAGGGTTGCTGCTGCCTGATGAGCTCCTCCTCGGCAACCCTCCCTCTCTCGCCCCTACACACCCTCGACAGCTGCTTGCACCAGCCAGACCTACTCGCACTCGCCTAAACTCGCCTCGTCGCGCTCGACCTACCCGCCGCCGTCCCTCCCCACCTCTCGCCTCTCGCCCCCGTCGCCGCCTCATCTCATCAGCTCTCGATGCTGCCGGCCACCCGCCGCTCCCTCGCCAGGGCAATCCCGCATACCCACCGTGCACCCGCAACACGCCCGCTCTCGACCGCCGCACCTCTCGACCCGCCCAACCTCAAGGTCACCACCCTCGCAAACGGCGTCCGCGTCGCGTCCGACCCGACCCCGGGTCACTTCGTCGCAGCCGGCGTCTACGTCGATGCCGGCAGTAGGTACGAGAGCGCTCGCACCCGCGGCGCAGCACACATGACGGACCGCCTCGCCTTCAAGGTGCGTCCCCCTCTCTCGCCCTCTCTTCCCCTCTCGCGATGAACCTCGGCTCACCTGCACTCTCTCTCGCCCATAGAGCACCGCGAGCCGCTCGGCAGAAGAGATGACGCGCGAGATCGAGCAGCTCGGCGGCCAGTTCATCTCGTCGTCGTCGCGCGAGACGATCCTGTACCAGGCGTCGACCTACACCCACTCGCTCCCCTCGGTCCTCTCGATCCTGTCCGACACGGTCCTGCACCCGCAAATCACCCAGGAGGAGCTCGACATCCAGCGCGACGCCGCCCTGTGGGAGGTCGGCGAGATCAAGACCAAGCCCGACATGATCCTCCCCGAGCTCCTCCACGAGACGGCCTTTGCCAACAACACGCTCGGCAACCCGCTCCTGTGCCCCGAGGACCGCCTCGAGGCCATGACGCCCGACGTCATCCAAGGGTACATGCGCACCTGGTACCGCCCCGACCGCCTCGTCGTCGCCGCCGCCGGTGTCGAGCACGACGCGCTCCTCGAACTCGCCGACCGCCACTTTGGCAGCGTCAAGCCCGTCGCGTCGTCCACCTCTCCTTCCACCTCGACCACCTCCTCCTCCTCTTCCGCACCTCGACCCGCATCCGCCTCCCCCTCTGCACCCTTCTCGACCTCTGCCCCTTCCCCCGCCACCGTCTCGTCCTCGTCGCCCGACGTCGAGTCGTTCGAGTACCTGTCGACGGCCCCAGCACGGTACACCGGCGGTCAGCTCCTGATCGAGGACGGCGAGCAAGAGTTCACGCACGTCTACGTCGGGTACGAGGGCCTGAGCATCCACGACGAGGACATCTACGCGCTCGCGACGCTCCAGGTCCTGCTCGGAGGCGGCGGCTCCTTCTCGGCCGGTGCGTCTCTGCTCTGCCTCTTTCTCCCTTCCTCTTGGACGCCGAGACTGACCCGACCGGTGTCGGTGTGTGCGCAGGCGGGCCGGGCAAGGGCATGTACTCGCGCCTGTACACGAGCGTTCTCAACCAGTACCACGCCGTCGACTTCTGCTCGGCGTTCCACCACTGCTACCTCGACAGCGGCCTGTTCGGGCTCTCGATCTCGGTCCACCCGTCGTTCCTGTTCCGCACGCCCGAACTCATCGCGCAGCAGCTCGACGCCGTCACGCGGCCCATGGGCGGCGGGATCGGCGAGACCGAGTTGAGGAGGGCGAGGAACCAGCTCAAGAGCAGCTTGGCCATGGCGCTCGAGAGCCGCATGGTCCAGGTCGAGGACCTCGGGGTGCGTCCCCAGCCTCTCTCTCCTCTCTTTCTCTTCCTCTCGTGCCTCGTCCTGACTGCTCCTCTCTCCCTCATCCTCTCTCTCGAACGCCCGTCCCGCCACGCTTTCTCTTTCCCTCTCCCCTCTCGCCCTCGTACCCTCTCGCCCTTTCGCTCGTCGATCCCGCGTCCGCTTGCCCACAGCGCCAGGTCCAGGTGCACGACCGCAAGATCTCGATGCCCGAGATGTCGGCCCTGATCGACCGCGTCACGCTGTCGGACCTGTTCCGCGTCGCGAACCGCGTCCTGCGGCCCTCGACGTCGGCGCTCGTCGGCGACCGAAAGCGCAACGGCGAGCCGACCGTCGTCGTGCAGGGGCAGCTGCGGGGCCTGCCCGACGTCCGGGACGCGCTGCGCAGGAGGGGACTGGCGGGGAGCGCGAGCTCGTGACTCGCGGCGGCCGAGAGGGGAGGACGAGGAGGAGTCGCGAGCGGGAACGGGAGAGGAAGGAGAAGCGGCAGGGCGCGTCGGGGCTGAAGGATAGATGTATCGCACGCAACACTCGCATTTCTTTTACCTCTCGAGCAGCTACAGCGTCCCGCAGCTACCTTCTCTTGCTCGACGAGGTCAACTTCTCGGTTTTGAGAGTAGTAGGTGCCGCTCAGGTTCTAGACGTCGAGCATCCGTCTCATCAAGGACTGTGAGAGCGGCGGAACCCGGGATTAAACTACTCTCGAGCAGCTACAGCGTCTCGCAGCTACCTTCTCTTGCTCGACGAGGTCAACTTCTCGGTTTCGAGAGAAGTAGGTGCCGCTCAGGTTCTAGACGTCGAGTATTCGTCTCAGCAAGGACTGTGAGAGCGGCGGAACCCGGGATTAAACTACTCTCGAGCAGCTACAGCGTCCCGCAGCTACCTTCTCTTGCTCGACGAGGTCAACTTCTCGGTTTCGAGAGAAGTAGGTGAGGGTCACGTCCTAGACGTCGAGTATTCGTCTCAGCAAGGACTGTGAGAGCGGCGGAACCCGGGATTAAACTACTCTCGAGCAGCTACAGCGTCCCGCAGCTACCTTCTCTTGCTCGACGAGGTCAACTTCTCGGTTTCGAGAGAAGTAGGTGAGGGTCACGTCCTAGACGTCGAGTATTCGTCTCAGCAAAGACTGTGAGAGCGGCGGAACCCGGGATTAAACTACTCTCGAGCAGCTACAGCGTCCCGCAGCTACCTTCTCTTGCTCGACGAGGTCAACTTCTCGGTTTTGAGAGTAGTAGGTGCCGCTCAGGTTCTAGACGTCGAGCATCCGTCTCATCAAGGACTGTGAGAGCGGCGGAACCCGGGATTAAACTACTCTCGAACAGCCAGAGCGTCTCGAAGTCGAGGAGGAGGAGCTTCACACCGATCGCAGCCGTCCGAGCGACGTAAGACGCTCCCGAGGCACTTGAGGAACAATCCCGAGAAAGCCACCGACCGAGCGAGCTGTCAGAAAGAGCTCTCTCGACCTCATCCGTCGCTCGACTTGAGAAGGGCGAAGGGGAGCCAACTCGCGCTCTACACGACAAAATAGCTCGGGAAACGCGCTCGATTGCACCGCAGACACCTCCTCATTCGATCCGGCGCGCGCACGAGGCCGTCACCCTACTGGAACAAGAGATAGCGTTTGAGCGAGGGTGCGCAGGATCCCCCTGTCTTTTGTAGGTGGCCGGGCACACGGGCGCTCCGCAGGGGTGCGCACCGTGCGAGCGGTTCACCAGAGTGCGCCCGCTGCCCACAGGGGCACGTGAGGGCGGGCGCGGCCTCGTAAAGACCCGTCCAAGACGGCTCGACTCGCTGAGCCGTCGGGACGAGTGCGACGACGAACGAGAGCTGGAAGCGGTCTGGGGACGCTCGCTTGGGACGAGGAGAGCTTTCGGAAAGGGAAAGGCGCCGTCGCGCGGCGCAGCAAGGGCGCGAGGGGAAGCTTTCGAGGCCGAGAAGGGGGAGGTGCCATCGAGGGCGCGACTAACCTGCGGCGTGACGTCGAGAGGGTCAGTGCGCGGCTCGGCGAGGAGTAAAGTTCCATCTGGAGGTACTGAAGGCAAGAGAGAGAGTGCGTGGGACGTACAAAGGACAAGACGAGCCGCTTCGAGGTCGAGAGCCCGCCTCGCGCCGCCCAGAAGACCGCCCTGCTCGCCTTGCGCAGGTGTTCCGCCTGTGAGGTGGCCAGGTCAATCCATCAAGACCCCTACACTGCATCGCGAGGTAGCAGAGGCGGCGAGGGGAGAGGGAGAGGGGGGCCAAACACGGGGAGGCGGGGATGAGGTGGATCACCAGTCGCCCACAGCCCGCGCAGCGCGGCCGCCTGGCTCGATGCACGACTGGAAGCTGCTTGATGCCCGGACGAGCGCGCCCACCGGTCCACGAGTCGTTGTCGCTGGTCGAGAGAGGTCGGACGACGCGGCTTGCTGATGAGGACGCGAGTCGCCCTGCGCTGTCGGCGAGCGCTCGTGGTGGTACAGGGATAGGCGCAGGCGATCTGCGCCGTATGCAGGTATGTGTGGCAGCCAAGGCGACGCGTCCTGTCGTGAGGGTCGGTGTGCGAGGTGGACGAGGGAGAGGAGCGCCTCGTCTCGAAACCGGGCCTGCTTTTCACATCTGCCACAGCTCTTGCGCTCGCTCAAACCTTCAAAGCAGACTGCTCTCCTCTCAGAGGAAGCTCGACAGGCTCGGGAGCTTCGAAAGGTGACGCGATCGCCGAGAGAGGAGAGCCGGCGCGACGCGAACGCAATCCGTCGTCTCTCGCGGCAGCGCTGTGGCCACGATGACGCGCAGAGACAGGATACAGGGTCGCAACAAGGTACTACGGACGAGAGGAGGAATAAGAGAAATAGAGGGGGAGGGAGGAAAGCAGGAAGTATGGCTCTTCACTCCTCGTCCGAGTCGAGAATGACCCGCCGCTTCTTGGCGGCCTGCGAGACCGCGCCGACAGGCTCATCGTCGTCGCTCATGGCGTCGCCGGCTCGCGCAGGGGGCGCCGAAGTAGTCGAGGACGCCGAAGCTGCGCGCTTCCTTCCCGACGCGCGTGAGCCGGACGACGACGGCGCTGTCGGCGACTCGTGCTCGTCGACTATGCCGTCGTACTCGTCGCCGTCGACCGCAGAGCCCGCCGCCTTCTTCTTGTCGGCCTCCTTGCGCAGATCGCGAACGAGGTCGTCGTCGTCCTCGACGTCGCTGACGGCCGCCGGGTTGAAGTTGGTGACCTTGCGCGCCTTGCCCTTGCCCTTGCCGCGCCGGCCCGTGCTCTTCTTGGCTGTCGGCGGCGGCGACGAGTCGAGCGAGTCGGTCGGCGAGGTGGCGCGCTTGGTCGAGGAGGCGTCCTTCTTGACCTTCTTCTTCTTGGACCCGGCGTCGAGGGCGGTCGAGATCTGGCCGGCGTTGAGCTTCTCGCGTAACTGTTGGCGTAACCGGGTGCGGGTGAGTGTGTGTCGCGAGGGAGGATGAGGGACTGAGCGAGGGGTCCGGACGTACGGCCGCCTCGCGCGCAAAGAAGGCGGCATCGCCGTCCTCGTCTCCCTCGTCGTCCGTGTCGGTGATCTGGCGAGAGGGTTAGTCGAGTTCGAGGACGAGTTGCGCAGAAGGAAAGGCCCGAGGACGTACAAACTGGGCCGACTTGTACGCTTGCTCCTCCTCCTTGCGCTTGGCCTGCCGCTTCTTCTTCTCCTTGGCCTTGACGACGACCTCGCCGTCCTCGCCGATCTCCATCTCGTCCTCGCTCGCGATCTTGCGCTTGCGGCGCACGGGCTTCTTGCGCTGCTTGCGCAGGAGCTCGGCCGCCGACTTGCCGTTCTGCGGGTCGACCGGGTCGAGGAGGAAGTCGTCGACGATCTTGAGGTCGCCATCGAGCTTAGAGGGCACGAGCGATGCAGGGATCTGCCACACGAGCTGGCCCGACTCGGGTGCTGCGAGGAAGGGGGGAAGGGGGAAAGAGGTGGACGGTCAGGCGAGGCGCGCACAGGACGACGATGTCGACGAAGGGGGACGCACCATCGCTGCTCTCCCAGCTCAAGAGGCGCATGAGGAGCTTGAAGTGCGCGTTGACCGTGGCCGCCTCCTTGACGCTCTCGTCATCGCCGAGGTCGACCGTGTGCGGGACGAAGAGGGCGACCGCCTCGGGCGACGGGCCCTTGAGCTGCGCCGCCTTCTCGCGCATGGCCTCGTCCGTCTCGAGGTCGGCGAGCGAGCTCGTGTCGGGCAAGCCGTCGACCGTGAGGACGATCTCGGTGCGGGCGGCCGAGGCGAGGACGAGTTGCTGTGGGAGGTCCGAGCGGGGTCAGTTTGCATGTCCGGCGGCAGCAGTCCATGACCGGAAAGAGAGGGACGCACACTCTTGATGAGGTCGATGAGCTTGTCGTCGCCGGCCTCGACCAAGCACGCGATGGCGATGCCGATTTGCTGCGTGTGCGAGAACCCGGGCGCGACCTCGACCTCGCCGATCTTCTTGGCCTGCGAGGAGATCCAGAGTGTCAGTCTCGCCCTCAGAGAGCGTAGTAGATGAATCGAGGCGGCGCACCTTGTAGATGAGCGTGTCGTCGTCGCTGTCGCCGTACGGGTCGGCCTCGCCGAGGCGCATCTTGCCGAGCTGCGTCTTGGTCTTGGGGTAGAAGCACTGCGCACGTCGTCTCGGCGTCAGTGGATGTCCTCGATATAGTCGGAGAATGACCGAGGGAGGAGAGAGAGGGAAGGCACCTCGAGGAGGAGGAAAGGGTGGTCCTGCACGGCGTTGAAGAATTTGCGCAGGATGTACTCGATGAGCTTGCGCAGGTCGAGCTTGGGGCCCTCGCGCGCGTCGGCAATGTCGCGGTCCTCCATAATGCGGCGGAAGAGCTCGAGAACGGTCGGCTGCGGGTCGGGAGAGCACGAGAGTCAGGACGCTGTGCGACGCAGAAGAGGTGCGAAACGGCGACGGCGCACCTTGTAGAAGAGGCCCTCGGACTTGGCCTTGACGGCCTGGCGATGCATGAGGGCGACGATGCGCTTCATCTGCTCGGGCGAGCGGTACGTCTTGTACGACTCGAGGTGGACCATGCACGTCGCGAGGACCGACTCGTCGGCGAAGCGCTGCGACAAAGGACGTCAGAGCTCGCTCAGAGAGAAGGACAGGAGAGAAGAGGACGCAGGGCGCACCTGCTCAAACTTCTCGAACTGGAACGCGTGCTCGCCGAACGACACGGTCCCGCTCTCGACCTCAAGCTCCTCCTCGTCCTCGCCGCCGGCCATGCCGAGCCCGTCTCCCTCGTTCTCGTCGGCGCCGTCGGGCTCTGCCAGAACGAGTCGTCAGAGACCCGAGGAGGGAGGAGGGTGGGGAAGGGAGAAGGGGAACGAGCGACGCACTCTTCTTCTTGGCCGCCGATTTCTTGGCCTTCTTCTTTCGCACGTACATGTACGACTTGCTCTTCGAGTACTTCTCGAGCATGCGGAGGAGCGTGTAGGCGAGGTTGAGGACGGCATCGAGGTACCTGTGGGCGGCAAGAAGACGAGCTTGTGAGCCACAGTTCACGCTCGTCCTCCATGCTGGCCGAGGCGATATCCAGAGCGAGAGCGCGACTCACTTGTACGACTGGCCGTTGTAGCGCGTGACGAGCGACACGACCATGTCGAGCGTGTCGGCCTCGTAATAGAGCTTGTTCTGGAGGATCTCGGCGACGTCGATGTGGTCCTGATTGCCCGTTGCCTGGAGCGCCTCGATGACGAGCAGCTGCGGACGGGAAGTGCAGGTCAGGGCGGGCTCAGAGAAGGAGAGGACGAGGGCGACGCACAATCTGGGTGAAGCACTCGACGCCGGCGTGCAGGTCGGTCCACAACGGCGGCTGCATCAGGTACGAGTGAGTAGACGCGCACGACAAGGTGCATGGACGTCGCCGAAGAGAGGGAGAAGGAGGAGAGGCGGCGCACCTTCTCCTCGAGGGCGTTCTTCATCCTCATCGTGACGAACCCGATGGCGTGCGGCTCGGTCATCTCGGCGACCATGCCAAAGTCGTGGCCGTGCTCCTCGTCGAGGTGCGAGATGCCGCGCTTCTCGTCGTCGCGGTACACGAGGAGGAAGAACTCGAGGAAGAAGGCCGACAGGTACAGGAAGCGGACCGTGTCCGACTCGCGGACCTTGATGCGCTCCATGCGGATGTCGCGCAGGACGGACGAGAAGAACGCTGCGCAGGCACGAGGGGGAGGTGGGTCAGGGGTCGGCGAGGGAAGGCTGAGCCACCCGCGAGGGAAAAGAGGAACGGGCGACGCACGGTTGAACGCCGACTCGACGAAGCGCCTGCTCGTCTGCGCGAGGACGCCGATCGCCTCGGACCGCAACTGCGACGGTGGAGCGAGGTCGTCCTCCTGGCGCAGCTTCTTGACCTTGGTCTTCTTGATCTTGTCGAGCGTCTTCTCCGGGCCCTCGGCGAGCGTCGACTGCTTGTGGAGGATGTACTTCTTGCCGTTCTGCGGGTCGTGCACGACGTCGAGAAGGGTCAGTGACTGTCGGGGGCGAGACGAGGCGCCAGCGCAGAGAGAGAGAGAGGAGGGCGCACCGACTGGACGGCGATCGTGGTGCCGAAGCGCGAGTGCCTCGAGCCCTTGAGGCCGAACGCGTTCTCCGACTGGCGCGCCTCGAGGTCGAGCATCTGTCGGAGGCGGTTCTGCTCGACCTTGCCCTCGGGCACCATGAGCTCGTCGGGCCGCACGCCGCGGTAAACGAGGTGGAGGATGTCGAGGACGACCATGTTCCAGGGCGCGTAGTCATTCGAGTCGGCCTGGGACGACATGGCGAGGAGGAGGTCGAGGACGCCCTCGCGCTGGAAGGCGATGACCATGTCGGACTGGAGCGACGAGTCCTCGACGGCGGCGGCCGAGGTCGACGTCGAGTGGCGGTCGACGAGGTAGGCGAGGTTGCGGAAGACGTGGAGGACGAGCGAGATGACGTTCTCGTCCTTTGGCGTGCGCTCCCTGCGCGAGGAGGGAGGGGCAAGTCAGTCTCGAGGCCGGGCTCGAGCGCGCCTCGACCCTCGAGAGACAGAGAGAAAGGCCGGGACGGACCTGCGGCTCTTGGACAGGCTGTTGGCGAGGATGATCATCATGTGCTTGAGGACGTTGTCCTTGAGGATGGCCGCTTTGTACGAGCGCTGCGCCTGGATGAGGGTCGTGTAGTCCATCGACTGCTTGAGCTCGCCGAGCAGTTGGGCGTCGCGCAGCTCCTCGGCGACGTTGATGGGCCACGTCATGGCGCCGATGAGCTCGACTGTAGGTACGGGTTGTCAGTTTCGAGGTGCACGAGCGAGGCGCAGGACAAGTGGGACGCACCACAGGCGAGAGCGATGCGGTCGCCCTTGTTGCCGGTGCCGAGCGTCATCTTGAGGATCGGGATCAGGTCCTTCTTGAGGACGCCGACCTCGTGGAAGATCCTGGCGACGGTGCGATCATCGTCCTTCTCGTCCATGCGCCAGAAGCGCTTGAGGTCTTTGAGGCAGCCTGCGAGCGAGAGGGGTCAGCGGTCGTGCCGGGCTGAGAACGGCCGAGCGAGACGAGAGACGCACCGACGACCTGGTCACCGAGCGAGTAGGCCGTGTAGACCTTGCCGTTCTCGTCGAGGAACTCCTCGTAACCGCCGAGAGCGGCGCACACGGACGAGATGGGAGCGTGCAGGACATCGCGCTTGCTGTTGGACGAGGGTTGGGGTGGTCAGCTCGCGCTGTGGTGTGAGAGGGAGTGGACAAGAGTGGACGGACCGCTGCTGTGCGCTGCCGGGAGCGTTGTAGTCCTCGTCGTAGGGCGTTTCCGAGCGGTGCTCGTGGTCGCGGTCGTCGGCCTCGTCGTCGGTGCCGTAGCCGAGGTGCTTGGGTGCCATCGGGGGCGAGAGCTGTCGGGCACACGAGCAGCCCTCTCGGTGCGTGCGGGCTGCAGCTGAGGCGAGCGAGCGGGTGGATCGAGGAGACGGCGACGCGCTGCGACGTGAGCGGGCAGACGAGACCGCGGCGGAAAGGCTCGCCGTCGACGGCAGCGCCGGGTGAGGCGAGAGCTGCTTCGCTAGCCTCGCAAAGCTGTTGCTCGCTTGATTCGCCCGCAAAGTCGGGCCCCTCGAACGCGAGGTCGAGGGAGGCCGCATCGCCTCGTCCGTGTGAGCTTGCTCGTCGAACCGAGCCGCCTCGTCGACCCGGCACCACCCTCTCGACCTCAGCAGCGCAGCCATGGACGTGTCTGGCATTCTCGACCAGCAGCAGGAGCGCCAGTGCGTCCGCCCCCCCCCCCCCCTCTCCCTCTCTCTCCTCGTCTCTCTCCCCCTCCCCTCCTCCACCCGCCGAGCTGACCCTCGCCTCATCTCCCCCGCTCGCAGGAAGGCCATCACTGTCACCAAGGAGATCCCCGTCGACCTCGACCTCGGTCTCCTCGCCGTCTTTGACCCCAACCCGATCGACCTCGAGTCGTACCAGTGCGTCCCTCCTCCTCATCTCCCGCCCCGCCCGCCGCCTCATCTCACCCTCGCCTGTGCCGCGACAGGACCGACAAGGAGCGCTCGCTCCTCGACCATGCCCGCGACGGCATCCAGCTCCTCGTCAACGAGCTGTGGTCGCAGAAGACGCGCATCGTCGACGACGATGTGATTGCCGACCTGCCGCCCATCGCTACGGGCCTTCCCCGCGAGAAGCCTGTGCGTCCGAGCCTCTCCCTCGTACTCTCGACAGAGGACAGCCCGACTGACCCGGCTCCTGTCGACCCACAGCTCCCCAAGCAGGCGCCCGAGACCAAGTGGCAGGCGTTCGCCAAGGCCAAGGGCATCGCGCCCAAGGAGAAGAAGGACCGCATGGTGTACGACGAGGAGCGCCAGGAGTGGGTCCCGCGGTGGGGCTACAAGGGCAAGAACAAGGACAAGGAGGAGCAGTGGATCCACGAGGTGCCCAACAACGCCGGTCCGTCCCTCCCTCCTTCTTCCCCCCGTCGTCCCAGCTGACCTCGCGCTCGTCCCCGCAGACCCCAACTTCGACCCTCGTGCGGCGGCCAAGCAGGAGCGCAAGGCGCGCTCGCTCAAGAACGAGTCGCAGCGGCTGCAGAACCTGCAGCGCGTCGCGGCCAACGCGGCCCAGCAGGTGCAGGCGTCGACGGCGCGCTCGAGCCAGCGCGACGCGCGCAAGCAGGAGATCGAGCACACGCTCAAGGCGAGCAAGAAGAGCACGGCGAGCCTCGGCAAGTTCGACGACAAGCTCAAGGGCGAGGGTCGGGAAAAGAACATCAAGCGCAAGGTGCGCCCCGCTCTCTCTCGCCTCCCCCCGTCGACGCCCTCGTACTGACCCTCGCCGTCGTGCACCTGCCCGCAGTTCGACGCCAACGAGGTGTCGGCCAACGACGAGCGCAAGAAGTCGATGGCGATCCTGTCGTCGATTGGCGCGACGCCGTCCAACAAGCGCACCAAGGTGTCGGACGACGCGCCGAACGCCCGCCAGGAGACGCGCGGCCTCGTCAACGACCGCAAGGCGATCAAGCACCTGACGGGCGGCCGGGGCGCGCTCAGCCTCGAGCAGAAGAAGGGCGGCGGCCGCGGCGGCGGCAAGGGCGGCAAAGGCCGCAAGTGAGGGCGGTTTCCTTCCTCCTCTGGTGTACGATAGAGCGCATGCCTCTGTGTGTAGCCTGTAGCAACGAGTTGCCCCCACCTCTCAGTGCGTTCGAGCGAGAGTCGAATACAAAAGTCAAGCGCGAAAGTCAAGCCAGATGCGAATAGGTTTGGGCCCGCCTCGCGCCTCGCCCTCTCCTCTCCTCCTCATCAGCTCGAGCAGCCATGTTTGGCGCACCAGCCTCGTACGGCCAGCCGCAGACTCGGTCCAAGGTCGTCTTCGGTGCGTCTGCACGTCCCCACCTCGCTTCTACAGCTCGCGAGCCAGTCGCTCACCTCGTCCCCTCCTCCTCGTCGCCCCCCGCTACAGTCGGCAACCTCCCGTTCGACTACACTGAGGAGCAGTTTGTCGAGGTGCGCAGCTCGTTCCACTCCTGCCGCCTGTGAGCCCCGAGCTCACCCCCTGCCTCGTCTGCAGGTGTTCAACTCGGTTGGCCCCGTCGTCTCGTTCCGGTGCGCCCTCTCTCGCTCTCCCTCTATTCCCCCTGCCACCAGTCTGAGCCACGCAGAGCTGACCCACGTGTCACGCGATCGTAGCCTCGTCTTCGACCACAACACCGGCAAGCCCAAAGGCTTCGGCTTCTGCGAGTACCGCGACGCCGACACGGCCGCGTCGGCGCTGCGCAATCTGCAGGGCGTCGAGGTTGGCGGCCGAGGCCTGCGTCTCGACTTTGCCGACACGGACGACGCGCCGCCGAGCAAGCGCTTCCGTGGGCCGGGAGGGCCGCCGATGGGAGGTGCGGGGCCGGCGGGCTACGGCGGAGCGTACGGCGGCGGCGGAGGAATCGGCCCGGGAGCGGGAGCAGGAGCAGGGGCAGGAGCCGCGCCGGGCGCGTACGGCGGGTACCAGCCTCCCGGCGGCGGCGGCGGCGGCGGCATGACGCCGCTCGGCGGTGCCGCACCTCCAGGTGCTCCCGCCGCCCCGCTCGTTGCGGCACCTCCCGCCGGCGGGTACAACATCCCGCCGCCGGTGCCGGGTGCGACGGGCCCGCGACCGCTGCCGCAGGGCGTGCCCGTCGAGCCGGGCAAGCAGGCGACGGACAAGATCACCGAGACGATCGGCACCATGGCGCCGGGCCAGCTGCTCGACATCATGAGCCAGATGAAGGTCCGTCACGCCCTCTCCCTCCCTCCTCCTCTTCTCGCGAATCCGGCACTGACTCGAAAACCTGATCGCGCAGGCCCTCGTCACCGCGAGCCCGTACGAGGCTCGCGCCCTCCTCACCGCCCAGCCCCAGCTCTCCTACGCCCTCTTCCAGGCCATGCTCTGCATGGGCATCGTCGACCCGTCAGTCCTGCAACGCGCCTTTCCCGCCACCGGCGCCGGCGCCGCACCTCCCGCCGGGCCCGGCGGGTACCCGCCCGCGCCCGCTCCCGCCGCACCGGCGGGCGCAGCCGGCTACGGCTACGGCACGCCGCCGCACGTCGCGCAAGGCGGGTACGGTGCGCCTCCTGCTGCGGCGCCGAGCAGCTACTCGCGCCCGCCGCCTGTCGGCGCGCCCTCGAGCTACGGCGCCCCGCCACCGCCGCCGCCTCAGCAGCAGCAGCCGTCGTCGGGCTACGGCAACTACCAGCGTCCGCCGCAGGGTGCACCACAGCCGCCGCAGCCGCAGCAAGCGCAGGCGGCGCCGGGCACGACGCCCGAGCAAGCAGCTGTGCGTCTCTCGCCCTCTCTCTCTCTTTCCCTTCCTTTTCGTCGGCCCGAGATCTCGTGACTGACCTCAACGCCTCTCCATTTGTGTAACACAGCTCATCCAGCAGGTCCTCAGCATGACGGACGCCCAGATTGCCGCTCTCGACGAGACGAGTCGCAACACGATTCTGCAGATTGTGCGTCCCTCTCTCCCTCTCCTTCTCCTTCGGTCACCCTCGATCGAGAAGACGAGCCGGCACTGACTCTTTCGTGTCGTCGTCCGCAGCGGCAGCAGGCGCAGCGCGCGATGGGTCGGTGAGAGAGGGAAGGACGCGTCGACGATGTTGTTAACGCGAGGAGTTGCATTTCTGCGTGTTGCCTAGACCTTGTCCGAGAGCGAGCTCCGAGAAAGCGACGACTCAGGCGTGTCACCGCCCAACTCGAGCCAGCGTCCGAGAAAGGGAGCGAATCTGCGAGACGCTGTAGCTGCTCGAGAGTAGTTTAATCCCGGGTTGCGCCGCTCTCACAGTCCTTGCTGAGACGAATACTCGACGTCTAGAACCTGAGCGGCACCTACTTCTCTCGAAACCGAGAAGTTGACCTCGTCGAGCAAGAGAAGGTAGCTGCGGGACGCTGTAACTGCTCGAGAGTAGTTTAATCCCGGGTTCCGCCGCTCTCACAGTCCTTGCTGAGACGAATACTCGACGTCTGGGACCTGACCCTCTCCTACTTCTCTCGAAACCGAGAAGTTGACCTCGTCGAGCAAGAGAAGGTAGCTACGGGACGCTGTAACTGCTCGAGAGTAGTTTAATCCCGGGTTCCGCCGCTCTCACAGTCCTTGATGAGACGAATACTCGACATCTAGAACCTGACCCTCACCTACTTCTCTCGAAACTGAGAAGTTGACCTCGTCGAGCAAGAGAAGGTAGCTGCGAGACGCTGTAGCTGCTCGAGAGTAGTTTAATCCCGGGTTCCGCCGCTCTCACAGTCCTTGATGAGACGAATACTCGACATCTAGAACCTGACCCTCACCTACTTCTCTCGAAACCGAGAAGTTGACCTCGTCGAGCAAGAGAAGCTCCTTTCTGCTTGAGCTCTCTCAGCCTGCTGCTCGTCAGATCTTGCACATTGCGTCGCGCCCGGGCCTGCTCCAAGTACCTGAGCTTACAGTCCAACGTGCACGCGGCGGAAAGCCTCTCGTGCGCAGGCTCGCAAGAAAGAAACACGCTCTGAAGCTCGCGAGGGAGAGAGGGAAAGCCGAGTGTCCTTGCAGGTCCAAAGGAAAGGGGGCGGGTCGTCATCGAGAGGGTCCATGGTGAAGGGAGGAATGGAGAGAATGGCGACAGGCGTGAGGGAGAGGAGAGGAAGGGGCGTGACGGAACGATTAAAGGGCGAGCGGGGGTATGCAGAACGGAGAAAAGGACAGGACCGAGTGCAATGCGGACGGAGAGGGCGAGGGGAGTGTCCATGAGGGGGGATGAGGGAGAGAGAGGAGAAGGAACGACGGGTTCGGCGAGGCCGCAGCCCTATCAGGCTGCGCCGCCGCCGAACGAGTGCCTCGGCGGCGCCGCGCCCGGCGGCAAGTGCCCACCCGAGCTGCTGCCCGAGTGCCCGCTCGTCGACTCGCCGTACCAGCTGTCCGTCGCGCCGGGCCCGCCGCCGCTCGCCGACGACGGGACCGAGCTGCCCTGCGTCGACGGGCGACTCGCGCGGCGCGAGTGGCGCTGCACGACGCGGACGCCCTCGCCGCTCGAGGCCGGCACGGGGCCGACGTCCGACAACGAGACGCCGCGCCGAGGCGGGCGAGGCGAGGGCGGGTTGGCGAACGGGTTGTTGCTCGCAAAGGCCTGCGGCGGCGACGAGATGGGCGACGAGCCGTTCGAGGTCGACGTCGAGCCGGACGCGATGCCGGGCGGCGGGAGGAGGGCCTCGGGCTCGTTCGAGTAGAAGTGCGACACCGAGTCGGTCGGCGGCGAGTGCTGGTACAGGATGGGCCGGTCCGCCTCGTCCTCGAAGCCGGCGTCGTGGAAGGACGGGTAGTCGTGCGGGCCACGTGGCGGCGCCGCGCCGCGCTGCACCGGCTGCGCCATGCCGCGCCCAGCGCGGTCGAGGCTCGTGTCGGACGAGGCGGGCGAGATGTTGGCGGCGGGAGCGAGCGGCGCCGGGAGCGAGAGCTCGGTCGGGTACCGCGCGCTGTGAGGCTGCGCCGAGTCGGTCGTGTCGGTGCTCGAGAGGATCGACTGGCGGTGGCTCGCAGGGCGACCCGGGGAGCCGCCTCGGTACGACGGGCCGGCGTGCTGGTCGAGGCCGTACACCGAGTCGCGCGAGTGCGTCGCCGACTTGTACCGACGGTCGCGCTCCCAGTCGGCCCAGCGCTTCATGGCGATGTGCGACGAGTCAAAGTCGCCCTCCTTGGCGCTGTGGTCGTGCTTGCCCGTCTCGCCTTCGACTTGACGCGTCGCGCCCCACGAGAACTGCATGGTCGTAAGAGGCGTCAGGGACGTGTACGACGACGCGAACAAGGGAAACAGGGTGCTCACGTCGTCGAAGTGTGTGAATGCGTACACGGGCAGGATAAAGTTCCAGACCGGGAGCGAGACGAGCTGTGGGAGGAGAGCAAGGTCAGGTCGGCGACGCTGGGTGGCTCGACGAAGCGAGAGGGCGGGCAGGCGACGCACGTAGATGAGCATCCAGCCGAGGTAGGCCTGCAGAGAGAAAGAAGAGAGGTCGTCAATGCCAGAGATGCGCGAGGAGAGGACCAGAAAGGCGAGCTCACGAATCGGCGCGAGGTGACGACGATGAGGATGGCCGGGATACCGAGGATGAGGGCGAGCAGGACGAGCGAGACGACGGGCTTGACGGTGCCCGGGATGATGGCGACGACGATGAGGTACAGGGTGAACGCGATGGCGGCGGGCAGGACGAGGGTACCGGCGAGCTCCATGAAGACTGCGCGACGGGACGAGGGTCAGTGACATGCTCACGCATTCTCCGCTCGTTCCAGAAAGAGAGAGAGCGAGGGTCCGACTCACTGACGAAGCGCATGCTGAAGCAGAAGACGCCGCACAGGTCGGGGACGACGATGAGCTCGAACAGGTTGTGCACGGTCGAGTTGATCCAGCGACGGCGCTGCGACAGGAGGATCGAGAACGTGTCGGGGACGATCGTCTTGCAGACGGCTTGAGGGCAGAACATCATCTTGCGGCGCGGGAACGTGCGCAGCATGAGGGTCGACAGGTACCGGTCCTCGCCGAGGAGGAGCAGGTTCTTCTTGTGGAGCGTGTCGACGACGTTCTCCGAGTAGTGCTGCACGATGTCGGGGTTGGCGAGGATCGGGACCCAGTACCCGTCGCCGCCCTTGGGCGCCTTGATGCGGTACATTGAGAAGCAGCCGGGCAGGCACGTGACGCCGCCGAACATGGACTCGAACGCCTTGGTCTGGTGGTGCGACACGTAGTACCTGCGGGGTGGGGCGCGAGCAGAGTCAGTAACGAGGGCCGAGGAGAAGGAGGAAAGAAAGGGGAATGAGAGGGAGGAGGGACGCACTCGAAGACCTGGATCATGGTGACCCACGAGTCGCTCTTGTTGGCGATCTTGGTCTCGCCGCACAGGCCCATGATCTCGGGGTCGTTGACCATGCACGCCGTCATGCGGCTGACCGAGTCGGGGAAGACCTTGGTGTCGGCGTCGACCATGAGGACGAGCTCGTACTTGTCGGGCGAGACGCCCGTCGCGCGCCACAGCGAGTTGAAGAACTCGTACTCGAACGTCGTCATGCGCTCGTCGAACATGACCTTCTGCAGGAAGCTCATGAGGACGATCTGCGAGTCGCGCTTGCCGCGGTTGCCCGGCTTGGCGTCGTGCGCCTCGGCCGGGTTGCCGACCTTGGCGACGAGGAGCATGGGCACGCGCTGCTGCTTCGAGCGCTCGACCGTGTTGTCGTCGTAGGCGTAGAAGCCGGCATAGACCTTGGCCATGTTGTGCCGCTTGTGGCCGTCGGCGATGGCGACGTACGAGTACGACTCGACCTCGGCCGGCGCGACGACAAACTCCTTCATCATGCCGAGGACGATCTCGGGCGTCGTGAGCTCGTTGCCGGAGCCCTTGACCATGCCGTCGGCGATGACGAGGATCGTCTTGTGCGAGTTCGGGTAGTCGGTCGTCGACAGCGAGTCGAGCGTCGTGCGCAGGCCCTCGACCGACTCGGAGTAGGCCGTCACGAGGAGGAGGGCGTGCGCGAGCGGGTAGTTGAACGGCTCAAAGTCGGCCGACGGCTGGGCGACGACGTCGCCAAGCGGGAACGGGCACGCGCCCATGGCGCCCTCGGACGCCGGATTGCCGCCGTTGCCGCGCGCCGCAAGGCCGTCGAGCGTGAAGGACGACATGGGCAGGCTCGTCGAGCTGCGCGAGGCGCGAGGCGTCCCGGGCGAGCCGGGCGGCGAGTTGCGCATGGCGGCGCCGAGCATGCCCTTGCGCGACAGCGAGCCGTCGGCGCCCTTGCCGCCGCCGCCGCCCGCCTTGAGGAGGTCCGTCTTCGAGTAACGGCTCGTCGTCGGGAGGACCGACTTCTTCTGGAGCTTGTTGGGCCCTCCCGCGCCGCCGCCTGCGCCGCCCTGCTGCGACTTGGGCACGCTCGGGCGGTACCGCGCCGGCGCCGGGCGGTAGATGTCGTCGGTCCAGTTCTCGATCTCGGCGGCGCGGGCGCGACGCTGCTCGTACGTCTCGTCGGGGAACTTGCCGATTTTCCAGGACAGGAACCAGCCGAACATGACGGCCATGAGGAACCGCAGGAGGACGACGCCGATGATGACGACGAGCGACACGTAGAGGACGACGTCGGACGCGACGCAGCCGAACGTGACCGAGTCGATGAAGCCGACGCGGATCGTGTCGACGAGGCACTCGGCGACGTCGCGCTGGCCCGAGTTGACCATGAGCGACGTGATGTCGCGCCCGGTGAACGAGTCGTTGGTGCCCGACTTGAGGCTGTCGAAGATGGGCGGGTAGGCGACCTGCGAGTTGTCGAGCCAGTTGAGGAGCGAAAAGTCGAGGACGGCTCTGCGGGGGAGGACGCGCGACGAGAGGGGGCGAGTCAGTGGAACGTCCTGCGCGGCACACCGACGTCGGAACATCGACGAGAGAGGCTGAGAGGGGAAAGAGGAGGAGGAGGAGGGCGAGACGCACCCGTCGTAGACGGCAAGGTTGCGGCTCGAGTTCTTGAGGTCGTCCCACTCGAAGTAGACCTGGCCGAGCGACTTGAGCTGGCTGAACTGGACGCGTGCGTCGGCCTGCGTGTGGCACATGGTGCCCTCGGCGTAGTCGGTGAGGTTGCGGACGCTCGAGCCCCACTGGTCGTACAGGTTGCACGGGAAGTACCAGCCCATCTCGTCGCCGTTGTGCGTGATGCCGGTGCGCGCGGCGGGCGTGATGATGCCGAGGCACTTCTGGTTGACCTTCTGGAACAGGAACGAGCCGTCCTTGCCGCCGGCGTTGAAGATGTCGTACAGCGGGTTCGAGCCCTCCGAGATGCCGGCCGCTGCCGGGTGCCGGAACCCGTCCATGTCGTAGTTGAAGCCGTGGAAGATCATCGAGCCCGTGTCGATGTTGCCGGCGCGGTACCGCAGGGCGGGCGTGCCGCACACGGTCTGCGTGAAGCCGAACGTGAGGAACCCGACAAAGGCCATGGCGAGCGCGATGATGCTGAGGAGGCCGATCTTCTCGCGCCATGCCGACTGGCGGTCCTTGGTCTTGAAGCCTGGCGAGGGTGGAGAAAGGAAGTCAGCGCTCGGGATTTCGAGGAGGGGAAGAGGGCGAGGGAGAGGGAGAGAGCGGGACGCACCGAAGCACTTGAGCAACGGAGCCGGGAAGCACGCCGTCAGGATGCGGCAGTAGATCATCCAGGCGCCCATGGGCGGACCCGCCGCCTGCTGCTTGGCCTTTTGCGCGCGCTCGTACGCGCCGCCGGCGTGCGCGTTCTTCTTGCCGAGCTTGCCGCCGCCGACGCGGCGCATGGTCCCGCCGCGCTTGAACAGGTTGACGCCCGTCTCGTTGGCCATGCCCTCCTCGCGCGCGAGGATGCTCTTGCCGCGCCGGAGCGTCGTCGCCCCGCCCGACGACGAGGGACCGGCCGTCGCCGGCGCCGCCGAGGACCCGCTCGGGCCTGCGCCGCCTGCGCCTGGCGGGAGCGCATGCGGGTGCGGGTACGCCGCCGCCGACGCCGCTGCGCCGCTCACCTCGGCGGGGCCGACCGGGTGGAGCAGGCCTGCGGCCGCCGAGTGCCCCGTGCGCGAGACGGCGGCCGTGCCGCGGCCCTCGGCCTCCATGGCGGCGGCGTGCTGGCGGTAGTTGTACAGGCGGTGCGACTCGTCGACGCGCTCGCGGTCGGGGCGCACGAGCGAGCGCTTGCGGCGAAAGTCGGCGCCCGAGTTGGCGGCCGACATGCCCGGCGCGGGGACGGCGAGCGACGACGAGTAGCCGACGAGGGGCACGTTGGCCTGGCTCGCCGTGTCGCCGTACACGGACGAGCTGCCGGCCGCGTCGTGGCGCGAGAACTGGACCTTGTGGCCTGGGAGGCTGTCGGCGGCGCTCTTGGTCGAGTAGGCCGACTCGAACTGGGGCGACGGCATGCCCGGCCGGGGCGGCGGCGCTGCTGCTGCTGCTGCTGCACCTTGCGGCCCAGGGTAGGGCCGGGCGGACGACCGGTCGGGGCGGTGAGGCGGCGGATCGTCTCGCGGGGGACGATCGGACGGCGCCATCGAGCTCGACGCTCGGCGGGGGTGGGAGGGAGCGGCGAAGGTGGGCTGGTCGCGGTGCAGGTCGAGTCGGGTGTGGTTGGTGGTGGTCGCTGGCTCGCGAGCGGTGGTGGTCGTGAGGGCGAGCGCGAGAGGATCCGCGGTGATGGCGAGAGACGAGCGCGGACGAGGCGGCGCGCGAGGGGCGAGGCGCGAGTCGTGGTCGTGTGCTGGTCGGCTCGTCGAGTGGTCGTGGTCGTGCTGGAAGTCGCTCTGTGCAGCCGGGAGCAGCAGGCGCACGAGAGGAGGAGGCAGCCTCTCGCACCTCGGACCACCATCCTCTCGCGCTCGGTGTTGTGCCGGCCCTCTCCAAGCTCGGCTCGCACTCTCGCAGCTTCTGCGAGGCCAGCACTATCTCAGTCTCCCTTTCACAGACCGGCCAAAGCCCAAACTGCAGCGAGCCGTCGAGCAGTGCCTCTCGTCGCTCGAGCCTCGCACGCGCATCTCTCGTCGACGAGCTCGACTGCAGGCCCGTCTACTGCTGCAGGCCGACCGTCTCCATCCCTGCGAGCTTCATCTTGACCGCCACTTCGAGCAGGTAGTCGAGGCACTCGGCTTGCCCTGCGCGGGTCGTCGCAAAGTCAGCCTCGAGGCCGACGGCGCAACCTCGACAGGGGAAGGGGGCAATTCCGAGAGGGACTCACCTTTTGCGCGCTCGGCATCGGGACCCCAAGAGTAGGTGCCGTGTCGGCGGACGAGCACAGCAGGCTGCGAGGGGAAGGTGGGCGAGGGGGGAAAGGACGACGAGGGAGGTTAGAACGAGGTCGACGCGCCGAAAGAGAGAGGGGACGGACCGCGTCAGGGTACTTGCGCATCGCCTGTGGACGTCACGGAGAAGCGTGAGTGAGGCGACGCGGACGGAGGAGAGCCCACCGGTGCATCGCTCGAGACGAGCGCGGCGGAGAGAAAGCGTGGGCGCACCTCTTCGAGACCCTCTCGCAGGTCCTCCTCGTCGGGCGTGTTCTCGATGATGGGGATGACGAGCGTGTCGAGGTAGCTCATGGCGGCGCCCGTGCCGCCGTGCCGCATGCCCTTGATCATCTCCTGGTGCGAGATGCGGAACTCGTTGCCGGGCCACAGGAGCGTCGCCATGACCGCGTGCTGCGAGTGTGTCTGCGATGTGCGAGAGTGCGTCAGGCAAAGTCGGCGACAAAGTCGAGGGCGAGAGAGTGGGCGCACGTGGATACAGGCTCCGGCGTCGCGCAGGTCGTAGGCGTTGTAGAACAGGGGCGTGCACGCCGACTGCTTGAGGGGCTTGTGGATCGGCCACCGCAAGAAGTCGCGCTCCTTGAGCGTCAAGACGAACAGGTCTCGCGGCTCGATCTTCTCCTTCTGCACGCCGCTCGGCGCGAGGTACACCTTGTCGCTGCGAAGGTGGTCGAAAGTCAGGAGGGGTCGCCTGAATCGACTCGCCGAGAGGCTGGACGCACCCGTTGCGGATCGAGATGCCTCCTCCCGTGCCCGTAACCCAGCCGAGGGTGTAGAAGCCGCGGCACAGCTCGGGGATGAGGAACGCCGGGTGGTTCGGGTCGTCGCGGTGGTCGATGAGCGAGTGGTCGTTCGGGTGATTCGGGTCGGTTGGCGGAGCGAGACTGTAGTACGGAGAAGGAGTCAGTGGAAAGGCTCGAGAGGCCAGTCGTGACCGCGGCGAGGGGCTCTGGAGAAGGGAAGGGAGGCAACGAGCGGCTCACACCATGTCTGCGAGGCTGGCTGGTTTGAGAGAGGGGGTGGGAGGGGCAAGTAAGGTCAGCTTCCGGCCACTGCAGGCCTGCCCGAGTCCATCGGGTCGCCGTTCTCGTCGACGAGGTCCGGAACCGAAAGTCGGGCGATGAAGTTCGAGCGACAGTCGGCCAACGTCTCGGTCGGCTCGACTGGGCCACGTAATGGGCACGAGGTGGACTCACTGCGCGTCTGAGTAGCGGCAAGCTCGAGGCAAGCTGTCGAGGAGGTGGTGGAGGAGGAAGACGATGAGTATTCGACGGCGGCCTTGCTTGCTGCTCGACCACACGCCGCGCTTGCACTGCTGCACCCTGCAGGACACGTCTACGCTGCTCTCGAACAACTGCGAGCGCAACGGACTTGGTCATGCGGCACGAGGTGCGTCTCCCTCCCTTCGCCCCACCTCCTCGACTCGCACAGCGTCCAGCGGCAGCGAACCACGGTCGACTGCGCTCGCCGCAAGTGCCTGATCACCTCGCTACGCCACTCGTGCGGCACAGCACCCGCACCCGTCTTGCGCAGGCCAAACACTGACTCGTCGCCCCCTCGTCGACCGGCACAACAGACGTCAATCGCCAGCCTGCCCGCCGAGATCCTCCTGCACGTCTTCCACTTCGCCCAGGACGACCACGACTCGCACTTTCCGTCAGAGCACCCGGCCGACTCGATTTTCCCCTTCTTTCGCCGCCGCCTGAACCCGAGCGTCGCCCTGTCGCACACGTCCCGGAACTGGCGCACCCTCGCCCTCTGCGACACGCGCCTGTGGCGCACGCTCCACCTCGACGGCGAGATCGACGAGGGGCGCGCCGAGGCCAAGGCGCTCCTGTGGGCCGAGCGCGCGACCGCCGACGCCGCGCACGCCGCCGACGGGCCGAGCGGGGTCTCGGGCCTCGTCGTCACGCGCGCCCAGGACTGGTCGCCCGACGAGTTCGCCTACCTGTGCGACGCCCTCGACCTCATGGACCTCGTCCAGCTGCGCCGAGCCCGCATCTCGTGGCACGGCGGCGGCGTCGCCGCCGACGAGCAGCGACAGCTCCAGTCGTTCCTGTCCCTCCTCGTCTCGTCGGCGTCCACCCTCGCCTCCCTCACGATCCACACGCCCGCACACTTGCGCATCCTCTTCTCGCTGCCCCGCATCGGCCACACGTTCGCCCGCCTCGAGGACCTCGAAATACGCTCGTGCAAGTCGTCGACGCCCTCGACCGACGTCTACCTCGTCCCGTCGTTCCTGCCTCGGTTCGCCGGCGAGCAGGACTGGGCTCCGCTCGCGCACCTGCGTCGGCTCGTCCTCGTCGGGCCCATCTGGCGGCTCCGGTTCGCCGACGGCACGGTCGTGTCGCCCGTCCTCGGGTGGGAGGACGTGCCCGCGCTCGAGTACGCGCACCTCGGCGCGACGACGCCGCCGACGCACTGGGCCCTGCTGTCGCACGCGAGCGGGACGCTGCGGCACCTCGTCCTCGAGAACTTTGTGTCGGACCACCGGCATCTCGAGGATCCAGACGTGGCGACCGTCTTTCCTCGGTTGCTCAGCCTCGAGCTCGTCAACTCGGCACCGCTCGCGACGCGTCTACTCGACCTCGCTGTCGGCTGTCGGCCGCCCTCGTCCTCGTCGCGATCCGCCTCGCCCGGTCCTCCCGCCCGCGCCGCAGCCCTCGTCACCCTCCCTCACCTGCGCGCCTGTCGCTCGCCGGCACCCTCCTTCGCCCCTCACACCTCGCCCTCTTTACCCGCCAGACGACTCCCGTCCTCGAGCGACTCGACCTGCGCCTCACCCTGCCCCTCGAGCACGACGCGCAACTCGCGCTGCCGCGGCACCTGAGCGAGCGCCTGCACACACTCGTCTTGCCTGCAAGGGCGTGGGTCGCACCGAGCGAGGTCGTCGAGCTCCTCGAGCGTGGAGGAGCGCCAGCGCTGAATCGCCTCGAGTGGAGCTGCGGCGCGGCGAGGGGAGCAGAGGTGGACGGACGCGGCGAGAAGGCGTGGTCGGCACTGCAGAGGTGGACGCTGCGGGACCGACGAGTCGAGCTGGTGCTGGAGGACGGGTGAGGATGAGGCTGGCGCGGGCAGGCGAGGTGGACGAGCGAGGAGCAGAACGAGCGCGGCGGGCGGCAAGCAGGAGAGCGTCGAGCAATGAGCATGTTGTCCCGCGTCTCGAGCGGCACAGCGAGTGAGCCCGACAGCTTTGGGCACGCCTGCTTCGAGGAGGCGGCCGGCTCGGGGCGCGGACGAGGTGCCGACTCGAGGCGGGGCGAACGGCTCGAGCGAGTCGCTGCGTGTGCCCTCGCCCCTCGCACAGCTCCGCGCATCGCTGCTCGATGAACAGGCCCTGCTTCCACCAGCACAGCCGCCTGCCCCACCTGTCGACCTCGCCGCACACCTGAGCCGCCCGACAGCCGGCCTCGGCTCACCCTCCACGCACTCGCTCACCCAGCTCGTCCGCCCACGACTCGACGCCGCCTGCGACCGCGCCTCGGACACCGATCAGCACCGGCACATCTTGACTGAAGCAGTCGGGAGCGCGCAGCGGCCTCTCGCCGGGCTGGTGGGCGGCGCGAGAGTTCATCACTGCAGGGGCGCCGAGGTTGGACGACCTTCCTTGGGTGGTCGAGGACGGGTCGCAGGGCGGGTGTGCAGCCGTCGGTGGCATGCAGGAGCAGGGCTACGGCGGCGTGCGGGCCCGCAGCGGCGGCAGGGGCGGTGCGGCGGGCGGGCGCACGCGGGTGTGATGGCAGCAGGTGCGTCCCCCCCTCCCTCTCTGCCGGGCACAGCGTGTTTGCGCCGGCGGGGAGCTGACCCGCATGCACGCACAACAGGTCGTCGGCAAGCTTCGCAGTGCTTGGCGACGCTGTGACGGGCGTGTGCCCCCTCGTCGGCCGAGCGACGCGACAGATCAAGCTTCGAGATTTCATCACCCGAGCGCCGCCTCGCCCGAATTCCCTGCCCCCGCCTTCGCGCCCGACGGGCATCGAGAACGAGACGTGCTAGTTAGCGCGCGCGTACGGCCATCGAGCGAGGACGAGCTGTCGCCTGCGCCCTGCGCCGTCGAGCAGAGCGATGCGCCGACTCGCTCGCAGGCCGGGCCCGAGTACTCTCGCGCATGTGCAACGACGTTCTGTTCCCTTCCCGTCTCTCGGGCGAGCGCGACCGGTACGAGTGAGGCTGCGGCTCGTTCGTGCTGCGCCGCCGGTGCAGGCGTGGACGGAGGAGCAGACCGCGCCGGCGCGGTCGCCGCTCTTTCGAGCCAACCTTCTTTCTTCCTCGAGCGGCAGGGAGTTCCGGGAACCGTGCCGAGGATCACCTCGACGCCCGACGAGGCGAATCACACGGCGAGGTCAAGCGTCGACCGATCAATTGACCTCCTCGCCGCGACGCGTCGCTCGAGCCGTTGGACGAAGAAGTGCGGGGCGTGCCAGGAGCCTGGAGCACTCGATGCACCGGCGCCCAGAGTGGTTCCCTTGCGGCCGCGCGGTCAAAACAAACAACCCTGTGCGTGCCGGCGCCGTCGAGCACCCTTGAAGAACGACCCTGACCTGGCTCCCTCCCTCTCTTCCCTTCTCTTCACTCGACTCCACCTCGACTCACAGCGTCTCTCTTTCGGCTCAGCCTCACCCTCGTCACTCTTTCAACAACCCACCCCAACCTCAGCCTTCCGCTCCCACCACCACCACCCCTCCTTCCTCAGCCAACATGCACGCCACCCTCGCCCTCGCTTCCCTCGCCTCGCTCGCGTCCATCGCGCTCGCCCAGATCCCGTCGGGCTACGGTCGCTTCCCCTGCACCCTCGTCAACGGCGACGGCACGTTCTCGGCCGGTGCGTCGACCCTCCTCGCGTCCGCCTTCTCGTTCCCTTCCCGACGCGTCCCTGACGCGCCCTCTCTCTCGCTCTCGTCGCGCAGACCCGAACCAGTGCGCCGACGACGCCCTCATCAACCCGGCTGGCGTCGCCGACGACACCGGCATCCAGGGCTCGGCCGCCAACCCGACTGGCGCCATGTGCACCCTCGAGGCCGAGACCGGCGCCTACTTCTGCGGCATCGCCGGCGCCGAGTGCTCGTCGGACGCCAACTGCGACAACGGCACCTGCGACCTCGCCTCGGGCACTTGGTGCGTCCCTCTCGTTCTCCTTCCCCTCGGCGTGACATTGGGAACGAGACTGACCCTCGTCGCGTTCGCGCCTCCTCCTTTCTCAGCCAGGGCGGCTTCCTCCAGGACTGCGGCGGCGACGACGCCAACTGCTCGGGCTACCTCTACTGCACGAACGCCGACCAGACCAACCCGGACCCGCTCGCGTGCGGTGAGGACGGCGTCTTCTGCCAGGACCCGTTCGCGGTTTCGGACGGCCAGAGCGCCGCCGAGATTGCGGCCACCTACGACCAGTTCTGCTCGTCGGGTGCGTCCCACTGCCCTCTCTCTCGTCGCACCCGTATCTGGCGCCCGCGACGGTCACTGACCCTCGCTTTTCCCACAGGCTACTGCTCGAACGTCGACGGCAACTGCGGTCAGCGCTTCACCCTCGGCCAGGACTGCTCGGCCGACGTCTTCGGCTGCGGCACCACCGACGCCGGCGTCCAGCTCACCTGCGTCGACAACGCCGGCGTCCAGACCTGCCAGGTCGAGGGTGCCTCGCCCGCCGCCCGCTCGCGCTCGCGCCGCGCCGCGCTCCACCGCCGCAACCTCTGCCCGGCCTCGCACACCGCCTGCGCCGTCGAGGGTGCCGCCAAGGGCTTCGAGTGCATCGACGTCTCGTCCAACATTGAGCAGTGCGGCGCCTGCGCGTCGGCCGGCGGCGTCGACTGCACCGCCATCGAGGGCGTCGCCGCCGTCGGCTGCGTTGCCGGCACCTGCGAGATCTGGTCGTGCGAGGACGGCTTCACCTTCGACGCCGCCACCGGCGCCTGCACCTCGGCCTAAACCCCCGAGCTCGCCTCGTCGTCGCCTCCCCTTCCCTTCTCCTCTCGGGCTCTCTCCTCGTCTCGTCACGTACCTATCCTTCTCCCGCACCCACACATTTTTCATTTCCACTCCGTTCCCTCCATCCTGAGTAACGACTCGTAACGATCACGACCTTTCATCCTTCCCTCCCCCTCCTTCCTCCCGCCGCATTCGCTTTTCACCTTCTCCTCCCCACCTCGACCTGCTCGAGACTGGCGCTGAGCGTCGGGTTCTGTCTAGATCGACTCCTCGTTCTCCTTTAGTCCCCTCGTCGTCTCTCCCTCTTGCCCTGGAACCCAGAATGGATGGAAATGACTCGCTCTCGTTGCGCGCCTTCTCTCTTTCTCTCGTCCCGCGAAAGCCTTACCTCTCTTTCGCTTCTCGCGAGCTGAGAGCAGCTGCTGCCGAACGTGAGAGCGCGAGAGAAGCGCGTCGTCACGAGCCGTCCACATGAGCTCGTCACACCGCGCGCCCTCCTTCCTCGAGCCGTTGGCCCTGGCGGCTGCGCGACGCGCCGAATGCGACGCTCTCGCGCCGAGGTCGTCACCGCAGCACGAAGAACGTCGACGTGTTTGTACCGAGAGAGGAACTCGGCGGGCAAGGGCGCCCTCGCTGTGCACGAGAGCTCGAGCGAGAAGGAGCGGGGCCGCTCGAGAACGTCGTGGCGACGTGCTGCGGCGAGAGCAGGCGCCGAACGCGCCGTCCGGGTGTCGCGAGCCGTCACAAAGATCGTCGAGGAGCAGGAGCTGCGTCTGAAGCTGTGAAAGGCCGACATGTCAGGGCATCGTCGAGGAGAGCAAGCGCGACGAGTGGATCGGGCAGGTTTCCCGGACGGGCGGCCGCAGCTCGCCTGCGCATGCGGGAGCCGCCGAGGCAGCCAAAGGCGCGCTGCGAGCGCTCAGCGACCGCCGAGGCGAGGGCCGCAGGAGCGGGCGAGCGAGGAGCGAACACAGAGCAAGCAGAGAGGGCAAAGCCGAGCCGCAGACCCGCTCGCAACAGCTCGCAGCTCCGTCTGCCGGGCTTGGCGTACGGGCACGATGCCTGTCGGGCTGCCGCCGACGAGGGGAAGTCGAGAGCGCGGGCGAGGAGGACGCGAGGGGCAGGACATGTACGAGGACGGTCGGGGCTTGGTCGAGGTCGGTGCTAGAGGTCCCTGAACGCCATGCAACCGAGCACAGCGTCGCCGGTGCAAGGGAAGCGGTGCGTGGGAGCGAGACGAACACTCCTCCTCGGCGGCTCATCAGCTCGCTTTCTCCACCTCGCCTCGACCAGGGCCAGCTGCAGCAGCCCAGCTCAGCTCGTGCACCGTCCAGCATGCCGGTCGACAAACTGCACGCGGCCGTCCTCGAGCGCATCTTTGCGCTCGCGTCGCTCGACCAGGCGCTGTGGGAGACGCCCGACTACGCGACCCTCAAGGCGTGCGCGCTCGTCTACTCGCACTGGCGTCACCCTGCCCAGGCCACCCTCGCCCGCCACGTCCGCATCGCCTCGCCCGAGGCCATGGCCGCCGTCCGCTCGCGCGAGTGCAGGCGCATGCTCGCCGAGCACCAGACCCTCGTCCTCGACTCCACCTTCCTGTGGGGCGCCGACACGTACTGGCTCCTCGACCGCTTCCCCAAGCTCGTCTCGTTCCGCCTCGAGTACGACCCGCTCCGCGGCAACACGGACGGCCAGCGCGAGCGCGACGACGAGTGGCTCACGTGGGACGTTCTGCGGCACCCTTCCCTCACCGGTGCGTCCTCCCCTCCCTCCTCTTTCGAGCGTATGTCACGACGGGCGAGCGCGGCGGGCGGTACGACTTGCCGGGAGGACGTCGCTGACTTCCTCCCCCCTTTCCTTCCCTCCCGCCTCTTCCTCCTCCTCTTTCCCACCCCGTGCAGGCGTCAGCAAGCTGTCGATCGTCGCCGACCTCGAGGACCCCGAGGACACGACCCCCCTGTCGCTCCCCGTCACGCACGCCACGCTCGGCCGGCTCCCGTACGAGCACAACGCGTGGCTGCACCACGCCATCTTCACGGGCTCCAAGGCGACCCTGCGCGACGTGTCGCTCGACTTCAGCAAGGACGTGACGGACAAGCTCGCGCTCGACAACCTCATCGAGGAGTTCCAGGCCGTCGCGGCGACCGTCGAGCACCTCCACTTCCTCAACAAGCCCAACATCAACTTCCTCATGTCGCTCCACTCGAAGATGAACGCGATCAAGATGCCCTTCTTCTACTCGTGCTCGTACCCCCTCCTCCCCAACGCTCTCGCGCCGTTCAACATCCTCGCCCTCGCCGTCGTCAACAACGGCACGTCGCTCGTCGAGTTTGCCCTCGTCGAGCCGCCGTACCTCGAGCGCGCGACCGACGACGACCACGAGGCGCTCGTCCTGCGCTACATCGCCGCGTTCGGCTCGCGCCTCGACTCGTTCAACATGATGGGCCGCAAGTTCCGGTTCCGGTTCCCGCGCGAGTGGGCGGCGCGGTTCGTCAAGTTGCCCGAGATTGCGCGCTTCCTCGACCGCGCCGGCGCTCGTGGGTGCGACGTGTGGTGCGGCGCCGAGCAGCGCTTCGAGTCGACGGCCAAAGGTGCGCCCCCTGCAGCTTCCCTCCTCCCCGTCTGCGTCGCCGCGCCTGACTCGGCTCGTCCCTCCCCCTCTGCAGCCATGGAGAAGCGTAAGGGCAAGCGCGTCGCGACCGGCGGCGTTCCCGACGACGACGATGACGTCGAGGCCAACACGCCGCCAATGCCGACGCTCGCCCAGGTTCAGCAGGTCCTCCGCCAGATGACGGCTCCGGGTGCAGCAGGTGCCGCCGCTCGCGCTCAGGCCGCCGCCGCTCGCGCGCTCCTCCCGCCGCCGGCTGCACCTGCCGCGCCGAGCAAGGCCAAGGCCAAGGGCAAGGGCAAGGTCGGCGACAAGGTCAAGGGCAAGGGCAAGAGCAAGGCGGGCGAGAAGGGCAAGGGCAAGTCGGCCGCCGTCGCCCCGCCGCAGGAGGACGAGCCCGAGGACGACGGCGGTCTGATCGTCGGCTCGAGCAAGGGCAAGGGCAAGTCGGTCGCTGTCGAGGCGGACGAGGAGGACGAGAGCGGGCCTGCGGTCGGGTCGAGCAAGGGGAAGGGCAAGGCCCGGGCGTGAGCCGCACAAAGTCGCGGCGCCGCTCTCAATTTTACTAGTCTCGTATTCACTCGCATTGTACCTTGTCTGCCTTCGTCTGCGCGCCCGTCGAGAGTCTGCCTCGAGCTCGCTGCCCCCACCTCGGCTTCATCTCTCGTTCGCCGTCTCAGCTCGACTCGCTCATCTCTCAACGGCTCGACGGGCGCGAGCGCTACCGTGCGCGACACAACGACCACGCATCGATCGACTGCGCCCAACCATGTTCTCGTCTAAGACGCGCAAGGCGCTCGAGACGGCGTCGCTCCTCGACCACTCGCAGCTCCTGCGCTCGGCGCAGGCGTGGCAGCTGGGGCAGATTGCGACTCTCGGGCTCGGCGCAGAGCTCACGGCAATGACCTACGGTGCGCCCATCTCTCTCTCTCCCCTCTCTCGAAGCCGCCGAGCTGACCCCTCCCTCCTCTGCCTCCTCCCCGACCCTCGGCGCACGTCGACCCGCACAGATCCGGTCCAGTCGCTGCTCGCAGTCGGCACCGAGCACGGCAAGCTCGTCGTACTCGGCGCACCGGGCGTCGAGCTCGCGTGGGACGTCGGACTGCCCACCAAGATCCGGCACCTCGCGTTCAAGAGCGGGAGCGGCTTCCTCTGTGTCGTCGGTGCGCTCGCTGTTCCTCCCATGCCTTCAAGAAGATGCAAGAGGCCTGACCGAGTCGATCCCCCTTGCAGACGCCAAGAACACGCTGTCCGTCTTTGACCTGCAGCGCGTCGAGAACGGCAAGCCTCATCGCGACTCGTCCCTCTCCCTGCGGTCCAACGTCACGTGCGTCTCTCGGCCCTCTCTCGTCCTCAAGCCGACCTGATATCTGACCCCTTGCGTGACCGCCGCAGCTGTCTCGAGTCGTCCGCCTCGCTGTCGTTCCTCTTCATCGGCGGCAAGGACGGCACCGTCGACCTGTACGACATCGACCGCGGCATCCTCGCGCCGGCCGAGGCCCGCATCCCGAACCTGTGGCTCTCGCAGGAGGAAATCTTGCGGCGAAGCGGCGTGCCCGGAGCACCCTCGAGGCGACACATGTGCGTTTTCCCTTTCCCTCTCTCTTTCTCCCCTTCGAGGACCGGTACTGATACCGCACATCCCCCCAGCCCTGTCTGCACCGACATCAAGATCCACCCGCTCGACTTGAACCTCGTCCTCATCGCGTACGAGGGCGGCGTCGCGCTCTGGAACCTCGCGACGCGCACGGTCGAGCGCACCTACGAGTTCGTCGTTCCGCCCGGCGCGCCAGGTGGCGGCAACGACTCGGGCGAGAACCTGTTCGCCGAGAGGAGGTCGCCGGTGACGTGCCTCGCCTGGCGACCCGACGGCCTCGTCTTTGCCGCCGGCCACGAGGACGGCACGATCAGCTTTGCGTCCAGCGAGGACGAGATGCCTGTCATGATCCGCACGCTCGAGCGCGCCGACGTCAACAAGACGACCGAGGAGGACCTGTTCGCCGACCGAGAACCGGCCAACCGCGAGCCCGTGTTCCGCCTCGCCTGGTCGGCGTTCCCGCAAGAATCGTGGTTCTCGTCGTCGCTCGGCAAGAGCGGCGGTCCGGCCTCTCCCGCCCTTCCTGCATCGCCGAGCCTCGCCGACGAGAAGACGGACCTGCACGGCGGCACCATGCTCACGATCATGGGCGGCGTCCTGCCGGACGACCCGATCGGCCTCCACGTCCTCGAGTTTGCGGCCTACCTCGCCCCGCCAGCGGCGACGGCCAAACCCGGCAGCATCCCGCTCCCCGTGCGCGAGGCTCTGCGCAACTCGATCTCGCCCGTCGCCCACCACCTGTACCCTACGCCTGCACCGCCCGAGGACTTTCTCCTCCTGCCCCGCAACAACCCACACTACGGCCTGTCGTACGACCCGACCGCCATCATCGTCACCTCGGGCCGCGATCCTCGCTGCCCGGTCCTGTCGGCAGCGCACGCCGCCAACAACATCGAGGCGTTCGCGTTCCCGCCGAGCAGCACGCGCGCACCTCGTCCGCTCGTCCTGCCGCCCGGCCTCTCTTTCTCCGGCAAGGACACCTGTTCGGCCGCCCAAGTCGTCACGACGTCGAGCCTGTCGTACCGCCACCTCGTGCACCAGTTCGACGTCTCGGACGAGACGGGCGAGCGCCTCCCGCTGCACGGCGGCCGCGCCTCTCCTGTCGCCCGAGCGACTCGTCGCGGCCCGCCCCCAACCCTGAGCGACCAGCCGCCTCGGCTCCTCCTCACGTCGCACGTCGACCTCACCGTCCGGGTCTGGGACATCTCGACGCCGTTGCTGTGGGGCCACAAGCCGGCCGTCGAGGGCGCCGAGGCCCGCATCGAGCACGACTTCCCGCGCCCTCTGCGACACCTCGACGTCGACGTCAAGGCGACGCTGTCGGATCCACGTGCGAGCGAGATGGCGGCGGCGAGGCTGCTCAAGGAGCGGCCGTGGGAGCTCGACATCGACAAGGTCTCGTTCGGCGAGGAGAACCTCGAGGTCGCAGTGAGCCTGTCTACAGGCGACCTGCTCGTCTATCGGTGCGTCCCGTCTCTCTTATCGCCAGCCGCGTACCGCGTCCTGACTCTCGCTTTGCAGATTCGCATACGGCGAGCACCTCGCAACGATCGAGCTCGACCGCGCCGAGGCGGCCGACGAGCTCGACGACACGATCCAGGACGCCTTGCACGACATGTCGCTCGACGGTCCATCGTCCATCCCTGCGGTCCCTCGCGGTGACCCGACCTCGCACGCCGCCCGGCGTGTATCGTCGCCGCCGCCGCCCCACCGGAGCCGCTTCAACTCGATCGCCCATCCCGGCCAATCCCGCCACGACTCGACCGCAAGCGCCGTTCACCAAGCCGAGCTCGACCCGCAAGACCGCCACGTCGACCTCGCCGGCGCTGCCGTACCGCGGCCCGACCTCGACGGCTTCCGGCCGGTCGCCGCCTTCCACTTCTCGTCGCCGGCGTCGGCGAGCGGGCTCAAGGCGCGCAGCCGCCTCGCGCTCAGCAGCGTCGGCTTCCTCGCCGCGTCGAACGAGGCAAGCCTGATCGTCATCGACCTGCGCGGGCCCGAGGTCGTCCTCGTCGACGTTCCGGGAACGAGCGCGCCGTCGACCAAGGGCAAGGGCAAGATCGACTCGTCGGCCATCACCGCCTTGAGCTGGACTATTTGCGCGATCGGCGAGGGTGCGTCCGGCTCTCTGTGTCTCTCGTTTGCGACCTCGTCAACTGACCTTCTCAAACGCGCACAGACCACGACCGCTCGCCTCGGCTCATCGTCACCCAGGCCTCGGGCCTCACGCGCGTGTTCGAGCTGTCCAACGTCGGCGGGTCGTGGTACCTGAGCGACAAGGCGGTCTCGGTGCAGCACGACAGCACGCGCGGCGCATTCGCCACCTTCGTCGTCGACAAGGCCGGCAACGAGCTCGTCGCCGATGCCCAGAACCTGCAGCTCGCCCTCACGCACCAAGCGGCTCTCGGCACCGTCGAGTCGTACGACCCGGCCGGCGCCATCACGAGCCTGTGGGTCACGGTCGCTCGCTCGACCTTGGCGTGCTACTTCAACCTCGACGGTCCGCGCACCGCCGTCTACGAGGACGAGCACGCCCAGTTCGAGAAGGCCGTCATCGTGCACGTCCAGGGCTGTGCGGCGCTCGTCGTCCAGTCGCGCAACTGCACCCTGTCCATGTTCTCGCTCCCCGACCTCACCTACATCGCCCGGGCAAAGTTCGACACGACCTTGCAGTGCGTCCCCTGCCTCTCTCTCTCTCAGCCTCCCTCGAGTTCTCGTACTGACACCTCGTCATGTCGTGCAGCGACTCGGCCGGCGTCTTCTCGCTCGCGCCCGACGGCGACTACTGCCAGTACCTCGACGGCTTGACGATCCGTCTCGGCACCCTGCGCGACCTGTACCGCCCAGCATTCCCGCCTCGCATCGTCGCCTTCGACCCATCCATCGCGGTCCCGGCGCAGACGAGCGCGCTGCAGGCTGTCGGCTCAGTCCTCGGCACGTGGTTCGGCGGCAAGAGGGTCTACACGGGCGCAGAGATTGACGCCATCCGTGCGTCCCTCTCTCTCACTCTTTCTATCTCTCGAGTGCCTCCTCTTCGTGCTCTCGAGCGTCCTGACACGCCTCCTTGCCCCGTTCCTCGCTCGCCGCAGTCGGCGGTCCAAAACGTCCACCGCCCAAATCTCGCCCGGCGCCCGGCGCACCGCCGCCGATCGTCACGGCGACGAAGAAGGCCAAGGCGCCGGCCCCGTCAGCGTACGGCCCGCCCTCGTCGGCCGCGATCGTCCAGGGCGCGAGCGACTCGGCCCGCAGCATCATGGCGTCGACCAACGCGGCCCTCGAGCAGCGCGGCGAGTACCTCAACGCGCTCTCGGAGCGTCTCGGCGGCATGGCCAACGATGCGGCGACGTTCGCGAAGGAGACGAAGAAGACGGCGCAGCAAGAGGCGGCGAAGCGGTCGATCTCGGGCGCGTGGGGCAGCTTGTTGAACCGTTTGCCCTGAGAGAATTTGCGATTGCGAACGAGTTTGACAAGGTGCGACAGGGTGTGCTACGAACTGAGAGAGAGAGAGACATAGTGGGGGTATCATCGGCAGTTGAGAGAGGGAATAAGAGTGTGCGAGAGGGGTATCTGAAGGTCACGAGAGAAAGAGGGGGCGCGAGCGCTGCTCGTGCAACTCGGGAAAGAGAACGGCGACAACCTCGTCGACGACGCTGTAGATAAGGTGCTGCGAGGGAAGGACGAGGTCAGTCGGGTACAGCGCGAGGAGAGGAGGCGTGATAGAGAGGACGCACCTTGTTGAGCCGGCGGTTCTGCAGGACGGCAAAGAGGGTACGAGCGCCCTGCTTGGCGTTCTGGCGGCCGATGAGGTTGGCGGCGACGTCTGCGGGGCATCGAGGCAGGCGCACGTAAGTAGGAGGACGTCGCAGAGGAGGTTGTGGAGGTGCGAGAGGACGGACCGGGCATGAGCGTCGACAGCTTCCTCCTCGCCGACTCTTTCGTTTCGGCTCGTTGAGCGGCCGAGCGAGGAGGCTCCTTGGGCTTGAGCTCGCCTCCTGACCACATGGCGTTCTGGAGCGTCGAGATGTAGCCGACGAGTTGCGGTGGCGCGAGGAGCATCTTGACGCTGTCGCGGATCTTGCTGCTCTAGGACGACTCGAGGAATGTCAGTCACGTTCATCGACGACGAGAGTCTGATGAAGAAGAGAGAGAGAGAGAGAGAGAGAGAGAGAGAGAGAGAGAGAGAGAGAGAGAGAGAGAGAGAGAGAGAGAGAGAGAGAGAGAGAGAGAGAGAGAGAGAGAGAGAGAGAGAGAGAGAGAGAGAGAGGGGGGGGGGGGGGGGGGGGGCC